CCCACATACTCGTCGCTCAGAGCGTCCTGAGCCGGAGCCGTTAAAGGGTCCTCTGCCTGCGCCCGAGATGCCTGTTCCTCCTTTGCCGGTGCCATGCTGGGGCGTCGAGGGCGCGGAGGCGTAGTAGCGTCCCGGCCCGTCGCCATCGTCCATGGCGCCTGCCTCGTGAGCGTGTGCGATGCCCATGCTTGCCAGATCCGCAGAGATGCTCGTATGGTGCGACCCGTTGCTGCCCATGTTTGGGATTTTGCGCTTCTTCTTGTTGTTGGTGTGCTCGAAAGAATCGTACCCATCCACAGAAGACGCCGTGGACACTGCCTTGGGATAGCCGCCTGGCGCGCCAGTCACGGGCTTGCCAGCCAGGTGCCTGCTTGTACTGGTAGCTGGGGGACGAGGGTATCGGCGCACCCCGTTCGTCTTCCTCCTCGTCGCTCTCTACTTCCGAGTGAGTGTGACCGCAGTGGCAAGCATGGTGGTCACTCTCGCCCGTCCGTAGCGCTCTGCCGCCGTTCTCGTTGGCCGAGTACGGGTAGTTGAACAGCGGGCCAGTCGAGGCAGGATGGTCGGGATATACAATGGTCTCGGCTTGTTCGGGAGACAGTCTCGCGCGCAGAGAGCGTCGGGGCAGAGGGCGGATGGGCCGGTCGGGGTACATGGAAGACGACGTGTCTGGGGAGGGAGCGCAGCGGCGAGGAGCGGTTCCACTCATAGCCGTGCGGAAGGGGAGGAGGGATGTCAGATATGTGGAGAGAGCAGGAATCAGGCCCAAGCGGTACATGGTGCGTCTGTGGTGGTGCAGGGAGGGTGCATAAAATGAAAGTGTGAAGGGCGCGCTGTGGAAGCCCACAACGACGATCACTACTTACCCGCAGTCGCCGCTGCCATGCTGGCAGTACTTCCTTCACCGACTACCCAGCTGATAGTTGTATGCTTGTAGCTTCCCGCGCAATTACAATATTGCCTCTATCGTGCTTGTCTGTCCCGCATCAGCACTTGGTCCATCGAATCGCTGCTATTCTCATGCCCCGGAGCATAGTAGCTGCATCTCTTTCGGTCCTCTCTCCTATCGAACCAGAGTCTTTGGGCGTGGGAAGCTCTACGCACCTATTTGCAAGGGTTTGTGCGCTGCACGAGAGAGCCGGTACTGGTGCCAGTTAGCGGAGCCCCTCCATCTCTTCGGTACCTGACTTACAGGGATGCTGCTGATCCCCGGACCCAAGAATCGGATATCCAAGAAATGAAGAACCCGGCGATTCGATTCGAATGCGATCCGGTCAGGTGTCGGGTGGGAGTCGAGTCGTCGATACCCGAAGGTGTGCGATACAGATTCGCCCACGCCAAGAAACACGTCGGCGCAGTAAATGTGGCTGTTCGCCAAATAGTAGTACACTGAATCGCTAGCACAAGCACAAAGTCAGACGCACTCTAGCACAGTCAACCAGGTGGTAGTAGAGCAGCAAAGGAGGTGTCGATGTGCACGCAGAGTATCCAAGAGCGTCGACGTAGGCATGCATATCATCAGCCTTGAGTGACCGTGCTGCTTGCGACGCTAATTCCAACGCGGATTGGTAATAATTGCTCCTGACCCTGGCGACCTCCAATGGCAAATGGCTTGCCACGCTTCCATCCTTTTCCAAGTGTCGTGTCACTCCTCCTGCCCATCCAATGATGCTGCGAGTTGGTTCAGATGCCGTGCTGCTCCACCAATGGCGCGTCAACAGCTGCAGACATTCTAGCCATGTGTCGATGCTCGGAACGTTCCGCCGTGTTGCGTGGCACTGACATCTTCTGAGGATAGTTGTGCTTCAGACTGATGAACAGGTACTAGAAGCACAATTTCATGTCACTGACTCATCACTTCTTGACAGATTTGAAGCTTGAGCCCACGACCAACGCCACATGCGCCACCATGCAGAGAACATGTAGCATCCGCGCCGTTCTACGAGTCTTGCCATGCATCCAGGCTGTCTAGTTCTACAACCGCTAAGCTACCGCCTATCAGCTCAAATCACAACAGACAGGCACATCGCAATGATACCTCCACGTTCACGTGTATATCTCTAGAGGCGTGAGGATACGCATCGGCATCCTGGGCCAACCAGCGCCGAAAGGCCCGGTCGTTCCTGCATATTGAAGATGTGCTGACCCCGGCTCTTTCTTCAGTCATGTTGCCTGCATCGAAAGCTTCAAGAGACGACATCCACATGTCCACCCGTAGACACACCCGGCCACGCACATGAGTTCTGCCGCCTTTGAGTTTCCAAGGTTCCAGCGACTTCGACGGTGCGGCTCCTCTAGGTCTGAGCATTTCTTATCGAGTATACCAAAACCGCTGCGTCATACCAGACCCGTTCTGAATTGTAGAAAGACCGCGAACCGTACACTGCGCAAAGGATTGATACCTACTAGATCTACCTTCCTGTTTCTCCTAGCCAAGTGAGACGCCCCAAGTGATACTGCTAGGTCTATTGGAAAGGAAACGAGTCTCTTGAACGCTATGATGAATGGTAGAGATTGGGACGTCAAAGCGATTCGCCTCTGCAGCCTCCGGGCAACCGCGAAAAGTACTTGTGTCAGCATGGAACCAGGGAATCGATGTTTATGCTCGACAGATCTGGTAGGTACCACGGTTCGATATAATCACTTCTGGGGTCTCGCCGCGTGATTGGTAAGGGCAACGTGCAGCAACTTAGTGACACTCAGTGTGTGTGCTCATTCCGTTGGGGAACCGAAGATACAGTCGGAAACTGGTCCTGCTCATGGTGATACGCGTTGTGAGGCTTTCGTTGGTAGCGCGGCTCACGATCTAGACGCACCACCCGCTCCTTCGAGGAAGCACGCAGGACATTGTCTCCAATACGTTCGCTTAGTGTGCCTCTAGAAGGGATCCGAGCTGTCCAAGGTTCGTGACATGTTGCTCGTGCTCTCCATTTGTCCATGTGCAAGGTGAGGCAGCGAAACGGGAAGGAGCTACACAAACGGCGGGTGCCCAATATCGTCGCGTCCTCTCTGTCAACAATTCTGCTACCACGGCCACTTACGCGACTAGCAATATTTACCCAACTGCAAGTGGGCACACAGTTTTCGACGTATAAGACTCCCTCCGCTCCCTTCAACTCACCTGACCTCTCAACAACAGTCCGCTATCAACCCGGGGCAATTTCCAGGCACACAACACAATGGCTTCAAGCGACCTCGCCCCCGATTCCACCGGGTCGGATTACCCCAGCCCCGTGGACTATTCCGGTTACACGAACTCCCCAGGCTATGTCGACAGCCTTTCTACGTATGCGCGTGACTGCACATGGGAGAAATGCCAACTTCGAATGGCCTACTTCTACTACCGGCCGTCAAAGGGTGTAAACACCGCCTTTGCTGTCCTTTTCGGCATCTCTGCGCTGCTCTTCTTGGTTCAGGGCATCGCCAGCAGGAAGAGGTGGCTCGGCTTCACCATCGCAATGGTAGCTGGTTGCGCACTCGAAGTCGTCGGATATGCTGGGCGCATTCGAGCATGGACTGACCTGTACACTGATGTGAGTCCACCATCTCCGGCGAGCTCACGCAGCATAGTCTAGCGCACAGAGAACTGACCTAAAGCAGGGTCCATTCCTTACACAGGTCGTCTGCCTCACCATTGCGCCTGCCTTTCTCGCTGCGGGTATCTACCTCTGCCTCTCACGTATCGTCACCATCTTCGGACGCGAGAATTCCCGCATCAGCGCACGCGCCTACCCGATCATTTTCATGAGTTGCGACTTCTTGTCACTCGTTCTCCAGGCTGCTGGTGGCGCTCTCGCCATAAACGAGACCAAAGATAGCACAGGTCCCCAGCTCGGAACCGATCTTATGGTTGCCGGTCTAGCCTTCCAAGTCTTTACCATGCTCACCTTCATTATCCTGGCTCTCGACTTCGCCATTCGCACTTTGGGTCGTATTCGCCAGCTTGGGTCCGCGAACGCTCTCGATCCTCGCCATGCCGCATTGCGCAAGAGCTGGGCTTTCAAAGGGTTCCTAACTGTCCTTTCTCTGGCGACGTTATTGATCTTCACTCGTTGTGTCTTCCGTGTTGCCGAGCTGAGCCACGGATGGCATGGACCTCTGATCCAGAAACAACACTACTTCATTGGACTCGAAAGTGCTATCGTCTGTGTCGCGGTACTCCTTCTCAACCTGTTCCATCCTAGCATCTGCTTCGGTGAGTCAGGTAACCCAGCCTCCAGACCTCGGGAGTCTCGCGCAAGGACGTGGTATGGACGCAAGGTGAAGGGCGTTAGTGAGCAGAGTAGCGCGGAAGAGTTGAAAGATCACGTGTAAGAAGGGAGGAGAAAGCGCGGACAAGTAGCTCATGTGTCTGTGCCAGTACGGCGTGAGAATGTGGCATCGAGTAGGGATATGACCTTCATGATCACTGGTGACTGCGAGATCATGCCAGGAGGATACCAACATTCAAAGTAGCAAAATTTTAGTGACATGCAAGACAGATGTAATACAAGCGTAGATCATACCCAAGTGCACTATTTGTTCGGTCTGTGAGTGACACTATGTAAAGGAATGACTAAAGATATAATTTCTGTCCGCTTCTCAAGAGACGGAATAAAAAGATATGAGATATTGAGATTAAGCATCTCATTGTCCAAAGCTGTGCACATTTGAGCATGTGAGTGTGTTGCCTAATCCAGCCAACTGCTCCTTCACTTTCGCGATACCATATTTCTGCCAGGAGCACCTCAGCACGCCTTGGGGCAACTTTTCGAACGCCGAAAAGCATCCTGGATCTCTGTGAGTATTCACAATTGCTGCGTTTGCAAGCTCACTTGAGCTCAACTTGCTCCCGGTCGCTCCTTCACCTCACCCGCTTCCGCCGCCGCCCCGCTTTTCGCCCGCAGTTACCTGGCTACGCAGTAGCCTGGCGACTCCAGCAGCTTCCCGCATAAAATAATTTTGCGCATGTAGCCTCCAGCCTGTTACCACAACCTCCACTCAACCACTTTTGGGCACAGCAAAGACCTCTTGTAGCCAACAGCACACATCAACACCTTCATCATGAACCAACCTGAAGATGTCGAGGTCATTCTCGGTCACAAGCGCCGCTACAAGTTCCACTCTGGAACATTGGCGCGCAACTCCACGCTCTTCGCAGACATGCTCACGGAGCCTAAAGCGGCCAAAATGAACAGCAAAGCTAAGCATGCGGGTATCAAGATCCGCTGGATGATCGAGTTGACCAGTCTGCCTACCGAGGAAAATCCCGCCGGCACACTCAGTCTTGTGGTATGTCCTGGGACAGTTTAACGTTCCTTCATATGCATGACCCGTCACTGACACATAGGCCTGAAGCAACTCGGCCCTAACGGTCAGCGCGATGATGGCCGTACTGGCATCGTCGTCAACGAGAACGGCCGCGTTCCTCGAGCTCAGGCGACTTTCGATCACTACGAGTCCATCTTCTACGCCTTCTACAACAAGGAACTCAAGATCGACAGCAATGACATGACGGCTGCGCTGGGAGACTGCTACCAACTCCTCCAAATCTCCGAGTACCTTGGATGTACTGGCGTCATCAGCAAGGGTATCGAGGTGTCTCTCTTCAACCATGGTCAAGAGCTGTACCGCGCCATCCAGAGCGCACCCAATCTATGGATCGAGATGGCGTACCGCATTCGCTCCGAGATGATGTTCAAGGAATGCATTATCCACCTCGTCGGCAACTGGAAAGTCATCAAGAACCGTCCCCGCATCAACGAGCACGTCCGCGCCGTCCCTGGCCTACGCGCCCTGATCGAGAAGTACCACCGCCAACTCCTCACCCAGTGCCGTAGTCTCGAGCTCGGCATCATGTCCTTGTACCCAGGCGAGATGAAAATGCCCAGCCCTGACATCCCCATCAAGCGCGAAGCCTACTCCAAAGACATCCTCGTGTGGATGGCACTCACCTTCTTCCGGCACTGGATCGGGCAGCGCCTCATTCTCGAGAAAGGCCGGCACTCGCTCGACTGCGGCTACGAGCTGTACAAGCAAATCGGCGAGGCCGGCGAGTCCTACATGGACAAATCCGTCATCAACCAATTCCACACGAAATTCCCCATGACGAAGAAAGCCATGAACGTTCTCGAGAACCACCTCCTGGAGATCAAGGAGTGCATGAAGGGCGTCGTCGACCAGCACAAAATCCTCAAGTCTCACTCCCAGCTCGAGACGTCAAAGTGGGATCGCGTGCACTATCTTACTTGCGTCGACTTCAAGGCTACCGACTATCCCTGGCTCAAAGACGACACGCCCGCCGCGCGTGTCGCGCCCGCGAAGCGCGAGTACAAGCCTGGTGGCAATGAGATTGCGCGCCAGAACCTTGAGACGGCGAAGCGCCACCAGGAGCGCAGCTTGAGCATCGAGGAGGACATGGACGACGATGAGTTTGCTGATGACGACGATTTGGATGAGGAGGAGGTGCCGGAGGTGGCGGCGAAGCGCGCGCGTGTTGGATAGCAACTAGCACCCAAGCCTGCTGAGCTGTGTCTGTGGGCGGGCGAGTTGTGCATTGCGCCGTGTCGGTGTCAGGAGGGGATTGAGGGACGGGTGGGGTAGGTGGTTTTGCGATCTATTACATAGTCTTTTTCCTGAGTTTCGGACAAAAATGGACGCTGGAGGGATGATTTGAGCGTGGAATAGATTGGGGTGAAATGTACTGAGGTAAGCCCTGCGGTTGCATTTGATAGGAATCTTTAACTTCTAATAAATGAGTTTTCGTGCTCCGTTATCCTGCGTTTGGACTGGATGTGAGGTTAGTATGCGAGAATCACGCGGTGCCAAGTGTTGACGGAAAGAAATTTGTTCTTTGTACAGTCGCTGCTGCGAAGGTGTTGTCCTCTTATGCACCGAATCCTCCTCCTTGGTTTGTAGTGTCCATGCTTGATATCATTGTCTCTGCTCTCTTCTCATCCCTCTCCCTATTCTCTCGCTCCATCTCGCCCATATCCTACTCGTCATCGAACCCCGTCGGCCTTGGTCGCGCTCCTTTGGGTACTACAGTTCGTCAGCCCTGATTTCCCAGAAATTCTCTCTCTCTCTCTATTCCACATTGGTAAACGTACTGGGATAAGTCATCGGAATCTTGGGCCTTTGCTCCTCACCGAGATACCTGCGAATCGGCGGGACCGTGAGCACCATGATAGGCCCTGTGCAGCCGACAATGATTGAGAAGAAGTATGCGGGCTTGTTGATGGAGGCCCATTTGAGGTAGCGCAGCGGCTGCTGGAAGAAGCGCGGGGAGGGGGGCACGGCGGACATTTTGATCTACTCAATTCGCGTCGATATGAGAGGGTGGGATTGGGAGGGAAAGGACAGGGTATGCGCACCTCGTACTTCTGGCGTCGGTGCCTCAATTGGCGGATCTTGGGGTTGATGTCGTTGGGGTTTGGACGTCGTCAAGTCGGCAGGCCAATCGGCGGCTACCGATTCTCCGGGCGCCGATGTGGTGTTGCGTGTCTTGGCAATTAGCATACGTCTCCCATACACGCCAGCGCTGGTCCGGCGAAACCAAGTAAACCAATTCCGTTCCTTCACTTTTACAACCACAAAGATGAGGTGGTTATTCTCTTCGGCGGCTGTGTTGGCGTGGACTGCGGTTGTGGCGGCGAAAAGCTTCACGGGCGACCGGTTGCTGGTTGTCCTGGAGGAGCAAAGTGAGAGGGAGAAGTACAGTGTGTTTTTGGAGGACTTGAGCTGTAAGTTGAGATTTTGTCTTCGCAGTGGGGTGGAATGTGGTTGGGAGCTTGCAGCATCAGGAGGAGTGCAATTGGTGTGTTGTGATGGTGTAGCTTGAGGCTACGTAAGCTTGCGACGAAGCTACAAGAGCTTGGGAATCAGCAATTCTTCGCGGTTCTGGCTACTTCAATTGCAAAGAATCAATGCTGATATCAAACTCCAGCTCGAGGATTCTCCGCGACAGTCGAATCACCAAAAGCCGACAAGCTCTCGCTCTTCCGCCACGGCGAGCGCGCATACGACCACGTCCTCGTCCTCCCCGGCAAGTCGAAAGGTCTCGGCCCTGCTTTGACCGCGAACAACTTCCTCGAGTTCTTGAAGAAGGAGGGAAACATTCTCGTCGCGCTTTCTAGCGAAGCTGTGACACCTACTGCGATTCAGTCGGCGCTACTTGAGCTGGACATTAGCATTCCGGCAGACAAGGGCGCGGTTGTGGTCGACCATTTCAACTACGACACATCGTCTGCAGCGGAAAAGCATGACGTTCTGCTCCTTCAGACACCCGGTGCGCTGAGACCAGATGTTAAGAACTACTTTGGAGGCGATGGTTATGTTGCGGTGCCACGCGCCGTCGCTCAGGTCCTCGGAAACGACTCGCCGCTTCTTTCGCCCATCCTACGCGCCCCGAGCACCGCCTACAGCTACAGCCCCAAGGACGAGGCTGAGGCTGTCGAGGATCCCTTCGCGGTCGGTCAGCAGTTGAACCTCATTTCAGCGATGCAGGCCAACAACGCCGCGCGTCTCACTGTTCTGGGTTCTGCCGAGCTTCTGCAGAATCAGTGGTTCGCCGAGAGCGCGAAACTCGCTGGCAAGTCGATTAAGACCGCCAACCGCGAATTCGCCAGCAAACTGTCCGCATGGGCTTTCAAGGAGACTGGTGTTTTGAAGGTTGGCAAGATCGTCCACTACCAAGACGAGGGCAAGAGCAAGAAGATGAACACCAGCCTCGCGATCCCCGAGAACAACCCGGGCATCTACCGCGTCAAGAGCGACGTTGTAAGTTTACCATCTACCCTTTATCGAATCCCCAAAAAGCTAACACCACCACAGCACTTCCAAGTCGAAATCTCCGAATACACCAACGACCACCTCTCGCCCTTCACCCCAGCCCCCACGGACAACATCCAGCTCGAATTCAGCATGCTCTCGCCCTTCCAGCGCCTGAACCTTTCACCCATCGCCCAAACCGCAAATTCCACTGTCTTCGGCGTCTCTTTCCGCACGCCCGACCAGCACGGCATCTTCAACTTCCGCATCAACTACCGCCGCCCGTTCCTCACCAACATCGACGAGAAGCGCCAGGTCACCGTGCGCCACTTTGCGCACGACGAGTGGCCGCGCAGCTGGCAGATTAGCGGCGCGTGGGTGTGGATTGGCGGCGTGTGGGTCACGGTCGCTGGGTGGCTGGCGTTTGTGGCCGTGTGGTTGTACAGCAAGCCCACGGAGAGGAGTGTTAAGAAGACGCAGTAGATGCGCTAGCAAGTGTGAAGATTTTTGAATGGACGGTACATTTACTCCTGGGAGCGATGCGTATGTATAACATGGGAGTTACTTTTTAAGCTTTTTGGCATGGGAATCGGTGGAAAAGCTATCGAGTTATGTAGAATGCAAGATGATCTGCCCCATGCTGAGGTCGATGGCGTGACAGCAATTATTCATGGAGATGCATGTGACGAAGCGTTGACATTTCTTCGTGCAAGTAATGGTCACCTCGGTCATTTTCAATATGATTCTGCCATACGCTATTTCTCGACGACCATTGTTCGCAGAGTATTGTCGTATCGCACAGAATGAGTGGCATATTTGCACAGATGACAATGCCGAATGATCAGTCATGTATGTGCCCTAGACAGTACAGAGTTGTAAGCCAGACTCACGCATAGACTGAGTCTTGTGTCGTCTTTGGGGAAACAGTGGCACTATCGTATTCAAAGATCAATGTCGCTGTGGACTTCGTGTAGCGATAATGAACGGGTCTACAAGCCATGCGCACCTTCAAATGAACTTGGCATGTCGGTGGATCTAGCAGTGTTGCATAGCCTTCTTGGGACTATTCGTACACCGAATTCAAATTGTTGTAAGAATGAAACGGGAGTTGAGAGCACAAATCAGCAGTTTCAAAGCTCGAGATTCTCGCCCTTGTGTCACGATTACGGTTCCAGTAGTTTGAACTGTACACATGCGCAATCATATCAGTTCCTTGTTCAGAGTTTGGACTCGCTGCCTGAAGCGTGGCTGCCGCATTCTCTACCTGCGCGGCTTGAAATAAGAGGTCCTTAGTGTCGCCCTGGCCACAGCCGGCGTGGGCGCCCGCCTGCGCAGATACACCTGTCTTATACTGGACCTGCTTACAGCGCTAACATGTACCATCCTAATAGGCTCACTCTCATGCCTGACGTACGCTTGCGTATCGGTATCGGTATCGGCCTCGGTCTGACTGCGGCGAAGCACAATAGCTGGGAGGTGATCTGGCTTCTCCTTGTAAATGCAGTAAAGCACGGCGAGAAAAAGGGGTGCCTCATTGGCGAGGTCAGATTTCGAATTCTTTATTTTCTGGATGGGCAGGTTAATTCGGATGCCTTTCGAGGTCAGAGCCGTTGGTTCGCCGCCACTGGGTAGTGTATGGAGTATACCGCGAGAGGCGACGAATTCACGCGGGTGCTGGGCGAAGAAGAATGTTCCTTTTCCGGGTGGCATATCAGTTCGAATAGAGGGACTCCATGCGAAGAGACTTTGATCCTCACTTGAGTTCAAAATCGCTTCTTGGAGACGGGCGAATGCCTTCTCACCCTCACCGTATAGAAGAGGCATATTTACGTCAAATATACCCCTATATTGCAAGCTAAATGTTAGCTGATTGTTCGTAAAATATCAAGATACTGGAATGAACTAACATCAGGCTGTACGCTATGTCTTCCGTCCTGACTGTTCTGCGATTCGCAGCCCAGCTCATTCGCTGTGCTACACTGAAGTGTTCTGGCCTGAAGTCGGTAAGACCGAGGCGATCAACCTTGGTAATGTTTGTTAGTTCTTCCAGGAGAGTTTCTTTGGTACCTAAGAACGTCCAGTCCGACGAATAGAACTTGAGCTGGGTGGACGCGATCATTTCCTGAAGTGTCCATCCTCTTGTGAACCATTTCGCTGTCTTGAGGGGTGTGTCAAAAACTGCAGAGGCTTCCGATTGGTAGATGTTGGGGTCTTCCGTCGCATGTGCCTCGATATCCTCTAGGTAGGCGTAACAGACTTGAGCATTCTCATACCATCGGAACATGCTGTTGATCGCCTCACTAAGCTCAGCAGAAGACGTCTTGTCAATGCAGCCTAATGCACCTCGATCAGCATTTACGAGCCGAGCCTTGGAGGCGATGCCGTACATGTATCCACCCAGACATAGGCGTAGCTATCTTGCAGAGTCTGGTAGCATGCCTTCAAGATCTTCGCGTAACCCAACATCAGCCTGATTCGTGTACCTGTAGTCTCATCTCCCGTGTACGCATCTTCAAAATGCTGGAGAGTGACCTCCTCAGCTGCCCATGTGTGAGATAGGATAGCGTAAGGTGGTATTCTAGTGTCATCGTCGAAGCGCTCGAGCTGCAGCGTTGCAGCGTTGATTAGACGCATGATTTCCGAGGAAAGAATGGTACATGAAACCGGCGCTAGATTAGTGCCGAGGAAACGAAAGTGTGGAGAGTGTAGTGAGGATGGTCATCCTGGAACGAATTGATTACACGTCAACAAGGCTGCATGAGGATGGCCGCCTGGATGTAAGCAGGCCCAAGATGGCGCGTCGCATGTCGATATACTTGAGAGATCATGTCATGAGTTGTAGTACATTGTCACAATAGCAGCGCTCCTGTCGCATGTGAGGCTGAAAGAGCCATGTCGAAAGGGATGATATTGATGTTGACATTGACGTCAATTTGCAGTATAGAAGGTGCAACTACCGACAATGCTTCACCAGCCAGGATCATGGTGAGCGACCATCACCGGATCAAACAGACCGGTGCACTGAGTCGCCAAAAACGGCTCGCAGGATTCAAATTACCATGTCACAGACGCGGACGTGTATCGCCTGTTTCAATGTTTGCAACAGATTAATCGGTCCGAGCCCTTCACGTGACCAAAGATGACGCGGCTGCGGATTACAAGGCTGGGCATTGCCTCTTTGTCCCCCATGAACCTTCTTTCGTTTTTCAGACCCTTATAACCTTCTCGAATACCCTGTTTTAGTTCTTTCATATGCACATGATGAGTCTCAGCAAGCTGGGCGTTTTCGCAAACCTGGCGCTGGCAGCCAGCGCTGTTCTTCTACCACCTACTATTACCGCGGCGGATCTGGAGGATGACCACGTCTTTGAGGGACTCGTGGTTGATCCATTTGCGCGCTCGGCGGCCTTGGAATGTCCGACTTGCGCCGTAGCATCGTGGGACCCTGAACAGGACAAGATGTCTTGGAAGGAGAATGCGGGAAACACTTTCGTAAGTAGCTTGCCACCAAGTCGCAGCTGAAGTGGAGATGCACATCAGCCTTGTCGACTTGCGCATGCGAAGATGCGATACTAACGTTCTATAGCACGTCCAATTCCAGATTGGTGGTGACAAAGACACCCTCAAGACGAACGACTACCAGCTATTCCCACCGAGTATGAACCAAGGCTTCCCGTCATTCTATGTCGTCCAGAATGACCCCGTCACCGAGGAACCTATGCGCCTTCTGGTCACCAGCTACACATTCCGCTACAATGGCGCCCAGACGGTGTCGGAAGAGGGCACCGAGCTCCTTCCCATGACGATGCAGATCTCGTCAGTCGAAGGCGTGGATGTCAACCCACCCGTCCTCACCATCAACGTCCTCAAGGACACCAGCGGCCGCCTCATGATCGCATCCTTCGACACCACGGAAGTCTCCGACGCGCCGCTTGAGGAGGCCCTATCGCAAGACACAAACTGCAACGAGTGGCCGCTCCTGTGCAAGTGGAAGGGCATCGTTGCCGAGCGCATCGAGAAGATGAAGAAGATGGGCAAGGGCTGCCACAAGCGACCCCACAACCCGATGGCGGAGGAGACCTTCCACGGCAAGCCACCGCATAGGTTCCGCCCTGGTCACGGACACCCGCATCACCAACCCGAGCACATGAGCCATGGCCACCATCACCACGAGCACATGCATGTGTTTGCCCGCCGCGCGTTCTTCACCATCTTCATCCCCATTGTCGTGGGCATCTTCGCTGGAACCGTCACCTACCTGGTCGGTATGGTTCTCGGCACGATGATTGCGATTCTCATCGCGAGGATCCGGGGCCAGGAGTACCAGCCCATCGCTCTCGGCGAGGAGGATGTGGAAGAAGGTCGTGTCGAGGAAGAAACGGATGTGAAGACCGAGAAGCAGGACTACGCCGAATTGCCGGCGTACGACGCTCCTCCAGTTTACGAGGAAGCGACTGGCGAGGAGGTTGACGAGTCGAAGTAGATGAACACGGGGGATATGGTGGGCGGGGTCGGATGATTCAGGCCCTGCACGCCTCTTGTCTGGATAGCTACAGCAGCTTTGGAAGTAGATAGTATGCATTCTAGAAGTCATCATACGCGACAATGATTTCATTAGTGTTTAAGCAAATATTGATATGAGTTTTCCGACTACTTTTCTGATATGTGTTTATCGGGTGACTTTCAATGTTCAAATGCAAGACCCAACAACACTCGGTATGGCTCTGTGATTTTCAGAGAGTAGAAGCGGTACATATGCTCAATTTAGGCTGCAGGACCAAGGTGCAAACCTCGAAGTGTCGCGTCTCTGCCACAGTGAGACGACCAGTCTTCCACTTCCACCCGATGAAAGTAACCCACTGAGGTCGGAACCCGCTGCAACAAAGTATTGCAGTAATTCTTCCGAGACGTAACTAGAGTCGTACATGCTGCTTGTGTCAACTGCCTGCGCAGACAATGGTGCAGTTTGACATTGCTGCAGACCGCCTTGACGTGAAGTCGCGACTGGAAGACGACTCTTACGCGTGCAGGCTCGAGCTGGGTGCTCCGAGATATCTGAAGAGTACTGAAATGGACCTGATTGTACGCAGACCGATCTACTTCTATTTCACACAGATGCACAAGCATCCGACGCGTTCTTGCAGCACAATCGCGAACGCAGAAGCTGGTGTTGGTCGCAAGCCCCGGTTTGAAGTTCCCGCACGGACCCACTGCCACGCGATCCCTTTGATCTGGGGGCCAGGCGCGCCTAACAACAGCATCTGCTTTCGAGTGGCAGCTTTCCACGACTTTTGGTTTTCTTGCTGGCCGCAGCGGTCCTGGCTTTGATTTTCCTCGTTCTTGCTCCGCGTTTCTGCCTGCCGCCCAACGCAGCTTAGCGCGGTGATCTTGCGAGCGCGCCTCCCAGCTATTTAGGCCTCGCGCCGCCCGCGCCTTTTATTCGCTTTTCTTCTTTCTTTCTCGCTCTTACACGTCTATCCTCACCGCAACTGGGTTTACAAAAGACTTTCCATCCACTACACATCAACCCACTAACACCCTAGCAAATATGACTGGTCGTAAGTACTATCTTGCTTTCTTCGATTCTTGTTTGTCATCGCGTGTGCAGCGATGGTGTTGGGGTGCCGCCACTGCGCGATCATCTTGCATGCCGCGCTTGGTGTTGTTCAGCCTCAACGCGTCGCCCCACCTTTACACATCGCGACATCAGCATACCACCACGCATCCCTCCTCTACCTCGATGCACGATGCTAACTCCTCTCTCCAGGCGGCAAAGGTGGCAAGGGTCTCGGCAAGGGCGGCGCCAAGCGTCACCGCAAGATTCTTCGTGACAACATCCAGGGTATCACCAAGCCCGCCATCCGTCGTCTCGCTCGTCGTGGCGGTGTCAAGCGTATCTCTGCCAGTAAGTCCTTCTCAACCTCACTGCCGCTATCCCATATTCTAACAACCTCCCAGTGATCTACGAAGAGACCCGTGGTGTCCTCAAGACGTTCCTCGAGAGTGTGATCCGCGACGCCGTCACCTACACCGAGCACGCCAAGCGCAAGACCGTCACCTCCCTCGACGTCGTCTACGCGCTCAAGCGCCAGGGCCGTACCCTCTACGGTTTCGGTGGTTAAGCTTCTTCTCTCACGAATCGTGCGCGCCTGCGACACATTGTTCATGGGTATGATTTGGGAATAACGGATGTAACGGCGTTATTGTTTCATGGGCGGTCTGGATATGATTCCAAAGTCGATATGAGGCTTTTCAGCTATCGAAACGGCTAGTATATAGTCGAATGCATACACGTTCTATGCACCAGCTGTTGACTATTGAGTGCCTTGTGACTGATGCGTGACGAGAGACGCTTACCTGTTTGCCTTGAAATACGTCTAATGACTGCACGGTCCGGCGAGCGAACAACCAGACGACAAATGGGTCGTATACGTGAGCGTCACTAGACTTCGAGACCCTGATACTTGAACTGGCTCTGACAGTTTTGACAGGACTAGTCGTCGACAACTTCCATCACCTTTTAGGCCACCAGCGCCAACGCCTTTCTATCGGATGCAGTGTTCCGCAGATGCACCGCCAAACCACCGCGCATCCCCACAGTACCTCAGCCTCAATTACCATTTCCACGTCCCGCCGTGTTGGGATCAGCAACGGAGTTACTAAATGAAAAAGATTTACTCGCGAGCGATGAGGCCATCAACAACGTCAGGGAGCTCCCGGGATCCGACGTCCCACCGAAGGTCCTCTAAACATAGGTATACTTCGCGCAATGCACTCAATCCAGCCTAACACTCACCACTCAGCCTCTCGTCGCGGCACGCCTTGTCGATCTACCATGCGACGACCACCCATCAAATCTCACAAGAAAGAGGAAGCTTTGCCAGACTAGAAAAACGTGTATATAAGAACACCTACCAAGCAGTAATGGATTGTGTCTCATCATCATCATCATCATCATCATCATCATCTTCTTCTCCTTCCCCCATCCATCCACCCCAATCAGAACAATGCGCACCTCCATCCTCCTCCCCTCGCTCCTAGCGACCTTCGCCTCCGCCGTCTGCCCCGGCGCCAACTTCGCCGTCGGCAACGTGCAAACCACCGGCGACACGTCCACCTGGAACGTGTACGACTCCCAATGCAACGTCGTCGAGAGCCTGGTTACCAAGGAGAATCCGTGCACGAGCGGCATGTTTGGGTGCGTTGGCGGCACGTTTAGGCAGTACACGAATTCGGCGTCGAAGCTCATGTACGTTTGACGAGCAGTGGAAGTAGAGGTGATGCTGGTGCTGTTGCTGATGCGTATAGATATGATTGCCGCAAGGTGTATGATGGACAGGCGTGTGGGGCGAATACAATTGACGTTTGTGTAAGTGGCTTGATTGGGAGTTGGGGTTTGGGATGTGGATGTGGATGCTAATGAGTGGTTGTAGTGCCGGAATGATGGGAAGAAGTTTACGACGATTGTGGATTTCAAGAGGGCGGAGGCTACGCCTGTAGCTTGAGATTTGGGGGTTTAGAAAATGTGGGCTTATACTTGTTTATACCTTTGAAGTAATAGATGCTTCGTCAAGAACATGTGCTAAGACACTATGGAATGTAAATCTGTCTTCGCATTTTATTTTGGGGTTCGCTGCTGCTCAATTATGACCCTAGTGTGGGTGTGAAATTCACATGCTGAACCACATTTCTGTCTCTGACAGACTGTCATTTTTACTGCTCTCCCATTCTCTTGCCTTCTCCCAACCATGATAACGTCTTCACACTCACAGACAGTCATAGAAGTATTCGACTCCATGTATATACCCGTAGATATGCCGCGCCCCTCCCGCAGCATCGACCCCACTTTCCGCCATCGGTTCGCGACTGCCTATCTCGTACAGCTATCGCATACCCAGCCAATGACGTGCATTCAAGATAAGATGCTGCACGCGACTATCTCTGATGGGACATGCATTGCAGTAGTTTATGCTTGCCTATCTTCCGATGGCGCAGTGTAACGGCTGCTTGTCATGTCGATACCTGGGAATTGAGATAATGCAGGGCAAGTGTGGAGGTGTACTTATACATCCATGAGACTGTCACGTCACGCCTACTGTGTTTTCGACTGGCTTTGAAAGATTGCGGTTTCTCTAGGAAGCAATATGGCGTCCAGTCCTGTTTCTGACCCGGAGAAGAAGGTGGCGGTGGTTGATAGCGATGATGAAGTCCTTGCGCAGCTTGGGTATACGCAGGGTAAGTGGAATCATGTCTTGAGGGTTGTTTTGGACAGAGTACTGATATGATGGTGTTGAAGAACTCAAGAGGAGCTTTGGACTGCTGGGCATGGTCGGCTTCTCATTCAGCATTGTCACGTCTTGGACTGCGCTTTCGGGGGTGCTTATTATTGGGGTCGAGTCTGGTGGGCCGCCTGTAATGGTATGGGGCTGGCTCGGAGTCTGTCTTGTAACTTTGGCTGTGGCATATTCGATGGCGGAGATGTGTAGCGCGTAGGTCTCCAAGTTCACGGAATGCATGAGAGTACTCTGACCGACTTGAACAGATATCCGGTCGCTGGTGGACAGTATAGTTGGGTTGCTATCCTTGCACCTAGCAGCGTCGCCAGGCCCTTTAGCTACATCTGTGGCTGGTTCATGCTGATTGGCATTATCTGTATGGGTGCAGTCAATAATTTTGTTGCCACCAATTTTGTCCTCGGAACTGCGCAGCTCAACTACGGCTTCACGATTGAGCGATGGCACACTGTCCTCATAGCCTACCTGATCACGGTGATCGCAGCTCTTTCCAACATCTACTTGCCGCACATCCTCAACAAACTCTCTAAAGCGATCTTCATCTGGAATCTTCTCTCCTTCGCTGTATGTCTCATCACCATTTTGGCCACCAACGACCACAAGCAGTCCGCCAAGTACGTCTTCAGCGACTTTGAGAACTTCACAGGCTGGAACGCACCATACGCAGCCTGTCTGGGCATTCTACAAGGCGCCTTCGGCATGTGCTGCTACGATGCGCCTGCACACATGACGGAAGAAATCAAGAATGCCCGCAAGCAAGCGCCGCGCGCCATCATCATGGCAGTCTACATCGGCTTTTTCACGGGCTTCATCTGGTTGATTGCACTCTGCTTCTGCATCGGCGACCTCGAGGCGACAGGAAGCACTCCAACTGGCGTACCAGTGATTGAGATCATCTTCAATTCTACAAATAACATCGCCGGGACGTCTACACTAGCTTCGATGATAGCTATTATTGCCACTGTCTGCGCCAATTCGCTGATGGCAGAGGGTTCGCGGGCAGTGTATGCTTTTGCTCGCGATAATGGGCTGCCATTCTCTGAGACACTGAGCAAGGTGTCGAGTAGGAGTGTGCCGGTCTATGCTGTCATTCTCACAGCAGTTGTTCAGATGGCATTTAATTCCATCTACTTCGGCACGACAACGGGGTTCAACACGATCATCGCCATTGCAACGCAGGGCTTCTGTAAGGGCTCTGCATCTCCCGTCACTGCACTGCTAAATCGTGATAGATCTGTCCTACCTCATGCCCCTCCTTTCCCGCATTCTCGCACACTTTTCCGGCAAGAAGACGCGTCTCGAAGGGCCGTATTCACTGGGGAAATGGGGCATCGTCCTCAACATCATCGGCTTCATATACCTTGCTTTCATATGCATCATTGCTAACCTGCCTTCTGTTACACCGGTGGACAGCGAGAACATGAACTACACTAGTGCTGCTACTGGGCTGGTGATGTTGGTTAGTTTGGTGTTTTGGATGACTACGGGGAGGAAGAAGTTCACTGGGCCGGAGGATGGCAATCTACTGCAGGAGAGTAGGCCGGTGGCTTAAGGGTTATGGTGGATGTATCCAAGGGTTTGATGAAGGCTGAATGTGAGTACTTGAGTATATCTCGGAGGTGTTCTGTACCTCCTTACCATCCTGTCTACGATCTGGGGAGCTGCGTGTAGATTCAGGCTGATGGTTCATCTGTACCGCTATATATCAGCCTGGCGACTACGAAGCACTCAAGTCAGCTATGCTTGTCATTCCGAACATGTTTGATGCTCCTTCACCTGGCCGTGCCCTTTCACCTCGAGTTCACCAAGACTTTGATGCCGCTCCCCCGCTATTGTCTTCATTCCAAGGTGAATGAGGACACACAATAATAGCAGCAGCCTCCGTCACTAGATACATAAGCCATACTCCATCGCCATTACACTGCTCCTGCTCTTTTCCCTTCAACTCCCTCTCCATACCACCCTCCACCACACCCCACGACCCCGGACGAAATGTCCATCTTCACCAAGACCACCGACTTTGCCTTCACGGGCGGGGCTCTGCCCAACAACCTCGCCTTCAAGGGCTCAGCACAGCAGCAGGTCGAGGATGCGGAGGTGCGAGGTGCGCAGCTGGAGCTGCAGCTAGAGACGGCGCTAGGCCAGAACCGGCTCCTTAGCGCGGAGCTGGTCAAAGCCAAAGACCTCGCTCGAAGCGCTTTCAGGCAATTGCGCACCTCGGGTGCACCTTCTCTCCAACAAGAGAAGAACATGGCCGACAACAGCAGCACCTTTGACAAGCTGCAGGAGCTCGAGCAGAAGGTCGAGGACCTGCAAAAGAAGGACGCCGAGGCCTCCAAGGTCATCGAGCAGTACGAGGGTGACCTCATCCGCAAGGCTGGCGCGATCAAAGAGCGGTCGTCGGAGCTCAGCAAGGCCCAGGAGGAGCTGAAGAAGGCCAGGCAGCATCTTGAGGACACCAAGAAGGCGCACGAGGGCGACCTTGAGCGCCTGAACGGCGACTACGAGAAGCTCGCCAAGGCCAACGAGAAGCTGCAGCGCGACGTCGACGACCACAAGGCCAATGCCACGCACAACGAGTCGATCCTCGCCCGCGCCTATGCCGACCAGGAGAACATCCGCGCCGCCTACAACGCCCTCACCCGCACCAAAGATGACGCCGAGGCCCAGACGCTCGACCTGCAGATGCGCTACGACAGCCTGTACGAGCAGTGGCAGGAAGACCGCAGCAAGATCGACGACCTCGAGAGCCGCGTCGAGCTGGCCGTCACGCTGCAGGAGTCTGTCGAGAACCTCAAGGCCGACCTCGCATACCGCGACGAGCAGATCCGCCAGTACCCCCACATGCTGCTGGTCAAGGACGAGCGCATCGCCAGCCTCGAGCTGCAGTACCAGAAGGAGCGCGAGCGCAACATGCACGCCGCCGATGCCGCTGCCAAAGCCACTCTTGCTGCAGCCACCTCGCACAACAACGAGGCCCCGCCCGCACTTGGCGATCTCGGAACGTCGCTGGCTGACGAGCTGTCTGACTGGAACGAGGACGACTTCAACGACCACGAATCCGACACGCATGAGGTGCCTGAGAACGAGCTGTCTCCGGTGTCTGTGATTGAGACCGCGCCTATTGCGCCTCCCGGCCAGCGCCTCAGCATCGACCAGACAGAGAGCGTTAGTGTGGTACCGGTTGCTGTTCCGTCCCAGCGCTTGAGCCTTGGTGCCTTCAAGACCACCAGCACTTCACCCATCGACGTACCAGCCCAGCACTTGAGCATCGGTGCGAGTGAGGAGTATTTCAGTGTGTCGCCCGTCGGCGTTCCAATCCCAGCGCTTGAGCATCGGTGCAAATGAGGCCACCAGCACCTCACCCATTGAGGTTCCGACCCCAGCGCTTGAGCACCAGTGCAAGTGAGGAGTACTTCAGCGTGTCGCCTGTCGAAGTTCCAACCCAGCGCTTGAGCATCGGTGCCTTTGAGACCACTGGCACTTCACCTATCGAGGTTCCGACCCAGCGCCTCAGCACCGATGCCAGCGAGTACTTCAGCATGTCACCCATCGATATCGTTGCTCCCCCTCACACCCTCGGCGCCGTCGATGAGATCAACAACATTTCACCAATCGAAGTTGTTGAAGCGTCTGCTCCCACCCTTACTCTCAGCATCAACGAGGCTGCATCAGTTACACCCATCGAACGCGCAATTACGTTCGCCAGCACTTCGATGCAGACAGACCTTCAGGATCTCACCGCAGAGATTGTGGATGCTGCATCCGTCATCACCACACCTGTTGCACCCGCGGTTGTCGCTAGCACCACGACTTCCACTCAGACCGAGACTCCTCGGCTGACCTCAAGCATCGTCGATACCGCGTCTGTTACTGTACAGCCGACTGTGCCAGCCTCCAACCATGATCTCGCACCCATCACGACGCTTCACGAATCAGCGCCCATCCAGGCCCGTCATGCGACGAGAGCGACAAGCGGCATCAGCTCCATCACCGTCACACATGACTGTATCCCTGTCGAGGTCTGCTCCCCCTCACCTACAACCACTACCGCTAGCGTCCAGACTTTCGAGGCCTCAGCACCTGAAGATCAGACCGACTTGGTGGAAGACCAGGCTCGCGTGATCGAAGATAAGGACCGTACCATCGAAGACCTGAGGCGCATCATTGACGAGCCTCACATCACCGAGGAGCAGCCCCACGTCATTTCACAATTGCACCGCAATACCCAGAACGTCAAGCCCAACACGACCAGCTTCTCGCAAGTCATTTATTTCATCGCTGCTCTTGTCTCCTTCCTGGCCGTGTGGCAGTGGATGAAGGTCAAAGCCTGGGAGACAGCCAACGGCTACACTTCCAGCAGTGGCAGCTCCTACAACACCGGCGGCGCGTACGGCAACGGGCGTCACCTCCTTGGCATCCCGCTTGCGCAGGACATTGGTGCCTACTGGTGGACCGAGCAGATTGCAAACATCGCTAGCAGAGCCATTGCTGGCTACGAGAAATGGGCTGGCATTGAGTATGTGGCCACATACTGAGCGCGCATGATTCAAGATTGCTATGATGGATGATGGATGAGATTTACGGACGCGACACGACACCAAGGATATGAATGGCGTTTTTTCTTTTTTTTGTTTGCTGCGATGACAAGATTGATCTTTTTTGTCTTGACTTCTTTGCTGCATTCGACTGCACTGCACTGCGAAGGCGTTATGGGATGATGGCAACGATACCCTCAGATACCCCCCGAGTTCTGCAAGCTTCCTTTCTTTGCGACACAGGAAGCGTTTACTGCGATATGCCTCACTGCGAACGAGCTGCGAGTTTTGCCTACCATACGATTCAACGAGATAGACATACTAGACTATACCCAACCCAATCCAAAAGCTTCTTCCACACCCACAAGCACCTCTTTTCTTGACGCACTGCACTGTGACAATGTAACCCACCATCTTCAAAACTCCAGAGCTCGAAACTAAAGCCACTGATAAAATGTTCGCGCAAATCCTCGCTCCAACCAACCTGACACGAGCCAGCCTCAAACCTTCCAGCCCTCTGGTAAGCTTTCACCGTTCCTTTGGGCACCAACACACGCGCGCGCGCAGAAACTATAACGCCACAGATGCAAATAATGCCAAACTTTAAACTTTTGCAAAGCCACAGGGTGTAGATCATCAAGCAACTACAATCAAAGTACCGCGCCGGCCCTCGCCCTCTGACAGTGTGAGTACCGAGACGATCAGTGCGTGGGTGGTGATGTCAAGCGCCCCGGAGACGGAGACGTCCGCACTCCGCGCTGCGCTCCGCGGGGCGAACGTGGACAGGGACCTTTTGGATCTCGGGTCCGGATCGTGTGGATTGGGCTCTGGAAGGCTGGACTCTGGGAATGGTTTGGGAAATTGAGATGTTGCTCTTGGCGCCCGTGGAAGTAGTGGTATTGAAGCGGCGGGGAAGAAAGACGCGCAACACGGGACTAAGCGAGGTATTCATAAGTTGGTTCCAGCTCGTAATACATGTCATTTTCTCTGCGTGCAGCTTCGGTTAAGTTGTCGGGAGTATGGAAGCTGGTAGGGTCAGGAAGACGGGGCTTGTCGTTGTGTCGGAGGCAGTGCTTCCATCCGACCATTTTCACGCTAGACGCAAGTTTGGGAGCGGAGAGTGGAGTCGGAGACGAGTCCGCTCGTGAATAAGCTGGATGAGGGGATCAAGCGCGACTATGACGAATCGTGCTCGACTTCATGTCAATTGAAGCGTTCCGCGGGTTTTCACGAAATACACTCCTGGAAGTTTGAGCCAAGTAGGAGAAGCAAAGATGAGTGCCACCAAACCGCCGAATGATATCATTTTGTATACGTATGCTTTCTCGCCGTTTGGGAAGCGCGTGGCTGCGTATTTGGCGCTGAGGGGCGTCGGGTATGGATTATGCGTATGTTTCGGTGTATACTATTCATGCGTTGTGAGGGTCAGGCTGATAAGGATGGCATGTAGGAACAACCCTTTACGATGCCACGTCCGGATCTGGCGCTGCTTCCTGTGCAATACCGCCGCATCCCTATTCTCACTATCGGGTCGGATGTATATCTCGACACGAGGCTGATTCTGCGCGCGCTTGAAGCGCATCCTGGACTCACGGGCGCACCGCTCGGCGCCTCGAAACCTGCAGATAAGTTCGTGGGGCAGTTAATTGAGAAATACATTGTTGAAGGGCCGGTGTTTGGCATGGCAGCGGGACTAGTGCCCGTGAAAATGGCGCATGAACCGACGTTCTTCAAAGACAGACAGGGAATGCTGGGAAGGAATTGGAGTAAGGAAGAGCTGGAGGGCGGGTATGCAGAGTGTTTGAACTACATCAGAAACATGGTGTCGTTCTTTGAGGAGACAATCATGGCGGATGGCAGGAGCTGGGTGTTTGGCGAAGAAGGACCAAAGTTGGCAGACATTAATGGTGAGTCTGCATTTTCCTCGATAATGTTCCGCAAGTGTGCCCCAACTGTGGTTGCACGACAGGCGCAATTGCTGAGTGGCCGCTGAGCGCCGTCGATCGATCAGTCAGCGTCTCATATGCTGTGAGCCGTCGTGAAGGCGAAGGCTGTACCACATTCCTATTCTGGCCTATATCAATGTCAGCTGTGCTAGTACTGTCACTAGTCAGCATGGTAGTCCTGGCTAACACTACACAGCACTATTCATGCTCGACTTCGCGGCTGGTCTGCAGCTTCCAGAAGACTTTATTTCGGCAAAACTCTACCCAAAGGTCTTCGCCTGGTTCGATAGATACCGCGGCGGCCGTCGATACAGCAAAGTCGAATGCGCCCCGACCCTACAGCGCTCGACGGCGAAGCTGCGGCGGCTTTCGTCCCATTCATCCGGATCAGCGTCTGCCCACGTCTCAGTAGATGCGAAGGACCCTACAGGTCTCAAGCACGGAGCCGAAGTCGAAGTCTATGCAGCTGACTGGGGGACTGAGTATAGAGACCGCGGAAGACTTGTGGGACTGACTCCAGACGAGGTAACGATAGCTGTGAAGACGAAAGGAAAAGCCGAAATTCGCGTACATGCGCCGCGCACAGGGTTCAAGATCAGGGAGATATGAGACAGATTGAGGCTGCCACGAACGGTGTATGGGCACAGCATAGTGCAGGTCTAGACGATTTTGGATATGCGTGGTAGTGCAAGCCACTGCTAGACTTGGGCACCGCAATGTAGTCGTAAGCACCATCGGGTGGTTGCAGCTCTCGTGCCAGGGAAACACGTGCTCGGTGCCTGACAAGATTGTGACCCGTCATGAAGTGCTGCATAAGGAAGTACTGTCGGCCAGATAGCAAATGGCATCCAGCTAATAGGCAGAGGCCACGAGGTGCAAAACAAAAGTCGAGGCCGGGGCGGAAGGGTGGCTTCCTATAGGCAGCGGTGTGAAAAAGCACACCGCAGATGCGGCAAACTTGGAGCACAAGGCTGGTACCGGTGAGGCCAATAGCGGCTCCCAAGACGTGCTCTTATTGAAATACCGAGCTGCGCTGTCTCCTCGCGCATGCCTGAGAGGTCGAGACCATGCAACTGTGCCCAAGCAGGCAAGCTTCTCGTCTATCGTCGGCATCGCAGCACGACTCAGGCGAGTGTCGCGGCCGTCATAGCGTGGTGTCGTGAAAGAGAGAGTCGGTGAGAAGCGTCGACTGGTCTGACAGAAAGCGTCGCCATCTGACCACACCACCTGTCCCGAAGAGACGGCCGCACAACGTCACTCAACGGAAGCGTCAGTACTGTAAGGGCCTTGATCGCTGTTGGGGGATGCAGGGTCGTTAGGCGTCAGCGTGGTATCGGACGGTTTTTTACAATGTGTACCGCCAAGGCTCGGCTAGCTCCATGCAGCACGCTCCTCGGGCAGGCTGCGGCCAGTGACTCCGGTTCTTTGCCACGGCTCCTACCGCCACGGTGTTTTCTATTCTCTTTGTGGCTCTGAGGCGATCGATCCGCCGTTCCTAACGGTACTCGAACTGGTTACAGCAATGGCCCCTACGTAATGCGGTCGCAGCGAGGGGGCGTGCAGCAGGGCTCTGGCTGGGCACCTTCGCAGGTTGGTGCCCAACGGCGCCACCACTGGCGGGCGTCCCCACAGTTTGCAGCCCACCTGAGCTGCAGCAAGGTGCGGTGGTACCCAAGTCGCGCGCCAGCTCGAGCTGTTCTTTTCTATGGGGACCTGAGGCCGCGGGCGTTGTCGCGTACGTCAAAATAAGACCTTCGGGCGCCTTCGGTAACAAGCACTTTTCTTCCTTCCTCCTCCCTCTGCTGCTGTTGCTGCTCCATCGCACGCTTCATCACCCTAGGTCGACCCGCCCCATCACCCCAACTCACGTTGCTGTGTGACTTCACCATCACTTCGCTGCACCTCGCCTGTGTCGTCGACTTGCTGCCCGACCGATTGACGTGCAGACGCCCGTCGCTGCCTAGCCAATCGTGAACCCGCCACATCTGCAGCCGGCCACCCAGTCTCCCGCTGACCTCAACTGCGTTGCAAAAGAGCCGCATACGTTGAGCACCAGCAGGTACTTCATCCGTCGCCTATACTGCGACTGTTTGCCCGTGAGCGCGCGACACAGTAGTACCGTATACTTTCTAGTAACCTGTCGGACCACGACAGTGGAGTTTGCGCCCCCCCACCAAGGACACTGCACCATCTAGAGGCTATCCTTGCCCTCGGAGTCCCAAAGAAGGCCGCCGCAGCCACACGCTCGAGGATTTCTCTGTCACAGACCAGCCCCCAAGTGCCGGTATATTGGTCAGGACCCCCGCCTTTGCCTGCTGCTCCTGCTTTTGCGCTTCTTTCTGGAACTACTCTGGACATCTGAAGCCCTCAGACACCAAAGGATCCTGTTTTTTTCACCCGTGCTGACGGTTAAGATTCTGGAGCATTAGCCTAGAACCTAAAGCCCCCTCAATCTTCCATTTAGCTCCCGTAGCTTGGCCCATCCGGACACTGACATCAGTGTCATCTTTCTTTCCGTCTCCTTCCTGCACACCTCTCCATCGCCATGTCGCGCGCGAATCAATGGTTTGTGCCGGGCGACGGCATTGCTCGAGAGGTCATTACGGCCGACATCCAGCGCTACCTTGGCCCAGACGCGCTGGTGAGGCCTGGCGTAGGCACTGGAGAGTACCAGGTCCGGATCACTTCCCCCGCCTCACTCTGCACTTTTACTGACAACGATATAGGGCCAGCCTGGCTACTGGATTACTGCATACCGAACCCTGACATCGCAGATGATTCAGGATCTGAAGATGGACTCACAGCGTTGGCAACAGGAACGGCAACCGGGCGAGGCTGGACGTGGAGGTAGTCACAGTCCTTATGTGCGAGATACTAAGGTATCCGGAGGCCCTAACGCTTCTTTAGTAGCATACCAGGACTCCCGAACACATGCTGCCCGCCAGCATTGGGGTCCTTCTAAACCGTTCGACCAGTCGGCGGCGGAGCCTGCCTATGAACAGCCAGCTCGTCAGTCGACATCGTCAAGAACGGCGTACACGTCGCCGAGCTATGCTGGCAGTGCTACTCATGACTCCCATTACACTACCACCCCAACAGCCCCATCTTATGGATCTTCGCATTCCGCGTACTCTGCTGCCCCTGCCTCGGCCGCACCAAGGACACAGCCAGCGGACCCATATTCGGCCTACCAGCAGCCCGCTGGTGGCCGGGACCCATACTCACAGGGCTCATACTCGTCCTATCCGGCCCACTCCCAGTCGGATCCATACGCCGCCCATGGACGTTCAACTGCATCCACCGCGGGCCCCTATGCCACCCCAAGGTATTTTGGATATTTCGACGAACAATATTTGGTCTATCGCTAAGCCCCAGTAGTGCCACACCTGCTCCAGGTTACTATATCGCGTCCGATGGTCGCCGTAAGTGATGGATTCCATTCGTCTCCAAACTCGTGTTCGCCCACTAACATCGCCATCCATAGAATACCCACTGTCGCAACAGCCACAGTCTTCGAGAAATCCTCAGTCTGGATCTTCAAAACGATACTAGTATACTCGCTGTCAATTGCTTTTCTCTGCTGTATGGAGTTCTTACCAGCCTGGCATTACTTCACCTCTTGCTTTTTTGCAACCCTGGGATACCCCTCGTCTGGTGTCTGGAAGGCGCGTCTCGATTCTGGCCACTTAATACTTTTAATGGACCGAGCTCATGACCCAAAGGATCACCTAGACCATCTCCGCGCATTGGTAAAATGCTAAACTGGCCCACAATGGATGGTTGCTCCTCCCAGCACCTGGAACTGGATCCGCACCCAGGACCTATTCTACTCTCATGAGCCATGGTTTTTCATTCTATCGCTTGTCTTTGAATAGGGATGTGTCACAACTTTGTTTCCGTGCCAGGGTTAGCAGTTTTTCCTTATCCGTTTCCGACTTTGCTGGGAGCATCGACTTGAACGTAGTATTCTCTTCTGAAAAGCCTATTGGCTTGTGGACGAAAGTATGTTTCACGTGCACGGGTGGCACCGAGTTGATGTTGACTCGTAGTCCGCCGTCCACGATCTTGATGATCTACCCTGACGCTCACCATATGGCTTGACCATTCCGGTGCACTGGATGTCTTTCTCCTCCGAATGTATATACCCTTTCACGACGATTTCCATTTTCACGAGAGCATGTCCGATGACTGGGATGGTCACTCAATTGTCACACATTGCCCACAAAAGGGACCTAGGACAGCGAATGAAACCACTTAATGCAACGAAGACTCATAGATACCTTTGATTGACGCTTCACAGATCACGTTAGACGTCGGTTCCAGGCATGCGGGTTCCCTGCTGCGCCCGGCTTGTGCTCTTCCGCACTTGGACAGCTTGCTACCCAACGCGACGCCCCTCACATCAATCTATCTTGTCCCAACAACATGTGAAGCAAAATCTGCACCCGCTGTTCCGGATCGCCCGTCTTAGTCTGCCCGATTCCCACGCTCACTCTCACAGTGTCCGATCGCGGCCCCACTCGGCCAGATGTCAGCTGACTGTCCGTAAGCGCCATTACTTGTGTGGATTAGATAGGAACATGTCCCGTCGCATGCACTCAGGGCGACTTCTGCAGGCCGCATCCGGCCATGTCGTCCATATGCAGAAGACTAGAGGCTCTCCACTGCTCGTCTACATCAGCACACCGCAATACACACGTCCGCTGTGATATTCCTGTGATAGAATCCCATTACAAACCTGTGTCTCGACGCGTAGCACCCGAAACTACCCTATGCCGACCGTGCCGCTCATGCCGTGGACCACATATTCCGCGCTTCACCCGTCATGAATTCAAGCTTTGGCACTATCCGCTGATCGACACGGGCGCCAGTGCTGCCCACGCTATGACGATCTTATCACAATCACATTCGGTCCTACCGAGGCCATACAGTCGGACCGTGGGAAATAGATGCCCAATTTGGGCTACATCATCGAGTATCGTGAACTATTTCGCCTGCTTCATGAACGACAGTGGGTCGAGGTTGACGCAAGCGGCACTGTGCGGAGAGCGCTACGGCCCGCTGCAGTTGCTTCATATTTGTGATGCAGGACATTGCTTCGGCGGGAGGGAATGCAATGTGATGACCAGGCAGAAACATATGGGCAGCGTTGGCAGACGTTGGGAGAAGGTGTCGGGCTGGTTCGGGCCTTTTGAGACCGTGGGGGAGGCTGTGATGAGCGCAGCAATCAAGATGTTGGGAGTTGATGTCAGAACGATGGGCCTTGGGCATAATCTGGGGTACGCGTCCTACGGATAACTAAATATGTACAGAACGAATAGCATTGTTGATGCTGTCGATGTTTATCAGCGTCCCATATACGGCCAAGACACCCCCATCGTAGAGAGCGAGTGTACCGTCCTGGTATGGCGATCTTCGAAAGAGCATGCACGCTTACCTTCGCACGGTAAGACGCAACTCTGTTCGGCTTGTCCTAACATGATTATTGCGATACCGACAGCAAAGCATCAACATCTCAGCTTCAGCGATGTATGTCACGTCGTGCGCCATTACCACCTTCCTCCCCCAAGGTAGAACCCCGGCCCACCATCCTAGATCGATACACTTTCCGACGTCCTCGCTTGAATTCTCCCGAACCCCACAGCAGATAGCCATCGCAAGGCGGAGAATAACCCTGAACATGACAAGTTTCCCCTCGTTATCGTGTCTTCCAAGGCGTGCCGTTGCTGCATTCGTGATGGCTCCCTCGGCGCGCTGAGATAAACATCATGTGTGCGCCGCCTGCGTTGCGCGCAGTGCAACTCTTGCAAAATGTTCGCGCTACGAGGGATAATTGCTGCGTTGGGCGTTGCTGCGTTCGCGCATGCTGGGTATGAGAAGCGCAATGGCACAGAGGCGTTTGCGGCGAATTTGCTGCAGGAGTCGATGAGCTGGATGGACATGTACTATGATAGCGAAAGAGGATATTTGTTCAATCTGGATGCGGCGGCGTTGACGCATGAGACGAGAGCGAGTGTGTGGTATGCGGCGGGGTTGTTGGCGAGGAATCAAGCGGATGACGTGGAGCAGGCAGTTCGGATTGTGAAGAATGTTGTTGGAGCGCAATTTAAGAATGAGAGTCAGCAGTGGTAAGTCGGTGTCTAAGCAATGTTACGGGTATGAGAGTTTTGGCGACTGACAGAAATTGCCAGGTATGCGGACTATCAGATCTATCCTGAAGAACCTACTGTGGGAACCGTGCAATATCCGGCGAAGATATACAACTCGTGGGATCCGAACTGGCGCGGCTTTGTGGGCACCACGTTCGTTGTTATGTTGGAGGAGTTCGCGCATCTGCTGCCAGAGGATGTGCAGGAGTACATGATGGAGAGCCTCTACAACACGACCATTGGCGATAGCTACCGCGTAGGAGGTCTGGACGACGACAATCTATACCCAGCCTACAGCAATCCGTCCATCATGCGCGCATTCGTATCTGGTTGGGTCGGACGCCGCAGCAACGACTCAAACATGACAGTAGCTGGCGAAGCATATGCAAAGGACATCATCGACCTGTTTAAACGCGACAACACGCTTTCGGAGTTCAACTCGGGCACATATGCTGGAGTCTCACTCTTCGCAATGACTCTGTGGGCAAAGTACATGCCACAAGACAGTCTGATGGGACAATACGGACCTGAGATGATTCGCCAAACCTGGACTTCGCTCGGACAGCTGTACAACGCCAACCTCAGAAATGTCGCAGGTCCCTGGGACCGAAGCTACGGCTTTGACATGAACCGCTACCTCAGCATCCTCGCCCTTCAAATGTGGACGCTCGTCGGCAAAGATGCTGCACCCATCCATCCAAAAGTAAGTTCTCCCACCCCATTTCTCAAAATTCACAAACTAACATACCATATAGCCCTACGCAATGGGCCATAAAGACGACTTCGCCATCTCCCCCCTCGTCGCCATCCTCGCCCCCTACCACAATACCCTCGTTCCCAATTCCACCCTCTCCGCACTCACATCTTTCCCCGGCACCCACACCGTGCGCACATCCGCCTTCTCCCCTCCCTTCGACACGTACCCGCGCAACATCACCGCCTGGCTCTCGCCCAACCTGACCATCGGCGCCGAATCTTTCGCCGAAAACGTCATCGGCGGACCCGCTAAAAATCCCAACTCGTTCAATCCGGCGGTCGTACAATGGCTGCGGTCTGATGGGAGCGTCGGCTGGCTATCCTTGTACGCGCAGACTTACGCGCTCGACGTCGATGTCGGGCCTGGGTATCTGGAAGTCCGATACCCGCAGGGCAATGTGTCGAGTTCGTTTAGCTTTTTGGTGGGCACGAATGGGTGGGACGGGAAGCGGGATGTTGGGGGTTGGGAGGATGTAGAAGGGGTAAAGGTAAATGTCACGGGCAGTGTGGATTTGAAGGTGGGAGTGGAGTTTGGCGGGTATGTTGGGGGGATGTGGAAGCCGGTGAATGAGTTTGAGTTTTGGAATTTTACTTATGGGATGGCGAAGGGGAGTGCGGAGAGGCCGTGGGTTAGGTTGGAGGTTGAGACAGTGTAGTGAGTCTGAGGGTTTGACATGGATGAGAATGGAATCGTGTTGATTGTAGATGTAGACATGTTTGTCATTGGTTGTGCAGGTGTTGGGACATGGCCTTTGACTTCGCTGTTGTGACTTTCCAGCAGAGCAGCATTCGCGAAATTGACTTGAGATGGATCGCAGTCTTTACGTTCACCGCCCTTGTTTGGTATCATTTTCTGCCACACGTGAATAAATGCCACGGGAAAGTAAGACATTTGAGCTGAAGATCCGGGTATCATGGACAGATGCGTCATTCCGTTCAGACAGTCTCGCGGGTGTCTTACATAAGCGCCACACTTCAGCCACTGGGATCCGTGCGCGCGTGTGGCAGAACTACGACTCCACCATCGCCCGCCCTGCATAGGTCCCCGGCTTGTGCAGAGGAACCAGTAAAACACGACTTCTGTTCCGCGCAATGAAGCATAAAGGCATAATTGCCAAAGTACAACCCACCTGACATCTGGCCGGTCCAAAAATATGTTCAACATCTCGAGCTTGGTGCAGAAGGCACAGTCGTACATCGAACCGACGCTGAACAACATAGCTGCCCCAGCCACGACCGACCGCAGACCCTCCAAAGCGACCCTCTTCCGCCACCAGTTCCGCCTGCCTGACACCCAGAACCCCCTCCAGGAGATCACCGCCGAGCTCACACTTTCACCCCACCACACAACGAGGGGTCCTGGGGACGTCACATCTGTGGAGAAGGATCGGAGCCAGGGCAATCACTATGTCGGGAAGCTGCACCTTAGCGAGCAGTATCTCTGCTTCTCAACGCAGGGCTCCAGCTTTGTCAACACGGCCACGCTGAGCTCCAGCAGCAGCTTCACCGGACAGACACACGGGGCAGGGCCGGCTGGGAACGGTTTCACGTTGCCGCTATGCGGCATACGCAGGGTCGAGCGTCTGCATAGCCAGAGCTACATGTTTGCGCTTGCCATAACGACATGGAACGGGGTGCCCGACTCTAAGACACAGGCTCCTGCTGGTCAGAAGCTCACGATCCAGCTGGCGGGGTCGCGACAAGCTTGCGAGCGCTTTTGCGATGGTCTCAAGAAGGGCTTGAGAGAGGGCGTCAAGGAGGTGGAGAATCTGAGAAGAGTGGTGGGACACTGCTATTCGGAGTACCTCTTGACCGATGCAGAGGAGAAGAAGGCGGCTGAAGACGGCGCGAAGCCTGGCAAGGAGCATCCGGATACTGGCCTGGGCATGATCTTTCGATACCCAGGTAATGCCCGGAAACTGAGAGACGCGACCAAGATCAGACTCTGGCGCGAGTATCTGCGAGGTATGTTTCGTTGAAGACGCTTGCGGTACGTACTCTAATACGGTGCAGACAACGGGCGAAGTGCGACACTCATTAGACAACCTACCTTCCACAAGCTCATCCGTGTTGGCTTACCAAACCGATTACGCGGCGAGATGTGGGAGCTCACGTCCGGCGCGTTCTTCCTTCGCCTACAGAATCCAAATCAATACACCCAAACACTACAAAAGTTCTCCGGGCGAGAATCGCTAGCAATAGACGAAATCGAGAAGGACTTGAACAGGAGTTTGCCAGAATACCCAGGTTTCCAGAGCGAAGAGGGCATCGGCCGGCTGCGCAGAGTCCTGACAGCTTACAGCTGGACGAATGAGGAAGTCGGCTACTGTCAGGCAATGAACATCGTTGTCGCCGCGCTTCTGATGTATGTACTGCCCCTCCACAACGAATGCTGTGATCTGACTAGCCAAGATACATGTCTGAATCCTCAAGCTTTCTTCCTCCTGTCCGTGCTGTGTGACCGCCTGTTGCCTGGCTACTACTCGCAAACCATGTACGGCACACTGCTGGATCAGAAAGTCTTCGAGTCGCTTGTTGAGAAGACGATGCCCATTCTCTGGGATCATTTGGTCAAATCAGACGTTCAACTGTCTGTAGTTTCTTTACCTTGGTTTCTTTCACTCTACATCAACTCTATGCCCTTAATATTTGCTTTCCGTGTACTAGACGTTTTCTTCCTAGAAGGCCCGAAAGTCCTCTTCCAGATCGGACTTGCCATCCTTCGTATCAACGGTGAAGAGCTACTCGACGCTACAGACGACGGCGCCTTCATCTCTGTCCTCAAGTCGTACTTCTCGCGACTGGACGAGTCAGCGCATCCCAAGTCGGAAAACCCTAAGCTACGAGCGGTCACTCGATTCCAAGAGCTTATGGTTGTGGCATTCAAGGAGTTTGCTGGTATCACGCAAAACACCATCTCAGAACAGCGAGGGAAGCACAAAGACGCGGTCTTGGAGAACATTGAGAATTTCGCCAAGCGCACTTCTATCAGGAATCTTGGTCCCGAGAGCAAGAAGCTAAGCGTTGCCGATCTGGGATTTTTGTATGACAAGTTCTACGCTGTGCTCTACGAGCGGCAACAGCGAGCGGAGATCATGCAGCAGGAGGCTGAAAGAAAAGCGAAAGCTAGTAAGATGAAAGCGAACGAGATTGTCACTGGGATTCCAGGCAACAGTGCGGAGAAGGGCCGAGTAGCTCTTGGACCGAGTCCGACCCAGATGGACTACGATGCTTTTAGAGAGTTCCTTGCTGGTAAGTTGGGCGTCGTTGCACGCGAATCGTGGTGTACTAATGCTTGTGATAGGTATTGCGAAGTGGGCTATCACCGACTCCCCTAGCTCTCCTGCCGAAGCCAATAACACCCAAGCAACACACTCTTACTTTGGCAGCAGCTTGAGGAACAAGCCACCAATGTCACCTTGGGGATCCGGACCGGAGCCAGCAGAGCATGAGTTCATGCGACGTTTGTTCCGGCGATGGGACGTGGACATGACTGACTCCCTGTCGTTACAAAACGTCGTAACCGGATTCGCTCACGTCAAAGGAACCAAGGACATCATGTCCAATATTAGCTACTTCTTTGAGCTGTATGATGATGACGGCGATGGCAAGGTCGATCGCGAGGGCATACTACGGATATCAGAGGCCCTTTTGTTCCTGTCCCGGAGAGGGGTTGTGGACGCAAGCCCATCAACATCGACGACCGATATTAGCAACAACCCAGAACGGCTCACTCGCGACGAACAGTTCCTCAGCAGTGTCTCCGCATTCATTCGAAGGTGTTTCGAATACGCCGATCCTGATCACCCATCAAATCAAGACAGCCGGGCAGTGGAGCAAGCGAAGGATGGTGTAGACAATTTTGCCATTGGAGATGATGACGAAGAAGAGGACGATCTCATCGACTTTGGCTCGGAGCCATCTACACCCAAAGCATCAAAGACGCCCGTCAAGTCTAACAAGAACCCGCTCTCTCCGGCCGCGTCAACACACACGACAGACTCAGAATCAGCAGAACGCAATCAAAAGGCAGAATCAGCCAATCTCGCACTCGACCCCAACAAGCCCCTACACATCACGCTACCTACATTCAGGATGGTCATCCTGGCAGATGAGGTGCTCGAGCAGTTCTTTGAGGTTGGCTTCTCATCATCCTTCCGTCTCGCTGATGAATCACTACCATTCTCTTCCAGTTCTGCAAACCTAACGACTTTCTCAAATGCAGGAAAGCAAGCAGCCGGCGTGGGCAGTGGTATGGGCGTTGTTGGCGGTGCAGGAGCTGGAGTCGTCCCACCAGGCAAGGGTCTACGAGGCATGCTGGACAACATCGTCACAGATGGCATGCGCGTCGCAGCAGAGGTCAGGCGCAGATATGACGAAGCACAAAAGGAGCTTGACAGGGAGGCAAGGCATGGTAGGGAAGACGACGATGAAGATGAAGACGCAAAGGACTCTGATCTCCTTGAAGGTGCGGAGACTGCTGGCGTGGATGTTGCGAAAGGTGATGCTCCAGATCTATTGTCGGCTGGTAGCCCAAGTGAGATCAAGACAACAAGGAATCGGTCGGCAAGTGATGCTAGTAGAAGGGTGTTGGAGTTTGAGCGATAGTCGAAGATTCTGGGATTTAAAGGTTGCGTCGAGAATTACAACCTTCGCTGTTGCACCAGAAAGAAAGCATTTGGAAATATGCATCACAATCTGCTTCACGTTTACCATTGTACCAAACCCGTCCATGTCGCCCATGTTTGCCCACAAGTTCAGACCCCACTCGAGGCTCAAGCCACAGTGCGGAGCTACCCCGCATACTCGTCCCTGACGTGCGGCCACCCGCGGCCCAGTTCCGAAGCCAGTCCAGTCTCGCAGCATCAATTCTCCACCCATGCAGACGCTCTCCATGTCTTCTCCAACACTCATGAGGGGTGACGATGCTTCGGACGCTCTTTGCTCGCTCTCGAGCTCCACCATGTCTGCTGCGTAACCCGCGGCGCGGCCTGCTCACCACGTCTTTTGCGGTGGGACCGACCGAGGTACGGAACTATTGCGCATTGGGGAATTGAGGGGGGAGCTGATGGGATGAACAGCCTGCTTTGCTGGAACAGACGGTTCCGGAACATTTTAAGGGTGTGGTGAGGGAGTTTGGGGATCGGAATGCGTAAGGGATTTGTGTAGGGGATGGGAAAAGGACTTTTGTTGACGGATAGACAGGGTGATTTCGCATCATCAGCGGACGACACTTACGTACGATGCGTTGGATCGCGAGTCGAACAAATTGGCACGAGGGTTACAGAGTCTGGGGGTGAGGAAGGGGGATAGAGTTGCTGTTTCGTTGGGGAATAATGTCGAGTTTGCTACTGTATGTTTGCATGCGAAGACGATATGGGAAAAGGGAATTGACACGTTATCAAGGCTACGTATGCGCTGTTTAAACTTGGGGCGATATTGGTGAGTACATTTGGTATGATCGAGGTGGTTCTTGAGAGCTAATACAGAGTGTGTAGGTCCCGTTGAACCCAGCTTTCAACGCGCCGCAAGTCCTCTCCGCACTGAACCACCTCGAAGCTTCACACCTCATTATCGGCGCTGAAACGAATCTTCCGCGCAAGGAGCCGCGGTCGAATATCTCGCTCCTCACACATCTCGTGCCGAACCTCGCTGGGTCGAAACTCGAGTCTGAGCTTGTGCCGTCGTTGAAGAATGTTGTGCTCGTGGACAATTCGGCGGGGAGGATAGATATCTCGGAATACAAGAGTATACGCAGATATGAGCATGTGGTGGAAGATGGTGGACAGGGAAGTGCGTTGGAAGACCAAGGACTGGATCCGCATGAGATCGCGAATATTCAGTTTACCAGTGGGACGACATCCATGCCCAAGGCTGCGTGCTTGAGTCACAGGAGTATCTTGAATAATGGGAATAGCATTGGGGATAGGATGCTGTTGACACCGGACGATGTCGTGTGCTGCCCACCTCCACTGTTCCAGTATGGACTTTCTCTCCTGATTATGATGAATGCACTGGCTAACACCCACCAGCTGCTTTGGCTGCATCCTAGGCTACATGGCAACCGCAACCCACGGCTCAGCCATCGTCTTCCCCAAAGAAGCCTTCGACCCGCTCGCCACCCTCGAAGCCGTCCGCGAACACAAAGCCACCGCCCTCTACGGCGTGCCCACCATGTTCGTCGCCGAACTCGATCTCCTCGCCCACGGCGCCGTCCCCCGCGATGGCTATCAATACCTCCGCACTGGCATCGCAGCAGGCTCATCCATCCCCTCCGAGCTCATGCGCAAACTCCACAAACAGCTCAACCTCACTGAACTCACCATCTGCTACGGCATGACTGAAACCAGCCCCGTATCCATCATGACCACCACCGATGACCCCATGGACAAGCGCATCGACAGCGTAGGCAGACTGATGCCGCACGTCCAAGCCAAAGTCGTAAACCCCTCTGATTGGTCTCAAACCCTCGCCATCGGCCAGCGCGGCGAACTGGCCGTGTCAGGCTACCTCGTGATGAAAGGCTACTGGGGCGACCCAAAACGCACACAGGAATCTCTCGTTCCAGACGAGAACGGCGTGTTGTGGATGCACACGGGCGACGAGGCGAGCATGGATGAACTAGGCTATGTCAAGATCACGGGGCGTATCAAAGACCTGATTATTAAAGGTGGTGAAAACATTCATCCGCTAGAAGTCGAGAACTGCCTCTTCGCGCACCCGAATGTCAAGGAAGTGAGTGTTGTGGGGCTGCCAGATGAGCGGTATGGAGAGGTTGTTGCGGCGTTTGTGGTTGGGGGGGATGGGGAGGTTAGTGCGGAGGAGGTTAGGGGGTGGGTGAGGGAGAAGTTGAGTCATCATCTTGGTATGTTTGTGAAGTATGATTGTGAATTTTTGGCTAATTAGGCTGCAGTACCGAAGTATGTCTTTTGGGTCGATACGTATCCCAAGACGGCGAGTGGGAAGATCCAGAAGTTTAAGTTGAGGGAGCGGGGGATTGCGATGTTGCAAGAGGGAAAAGGGCTGTCCTGAATCCAACCCTTCTCTCTTTTTACATATCCTGTTGAACGAAATCTCAAACCTACTCTGGCTTCAATTTCACATAACACTTGTTAGCTACCTGCTTACATGGCCTAAACGCAATCTTCCCCACCTTATCCTTCCACGTCTCCATCTCAAACTCACTCACCACACTCCCCCGATACGGACTCTCCGGCTCACTCCAAACCCTCGTCACCCTATCCTCCCAACATGTAATCTGAATCCCCCCTATACCCCCCTCGCATCCGCCTCCCTCATCACCCACCTCGCCAGTTTCCGCCACAATCGCCCCTACCCCATGTACTCCCTCCTCGTCGGCCGTCGCATTCATCTGCAACACCTGCCCCCTCCCCGTCGCCCTACCAACTTTCCGGGGTCTCTCTCATTCCGCCTCGTCTAATATTCTCGTCCCACGAAGTCCGGAAATGCGGGCAACGTCGTCAACAGCGGCATAAGCCTCTCTATATCCAGCGCATCGCACGCATCAAACCCCATCGCCACCGACACCAGCGGGAAATCCATACCCGCCAAAAACACCACCCCACTCTCATCGCGCATGTCCTCATCCCAACTTAACTTCCCCCCTGCGAGCGCCGCCTCGTGACTGCTGTATGTCCACTCCGTGTCGAACACGCCGAAACTCATGCCCGAGTCGATCTGGTGCTGCACGAGGTACGCGCACGCAGTGAAGACGGTGCGCATGAGGGCGGATTTGTCTATAGGGTAGAGGACGGGCCAGACGGGGGAGTCGAAGGTATATGCGTGCGCGATTAGGGCGGCGGCCCATTGCGCGTGGGCGGTGGTGAGAGTGCGGATTTCGTAGCGGGGGTGCAGATATGAGGGGTTTGTGGGGGAGGGGGTTTTGGGGTTAGGGTACAGCATGATGGATGGGATGGGATGGGATTGGGAGGTGATGGTTAGCTGGGGATGATTTTATTGTGGGAGATGTGTGTTGGTGCTTTGTGGATGAGGCACCAGTGGCGTAGTCCTAAGCGGTAGTCGTGATGCATGTCAGACATTATTTGCTACGAAGCATCCAACATAGAGCGGTAGTTGGACGAAAGTAAGCGAGCGCTCAGTTCGCGTATGCGAAAGATGTGGCGGAATTCTTGATAGTCAGCGCTAAGGTGAGCGGCTTTCATAGTGAACTTTAGCTCAGCGAAGTCATCAGCAAATTGAGATATTTGACTGCCTAGTATCTGTGCACAGAAACTAAGTCAGTAGACTTAATAGAGTAGTTGCATTGGAGGAATGTGTACTGAATTCCCACTTCCAACTATCAACTAGATATACTTCAACGATAATATCCTCTACTCTCCAAAAGGCGTGAATCGCTCCAAAACACCCTCCGCACTCTTGAAATCTTCCTCCAACACTTTCCGATGCACTTCACTCCGAATCCTGATCTCACATCTGAAACTCTTCGGTCGAATATTGAAGCCTTCAGTGTACGCAAAAGTGTCGTATTTTACACCCTTCACCGGCAAAATATCAAAAGTCCAAAGAATCTTCGCAAGCGCAATGATTAAGCTATTCTCCGCGAGTCCTGCACCAGGACAAATCCGCCGCCCCCAGCCGAATGATGAATGACCTGTTTTGGCTGGATGCGCTTTACCTGTCAACCCCGTCGGGGCTTTCAATTTCTCACTCAAGGCGGAATCGAGGAAGCGCATTGGGTCGAAGAGATGTGGATTCGGGTAGTATTCCTCGTTCAAATTGATGGCCCAGGAGTTCCCGAGCACGGTGGTTCCGGCTGGAATGTAGTAACCTTCGTAGTAATCGTCTTCGGTGGATGCGTGCGGTGTGCCTCCTAGCACAGCGACAGGGCGCCAGCGTAGGACTTCTTTGACAAGAGCGCGGAGGTATGGTAGGTCTTTCTCATCGTCGAAGGTGGGCGAGCGATTTGTGCCGACTACGGCGTCGAGTTCGGAGTGAGCAGCCTGTAGTGTTTCGGGGTGCGTGACGAGAGCTAGGAAAGCTGTACACAGCGTCGAGGCGGTGGTGTCGGATCCGGCGCCGAACAGTGAGGCGGGAATGTAGGAGAAGTCGCGGTCGGATAGCGGTATGTGTTCCGTCTCTTTCATTTCCAGAAGGAGTTTGCAGAGCGAGTCTGGTATATCTTCGCCTCGCGTCTTTGCTCGCGCCATGTCGTTGCGCACGACATCCACAAGTGCCATGTTCGCTGCAGCTTCTTCTCTTCCTTGCGCCTTGATCTTCGCTTTCCATGGCGCAAGTACGTCTGGTACGTGCTTCAAGATTGGGAAAGACTCGACCTGGTATTTCCCCGGTACATTCAGTGACGCTGCAACATGCATGAACTTGAACCTCTGATAGATGACATCCGCATTCAGCGAATCAATGCGATGTCCATACGCGACCGAGAAAACTATACTGGACGTGAAGCGCTCCAAAAGCTTCTCCCAGTTCGCCGGCGTCTCGAGAAGTTGGCTACACAGCCTCGATGCCTCGGCAGTTTGGACTGGCTTGTACAATCTCAGTGCTTTGGGTGTCAAAGCCTGATGTAGTAGTTTTCTCCTCGTACTCCACTCCTTGCCATACGGTTGGACTAGAATACTCGCTCCATCCCACAGGATTTCGCCCATGGCCACCATGCGCGGTCGCGAGGAGTATTTTGTGCTGCGCTTTTCCATCAAGTCGACCGCGATGATGGGGTCGGATATGACGATCGTGGGCTTCCGTCCAATCCATATTGTGAAAATGGGCCCGTATGTTTTTGACCACTCTTGGAACTGTATCCAGGGTTTGGACTTTGGTAGTTGATGTTTGTTGCCGAGAAATGGAATGGGTGTAGGTCCTGGGGGCATGCGGAACCAGACCCAGACATCGTGAAGGAGGGCGACAAGAGGAATTGCAAATATGAGGGATGCCCATATGTATGCCGGCAGCTTGAAGACTGATTCAAGAGGCATGCTGATGGTAAGCTGTGGACTCTGGAGTCGTGAAGTCAGTGTAGTACCAAGTAATGTCTTTATCAAGGGCATATAGCTTACACAGCTTGAGTCAAGACTCTTTTATAGCTCTAGCGTATCCTTCGGCAGTTGTGAATCTCGCGACTGCTATTCCGTGTCGTTCTGCCTAATATGTGGGGTGTTGCTTTCGCAGTGCTTCACTGCAGCACAAAGGCACTTATTTGTTAGTCTCACCAAAGTGATGTCCTCTGCGTAGAACAATTCATATCAGTCTACGATACGAGTAAGCCTCCCTGATATGATTCCTGATTATGTGAAGACAATCTGGAGATCATCGCTGACTGGGCTCGGAACGATGTATCCGTCTTAGCGATTAGGCGGGCGCGGGGTCGCGTGGAGAAGGCCAACACCTCCACACAGCAGCACCGTCAACCAGTGAAAACACTTCCGATGGCAATAGAGCGTGCTGATGTCCGGCGGATATTAGTGCGCGTGGTCGCAAGCAGCTATCACGTGTTGCTAAACGTTTTGCTCGTTCCAACTGCTTGCAGTCTGCATCATTCATCCAACGCAACGACAAAAAGGTCGCATACATTTGGGCGACATGATGCATGATATGGTGAGTATTCTAGCGTATTGAAATGCATCAGAGACAGCCAGTCGTCGGTTGTGAAGCCAGAGAATAGACATGGCGAGCTCCAAAAACACAACACTTTCCCACCCCGGATGAGCAAGAAAGCCAAAAAAAGTAATTCAATGGTCTCTCAGACGGGGAATCGAACCCCGGCCTCCTGCGAATTGTCTCTGCTCGATGACAAGCAGAAATACTGACCACTATACGATCTGAGATGGCGCTCCTGAGAGCAGATCTTGTAATTGATAGAGAATTAGCAGTCTACTCACAATATGAAGACGGTGATAACGTAACTAGAGGACTACTAGACATCACAGCTATCGAACACTTACCATGGTGGGGGCGCAATGTGGTGGTGGTGATAAAATTCTGCAGTGGGCCTCGGTGGCGAGCTTGGTGGACAGTGCGGTGACTCGTTCCGAACAATTCGAGTGAACATTACAAGAACCTATGACTATTGACAACAGCGGTGTCAGAAGTGGAACTGCAATAGAAGTGTCTTGCAAATGAGTCAAAGTGAGCTTTATTTACGATACATCACATCAAGTAGCATTGATCTTTTGCGTGAGCATCAGTTTGGATGCATGTATTAATCCCTTGGGCAATGAACTTCCTAACCATTCTACTGAATCATGTTCTCTACCACCCGTCAATGGAACCACGCTTGTATAGCGGGGTAGTGCCAGTGAAGTTTCCCGACTGCGTGGTGAACGGCTCCATGCTGCTGAAGTCCTTGACGCGGCCCAAAAGAATCTCCAACATGCGGTACGCAACACCCGGAGTGTATCCAGGAAGCTCGTGTCCAGCAAGGTGAGCCGTGTAGAAGGTCAGGTTGCGCTCCTTCGTCCAGACACCTTGGTAACCAGAGCCGGCCAGAGCACCGCCGTTGTACTCGGGGTGGTCAGGTGCGTACAGAAGAGTGGAAGGGTACTCGGTGAAGCCCTTCTGTCCGTGCCAGGTCATGTTCTGAATGGCGAAAAGGGTACCATTGGTGCTGAGGAGGAAGTCAAGATCTCCAGATCCAATGATGGCGTTGTTGGTGTATTCAATAACGCGCTGAAGAACACCAGTGTTGGCTGGGCCCTTGGAAGCGTCACTAGCAGTACTGGTGTCGTTGCCCAGTCCGAACACGTTCTTGCTACTGCACTGCTCCCAGTTGGTGCCAGGAACAGCGTGGAGTGCCTCTGCGACATCCGAACGATTGAAATAGACTTGGGCGCCCGGAGGCTGGTAGTCGCCAGAGTTAACTATACCCAGCTGAGAGAATGGATGTGGGCAAGTCTCGGGGATGTGGTAGATGTTGAAACATGGGTTCACCAGCAGGATAGCGCCGTACAAGTTCTCGAACATGGCGCAGTGGCCATCCTCAGTATTGTACGGCGACTGAAGAACGGGGGCTGTCTCCTCAGGTGCAGGAAACGTGAAGTATTTCTCAAGGTATGTGTCGTAACCACATTCACTTTGGCGTTTACGGGCCCGCTCCATGTAGCTTTCGTTGAGGTACAGCAGATTCTGCCAGTATTCGACGTAAGGTAGGGCGACAACCTCTTGTTGAAGTGTGTCGTCTCCAATGATGGGGTCGTTGATGGAAATACCGGCAAGGTTCCAGTACTTGCTGTCATTCGCTTGAATAAAGCTGTCGGCAATGTACGGGACGTAGTATCCAGCATATGACTCGCCAGTGATGTACGTCTTCCAGTTGTAGATGCCAAAGAGGTCAACAAAACTCTTGTAAAAGCCGCGGAACTCGTTGCCCAATTCGACCTCGTTTGTAATGTTGGGCACACCTTGCCTGTAATATATCAGAATATGCTCAGGAGTGATCAATAGAGAGACTTACGAGTATCCCACGCCTACTGGTTGTTCAACCCACAATACGTTGGTCAAGTTGTTCCAGCTGTAGGGATTCTGAACCGGTGCAACGGTGCCAGCCTCCCAAGTGAATGGGCCATTTTCCGTAAGGAATCCACTGAGCGAACTGCATCCAGGGCCACCGTTCAGCCAAATGACGACCTCTTCTTGAATCTTCGCTTGAGTTGACGGGAAGAACCAGAAGAAGAGCTTGCGGGTCTCGCTCGGATCATCTGAGATAGGCAGAAGACCTGCGTACGACTCACCGACGTCGAATGGAACCTCTGGAATACCAGTACCATTGACGGCGAACGGTTCTGTCTTGTTCGTCGCGAAGAAGCTGGTGGCACGCTTGCGAATCTCTGGGTGCGAGAAGGGCTTGTTTGCCTCATACTTCTCCAGAATTGGCTTCTTGTGCCGGAAGACACCAAGCTTGTGGGGGGAGCTTGCCGCGAGGGAAGTGGAAGCACACAGCAGTGCGCTGATAACTGACAGAAGCTTCATCTTGGTAGGATGTGCTGGTCGAAGTAGCTTGAAACTTGACGCGAAGATGCTGCCGACCCAACGGCAGTATTTGAACAATGGAACAGTGACGGCATGCGTTTACACGGGCCCTGGCACTTACCCCAGTGTAGCAGGAGGTTGTTTGTCGTCCACGCTTTTCGGGATTAAGGCTGGAAACACTGCACTAGGCGGGTGTTCGCCCACAATCTCGGTGTGGCAACGCAACATGGCTGGGAAATGACGCATTCAGGAACAACTATTATGAAGAAGCACCTTCCTGAAACGTCCTGCTTATGGTCCATCATTGCCACTGCGCCGTTCGGCGGATCTGCGCGGCCTCATCACTCACATTCTCTGATTCGAGGGATGTTTAGTTCATTATTTGGGCTAGGGTTAAGATAGATTAAGCCTCGGAAGCGAGGCTTATATTTGCTTGGTTAGGCCGAGCGTGCCCCACTGAAGCACAATCGCGCATAGGAAGATAGGACTGTGGTGGTTAAAGTGTGTTCTGGATGTAGCGGCATGCTTGAAAAGGATTCACATGGGTAAGACGGCGTCGCGGCCTGGCGAATTTAGGATGACGCGTGCTGTGAAATCATGCTAGGCTGCCCCAATGATAAGGAACTCGTTATGACTGGCGGCATAAATGCGGAGGCTCCGAGGGAGTGCCGGTCGTGTTCCCCTCAGGCCACGCCTGTGATGTGTGAACCTTGTGCGCATCTTTGTACTGTTGTGAAGACAGCCCTGGATGTTGTTGAATTTGGCCGGCGCCACATTCGAGAGGCGCACGCGGCACGCGAGGGTGTCAGCAACGGCGCGCCCCTGCAGATCATAACGAAACAACTCTGACAAGACCGGAACATTATAAGATTACACCAAGTTGGTTACGGCCTTTTATATAAATGCAACTGAAGCGGTGTTTTTACTGTAGTAAGCCCTTGCTCAAACATGAGATCGGATGCACCCGGTAATGAAACACGGCGCGTCTTCGCGATTTGAGGAACACAGTATCAATAATTGCCTCAAATCATCTCATCACGAGAGTTTTGCTGTCAATAAAAGGCCTACCCCGCCATCATGGACTAGACGATGAAGTATATTTCGCATCGTTGTGTGCGGATTGACAGGATGCACTTGTCGCTACGGCTTACGCTTGTCACTCATGTGGCAACTGCGCCTCCGCACTGCCTCGTATTCACAATCAGGCTTCAGCGCTGAAGTCGAAGGAAGTTCACTGGAGCTTTTGGTCAAAAGCTAGAAACCTGCTTCCAAAGGTGATCGTCGTCCTTCTACAAACTTTCCCAGGTTCTTCTCGGAAGCGAAACAACGATGGGCATCCCAACCACCGCGCAAGGACCGGCTCCAGCATATGAAGCCATATTTGGCGACCATCCAGTGAATAGAAACGGGCCGTCGGGTTCGACATCAGCAGCAAGTCCTTTCACTCCTACGTTGTCATCGTTAGAACCATATACTGACAATTCTCAGTATGCTGCAGTCGCACAAGATGAAGACGTCGAGCTACACGCGCATGACCATGACCACGTTCGCAGTCCTTTTTCACACGAGCAGAACGCTCCCGAATCGACCATAGATAGGGTTGCAGAGCTGTCCAGGTCGAAACCGCACGCTCACTGCGAGCTATGCGACGTCCAAACCGCTGCGCGACAGCGTCAGAGTCGAGAGCATGAGAAGTTTTGCTGTACCATGGTGGCCATGACTTTCAGCATCGCTTTTGTATGCGCTGCCATCTTCGGCATTGTAGCCGTCAGCATGCTTTCCCGGAATCAGAGACGTGATTAATGAACTGGAAAACCAGGCCGACCGCATCTCTTACGCACGAGTCTTTGATTGTCCCATTTGCGCAACGCAAGGCTTGTCCCTCGCGGCTGCATTCATGCGCGTTGTGTCACCGGGCGCGTTTCCAAAGTTCTCCAGTTGCGAAAATACCTATGATCGTTTTATCCACTTTTTAATGTTTCTTTTTATTTTAACTCCAGTTTTTCTTAGTTCGCTACTTTATATCTTATACCCCAACTCCACTAACCCACATCCCAACTCCACGTGTGTACAACATATGAGGCGACCTTCGGCATTCGTCGGTAAGAAGTTTTTTCTTATGTATAGCACTTCTCGAAGACGATATTGTGTCGTTACACCCGGGATCGGAACTGCGGATCTACCGAGGCCTGCAATATACAAAAGCTTGTCTCATTCGCTCCAAGCCCTACAAGGCTGCTCCATCGCAATGAACATCACATATGCTGGAGCGATGGTTCCTCCGGATAGATTGACGCACTTTCCGACTTTCAGGGTGCTGTTCCAAATACTGATGCTACCGAATTCGGTACCATGGTACTCTTGCGGGTCTTGGAAACGTATAAGAACACTTTCTATAGCCCGTAGATAATTGTTTCATCTTCATTTTCATCGCAACTACCACTTCACACAAGATGCAGTTCACCGTCGCAGCCCTCCTCACTATCGTTCCTGCCGTACTCGGCCATGGACTCATTCAGTCGCCTCCCTCGCGCCCCGTCGGCCCCGCGATAATCGCAAACTGCGGCCCCAAGGTCGAGCAGGACATCCGTCTCGACAACACCTCCCACGTCGAGGGGCTTCCCGAGCTCGCTGCCAAGGACACCGCCTACAATGCCGAGAAATGCAACCTCTGGCTCTGCAAAGGCCTCCAGTTCGCCGACAACATGAACAACACGCAGACCTGGCACGCGGGACAAGTCATCCCGCTCAAGGTTTGGGTCCGCATTCCTCACGAGGGAAGCGCAAACGTGAGCATCGTCGACACGCAGACAAACGAAATTGTTGGAGATATGTTGAAGGTGTGGAGCGAAGGATATGCGCCTGGCAAGAAGGAGAGCGACGTGCCAGAAGACCAGAAGGTGTTCAGTGTAACGGTGCCTGAGGGTCTGGAGACGAGGTGCGCGACTGCTGGCGCTTGCGTAAGTTCATCCTATGGGTCGATCTGTGTAAAGATTCGTGCTAACGACGACGATAGGTCTTGCAATGGTGGTGGTACGGCAATTCGGCACGTCAAACCTACGAGTCTTGCGTAGACTTCAAGATCGCGAACAAGACGATGCCCAGGCGACGAGCGTCGTTCCGTGCATAGTTGTGTCGGCCTTTTGGTGGAAAACCTTGGGTCACGTGCGCCATACAGACTATTGGAACTCCATAGACAATATATACGATCCCTTCAACTCTGTGCAAAGCGATTGTGAAACAACGTGGGTGCGTGAAGAGTGTACTGTCACCAGGTTTAGCAATAATTCGTGCGCATTCTGTTTGGACTCAACCTACTATGAGAGAGCAACTGTGATCTTACATGCAAGCCCGCATAGGCTCAATACTTTTGAAGTCAGTTGCAGAGAGCTAAGAAAACCTTGAAGCTAGATAGGTTAAACTAAACTGCCTTCGCTTCGTGTGTTGCTCAGAATGACGAGGCCCAGCGCGCACGAATGATTGCGGTGTTACTCTTGTCGAACTCCTCAGCCTTGTCGTCCAAAAGCCAACTTGGCCTGTCCCTTCTCTGCACCACCACTTCTGCTGACACCACCGCCACCTGGTGGTCGACCTCGGCCTCTGGTTGGCTTCGAACCAGTGGGTGTTTTGCGCCCGCTCTGAGCTACAGGTTGCGGAGCGGGTGGGTTCCGCTCTTCATGTCGCATCTCCTTTGATAAGTCGAGAGCAAAGTGGTAGTCTATGTGCTCCGCCTTCTCGTCCGTAGGCAGGTGTATGTTGCACTGGGCGCAGAAGTATGTGTCGAGGGTCTTTTGTTGAGGTGGGTGTTTAGACTGACTAACGATATCATCTGACGGTTGTTGGTACGAAGGAGGAGAGTGTGATCGGGGCGGGGGCTGTGCCGACGGCGGCGTGTCTGATCTGTACATGTCGACATTCGAGCTGTGCCGTTCTAGTGTCGGAGTGGAAGGCCTCCTCTCCTCTTCTTCGTGCGCGTCTTCAAACATATCTTCGTCCTCAGGCTCATCCATGTCATCTTCTGCTTCTTCCCTCGTTGACTCGCTGTGTGCCTTCAATAATATAGCTCTGGCAGCATCAAAGTCCTTTTTCTTGTCGTCTTTAGGGCCGAAGAACTGTGCAATATTGCCTTTCGTCTTTCGTCGCTTGGCTGGTGGTTCGCCAGTGCTAACTGATCTGCCCGTAGACATCATTGCCTTGGCTTCTTCTCCACGGACCAGAAAGCTGCCGATGCCTTTGTTGTTGGTGATGCCATCCTCGAAGCCTCCCACGCTCAGGGAGAGGTTGGCGCAAGGCCAGGCTCGGCCATCAACCACAACCTGGGCTAGCAAATTTTTGGCGAGGTCGAATAACGTAGCTTCTGACAGAGGCTTCCCTTGCGGAATGGGTGCTTGTCGACTCCTGGTTTGCCCACCTTGCCGGTGGTGCAGGTTGATCGTCTTTGGCCTTCTTTTGTTTTCCAATACGCCTTCTTCGACACATCTTGAAAAGATGTCGGCCGAGAAGATGCGTAACCACCTCACCCCTTGCTCGAACGAGTTGATTGCGGGACGGAAGGACTTTGCTGACAACATGCTCTTTATTTGAGTGCGGGGATTAACTTCGCTGTGGTCTTCGCCTCTTATGATGTTGTACAGCCAGCTACCTGTGTCATCGCCCAGCTTTTTGAGCTGTTCCAAGGGCTGCTCCATAAGACTCTTGACCAGGTCCGTGCCGAACATCGCAACTGCTTCGTCTCCAAGTTTGCCACCAAGCATTCGAATCTTGGTGAACTTCATGTCGGAGAGAAAGTGTTTAATAGCGCGATTTCGGATCACAGTCTGCTGGTTTGGCTTCTTGTATCCTGAACCTAGCTTGGCCAGCATCTTGTTCTTGGCGACGCCTCCAGAGCAAGTATATCCCAACTTCTCCTTGATGTTCTTGCGAACGTCGCGTACAATCTCGGAGGCGATGACGGTGCATACATCGTCCCAATCCGGGTCTTGATCTTCGCCGTCCTCTTCGCCTGTTTCGACGAGCGCATCAGCAGCCCAGTCCAAGACCGTTGTTGGTACTTTGGGTAGTCGTTCTGTTGGATCATCATAGGGCGCCGGTCCTCTCAGTTCAGGGTATCTCTCCAGCAGTATTGTGTGTATCTGGCCACTCAAGTCCATGAACACCTCGTCGATACTCGCTTTCTCGACTCGTTGCTCCTTGTCGGGTAGCGACTCTTTTATGCATTTCAAGATTCTTCTACACTCCAACCGGTATGGGTCCAGGCTGACTTTGTGCGTTGCCATGTTCTTGAACGAATCTTCATGGTATGCCCATTTCTCGTCACCCTCCTTCCATGTTGCCACATGTTGTAGTATGAGGTCGGGACATTGCTTCAGCGCCTCTGAAGAGGTCACATGTCTACTCAGTCCGAATGCTCGTGCCGGGTAGTTGATCGCTATGAGACCCTGCCATTGCTGTACTGCGAGTGGCAATGAGGGGTCAAGACCGAGGCGAACAGTCTCGCATTGCGCGTAGAAAGCATCGAGATCGACGTGCGCGATGACGCGAAGAGGCGTTTGCGGACTATACGACTTCAGCTGGTGGAGGTGCTTGTACGTGAACTTCGATTTCGGGATGCGACGCGGGGAGGTGATGGAGAAGGGCGAAGAGGCAAAGTTGGGCGCCGGTGAGGACATCGTCGGGAACTTTAGGCCATGCTTGAGCGTTTTGAGGCCAGGGACAACTATTGCTAAGTAACAAACGCGCTGCGACGCGTTGTTGATATGTGGGACTGCTTGTGAATGGGTCAGTCGCGTCGCGTGTTCCCGCGGTCCCGTGCATGCGCGTCATTCATCAGATCCAGAGATCCAGCTAACCCGATTAGGTAATGCCCGATCTGAGCAGCAATTGTTTCAACTGTGTTACATTCTGGAATCAATATACTAGCTGTGAATCTGCGTTACGTTCGTTAAAATCACTGAAGCTTAGGAGTGTCGACACGATCCTGAAGTGCGTTGAGAATCAAAGGACTCTAGCCATGTCGTCATCGATTTCTTGATAGTCTAGAGACGATACTAATGTCAAAGCTCATATAGCTTGAGTACATATTCAGAGCATTGTTCTGAGAAATTTAGTTCCAACGCTCTGTCGGCATATCTCTAAGGCACCACATCAAACCAAGCAAGCACCGCCCGTCCTTCCAATTGCACCAGTCTTTCGACCTCTACCACAATGAATTCCTTATTCAAAGCCAAACGCCTTCTCCCCATATCTCTCAACATGCTAGCGATTGGCGGCTCAACATTCTACCTCCAATCAAAAATTGCATACAACCTCGAAGAGCAAGAAGCACGGTTGGACGAAATCGAAGGAACGCTGAGAGGTCACATTGGCTTGATCGAAGACGCGCTGGACAGAATTGAGGGGAAGAAGAACAGTAACAAGATGGAAGAATTGTATGGGAAGAGAGGCAGGGACGAGAAGGAGAAGAAGTGACAAATGCCAGGGAGTGAGACGTCATTGCTGGGCACCCAATTCAACTGGACTTCAAGTCAAATCAGAGCCCTTGATTGTGATGCCGATCTCGTGTGTGTTACTGTGGTGCTTGCGATCAACAAGGCGGACCGTTTTCTGCAGCAACGCTCGGGCACAGCCACTCATCTGCAGTCTAGAGTACACAGCCGCCTCTTCATTAACCGCCTCGTCATCGACGTACTCGTCACAATGCCTTCTCCATCTTCTCGTGACTTTAGCGCATCATTGAATGCTGCGCGACTCACAGCCAGTTTCGATGGCAGAGGTCATCGGTCTCGCGGCTAGCATCATCCAAATCGCAGGTGCGGGCGCCAAGCTGTCCTCCGCACTTTACCACTTCACGACCTCAGCTGTGCGCGCGGACCAGGATATAACAGATATCGCAAGCGATGTTGAGCTTACATCTAACGCACTCGAGAGTGTTGGCAAGGTCTTTGAAACAGAAGATGCGAAGTCGTTAGTTTCAAAGAAAGCTATACAAGATGCAAACAATATCATTAAGCGATGCGAGGCTGTTTTCAGTGATATTTCAGAGCTCGTTGATAAGAGAAGGAAGAGTGCGAAAGATGGAAAAAAGGGTTTGAGTGTCATTGGCAAATTGTCGTGGCCGATGAAGGAGCAAAGAGTCGAGCTTCACAGGCGGAGACTAGAAAGTTTGAAGAACAGTCTTGTGTTGTTGTTACACGTCTTACAGCTCGCGCAGGGACAGGCTCGTGGGTATGCTAGAAAGTTAATCACCATTATCAATATTATACTAACTGTTCCCCCAGGCAGCTGGAGAAGGACACCTTAGAAAAGGAGCGCGACAAGATTCGAGACCTTCATCAACGACAGCAAGATTCTCTCAAGTGCTTACAAGCGCTAGAAACCAAGCTCAACAAGGTTGCACTTGATGACGAAGTGACATTGACTGGATCCGCAACGACCTCACGCGTTCCAACTCTCGACCTCATGCTCCATAACCCGACGCATGATGCGCTCCTGCCGATACATACCAGTAGCCAGACTCAGCAAAACTCCAACAAGATAAATACTGTGGGTTTAGAATCCGGCACTTCTGACAGCGAAGTCGCCACTACCGACGACGAAGACGAGCATCTGTCACTAGAGGAAATCACTACGGCAGCAAAACACGTGCAGAAACTCCTCAAACGTATTACGAAGCTCCAACACACTTTCGCCACTACAGGAAAAGGCAAGGTTCATAAGAAGAAGAGAGTGAACAAGATCTATCAGCGGTTCTGTCGAAAGTGGGAGGCCGACGTTGCCGCGACTCGACCTCCACAGCCAATTCCAAAACTCGACAAAGAAGCGTACCAGCCTGATCCTTTCAACCCCACTCCTAGGCCTAAGTCTAATTGCGTTCGAACTACTGGAGAAACAGCACTGCCGTCATTTTCAGAATTGCTTCCTGTCAGTGATATCACCACTGGACCGCAGGATGAGTCCAGGGCACAAATGGTTACGCCAAAGGCGAGAAAGGCAAGGAAGCGCAAACTCAGAATCGATCCAGAATATGTGAATCCCGCGGCGGAAAACTTGGGTTCGGTTGAAAGGCGACCACTGCCAGGGCCTCTGTATTTGATGGCGCCGATGGACATTGCGCCTGTGCCAGTTTCGCCAACAGTTGTGCATGCCGGCGATGTCTCTGCAGCCATAGGCTTGGTGCGCGCCCACTCATCGCAAGGTGGTCCTGCTTTAAACGTAAGTTCAGCACATGCTGCGAGCCCACAGTCGGAAGCCCCATCAACGGCCGCATCACCTGTTCATGTTTCACGTTCGCCCCAGCGAGCCCGGATAAAGCGATCTGCAACCAAACATGAGATAAATCTCGAGGGAAATACCGCACCTAGCGTACCTAGCCTAGGTTCAAGGCAAAGTGTCGATCAGTACCCAAGTCTGCCGTCTGTTGAGCAACCAGGCCACCGCTCCGGCTACCAGTCCGTGTCACTTGGTGTTGATGCATACAAACTAGCATATGATAGTGACCTGGAGGTGGAGACAGAGCGGCTAGAGCATTTGCCAGGAAAGCTCGCATGTACGCCTACTGATATAGGATTTTCGGAAGCATCAAACACAAGAATGACACGAAGCAGGAGGAGAAGCTCAAGCACAGTCGATCAACAAGAACTGTCACTACGTATGTCTCCAAAGAACGGCCAGAAAACAACAGCAAAAATGCCGGACGGGAGGTCTGTTTCACCTCCAGAGCCAAGGAAGCGTTCGTCGCGACATATGAGAAAGATGGCAGAATGTAGCAACAGTCCACAAGCTTGTGTCAAAAAGAGAGTGGACGACTTAGACTTCGACCTCGAAAGTATGGATGGATATGTCATAGATCAGCGAGATGTCGCCGATATGACGACTAATCTGCCACAGGGCTCGGCAAGTTTCCACGACGGAGTGCGCGAAACCAACACGATTACTGAGAGTGGTGAAGATGTAGAAAAAGTGCAAGGAATTAAGAAACGAAAACGACCGAAATCCATAAAAGCTCTGACGTTATCCAACGACCCTATTGTAAAGAGGCAGAGATTGAGTCCGACTGCTCAGGCAAACATGACAGCTACGAGTAACCATGCGCTGCCCGACCAAGCCGTGGAGAGAGACATTGTCGACATTTTGCTGGACCAGTGGACGGTCACTGTACACTGAGATACTTTGGGATGGTGCACGAGGCCTGCGTTGTAGCAGTCATTGGTCCTCGTCAAACGTCACGATACTGCAGCGAGACAGGTAAGATGCAGTTCTGCCTCTTCAAAAGCCGATACCTGAGCAGCGAGTGGGCCAGAATCATCTGATGCCGCAACATGAAAACGTTGAAGAGGGACGAACTCTACATTTTCACCAGTTAGGCAAGCCACCGGCAGTCGACAGGCGACACAATTCACCCGAAGTTATAGCGGAAGCGACAGACTTTCCCCAGATACGTCCGCCCAGCCCTCGCCAAGGCACACAATGCGATATCCCCGCCTTACCCCAGTCTTGGCTCCCCATACCCAATGACGATATGTTTTTCTGGTTGGATGTTGTTGCACTTTTAGCCGCACATGGCAGGTGATGGCCATCGGTTACTGTTATCCTCAGGCTAGCATTGGTGAGTGCTTGCCTGGTTGGCATGTCAAGTACACAATTAGTCCCGCGGTGTAGTTGTGGCCCCGTTGTGGACAAGATTCGCGGGAGTATATAAGACTCTGACGATATGTCTTGGGCTTTCTCAGCGCCCCTTGTTCCTTTCTGGCTCCTACACTCACGATCGTCTTCAAGATGGTACGCGATGCAGTGGACGACTCCACGCCGAAAGAGCAGACTCTTGTCATGGAGGAAGTTCCCCTCGAAAAGGCGCGCTGGGCGGCATCTCCGTACCACCTGCACGACTACATGAAAGCTGGCCTGACGCAGGAAGATGCAGAGTTTCTCCACAGCGTCGACAAAGACCAGCAAAAGAAGATCTTTCACAAAGTCGATTGGCGCTTGTGTCCTATGCTCGCGGTCTTGTATCTCATCTCGCATCTAGACAGAGCGAATATTGGGTGAGTAGTGCGTTCGCATATGACATAAGCTTCACTGACCATCACCAAGCAATGCTAAAATCGAGGGCCTGGAGAAGACTCTCGGCATGAAGGGCACAGATTACAATGTCGCGCTCATGGTGTTCTTCGTGCCATATGTCCTCTTCGAAGTCCCGTCCAACATGCTTCTGGCCAAATTCAAGCGCCCCTCATATTATATGGGACTGCTTGTCCTATGCTGGGGCACAGTAATGACCGTAATGGGACTGGTGCAGAATCTAGCAGGACTCTGCGCGACGAGGTTCTTCTTGGGATTGTTTGAAGCCGGTTTCTTCCCTGGAGGTAATGTTTCTTGCTCAAACTTTGGCTCATAAAGCCATTACTGATTGTCAAATAGCTATCTATCTCGTTGGGCAATGGTACCCGCCGGACCGTACGCAGTTCCGCATGGCGCTGTTCTATTGCGCGTCGGCTGCGAGTGGAGCGTTCTCTGGTTTGCTGGCCGCCGCGATTGCAAAAATGAACGGTATGCAAGTCACAGGCGGCAGGAGTACTACAGCTAACACTCAAGCACAGGCACCGCAGGACTTGAAGGCTGGCGCTGGATCTTCATCCTAGAAGGAATCGCCACCGTCGCCATGGGCGTGGGAGTATTCTTCTTCCTCCCCGATTCTCCAGACCACGCTGCAGGCCGCTGGCTCACCCACGACGAAGCACGCTTCCTGCGCCTTTCAAACATCTACACGCGCGGCGTCAAGCGCGAGCGGCGCATCAACGCCGACGGCAAGAAAGAGCGCGTGAAATGGGGTGTGATCGGCCAAGTTGCAAAGGACTGGCAGATCTACCTGCAAGCGATGATTTTCGCGAGCAACGCAGTGCCAAATTATGGATTGAAGTTTACCATGCCTCAGATCCTGAAGAACAGTAAGTCCCGTCTTCACCTTTACCATTCTCTCCGGCTTGCTTACCATTTCAAAAGTGGGCTTCACCAGCACAACCGCGCAACTCATGACCGCACCCCCATACGCCTGCGGCGCCATCTCCGCCCTCGTGTCCTCCCTGCTCGCCGACAGATTCACATGGCGCATGCCATTCATCGCCAGCGCGCAGGCCCTGCTCATCGTCGCGTACTCGATCCTCTTCGCGAAAGCGGAGAATATCAAAGACAACGTCGCGCTGTGCTACTTCGCGATGCACATTGCGTGTATCGGCATATACCCGATTCTCCCCGGGTGCAATGCGTGGACGATTAATAATCTGGCTGGACCGGAGAAGCGCGCTGTTGGGTAAGCTATCATCCAATCCTGGACATTACAATATCTAATAAAGCGTAGTATTGCGACAATGATCTGCATCGGCAACCTCGGCGGCATCGTAGGCTCCTTCATCTTCCAAGAAAAAGAATCGCCAAAGTATGAAACGGGCTTTGGGTCGTCCTTGTCGTTTGCAGCCGCGGGCATGGTGTGCGCCTTCACGCTCGAGTTCCTGTTCGCGCGCATCAATAAGAGGAACGAGGAGAAGTCCGAGGACGAGTGGCGGGCGATTTACACAGAGGCGCAGCTGGAGAAGATGGGCGATCGGAGTCCGTTGTTCAGATATAATTTGTAAAGCCGTGGGATGTGAGCTGGGGATGTTGATGGGGAATGGAGAGCACACCTGCTGGCGGAAAATAACACTCCTATGCAACGGTGAATATGCGTGAGACATCGTTCTGCTTCGTGAACAAACAAGTCTTGAGAAAGTGTGTTTCTTACCAGCAGGCAAGTCTCCTTGTATCCAGTTACAATCCCGTGTTCGCAAATCATCGCACAGAGTCGAAAAGGTGTAGACAAATCTACTCCCAAACTCCAGGATCATACCCCGTTCGTCAAATTCCATCTCGGCGCTCTGATTAAACTATGTTTTTATACTCCAGGCTAGCGCGAGAACCATGACCTCGCTGGATATAGAAGCAAAAACATATAAGCCTTCCCCTTCCAACGGTAGGCTATAAAGCTTAACACGGTCTTCTGTCGTTGACATTACTAACCCTGCAGCTGTTTGCTGAATAAAGGCTAGACTCTGTCGTAAGGGAGGCGTGTGATTTGCACCGCACACCGTATTCGTGTTATACGCCACAGACTCTGTGATCGCATATCTCGTCCTTCTCAATATCATGTATTCTTCACGCTCCATAATAAACATTTCACATCACTGCACCAAAGGCTAACCAAGCACCATGGAGAATCGTCCCATATTCTTATGTTTATTTTCATATCTTAGGTTTCTGTGTTGGTGCGGAAAAAAAGAGGATCGGGTCGTGCTAGCCTGCACTCCCCCTCCATTGCTGATGTGAACCTTGTCCCATGTTCACACCCCCATTCATACAACATGTGGCGTTCATCAGAGCCAGTCCAAAACTTTGCTGATGCGGCTCTTCTTCTTGATAGCAGCCTTGGGCCTGCTTTCTTGCGATGCTTCGTCGTGCCGAGCGCGGCGATGATGATCCCACAACTCCTCTCCTATGCGTTTCGAGCCAGCCTCGCGGAATTGATCTCCAAGTTCTTCCCTGGCGGAGACCTTCTCTCTATCATCTGTGTCGTACTTTCTACTCTCGTCACGTCTCCTACTTGTCACAGGTAAGAAACTGGTTTTTGCTCGACTCCCGAATCAAGACAACAATGCACTGAGCGAGGCTCGTGCATCTCATCTACCTTGCAGGTTCCAGCATCTTTGGGCGCTCCCTCTCGCGCTCTCGTTCGCGGTCGAGGTCGCTGTATTCGCTTTCCTCATCTTCGTAGCGTCTGCTGCGGCGCTCTCGGCCCTGGCCTCGGTCACGGTCATCATCGTCCCTATCGTCACGGGAGCTATGGTAGCCTCGCTTGTCGCGGTCGTCTTTGTCATGCTCGTCGTATTCATCCTCTGATGTTGCGTTAGTAACTTGGTCAGATGTTGAGTTTACAACCAACGTACCTCGACGCTCACGGATCTTCTTGGTGCGATCGGCGAGCTTCTGAATCTCAGCCTTGGTGAGAACACGTAGAACAATGACGCAATCCATGCGCTCCTCGAAGCGCTCCTTAGCCTCCTCGAGTGCTTGTGGGTTTACGAGACGGCGGTCGATTCTCGTCCATCGAGCACCAATGGGAATGTCCTTGCCCTTGAGAGCATCCTTGTGTGGCGCAACACCCTCACGAATAGGCTCAGGCTCCTCGGGAAACTTCTCAGTGGGTTTGCGGAGAATGCCTTTGACAGCGGGCTGGGGGTCTTTGGGAGGCGTGACAATGGTGACGCTCTTGTTGGGCTGGTCGGCCTGTAATTTGTCGAAAGACTCTGGCTCTTGCACCATGTTCGCATCGTAGATGCTGCCGGAGCGCTCGTCAGGTCGGGAACTAGGGCCGTCCCGAGTAGGTGGAGATGCACGCGAGCGCTCCTCGGGGCTACGGGAGCTGTCTCGGCCATCCTTGCGTCGCCGTCGCTCACGGTCAGTCTCTTCATCGCGATCACGCGTGGAGCGGCTGCTCCGCTCCGCCTCTTGCTGCACACGACGGCGGTAGTCCTCATCGGGATCAATCGCAGCCTCCTTGGGTGCTGCTTCTCTGCGGCGCTCTGCATCTCGGTCGACGTAGTGGCGGGGACGTTCGTCACCACTGCCTTCGGACGACCCATTCTTGCGAGAAGGCTTCTCGCGCTGTTCGTCCTCATAGCGAAGCTCTCGGGGCTTCGGTTCGGCATCTGGTCGTGGAGGGTAGGCAGGTGGGATCGCCGGAACTTCACGGCGTTCTTCGGGCCTCCTCTCACGCTCCCTCTCGCGCTCATCGGACCTGCGTTCACGACGCTCGTCGACCTTGTCACGGCTATCACGCTCGTCATGGGCTCTGCGACGCTCACGTTCCAGCTCCCGTTCACGCTCTTCAGAAGAGCTGCGTTCTTCGCGGTCCTTGTCTCTGTTCTTCATGTAGTTTGCAGCACCCAGGGTAGCTGCCACACCCGTAGCAGCACCGGCGACCGCAGACCCAAAGCCTGAGCCGCTCTCACGCTCACGCTCACGAGGTCGCTTCTCGTAGTTGTCGTAGGTGGCTGGTGGGGCGGCCTCTCGTGGGCGAGCCACTCGGGGTTCCGATGCTCGAGGATCAGGTACTCGCGTATCGACCACAGGGATTCGAGGGTCTGGCATGTGGGTGCTGGCACGGTGCGAGGAGTGGTAAGGAGCGTCGTAGTTGTCTGCCCTTGTATGGACAGGCTCCTGCGGATAGGCAGGCTGATGGGTTGGTACGTGGTAGTCATGGGCGAGCACGGGGGCGACAACAGGAGCAATGCCGAACCCACGCGTTGCGACCTGGGGATCGGGCAAGTGGTCTGTCGTGTGTCTCCTGTTCTCAACGTCTCGACGGTCGTATGTTTCGTGGTAGGGATCACGGCGAACGTCACGTGCCGGCTCTTGGTGGATGGCTGGAGCATGGTGGCGGGTAGAGGATGAGCGAGACGGCGCGGCGTCGGGGTAGGGCTCGTACTTGGGAATCTCGCGAGATCGATCGATGGAAGAGGAGCGGGCGTGGGGTCTGGGGATGCTGTTGTTAATCTTATCGAAACCACGGACAGACGGAGGCGGGCCCAACTCTCTCGTTGAGGTGCGGGCCGGACGGTCGATGATCATGCTAGTCGGGCGAGAGGTGCGTTCCATGCTGCCCGCGCGTGGTCGCCGCCACGCTGGCTCAGTGTCGCGGTACATGCTGGCGGGGTCCGTGTACGAGTACCCCTCGTCGCCCAGATCCGTCAGCCGTGCAGGAGGCTGTTTGGTGGTGGTGTGGTAGGTGCGACCACCGCTTGTGACGCCATAGCCCCGGTCCATGCTGTCCCGCTTGCTGTGGCGCGAGGACTCAATCGTGTCCCTCTCAGCCACGAGCTGCGTCGAGCGGCTGGTGTCGTCTACGCTGTAGATTTTCTTGTGCGAGGTCCGCGCGGGCTGCGTAATGTACGTCGTCTCGGCTCGCTTGTCATGCGAGCGGGTCAATGGGCTCGAGGGGCGGTCGAAGCTGCTGTGCGGGGAGTAGGGCGTGCGGAGTGGCATCGAGGTGGTGCTCGCTGTCGGCCTGATCATGTTGTCGTTTGTGTTCCGCCGCGGCCGGCCGTAGGTGGTCGAGGGCGTGGCTCTCGAGCCGGTGGTGATGGAGGTGGTGGGGGTGTAGTAGGTCGAGTGGTGGTGGGCGCCTCCAATGCGGTCGGCGCTGGAGCGTGGCGAGCTGGGGCGGACGTACGAGGACGAGGACGAGTAGTCGTAGTACGGGTCCGCAAAGGTGCCCGTCGACGACCTCGCCGGGTTGGCATGTCGCCGCGGGGACGACGAGCGCTTGTATCTCGACTCCATGACGGCGGGCTTGCTGTCGTTGGGGAGGGTCGACACTCGCAGCTGGAGTTTTTGAGTCTGGGCAGCGGGGGCCGTGGACAGGGAATTGCGACGAGGGGGGAGCGGCGGCGCGATGCCGCTGGATTGGGTATGAGTATGAGTAGTGGCCCTACGCAGACCACCGACGGGCGGCTGAGACGGTAGGAGGACGCTGCCCAACATGACTGTCAGCCGGTGAAGAATGGGGCGCTGAGAGGACGACGGGCACAAACGACGGAGAAGTAGAAATAGAAGCAGAAGTAGAAACAGAGGTAGAAACAGAGGTAGAAACAGAGGTAGAAACAGAAGTACAAGCAGCAGCAGTAGAGATAGTAGAGATGGTAGAGACGGGACCTGGCGCAGAACTGAGGCGCAGACGGACGTACATGCTGTCGCTATTATGGTCACCGAAGTCAATTAGCCTTAGCCAGGATGTCGTGGGCTTCGGTGCGGACCGAAAGAAGGGCAGCCCGACTCGACTCCAGCAACCAGTGGCTACTCGTGGGCAGATGCGAGGAGCGGCGCTGCGATACGGCCCAAGTTCCTGCTTGAGTGATGACGCCCTGAGCGATGGGCCGACAGGGGGCTCTTGTCCGCAAGAGAGTCGCTAAGTCGCCAAAAAAGCAACGTCTGATGTTTGCAGGCGCGGACAGGGAATGCCCAGAGAGCGTGTCCAAGAATCCTCGTCCGGATCCTCGACGTCTTCTGCAGCGGGGCACCACGATGCGAGGCGGGCGGCGGCAGCAGCAGGCACGCTGGTTGGAGAGCCTGCAAAAATCAAAGGAAGCGCAGCTATGCTGGCTATGCTGGCTATGCTGGATCTGGCCGGACGTTGGTAGCAATGAAGGGAGATCACAGGTGCGTACCGTCTATCGCGACGTCTTGGGGGCTCGTCTACGCCATGGTCAGGCATAGAGTAGCGATCAGCACTATGACATCGAACCCGGTGGACGGTCCAAGATCAGCCATCCCTGCCCGCTCACTGCACGAAGACGCCACCACCGCAACGTGCGTCCGTGTCACAGAAGGGGTCTCTGTGCGTAGTCTGCGTAGCCTGCGTAGCCTGCGTCGAAGCCTGCGCTGCTGCACCTCGCCCGCCACCCGAACCACTATTTCCAATTCCACGCCTCACTCTGCCCGCAATCGTCGCTGCATGTTCCCCTAACAACCTGCAAACTTTTGGTAGCGCGCGCACTGCCGGAGCGCACACCGGCTGTCAGTGTCACCACCGCCCCGCCCTGCTAGCTGCGAAGAGATTATCCCGCGTGCCCAAGGACCCTTTGGGCAGGATGTTCCTTGCCAACGCCCAACCATACAGCTTCACAAATGCAAGCAAAGCCCTACACCGCGACTCGCCCGCCGGGCAGCTACACTGAAAGGCCCGACTCCGACTACCTAATGAGTTCGCGATCTTCGCTCGCAGGAACACGTCGTACAGATCATGCTGTGTCGTCGAGCCACACGACGACACATGGTCGGAGATGCTCGACGACCTCTTCGGACGCTGTCCAGACGGTGTAAGGGCACCTGGACAATCCCATGCACGAACGCGTCGAGGGAATCGACAACCCCATCGTCCAGCCGCGGTGCTGGGCCAGGAGCGCCAGACTCGGCAGTATTCAAATCGACTTTTGAACAATTCCATGTCACGCATAGTGGCGATCCGATGCACTCTGGCCATGTACTCGATTCGGACACTATCGTCCCCAGCAACTGCAGATGATATTCCCTCTGCCCATCTAAACTCTATCACGCGTCCTCGACATGATCCACCCGCGCGCTTTTGCTGCCTTTTCGTGGCGTGCTGCCATTGACCGAGTCTGCATCTGCACTATAGGTGTGGTGGTGGTTCTGGAGCCCCTTTGCGCGCGAAGTCTTGGGGAAAGTGTCCATGATGCAGCCCTTGATGATGTTGCCCTCGAACAGCTCTCCGATCGACTCCAATGGCACTCCCTTGGTCTCGGGCACACAGAAGACTGTCCAGATGCCCATGACGATGCAGAGAGAGCCGAACAGCAGGAATGTTCCGTAGGTTATGTCAGCCAGGAGAATGGGTGTGATTTTGGCAATCACAAAGTTAAACAGCCACTGTGTCATGAGGGATGCCGCCATGACGAGCGATCGCACGTGGTTAGGGCTGCACTCTGAGCTTAGAATGAAGGGCGTATATCCCCAGCCTTGGGACCGTTAGCAAGTGGTAGGTGGGGGAGCGGATCAGCTTACCCCAAGAGTAGAAGACGACGAAAAGGTAAACGCAGATGATCGCAAAGATCGAATGGCCATCGAGTACGCCCTTAGGAGGGTGGATCGCCTGATTGATGCCAATGTACCTATCGGAGTCTCAGTATATGCCCCTCAGTCGCCTCACCCGCGGATATACTCACAGCATGGCGAACGCTTGCCCCAAAGAGCCCATGATGAGCGACCATTTTCGTCCGATCTGCTCAGTGAAGGCCATCAGACCAATCGCAGTCATTACAATCTTCACAATACCGTATACACCTGCACATGAAGTCAGTAAATCTCTCACCCGCATACTCACTGCATCTTACCAGTAGCGAACAGCCCCGAGGAAGTCCCCACGAGACCTATCTGTCTGAAAATCTGTGGGGCGTAGTAATTAATTGAGTTCGTACCCGTCCACTGCTGCCAGAACATGAGGATAACGCCAAACGACGTGCGATAAAACATCTTCTTGCTCGACCCTGCAGCGCGCATCTGCGCAATTAGCGGCATCTTCTCGTGCCCGTTGAAGTCCTGGATGATCTCGTCGAGCTCCTGTACCACGTCAGGGTCATCCACAGTCTTTCCGCGAACAGTAGCGAGCGCCTTCGCTGCGTCTGCCGGGCGGTTCTTCTCCACCAGCCAGCGCGGCGACTCGTTCATGAAGGGCATTCCCACGAGCAAAATCGCTCCAGGTATAATCTGCAACGCAAACGGGATGCGCCATTTCGCCTCAGACGTAGCGTCCGCGATGTTGAGGTTGATGCCGTAGTTGACGAAGAAAGCCAGACATATCCCCGTGACGTTGAAGAGTTGCATGCACCCAATACACCTCCCTCGAATCTCCTTGGGTGCATTTTCGCCAATGTACTACATCACCACACCGTCAGTATCCCCCATACGCAACACGCACGAGAGAAGTATACGAGAAATCAACTCACAGTCGGTACAACCGCACTAACCAAGCCCACTCCAAACCCCCCAATCACCCGCCCAACATACAACTGCGGCAGATTCCCACCCCAAATCAGCGTCTGCACCAGCGATCCCACGATGAATATCACATCCGCAATAATCAGCGCTGCCTTGCGTCCAAACGTATCCGACACGTAAAACGACGCCATGGCGCCGAAGAAACAGCCCGCTTGCAGGACGGACACGATGTTCCCCTGCAAGTTGGCGAAGTCGGGACTGTCCTTGTGCAGGTTGAATGAGTGCTGGAACGCTTCCATTGTTAGTACGCCCTATGCAGGTGGTTAGTCGTTATGGGGGATGGGAGTTATGGGGATATTGCGCACGCCGATTAATCCCGTGTCCCAACCGAACAACATGCCACCGAACGATGCGATGGCCGTGAGGAGGTAGGCGCGGCGGTATGTTTTGACGTCGCGCCATACAGCGGGGAGGTCGAGCTTCGCCATGATCGTCTTTCAACAAACAAGAGCGTGTGTACTCAGACAAAAGACGAGACGAGATAACAAAGCAGTTGAAAGTAGAGACGGCACATGCACTTGCAAAGATATATCCATCTCCTTATCAACCTTCGGCGCCGACGCCAAAACTTAGTTTATATACCCATAAAACCCGTTGAATGAAGATTATCCAATGCCTGCGGCTGTTCGCGCCATGACGTGGGGTCGCAGCTGTGGGGTCCCCAATGCCAACGGTGGAGAAAAGCAACTCTGCCCTCCTTTCCCTTCTTCCAGCTCGCTTTTCAAACGCCGCATGCACGCAACGCCGACGCAAAGATGCGAGATTTTACAGATTCGTTGGATTGTCCAAGGCGGCTTTTGGTGGTCAAGATGCCGCGTGGATCACCCGCGAAGCTTAGCGAGGCGCGGGAGGGGGTTGTCTCAGGTTGAAGGCAAGGTTCAGCGGGCTTATGGTGTGCGTGCCAAGAGCGCGTGCTAGGCTTCTGGTCGGGCACATTAGGGTTCGGACTGTGTATGCAGAGATCAGGTCATGCTGAGTGTGCGAATTTTTGTACAAAAGTCTTGGGGGTGTGGATACAGAAGCCGCTCAGAGGCCGACCCCGGATTCTCCACAATTGCGGTCTGGGGATAAGTGCGGGCATGTGAAGATGTGTGAGGGGATCGAATAAATATGTTGTGTTGTCTATGTAGTGAGGTTTGTTTGGTCCAGTGCTTCCCCCTGTTTGCATCAAATCTTCGCCTTGTCCTTCTGCTCGGGAACCTGCGTAAGCAATTTCTCATGCTGTATCGCTGACTTGAGATTATCCAACACCAACAACTCCATATCGCGCTGTGCACACACCATTAGCCAAGATACTCTCACTCAATACAAGCATGCAACTTACCTGTGTCTCAAAAGTGCCTGTCCCAACATGCGGCAACAAAACCGCATTCTCGCACTCCAGCAATCCCGGGTGAATCTTCGGCTCCTCCTCAAATACGTCCAATCCACACGTCCACACCTTCCCGCTTTTCAGCGCATCCACCAACGCCGCCTCATCGATCAACGGGCCGCGAGCCGTGTTCACAATGACGATGCCGTCCTTCATCTGCGCGAACTGCTCCTTGCCGATGATATGCTTCGTCGAGGGGTTCAGCGCGAGGTTCAGACTCAGCACATCCGACGTCTTCAACAGCTCCTCGAAGCTGACGTACTTGGCGCCGTCCTCCTTGTTCGGCGGCAACTGATGCCTGTTGTGGTATTGGATCTTCATACCGAAAGCCTTCGCGCGGTGGGCGACGGCGGATCCGATGCCGCCCATGCCTAGGATGCCGAGCGTCTTGTTCTTGGGGTCGTGGCCCAGGGAGAAGTTGCCGCGCCATTTGCCTGATTCGTCTCATTAGCTATTGCCTAAAAGATAATATGAATGTGCCTCATGGGACTCACCGGCGTTGACGGCCATGTAGGATTGCTTGATGTTTCGCAGCGCGCCGAGCATCAGCCAGATTGCTACATCTGCGGTTGCATCGTCGACGGCGATGGGTGTGCTTGATACCGAGATACCTCGCTTTGTGCACGCCGCGACGTCGATGTTGTTGTAGCCGGCGCCGTTGTGGCAGATGAACTTCAAGCTCTTTGGCAGGGCCTCTACCATTTCCTCATTGAAATCGCCGGTGATGGGGTTCGAGTCGTTGCTTCGGTACAGCGCGAAGACATTTTCAAATTCACCGCTTTTGCACTTGGAAATAAAGTCTTCCCGAGTGCCGTCCGGGTACTCGTAGAGCTTTGATGCGACTTTTGCGCATTCTTGCCATTGCTGTTGTGTGTGTGAGAGTTTGCCGATGAGAAGAGCTGCTCTTTGAGACATGATGGCGAGTGTGTGAAAAATTAAGAACAGGCGGTATAAGGAGCGATGAACTGGCAAGCAGAGGTAGAGCAAGAACTGCCGTCCGACAGCGGCGTTTGGTTGTATTTGTAGCTCATGTGTCGGCCATATCCTCGCCCCATCTTACTCCGGACTAAGCTATCATTCCATCACATTGTGCCGCAGGATAAATAGCCACAATCTGATCATGGAAGCTCCCTGGTACGGGAATAGTCTAGGCGTAGTACTTCAATCGCAAGGCGTTGGTTGCTTGCACAGCTACAAACATCGCGTGTGCAGGTATGACGTAGCCTGCTTGCCCCGCCGTTGCCAATTCGGCAAATCTCATGAGTGGCAGGGAACCGACACGCATGCGAAGTCATACCACAGTTCAGGCAATTGTCCTGCATGTATTACATCGTCCGTTATGGTCAAGAGCACCATAAGTCATGCAAACACTTCTACAAGCAGTTGTCGGCCTTTGAATGTCTCTAGTGCATATGCTGCCAAACGCCGACAGACACGTGAGCGAGCGTTGGCCCCGCCTTGCCTAATTTAGTAAAGTCGCCGTAATTTAGCAGCTCGGGGCGAAGTCTCGCGCCGATGCCGACACATCTCCACAAAACACCAGGAACGCATTGTAGATGCTTGGCGGCAAGGCAGCAGTGGTGTCCTTAGACATGTTCTCGATCGGTCCATTTGTGCAAAAGGAAAGCAGGTATCGGACATGAGTCTGCGCCGACCTCACGGCTGGGCGCCTGAAAGGATCAGCTTTGGTTTTAAAGCTTGCGTCCTAATAGCTCCCTCAGCCTTCACTGAACTCTTTACCACACCATCATGGAGCTTGATAAAATTGCCGTACTAGGGGTAAGTCGAAAGGACTTGCGGTGCCCTAGCTTGTACTCACATAATCCAGCCTGGAGGAAATGTCGGCAGTGCCGTTATCACTCGTCTCCTCAGATCTTGGCCGGGCTCCGACATCACCGCCATCACCCGTCAAACATCGTCGTATTCTCCACCACCTGATTCTGGCATTCTTCACACGAAAGCAGACTATGAATCGTTTGATGCTCTTGTCGACGCATTTGCTGGCCAAGATGCTGTGGTGAATTGCATCACCGGCATTGCTACTCAATACGATCCATCAAAGCGCATCGTCGACGCTGCAGTCGCAGCAGGTGTAAACTTCTTCTTCGCAAACGAGTTTGTTGCCAACATGGAAAGCGAGCAGGCCCGGCGCCTACCAGAGTCTCACGCGGGTGCAAAATACAGAATAAGAGAATATCTCAAGGAGCTTGCGAGTGAAGAGAAAATCGCATGGACTGGACTGAATGGAGGTCCGTTCTTTGATATGTGTAAGCGATGACCTATGAAATCTGGTATGCCGTGCGCAGTATCTATCTAACGCATACAAGGGCTCATGAAAGGTCCGGCAGGCTTCGATATCGCTAACCGCCGCGCCCGCATATACGGTACGGGAGACAACATACTCTGCTGGACACCTCTACCGATCATGGGTCTTGCCGTTGCGAACATGCTGCGCAATCCCGAACCCGTCACGAATCGGTCGATTTTCATATGCCCATTCTCGGACCTCACTCAAAACAAGCTGCTCAGCAATCTGGAAAAAGTCCTGGGCGAGAATTTCGATGCCGAGAACGTCGACGTCAAGAAAATAAACAAGCATGCGCGCATTGCGCTGGAACGAGGCGAGGCGGCTAAGGCGATGAAGGGCTTGGCGGTTAGCAATCAATTCTATGAAGATGATTGTGGGAATGATTTTAGACATTTGGTGGAGAATGATTTGGTGGGTGTGGAGATGATGAGTGTGGAGCATGCAGTCAGAGATGCACTGGAGCGGTATGGAGAAGACTGTAAGGTGGTGGAGGCGTTATTCAAGGTGGATCCATGCGAGATATAGCACGGTTTTCTTGAAAGCCCGAGGATGCGCAGTCATACCTCTATCGGTTCTGTACTATGGAGTCTGTGTAAAGTCCAGCGGACACTGCCCCTTCAGCTTCTTGGCGAGGACCATGGGGCATGCAGCCTTCGCCTTCTCAGCCAGTTTTTCTGACCTCTTGCCCTCAGCTTTCCTCTCCTCGAAGTTCATCGGGCATCCGCTTCTCGTGTAGACTGCATTGTCGAACTGACCAAACGTAGTGAATGCGCGAGCCTCATTGTCCTTCACAAAAGACAAGACATCCTCGCCACCCTTGCCTTCCAAGTGCTTCGGTCCAATCTCATGTAACTTATAGCCTTCCGGCCTGAACTTCGCGTCACCAGCAACCGGGAGCCCAAAGAACCTCGTATAGGCAGTGTATACCCAGCTGCAACTCTTCGAGCTCGCAACATACCATGGCTCAATTTCCCAGAACATCATCGGACGGTACCCAGCCTCATTTTCCTCGCCAAAGACCTGTAGAGTCGATGTCCGCGGCAGCATCAAGTGTCGAACAAAGTGCTTGCGCACACCCAGCCCAAACTCAAGTGCCTTCCTCACAGCCGCAGTCCATCGTCCAGAAACCATAAACGCGCCACTCAACCTCGAATCCATAAACGCCACCAAAACTGCATGCACCGCCGGTCCCAAAAACGCCGGAACACTCGACGCATAAAGCGCAAACACACCCTCTGCAACAACCCTATTATCCTCACTCGCCCGCATCTCCCTCCCCTCAAACTCCTCCACATACACCACACACTCCTCAAAACTCCCCGGCACACCCACCAACCCCATCCGCCTGCCCACCTCGCTCCAAAACACCCAACTCGCATGTTTCTCCAGCGCCGTCGTCGCGCGCCAGTCATACCGATCGATCCACAGCAGCGCCTCGCACGTCAACAGACACAGCGTGTACACCATCTGGTCCATCTTGATAGCGCGGCCGTAGCGCGCGTGGATCCAATTCATGCGGTTGATGGCGATGCATGCGCGCTCGCTGTCGATGTCGTTGACGAGGAATTCGCCGACGAGCACGGTTGTGTCGGCGTAGCGCTTGCCGACGCGGGAGACCATTTCGCGCGCGCGGACCGAGACTTTGGATATTCCGGGGATGGCGAAGGCCTGAGAGGAGGTTGTTAGGATGGGGTGGAGGGACAGGGGAGATACGCACGCGTAGAAAGGCGAAGTCTTTGCCGGCGAGAAAGGTCCAGGGACATTCGAATAAGCCCTGGTATGTTAGGACGTCGTTGATGTGGTGGTGAAAATGTGGTGAGGACTGACTAGCTGGCCGATTATGGTTTGGGCATCGCGATAGTTGAGGTTTGAGAAGGATGCGGGTGTGGACCCGTGTTGCTTAAGGAGGGTGTTGATGCGGCGATATCTGAGTGATCTTACGAGTATGAGATAGACAACGAAGAAGGGGATCAAGAGGATGAAGAATTGAAACATTTTGAGGTATCAGTCACTTGACGGGGATTTCCTAAGATCCAGTACCTGTGACGATGTACCTAGGGGAGCTCAGATATATACTAATTTACGGCACTCGCTCCTCTCCAGCAGGTTTGCGAAATGCCGTTGGGTTAGCGGACAGATACTGTGGGCACTACTACCATCCAGGCAGCCAATTCCACTAGCGACTGTCCTGGGTGCCTTACTTCGCTTGCTCTCGAACCTAATCAGACCGTCAAAGTTGTACTTCTCCAAATCATGATGTATGCTCCATGGAGTCCGTGGACCGACAATATAAGTCAACATTGTCAGGAGCACTGACCATTGTGCCACATGAATTTCAACTTCCAGTGACAACAGATCCCGATGGTTTTAGAATGATAGAGGGGTTGTATGCAGGTCGAATATGTCGCATCTGTGCCATCCCTGCTCATGCATAGTATTGGTACAGTATACTCCACATTCGTGCCGCTCCAAGTACGAAGGATTGATCAGCCGAGCAATTAAACTGTCCAGCAGCAGAGAAAACGAGAGGGAGACTCGATTTCTTAGTGCCTTGCTTTATGTAGAAGTACACCTAGATCTCCTATTTGTCGTCCACGCTGGTTTTTGAGATCGAGGCGAAGTGGCAGGGTGACCCGAGCGGCAAACGGAAACGAAAAGTCTTGGTATTATACTTCGGAAGCACTACTTTACTCCACGCTCAGCCTCCTGACATACGATGTGCATGCACGCGTGAACTGCGCCAAGCCAGACGAATTGCATGTGCTGGCTGCATGCGTGCATACACGGTTGCGCTTACACAGAAACGGACTCAGAGGGCCTTCCTGAACTCAGTGTTGGTGAAATGCTCCGATCTCAAAGTCTTGACATTCTCTTGCAATAGTGACCGTGTAGCTCAGCAAAATTGTCCCGTGATTTTGGCAGGTGTGCTAAGATTGCCGCGGTACCAGGAAATCTGGTATTTTGGGAGAGCCTGTGCATGAGTAGTGGTTGCAAATTGTGAAGCGAGCATTCTGCGACCTTGGGATGAACCGAGGCCAGCTGCACTGCCAATACCTTAGTCATGTCTCCACCTTCGTGCATACAGGAACTCGATTCCTTCGTAGACGTTCGGAACTCCTTGCGGGGAGAAAATCATCCTTAGAATGGAGTCATCCATAATTCAGAATATGGTATAGCTCAGTCTTCTTGTTGCGGCATGCTTCTTCACTTTCGGCTGTTTGGCTGGTAGAGCGTCTCGCTCTCTCAAAGGACGATGCTAGAAATCCTTTTCCGATCCCAACAAGGGCGTATAAGTCCACACTCTTCCGTGTGTCTCTTCGTACCCGATATTGATCGTGCATCGTTCGGTCGCCGTTATAGCAGTAGTGTCGGGCGTAAAGCAATCTATTTATATTAGCCATTACACGATCTACAACAAGAGATTTTGTCAAGAAGTACAAAGTCGACATACCTTGGTTACAACAACATGTTGAGTGCCTACAGCCTATTCTGAACTTACAACATCATGATGAAATCTTCGGTCTTTCTGTCATTCATCCTACTCACGAGCACCACACTCGCCCAAAATGGCACGAACCTATTTTGGCCAAAGCTCCACTTCGGCCTTCTCGAATGCGACAACGGTCTTGAGGGATATGGCTGGCCCGATCCGAACCACGAAGGTCGAGTATCATGGAACCTAGTAGGAATGTTCCCCAACGGCAATCCTCGTCCAACAGACCTGAACCGCACCTACATCTACACTCTACCGCAGGGCGGATATCCATACCACAAATATGAGGGCTGGAACTCGAGTGCATTCTTCTGGGCTGATCCGGACCAGTTGAAGGATTACCCACGGGGCTGGTTGGACATTACGATCCCTGCTTCGGCAAAGGGCATGAAGACAGAGATCCAGGCTGGCACAATTGGATTTGAGGGAGTGGAGTTCAATTGTCGGAGAGAAAACACCCAATTGTTCATGGGAGGCGGTGTGGAATGTCGGGCTTCAAATCGCGAATTTTGCGCTGGGTATACTTATTGTCAACTGAGGTACCTTTGCAGGAGGGAGAAGTGGCCGGCGGACAAGGGCTGTGTTGGCTCGCAAGCGAACTTTTGTTATCCGAGCTGGGATTTCCCAGGCTCGTCATGATGTGGGAGGGAAGTTTGGATAGTCGATTAGATACACGATGAATTGTAAAGCGTCGGAATGCATCAATTGACAGCTGAATAATGACACCTGGTCGCATCGTTGGGGTCGTCGATACCCGAAGCGGCTGCATCGACATGATTGGCTAATCTCCATTGGTGTACCTGACGATCCGCCCTCAGGGCTGTACCGTGCGAAGTCATGCCTCATAAAGAGAAGGTTACGCGTTGTTCGTTGACCGATGTCTTGGTGTTGATGCTGGGGCATGGCTCGCCTTACGACGACAGCAGAGCGAATGCCCGAAGTGAGGGTACGTGACGTCATGACTATACACGTCGCGGTACGAAAACAGTCGAAGTGACAAGACGCGGCGTCCGCGCGTACCGATAGCTCGCTCCAAGTAGTACTCAACACTATCTTTTGCATTTTCGAATACATACACAGTGCGTTGGGATATGCCTGGAATTACTGCTACCGCAAAGATGTCGGAGAGGAAGAAGTTAAGGAATCATGTGAACGGCTACACGAACGGCGACAACGCGGAATACATAATTCCAACCTCAATACCACAAGAACCCGTCTCCGTCCAGCGTACTCCATGGATCCCACCAAAAGACTCCAAACTCATCCACCCTGGTATGCCCTTTGCAATTTCCCAATCACCATGCACTATACTCACTCCCCTCAAGGCACCGCCCGCGCAAACCTCGCCGCCACGCACGACAAACCCTACGGCACGACAGAGAACAAATGGTCCGAAAAGCACGCGCACCAAACCGTGCTCCAGCAACACGTCGACTTCTTCGATCAAGACCGCGACGGCATCATCTCGCCATACGACACATTCATCGGCTTCCACCGCGTGGGCTTCGGCATCGTGCTGTCCATCATCGCCGCCTTCATCATACACATCAACTTCAGCTACCCGACGTCCACGTCCTGGCTGCCGGACCCGCTCTTCCGCATCAACATGGTGAACATGCACCGCACGAAACATGGCGGTGATACGGGCGCATATGATAATGAAGGACGGTTTGTGCCGCAGAAGTTTGAGGAAATATTTAGTAAGTATGCGGAAGGACGGGAGTGGATGACGTTTTGGGAGGGTGTGGATATGCTTAGGGGTCAGAGGAATGTCAATGATATTATTGGGTGGGGTGGGGCGACGTTTGAATGTAAGTTGTGTGTACGCAGGTATGTGTGAGCCTTTTTACTAATGCGGTGATAGGGGGAGCGACGTACCTCATGCTGTGGCCGGCGGATGGGAAGATGCATAAAGAGGATATCCGGGCGACGTTTGATGGGAGTATTTTCTATGTTATTGCGGAACGCAGAGCGAAGGGCTTGAAGGCTACGCCTACGACGCAGTAGGGTTGAGTATTCATTTGGCTTGAAGCAAAGCGACGTCCAAAAAGATTACGGTTACTTCTCCAACCTTACGGCCCTCGCTTCATCTCTCCACCATTCACACTGCACCCTCCTATTCCCATCTCCTTCCACTCTGCTGTTTCCAAACGCCTCCATCCTCAACTGCAGTCCCGGCATACCGTTCTCATAGTCATCCTCGTACTTGGGCCACCTTGGGAGACCAGGCTTGTTACCAGCATTCGGGTCACCAAGGCTTACGAAATCCGAGAAATATCCGTGCAGTAACTTGCCGACCTCAGGGTGCTGTACGCCACCAGTTCCGCTTGGCTCGAGCCATGTGTACTTGGTATCGGCTGTATGGGGTATGCCTTTCCATGTGGGAAAGGTGTTGTTGACAGCGAAGTTCAGCTTGTACACGGGGACTCCGGCAGCGGACATGCGCGTGGCTGTTTCCTGACCGGGGCAGACGTACATGAAGTCTGTAAGAGCTGCGGAGATGCGGTTGTACTGTGTCGAGTTGGGACTGTTTGCGTACGGGCCATTCACGTCGTTGGCAGGATCGGGGTACAGGGCCTCCAAATCGGAAAGATCTGCGATACTCAGACCAGGGATAAGGTTCTTGAAGAAAGCGAGGAATTGCTCGTTCGTCGAGATGTTACCAGCGCTGTAGTATTTCGCCTCATCAAGGACATTTGTGGTGATGGTCGGGATCTTGAAGAACTGCTCGTTGATGCCGGCCTCTGAACCTGAAAGCTCGAGGAGTGGGCCGCCGCGGGTAGGCTGGAATGGCCAAGTAATCGGATACTCGGACTCTCTGAACAGATCTGAGCTGATCTTCTCGATCTTCTCGATGGGCGCGGCACGCAAGCAGCTCAAGATGGCAGCATCCGTGCTGTTGGCGACCTCATCGCAGCCAATAGCTTGCAGGACGCGGCTGAACTGCTGCTGATACAGCGGGTAAGATGCGTTGGGAAACGAACGAGCGGTAATACTTCCAGACTGGAGGAGAGCCTGGGAGAAGAGGGGCGAGGCACCCTCGGTCTTGTTGTAGTTGTGGAACAAATGAATGCCTACCGAATGAGCACCTGCAGAACGACCGCCAATGGTCACTCGGCTGGGGTCGCCGCCAAAAGCGGAAATGTACTGCTGCACGAACTTGAATAACAGCTCTTGGTCAAGGAGTCCAAGGTTCAGCAGTCCCTGGCGCTCAAATACTGGATGAGGCATGAAGCCGAGCGAGTTGACCTTTGTACATGTCAATTGTAGTTGCTGATGCCACTAGACTCTTACTTACCCGGTAGTTGAATGTCACAGCAATCAGCGGCTCTTTGGAGTTTGCTACAAAAGCAGCACCGTCGAAGCTTCGCGCGCTTCCCTGCACGAACCCACCCTATGTCAATCAGCTTAGCCATTCCTCATCTTCCAGGCGCAACTTACTCCATGGATCCAAATCAGCACGGGTACCTTGGCGCTCGACGAAACGTTCTTTGGGCGGAAAACGTTCATGCTCAAGCAAGCCTCATCTTGCGGAAGAGGTAAGTCCTCCGGATCCTGGATACACGCAAAGCCGTATTGGGTAGCATTCTTCGTGCCGTAGAACGACGCTGGAGGGCTCGCATGCGCGAAACGTCCTTCGCCAACAGGTTGCTTGGCGTAGTCGATTCCCAGCCACGCATCCACGGGAGCTGGCAGAGCCTTCTTCGTCAACGTCTGATTGACAGTCGTGCCAACAAAGCTACCATAACCAGGAAGGGCGACCGCGCTTGAGGCCGTGACAGTAGAGAGGATCGCGGATGCAACAGCCAGTCGCTGGCAGGCGGCTAGGAGAACCATTTTGCCGTGGTTGAGAACGGTAATCCAGTCAAGCTGCATCATCAGGTCGAGCGACACCATACTTAAAGTGTTCGTGCTGCTTCTAAGGCGTCCACTTCAAGGACCGATTGCGGCTCAAGCACCCCAGTTGATCTGCATTGCGCCTCCACTTTTTATGTTCCGACGATAGGATCCGACGATGTTCCGACGATACCAACGACTATCGTGGGATATGGGGTCGGGTAGGGTGGACCGACGTACCATTTGCGCTAGGTATTAAGACGACTCGGAGAGTTTGTCTGATTAAAGTCGTGGGGTATCACACTACATACGAACCATGGTGAGATGTCGACAACAATGATGATTATGACGAATGGGTTATTGTTTTCCTTGAATCGGAGGCTGCGGCTTTTTGCCGACAGCAGCCAAGGGTACTAGCTATTCATGAGCCGAAGATTTGCCATAATGCAGGGAATCGAACACCCTTGGCGAAGAGATAAGGATGCTGTTAGCCGCAGGCTCGGTCGTTGCGTATCTTCTCGGTGTTAAGACAAAAGGGCATCACAGGATGTTGCAGAGTTCAGACATTACGGAAAGAACGGCGTCGGCAACGCTAGGCTCGATTTAGCCGTGATAACTCCTGACAGCACCGACTTCTTTCTTACACGTCGCACTCTCAACATATACAACATCGCACGCATAGTTCTAACTAGAGGTACCTTAAGATGGTACCTCGAAGCACGCTGGGTATCATCGATGACGCATTGTTTGCATTCAATAGCCAAAATGATTGACAACGCCGCAATCTCTAGTTTCCACTTTCACCATGTATTCGAAAGCTTCACGGCGTGCGTCACGTCAATTTCACTGGAAGCGGGATTTGTGCTCGTGAGGCTCGATTTGCGTCTCTCATAAGCCCTCGCTTTCTGAATTACCCAACTTACCCCCCAACCCCAACCTCAACCTCAACCCATTGTCAACCATGGCTGCGCCACCAAGTACTGGGGATCGATCAAAGTACCACGGACACCAAAGATCGCCGCTTTAAAGATAGGACTGTACGCGGATCCTTCGATTCCGAGCTTTCCGGGAGCACCACATGCTGCAACAACGTCAGCATGGTCTTCCAGCCGCCCTTTTAGGACGATGCAAACTCCTAATCGTCCATTCACATTCTCAAGCTCCTCTAATAGCCCGTCTCCGAGTGTTAAAGAGCTCGTTGGCGATGCGCTTGGTGGGACCACGAGGGATCTCGCTACCCTCGCCCAGACCATTGCTCCCAGCGTGCCACAGATGCTTCACGAGTTTCGACCATCGGAAAACGACAAGTTTCTTAGCTCGTTTTATGTCACGGTCTGTATCCTGTGATTCGTTATTGTTCCTCTTCTCTTTGAACGACTTACGGATCTCGTGGGCCGCATATATATCTTGTGCTTAACATCAACCTTCTATTTTATCTTCACCGTTGCATGAACGCTAAGAAATACACTATCGATGCTGATTGTATTTCGTTTCGTTGCCGGGTGCTTTGGTGGTGCGCCTATGGCCATTGGAGGAGGCGCCGTCTCGGATATGTATCCACCGAGGCAGAGACCTCGACTAATGGCATGGTACTCTGTTGGGACAATGACGAGCCCTAATGTGGGTCTTGTGCTCAGTGGCATGATCACAGGTGGTCTTGGTGGAGATGGGTATTCTGGATCGCTTCTACCATGGTAAGTGTACCACATACTTCACCATCATGGAATTAACAGATAAACTCGGCTTGAGGCTGGGCTGTGTGTTTGTACTTTGTGCTTCCTACTCGAAGAGACTCACCAAGCCACTCTTTTCAGAATAGCGGAATACAACAATAGTACTGCAATCATGATCGGAGCTACATCGATCTATAGCCCAACGACAGTCAACTGGAGGCGTCAAAACTTTGCGCTTATCATTGGGCGATCTCTGAGTATTCCTGCAATCATCACTTCTCAAAGCCCTTGCCTAGCCATCATACTGTTGAGCACGTTTTACAACGGACTGATCAACATGATACTGTCATCATTAGGCTCGGTGTTCCAGTCAAGCCCAGAAAGACAAACTAACCCAGGGGCACAAAGAGTAACGAGCACACCAACGACGACAGTGTCATAAAATCAAAGGTGTTTTCAAGGATTTTGTTGGCGACAACACAGGCGGCACTGGCTCAGATACCAATGGCAGGACCACCATCTACAAGGCTGACCACTGGATTCCTACGAGTAAAGAGATTGACGTCGGAGACGGAAAAACATCCTTCTGTAACTTGAAAAGAAAAAGAGGCAAGACTGGCACCGCTTGTTTCAAGACTTTCAAGGATGGAGCAGTAATGAATTTCTGCGACAAAGTCTTTGAGCGGTCAAATTTGGACACGCTGAAAGCCAATGAATGTGCGAAGATCGGAGAACAAGTCAGCACCAAGAGGTGGGCGAAGAAATTCATCGGTGCGAACGTCCTACACGAGTTCATGTGAGTTGTCATATCGAAACCTCTGAGGGATTTAACGTTTTTACGTCTAGGCACAACCCCCGTATTGGTAGAGAGGCGGTCTTGAAGAAAATCAAGAATTTTGCCTATGATGCCCACCGTAAGGAAACTCCTTATCTTCGCGATGCGCAATATCTGAATTACTGGTTTGCGACCAGAGTGCCATCAATTAGCCATCGACGGCGACATTGAGAAGCGCAAGACGACAATAAACAACGCGGACACGTAGGTGGGGTATGCTCTGGTAAGCAAGGATTCGTGAACTACTTCAAAGGTTGTCTGCTAATTTAAATTGCTTCCAGGATATATCATTCCAAGAGATATGTGGAAGGCAGTTCAAGGAGCCGCAGGATGAAAAGAACGACGATGACAGCGTCGCTGATAGCGACTCGCCAGACTCAAGCCCTGACACAGATGATTCAACAAACGGAGCTTGCGATTGCAACTAGAACGGCCGCATCCCCAGTTCGTGCGCTTGCTGTGCCAACAACTCTTGCCAGCCATTCGAAGAGTAGTGGGAGGCACGTGTAGAGGTGTCAGAGTGAGGAAGAAAAGATCCCGTTGGATGCGTTGATATCTACCCCAAATTGCCTTCAATCGTGAAGTCCCTTCGCTTCATTAGGTAGATCGACGCGTATTGATGGTAAAAGACGATGGTCTGGGCTTGGATCTTGACGAAGTGTTTGTCTTAAGGAGTCAAGGCGAGATTCTTTGCTACATTTGAGCATTTTATCTATATAAGAACTAAGATAACATGTCTTGGAACTGTATTGCGTTTGATGTAATGAATGAATGCTGAAAGTACTTCAAGAGCGTGAGGTAAACCGACCGCGGTACACAAGCGAAGCGACTAACGCCTACGCCTCAAGCAGTACCGCTGGAGGATCCTTCCTTTCCACAAATGGATTTGACTGCGCTTCCTCCGTTGGTAGTGTAGTAAATCGCGCCAGATTTTGGCATGCCTGGCCAAGTATCTCCACCCATCTTGTCATTTGTCCATTCGATAGCAGCTCCGGCGTGGAACTGCTGGTAGCAGTATGCATCTACTGCAGGCCTGCGCACCTCGTTGGGTCCCCAGATAATAGCGAGGATGTCCACAGGACTTCCAGCTGGCTTGGGCCGAGGCTCCACAACACTCACCTCGCATCGACCATCGCGCGAATTCTCAATTGGACCAACCTTGACATCGTGATCGCCTGAGTACTCTCTACATACAAAGATCCGCTTCTCCTTGCCGAACTCGTACGTGAATGATATAGTCTTGTTGACACCATGCCACGGCTCCTGGAAACCAGGTGCGACACTGTGGACGCGGAGGTTCTCACCTTCGTTGAATAAGATCTTGGCTACTGCTGTAGACTCAACACCTCCATAATGGGCACTTGTGATCTCCAGTGACGCTGATGGCGTAGCAGGAGGGTCCTCAGCCCTAACGTTAGCCTCCATCATAAGTCCATTTCGCTGGAAGTCCTTGGCTAGGGAGGCGACCTGATCGTTTGTTAGCTTCGAAGACCTGGTTTTTGAGCCAGACGGTTTACCTTGGTCCACTTATCTCCGGCTTCGTTGAGACGAGAGAAAGCCAACTTCGTTCTGACTTTGCTACCGGATGATACGTATTTCTTGACAGTGTCCAGCTTGTTGGCAATGTCGTTGAGGTCGGTCTCCAGGGCGCTGAATGCCCCTACGAACGCTTAGTGGCGTGCTTGAATTGATGAAATTGAAAACTTACCAGCCATACTTGTCAAAGCTGACTCTGCTTGTTGAATATATTGGTGAACATCCTTGATCAGTTCGGTGAGGTTCTTGCACTTCTCTGTAGACTTGTTAGAACATAGAGCCTCAAGCTGAGGGCCTGCACTTGCCTCGGAAAGAAATCGCGGTAGCTAGGTCGTTTCCTGCTTTGTTCGCCACTTCTTCATACTTCCTCTGCAGAGATCGAACTGCATTCTCTGCATCAGCCTTCTTGACGGTCTCTGAGATGGCAAGACCCCAGCCGATCCATGGGACAGCATAGTACCATCGGACACCAGCTGTATATAACAATTAGTATGTAGATATGAGCGTGGAACAAGGCTACTTACAATTGGCTTTAGCCTTCTCTCTCTGTTTGTTTTCTTGATTGGCCAAGGAGTTAAGCTCATCACGCGCCGTGTCCATACCCTTGCGAAGATCGGCATTGAGTTGGGCAGTACTGGGGAGGACAATTGACTGGCGTTCGTTAAGTGTATTCAGGCGCTCCTTATCGATGCCCGTGATCGTCTTGAACTGTGAGTTGTTAGAATAGTTCTCAGAATACCTTGAGACACCTCACAGTGCCAAGTTGCGTGACAAATGCAGCACACTTCTCGTTGCTCTGCTTGGCTTCATCGCTAAGCTCAAGGCAGATAATCATAGCTGTCTCGACAGCCTCTTTGACCTTGGGATCCTCTAAGTTAGAAGCTCCATCTTGAATAACGTTCATCGCAGCCAAGAGCTCTACAGAGCGCTTGCCAGCAGTCTCAGCGTAGTTGCCAATGTATCCAGCTATGACTCTATCAGCACACATATGCTAAGCAATACCATGATCTTACCCAGAGAAACCATGGGACTCAAGGTCTTGTTCTGGAAGTCAAAGCAATGATTTTGGATGTCAACCAGAGTGTCACACATGAGCTAGCAGGGCTTAGTTGCGTCATTTCTCCATAGAACGAAAACTCACATCATAGAGGACAGGGGTCTTAGTGTCCTTGTAGTTTTCAAACATTTTGCGCGGGAACTCAAGATCGAAACGGTCTTTCGTACCCGGTAGGCGCAGGGCGGCCTTCAGATACAATTGCAAGTCGATGAAAGCTTGCGTATTCAGAAGAAAGTACTCCTTGTTGACCGTTGCAGGCGCCGATGTACCGGCATCAGGGACAACTGCGTTGACTTGGATGGGAACCTGGTAGGTGAATACGTCACTCTTGCCCAAGGCATCGGCTGCCAAAGATGGCAAAAGAACTTCGGCGGTTGCCATGGTGAAAGGTGTGTCAGATGGGTTGGTAGAAGATATTGATGGGCTATCTGTTGATTCTTGAGAGCAGAGTGGAACGTTTTGGTGCTTCAGTGCCGTCGTGTGAGGTCAGGGTTTTATATGTAAGTGTGCCTTGATAATGGATATATTTTGTAACCAGCGCTTTGATATCCAAGACCTCAGCTCCGCCTGCGCTGCTCAGCTGCTACCGTACATGGTGGCGTTTCAAATGACAGTGTATCTGCAGTCGTTTACATCTAGCCCGCCGAATGTAGCAATACCTGCCGATTGCATCCACAGAAAGAACGAACATACAACTGCGTTTCGACCTTGCCGAGCTCTGACTTGAGCATCAATGGATTAGCTGACATACACGTCACGTTGGCTCACGCACATCTGCATGTACATGCCCTATCTAGCGTCTATGCATCCTCGTGTATCCTTTTTAGAGTTTATGCGACTCTTTGTAAAGGCTAGACTATGGCTTACCTACTGCGATGTGATATCGCCAAAAAAATCATACGCGCAAAGGACCCGTTGCGGCTGACAGATGGAATGCTCTGGACGACCAGGATCCGCGCTCTAGGTCCTCTCCTAAGGGTGCTTTGACACTTGCATTGAGTCAGTTCTTTGCAGTCGCTAACGCGGACGGTGCAGCCTTGCTGTTTATTGGCGAGGGAAACATGTGGGGACGCTTGTGGCACACATGGCAGCCGTCACGGGAAAGGCCCGAGGGCCCCGTAGCGTCCCGTACTTTAGCGCAACCAGGGTCAAGCTCGTCTATGTCATTCTTTTCCTTCTTTTGGCTGGCTAGATGGTATGGCTGAGCTGAAAACTTTGCTGTGAGCCTATAATGTAGGTAACTAAGAAATGCGCCGAGTTGGATCTTTGCTGGTAGACTGACCCTTCTTTGTGTCGCTTCGCTAGCGATAAAGTATGTGCGTGTTAGATGAATTTGTTTCACCAATCATATCCCCAGTATGCAACCTGAGCGATTTCGTCAACGTTTTTCTGGAAGATCTGGACTACGATGCTTAAGAGCCACACCGTAGTATACGGCTGAAGGAAATTGCTGATCGGAAGAAAGACCTCGGCTTTCGCCTCTTGCGCCAGCCACTGGTCACAGCACGCGGCCGTTTGAAGCGCTAGACGTAGCTACTGTTTATGGACGGACCCTTCTGGTGCAAAAGTGTAACGAAAACAGGCGGTGAGGTAGCTGAGAAGACTTCTTGCTAATGCGAGTGAATGCGCATCATCATCCATGACTATCATAGTGCTCAAGTGTGGCCATCCATTCCAGGTATAAATCCATTCCTTTTCGCACTGCTTTCCAAAAACACCATAGATACCTCAACTTCTTATCGCCAATATGGATGTCCAAAAGGCGGCAGAGCTCACCGTCAGCGCGCTCACGCTCAAGGAGAAGACTCTTGCCAAAGATCTTCTCTATTCAGAGCAGTACCACAAAGACACACTTTCCGTAAAGTCTCCCCAATATCTAGACATGTCACTCACTAAATCAATTTAGGCGTGGATCCGAGCACCAGTTCTGAATCTGAAACAAGCTTTGGAGAAGACTCGAACAGGGGCGAATCAAGCAGGCTTCAAGGCTCGTTTCTTCAACGTCTTTTGTGATGTGTTGGAGATCGACCCCGGCACCGAAGTCTTGCCAGAGAAAGCTGGTGAGAAGTCTGTGCCATATGAGATTAATCTCTACGCTCGAAGGCTTGACTACACACCAACATCTGGAAGCGCTGTCCATGTTCGCTTTGAGAAGGACTGCGAGATTTTCTTCTGGACTTCAAAACTACCAGGAGACTTTGCCATTACCTTTGATGGTCAAGGTCTGCAGAGGCAGAAGTATGCTCCTAAGATTGAAGGTGAGAACTTTGGTGTCATTCTCAGACTGGAACAGCCATCCGCAGGTATTTCCAGTGAGCCTTTGCTACCCCCAGATGAGGCAATGAACAACATCAACTACCTCAACTTGATCGATGACAGTGGCAAGCTGAGGTCCAAAGCTTACCTAAATGAGTAAGACCACTTGCCACATCTTTTCAGCCCTTAATTGACCTATTGGGAAGTGATCTACCGCGCTTACTGCAGTTTCAATTGCTCGTCGCACAAACCCATACTACCCTCAACCGTGGCCTTGCTGTTGGCCTACTCAACTATGTCGTGGCAGCGACGGCGGACCCTCGGGCTGCGGCCATACATTTCAAAGCCACTGCTATGCTTAGTAGTCTTTGTAAGTATATCCTCAAACAAATTATTGGATTGAGCTGACGACACTAGTGGTCGACAGCAGCATCGTAGCGGCCCCTTCAGTCAATATCTACGCTAGTGAACAGATCCTGAAATCACGTCTCACTGCAGCATTAGCCTTTGAGCAAGCATTCCGGGACTTCTCTCTTGAAGCTTCCAACCGAAAGGTACAGACACAAACCGCAGTTGATCTCCTAAGAAAGAGTCAGGATGCTATCCAGACCTACGCTTTTATCAAAGATATTCGGCAGAGAGAGTATGATAACGCGGTAGTCGCAAACGCCAAAGCGCAGAAAACGTTTCAAGCAAACCAAGCCAACCTCAGCAAGCTTGGCGCAAACTTCCAAGCTGGTGTCGAAGAATGGAAGGAGGCAGAAAAAGAGAAAGCCGCTAAGGAGGTTCTGAAGGGTCTTGTCATGGTTGGACTTGCAATCGGCGCTACCATTGCGACCGGTGGAGCCGCTGCGGCGACTATACCCGCTGCAGGAGCTGCGGTCGTGAACACCGCAAGCAAGATTGCCACCTTGATTGCTAAGCTCAAGCAAATCTATGAGAAGATCAAAGAAATCTACGAGAAGATCAAGCCGGTGATTGAGAAGCTCCAGGAAGTGGTCAAAACCATTACCGAAGTGATTGCGACCCTTCGCAAGTTTGACGGCGCAACAACTGGAACCAAGACATTAAAGCTTTCTGCCGATTCAAGCGACGTCTTTAACGCAACTGCTGAATGGAGGCGTTTTGACATTACCATTCGTGAGATGGAGGATTCGCTACGAGAGTACAAGATCAGAGGGAAAGAAGAATATTTCCACGACCTGAAGATCCTCGTTCCCAATGGCGAGTGCTTCATCTTAACCCAGGCAAACCTTGTCAAGACGGGCGATGAGCTTGCGACAGTGCTCATACAGTCAGAAGCTGAACGTCGTAGCGAAAGCCGCTTGTCTTCCACGGCGCTTAGCGTTGCCACCGATCTCGACGTTCTAGATGTTCTGGTTCGAGCTATGTTTGACCGAGTACTAACCATCAGGTCCTTGGTTTATCTCGACTTCTTGACCTACTCATCCGCTCAAGAGTATCACACTCTTTCCAAAGGTCAGTAGTATTAGCTTGATCATCGTAGGCGCAGATGCTAATCATCTCTCAGGGCCAGTCGTGACTTTGTCACCTGTTAAGCCAGTTGTGGACTATCTGGAGGACATTGTCAAACTGCAAAGCGCAGTCGTATCTTTCGGCTCGCAGGTACTGGTGCAGCAGCGATCATTCACACTCAATACTCTTGCTGGGTTCGCAGATGCAAGCAAATTGGCCGAGGCTATTACTGATGGCCAAGCGTTATCAGTTGCGGTCCGTCCTGGTCTGGAACTCTTCCAGGATTTTGGCCGCATTCGTTTGTCTAGGGCTAGGTCCGTCTTGACATCTTCGTTCGCATGAAGCTTCGTTGACATATCTATTAGGTGTTTCCTTGACGGTGCAAAGCTATCCAGTACTGCGGGCCCGCAAAAAGAATCGCTCCCACTCCGCATTGAGCTGCATACCGAGTCTCAATTCTTCGATCTTCCGCTTGAGAAGCGAGTACAGCCCGAGCTGGGTCCTGTCATTCCTCGCGTTTTCCTTGGTGCATCGAGGAAGGTCTTGTTCGAGTACTCGCCGAGTGATAACTCCACAGCTTGCGACGGCTGGTACGGCCAAGAGCGCGACTACACCAAGTTTACACCCCTAACCAATTGGGCCGTGAAGATAACTGGTGGAGGCTATGGTACTCTCTCCGTTGCCGACCTAGATTTATCCGGCTTGAAGGGTCTGAGATTGGAATTCTTGTGCGATTTCAGCTTACGGTAAACCTTAGCGAGGGGGTACTAGTCTAAAAGGAATGAAGGTGTTCTATGAAGCCAGTTGGCGTTTTATTTAGCTCGGGTATGATGGTTGCAGGAGGATAGCAAGGTTCGAGTACTGGCCAGGTTTGAATTGAGATAGTGCTCATTGTTTTGCCATGTTCACTAGCGCGAAAAGTGGTTGTGAGTTCGCTATGATACAAGTAATTATGATCCATGTCTCAGCTTGTATGGCAATACCATCAAGCATGCACCTATTGCCTAGTTATAAGGGCGGCAAACAAGACAGCCAGCAAGCTGAGTATTATCGAAACTGCCCCTACTGACGTCAATCTACTCGTTCTCTCTTGCAAAGTGGTTGGCGGAGTTAACTTGGCAGGTTGTGTGTCATAAGTTACTTCGTGTGGCTGCATCGTCTCCGCGAGGTTTTTTTCTGTTGCTGGCGGGTGTGCCGATGGCATTTGCAAGGTATCTTTACTTTCCCCACTACTTTGAGTATCCTCCAGATCCCAGGAAGCTGGAACGTTGTCCGGCTCGGCCACTCTATATTCCGCCTCTTGTTCAGCAAGGTATTTTTCAACTTCGTCCTGCTCCCAATTTGCCGCAATCTGAGAAGGCGTCATGCCATCCGCATTTTTCAGATGGATCGGCGCTCCGCTTTCGACCAACTTTTGGCAGGCTTGAAGCTCCCCGAGTGCTGCAGCCCAACCTAAGGCCCTAGAGATGAAGCGACTGTTAATATCGACTTCTGTTTGAGTTTGTGACAATAGGAACATAGCGGTGTCTGTTGCACGGCTCTCTATGGCAATCTCCCACGGCTTTTTGGAGCCAAATGAATGGTTCACGTTGGCCCCGTGCTTGACGAGTGCTTCAACTATATCGGTCTCGCCTTGCTGGCATACGAGTATGAGCGGTGTGCGGGAAAAAGAGTCCAGTGGATCCACGAACACGCCAGCTTCAAGAAGCATTTCGACAACTTCCAGTCGAGGAACCTCACAGACAAGATGAAGTAGAGTGAGGTCGAACGCTGCCGATGGTTCATTCAAATCCTCAAAATTTGCCAGCTTAACTTTTGTTTTGAGCACTGCTGTTGATTCGAACTGCACAGCAGTAGCCAATGATATTTCGGGAGCGTTTTCGAACGTATCAGCCCTTCGTATCGATGTGGCGTCAAGCTTCTCTTCTGGGTTGATTTCTTTTCCACGGGCTTTGCGCAGTGCCTCAAGAACGTCAGTCCGGCCAAACTCATGCGCGAGGCGAACAGGCGTAAATCCAGCTTTATTCTTGACGTCGGTCCGGGCACCAAACTTGAGCAACACCTTCACCGTGGCCAAGTGCCCATGTCCAGCCGCATCATGTAAAGCGGTTTCTCCCCCATTGCCCTGAGTATCGATATTCAGATCTTTACATGTTTCGAGAAGATGTTTCAGAATTCTTGCCCTATGATTTACAGCTGCCGCATGAAGGATGGTTCTGCCGAGGAGATCTTTGAACATGTAGTCCGCTTTATGCTTTAGCAAGAGTTCAACTGTGTTCAGGCAGCCGTAATCTATGGCTCGCTGTAGTGGCCTTCCACCCTGATCGTCTTGTATGCTAGTTTCAGCGCCAGCATTGAGTAAGAGCTCCAATGTATCGACATAACCATTTAAAGCTGCGTAGTGAGTAGCTGTGTATCCTGAGAGATCTTGGTGGTTGACATCAATAGAAGGGTGCCGTAAAAGCTCCTTCACACACTCCTTTTCGTCATCGCAAGTAGCTATGATGAGACAATTCGACCGTGAATTTGGAGGCGATAGATTGACATCGAGGTCAGGCCTCTGCAGAAGGGCATCTACCGTGTGAGGGTCGCTGTTCCAAGCTGCCAACATCAATGCTGTATAATTGTTGAAGGGCTTGTGGAAAGTGTTGATTGACACATCCTTCTCTTTGAGAATCATTCGCGTCAATTCGAGATGCCGGTTTTTGACACTGCCAAGCAGTGCCGTAGAACCGCGACGATCTACAAAATGGGCCAATGCACCAGCTTCAAGTAAAGTTTCGGCTACCTGAGCATGGCCTCTAGCACACGCATATATGAGAGGTGTTGTCCCAAGCGAATCGCGAACATTTGGATCTCCACCTTCGTTCAACAATTGCGCGACAATGTGGTTCAACCCATAGTACGAGGCGAAGTGTAAAGCATCGATCCCGCCAGCAACATCCCAGCTGTTTTCCGACTCGGTGTCAAGATGCCATAGTGCTTGAACTGAAGCTTCTAATAGAGATTTTCTGCGTAGGAACAACAGTGCTTGTGGTGATATGATCTGTGGATCACAGTTCCGTGCATGATCGGCCCAGTAGAGACTGGCGTAACCGTAGAATGGATAGTCCTTCAATCTCGCATCGAACAACCTGCTGGAGGTATCGTCGCATGGACCGGATTCGAAGGTAGCAAGCTGGAGATAAGCAAGACATCTTTCTGTTATCTCTACATCACCATCGGAGAAGAATGTCTCACGTCGGTTTATGAAGTAATCTTCGGCCGTTTTGTGAGTCAGGCGAACTCTTTCGTTCTCGTCAACAATGACGATGCCAGCGCTTAGCGACGTGAGGACTTTGGCACTAATGATGTGATCTGCCTGCAGCTCCCGTGCGCCCCGAGAAACTGCGATTGCATGTTCCAGCTCTCTAATAGTAAGCGGGCGTTTGGAGTATGAAACCCATTGAAGCAGCCTCTTGACGGCTCGTCGACGATTGACGCTGAGCTTCTCGATCCTCTGCATTACTTGATCGTAAGTATCGTTGATTCCCTGGGGCAAGCTTCTGAGAGCGATTTCGATCTCCGAAATGTTGAGACAATCGGCCAAGGCGTCCATATGGAACCTAGCCAAGAGGAACCTTATAGAAAGATTAGTTATGGCCATATGCACAAGAAGAATGTCCTACATGTCTTTTGCGTTTTCAACAATCTCGCTGAGAATGCGTTCCTGCAGGTCTTGATTCTCTCCTACCATGCGATGCAAATCTTCCTCAACCTCGATGCGCCGTGAGATATAGTTTTCGACATCTTCTGCTCGTGCAGATATGCGTATTTGGGTACTGCTATACGTTTTCGTGAATGCGTGTGGATGAGATGGTCCATTACATCGACAGTCTTCGCACAAGTCGAAATCGTCACAGCCCTCGCAGTGGTAATAGATCTCAGGAGAATCCTTACTACATCCATCACAATAGACTCCGCTGCTGCCGAAACGGTTTGCGATGCTCTCGATCTCCCTAGAAGTGACCATCATCTTGGGCCTCCCTCGAAGATTATATATTATATCCAGAATCGTGGTGCGCTTAGAATCTTCTGCTAGTTCATCAAGCGCATCGAGAATGATGAAAGTCTTCGGACTGGAAGCTATTACTTCATTCAAAATGTCCAATATCTCTGTTAGCTTCGGCTTTGTCCCCGCGGTGCCATGCTCCTTGTACTTTGCCTGCAACTTTTCCGGGAGGCTTTTGCGACACTGTACAGCTTGTTTGAGCAAGCTGGTAACAAGATTATCAACGGATTGCGAGTCGGCTGTATCATAACTACAGAACAGTACGAGTATGAGTACTTCCTCGGACTTCTGCGTTCGCTGGAGCTCGGCTACTGTACTTGAAGCGAGAAAAGTTTTACCAGCACCGGGAATACCGTGACACCATAACCATCGATCATTGCCAGATAGCCCAACCATTGAATGACCTACTGGTGAAGAACCAGCTTCCGGTCCCTGGAGTTGCTGTGATATTGCTTTGCTTCTCTCTACAATTTAGCGGGCAGAGCCAATCAAGGACCGTCTTGAACTGGCCATCAGTAGCGACTTGTTTGACCTGGAATACGTCTTCTCGCATTTCTCGTGCTAGTGTGATGTTGGCTTGATTTGCGACGAGAATTATAGAAGACTTGAGTCGTTCGATGCGAGCAATGGTTCGGTCCACGTAGCTTTGATCCAATGGCCATCTCAGGGTCTGTTTGAACTTTTGTCTCTTGGATTCGCTCATAGTGACCTTCTCCCATACCTCATCCAATGACTTCTGAAGCTGTTCGAATACCCCATTCGGCTCAGCTAGAGAATCGATCGGTTTCATCCATGATACATCCTGGCCTGCATTCGAAGGAGCGAATTGGATCTCTAAATTTCTCAAGATCATCCACAGCACCGTGATCTCGTCACATAGTTTCCGGCGGTCTTGTCCTCCTTCTTTGATAGTTTCCAGTACGTTCATGATCTTGAATGAGGCATCGGCCAACTGCACAATGCTGGCGGCAAGGCCAACGATGCTTACTGGATCCATGCGCGGGTACGGGCCAGAGAAAACGATTAGAAAAAAAGATTTTTGTAGTGCATTCGCAGCAAGGCTATGCCGGACCGAAAAAACTGTGTGACGCTGTGTTGATGCGGACCAGAGCCTAAAGCGCGAAAGGTTGCAATTATACAGAATTGAACAGAACGGGCGGCGATGAGCCGCTTCTTTTACGAACCGCCTCACAAGCATTTGGCCCCCACACTATTGCAAGGATCACATAACAGCACCCAGGACTATCACTACCATAAAACGAATGTTTTCCAGTACAGTGAAGATGAGCTTGCTTCTTTGTCTATTTGTCGCCAAATATACACTCTCGCTGTTAAATGTGTTTTGTTCATGAAGAAGTCTGTCGAAGAGGCGGGCTTGAACCCCAAACTAGCGAGGCTGTATCACGTCGTATCCGGCCCCAATCTCCACAACGATCCCACATGCATGTCGTGGCTTGCACAGCCCTCGCGGCATGACCACTGCTGCATTTTAGATTTTTAGTATTCTTCTTGGTAGCCGATAAGCTGCAACTGATCTTTAGCGTACCTATCATAGGGTACACATCGAGGAGAAATACCCGAGATCTCCCAATAAGGGTACTTAAACCAGGGAGGGATTTTGGCAATACTTCATATGAGAAAACATTAGAATTCAAGGCGGTTGACGATACGCATACCTAGGTAGTCGCATTCCAAGGTTTGGCTGGCTAGCGGAAGGCGCTCCGTGACAGCGAGCGGAGCGCACGGGTCACAGCTGACCACTTAGAGCATCTACGACGCGCTCGCACTATTCCAAGAAGGAAAGAAATGACAACGATGGTCTGCGCTACTTCTCTCAGCTAAGATGAAGACTGGACGGTACAAAAGAGTTGAATTCGCGTATCATCGACCTGTATAGTGATAGGCTAGAGCGACACTTGAATTCTGAATCGCGAGTCCCACCAACCGCGCATTCGTGGAGAATCTGTCTGAAGATGAGGAAATTCTGGAATTACTCAGATGTTTCTTAATGCCATCATGAAATCGCCCGCAAGACAGCGTGTTGCATGGAATATCCAAATGTGAAAACCCAGGTATGTAAAGCTCCCTCGCTTCGGGCTGGCTGATGGTTTTAGTCTTCTGGCACAGCCGTGATCAGGAATATATTTGGAAGATTCAATAGATCTTTCACATACGACCATAGGACGATGAGAACTAGGCTTCCCGTTCGCTCAGCCATATATAAGCATCGTACCGGCGGATTAGTAGTCAGGTGGGTGACCACTGGCGAATCCCCGCTGTTGTATGTTTTTGCTGTTGTTGGTGCCTTTTTGAACATGATCTTGGCATACATCTAGGGATTGTGTGTGTGTGTGGCATGACTGCGTGCGCCGTTCCTTTGATAACACAGAAAACCAAAGCATTGCGAAGCCTTCTTAGCGCTTCCTGGTATGCACCCCACTGCAGACGGGAAACGAAAGCCACGAGCAATTAAAACTTGTTCTTGAATGTCACAGCTATGCCTATTCTTTTTCAAACTTCCTGCTTCTGAAAGAGAAGTTACTAGGCGCGAAGGGCCGGCTAAGCAGAGTATCTATGGTTATATTTTTGTGAATTGAACAGCGGACGAGACGTAGAGCGTATTGCGACTTGCTGCGACTCCAGACTCGACGCTAAACTTGCAACAGACATACCTGCAAGGTAGCACTGGACCTAGGCTTTCATATCCACCGCAGGGTGGCCTTAAGAAGCCCCGCGGCAGGTTGGCCTAGTAAGGCCCCACGGCAGAGTGACCTCAAAAGGCCCCGCGTCGCTTTCTTGCTTCCACCTCGCAACTCTCACCATCTACACTACAACAATGCCGGACAAGAACAGTGCCTCTGATGTCTACGACTTCATAGTTGTCGGAGCTGGATCCGCCTCCTGTTTGATTGCTTCGCGCCTCTCGCAGCATCTACCAGACCACCGAATTCTTGTTCTCGAAGCCGGAGAACATATCAGCGATGATCCAAAAGTTCAAACGCCCGGTCTGGCAACGAAGCTCCAGGGTGATTCTGCTTATGATTGGCAGTATGCTAGCATGGCGGAGCCTGGTTTGAATGGCAGATGCGTAAAACATCCCAGAGGAAAATTGGTGGGCGGTACCAGTGCGATAAACAGCCATAGTGTTGTATTCCCTAACCACGAGTGGCACGATCGCATTGCAGAGGAGCTACTATCAGACCGAGGAAGAAGAGAGTGGAGCTCACAAGGTATGCAGGATTGCTACGAACGGTGGCAAGCTGAAAGCTCCGAGTCGAGAGAGAGTGGCACTTCGAAATCTGAGAACCGTGTTCAAACATCGTTCCCACGGACCATGGGTGTTCTCCAGTCGAAATGGATAGAATCCTTCGAGGAGCTCGGCCATACTACAAACACGACAGGGTTTGTAGAGAGTTCTGCTGGTGCAGTCACGGTCACCAATGCCATCGACTCTTCAAAGGGTGAGCGAAGCCATGCAGGTACGGCTTTCCTAGAGCCTGCACTCAAGCGAGGCAATGTGACGTTGAGAACGGGTGTCAAAGTCGACAAAATCGCATTCGCAGAGACGCGGAACGCAGACGAAAAACTCCATGCGAACGGTGTTTACTACACGTACCAGGGAGAGGAGCAATTCATTCGCGCGCGAGAGATAATTCTCGGTGCAGGTGCGTTCGAATCTCCTGCGATCCTGGAACGATCGGGTATCGGCTCCGAAAAGGTCCTCACCGCCGCCAAATTACCAGTCTTGTACGATCTTCCGGGCGTCGGCGAGAACTTGCAGGACCATCTGAACTGCGGTTTGTCTTGTGAGACCCAAGATGACGTCCCCACTCACGACGAAGAGTTGAGAAATCCAGAACTACGAAAGGCTGCATTGATGGAGTACGAAAGAAGCCGCACTGGTCGAGCTTCGGAGGGAGGAGCGTACAGCTTCGCCTTCACGCCACTGCAGATGCTGGAAACTTCTTCTGAGACGCGGGAGCTGACTGACCTGGTCGAACACTGGATTTCGAAAGAGGACAACCCGCGCTTGCGGGCTCAGTACTCGGTTCTACAAAAGACAGTCGAAAGTCCCAGTGAAGCAACCGCAACAACCTTCATGCTCCGCTGCCAGCGCAACCGAGACCTTGAATCATTCCCCAAAGGCACGCCATCCGTTGTCGATGGCAATTTCGTTACCGTGGTCGCTATGCTGGCTCATCCTTTCTCGCGTGGAAGTTGTCATATCTCTCCTGATCTTGTGCGTCAGCCAGAGATCAAGTTCAACTACCTCTCTCATCCACTTGATGTGGAAATACTGGCTCGTCATTTGCGTCTTATCGAAAGGCTCTTTCAAAAGCCCACCTTCGCTGGAATGACAAAACCGAACGGAAAGCGATTGCCTCGAAGTTTCCCCTACCCGATTTCATCGCTCGACGATGCAAAAAAGATTCTTCCCATCAATTCGGCTACCAACTATCATCCCTGCGGTACCTGTTCGATGATGAGAGAGGATTTGGGAGGTGTGGTTGACGAACGGCTAAGGGTGTACGGAATTAAGAACGTAAGGGTTTGTGACGCAAGTGTCTTGCCAATTATCCCGCGAGGTAACATTCTGACTGCCGTGTACGCTTTCGCTGAAAAGGCGGCTGAATTGATATGCATAGAAGCGAGGGCGGGGTTCTCTTCAGACTAGAATATGGAATCTTCAGAGTATATCGAGAGAGTCTAGAAATTGAGTGTGCTGGGCAGTTTGGTGTAGGCTACCATTTTGACCTTTCCACTTATGGCTGTGCTGGCATGGCATCAGACGGCAAGCTCGATGGTGACAGGGCAAGTTGCCAGCCACGTCACCCCGCTTTTGATTGTGAAGTCTGCGCTCACACTTAACGCACAACATAAGGTTCCAATCAGAAACTCTGGTACTAAACAGCTTTTTATGCTCCAAGTTCCCTCTTTGTCTGCTGTCAACAGTGCTTCGGTCAAGTTAGGGAGCTTTCCATACTGCTCAGATGGATAATCTGCCGGACAAGTTCTGCAGATCCTGCAAGACATTTCGAAGGGGAACAAGCAAGCCAACGAGCGGCGAAGATTATAACAGAATGCGGTATGTGCACCATGACACTTCAGTCTCTTTTCAACAAGCCATTGAGATTAAGTGCGCTATTTGCGTACGCCTGATCGCGGCCCTCGAGCACGGGGATGCTGCGAATCTAGCGAGTGCGCCTGCAGTCAAATCCTTTGTTGCGGGACCTACGACGTACGAAAAAGCGCCTATAGGGAGCGACGACAACTCCGCTGTAATTCATTTTAGGTGCAGAGATCTCTTCGCAAGACTTGTGCTGGAGTTATGGAGCGGTCAGTAAATTATTCTCGGATTTTGACCAATGTTGATGTGAAGCTAGAAGAGCCGGAACAGTCAGGCGTTGTTACCTCCTCGAGTACTGGGACAGGCAGCGCGATCGAATTTCTCCTTGCGCAAAACGAGCAATGTCTGAAAGAGCACCTCGAATGTAGACTGCACAATTCAGAGATCAATTTTTTTCCAACGAGAGTTGTCGAGATTACAAACCTCTCGGCGCGTATCTGTTTACGGGAGTGTGTCCCTGCCGGAGCACAATTTGTCGCTCTGTCACATTGCTGGGGCAAGTCGCGACCATTGACCTTAACAAAGTCAAATCTCGCGGCTCTGGCGCAGGGCATTGCTGTTGCCTCTCTTCCGAAGACTTTTCAAGACGCAATTGATGTGACAAAGAAATTCGGCCATCGGTACATATGGATCGATTCGCTGTAAGACGTTGCGGATCAAATATGAAGCCAATGTGCTAACATGTATCAGGTGTATCGTTCAAGATGACCCCGAGGATTGGCGTGTCGAGTCCAGCCAGATGCGTAATGTGTATCAAAATGCGACATTTTGCATCGCTGCCACAGCAGCGTCGGATGGAAATGCTGGTCTTTTCTTTGACCGAGACGCTGCGTCCCTGATGTCAATAAAGATCGACTTCGAATGGACTGGAGCTGAATGGCCATCTGCAGGCACATACTCCTGTAGCTTTGCTTGGCCAGACGCATACACGCACATCGATTGCGCGCCTTTGAACCAACGAGGCTGGGTAGCTCAGGAGCGTTATCTTTCGCCTCGTATTCTACACTTCGCGCAAAAGCTCGTCTTCTGGGAATGTCGAGACACCATCACATGCGAGACCCATCCAAAAGGGCTTCCAGGGTGGATCCAATCCGGCAATCTCGAGGACGATTTGTTCTCACTCAAGAGAATTGTGAATGACCTCAGCCAGACCTTAGACGATGGCGCTGCTTCACAACGAGATTCGGCTAATGAGATATACTGGTGCTGGTGCAAATTTCTTGCTTTGTACACATCCTTTCGCCTGACGAAAGAATCTGACATCCTCGTAGCATTACAAGGCATCGCGCAGGATGTTGGCGAGAAGATGCAGGACGAGATGGTTGCCGGGTTGTGGAAAAAGCGCCTCGTGCAAGACATGTGTTGGTCCATTCGATGTAAGCAATCATTTCCCAGGAGACCTGCGATTTGGAGAGGGCCATCCTGGAGCTGGGTTGCTTCTGCACAGCCAGTGCGGGCTAGCCGTTTAGGACTTAACGATACTGGAGAGTCGCATCTTCTGAGCGAAATAGCGGACATTCACGTTGCAACATATGCATCGGGGAATTTGGCACGGGCTATCATCGTGCTGAAATGTCGCATTCTCGAATACACCTCTCTTGAAGTGCAAGCAATTCTGGACGATCTGGATCATGGTGAAGTGCGCGAATGGTACCTGATCTTCCTGCGTCATCACTCGCACACGAGGAGCTCAGAGATCGAAGGTCTTGTAGTCAAACTCGTTGGCGAAGGGTGTTATCAACGCGTCGGCTATTTCCGTTCTGAGGAGGGCTTGGCTCCTTCTGCACTAGAGTTGTACCATGCGCAAGGAGAGCGTATAATTCAACTTTGGTAGTGCGCATGCCTCTGTGGACATGATACAAGTCGTGACCATCTGAGGTGGCGATTTCGGCAACGTATACGGGTCCCCTAATCAACCGTGAAAGTGGAACATGTTGAAGGTGACTCAATTCAAATGGAACTATGATGATCAGATTGATGTCGTGGAAAAGAAAAAGTCACACAAATCGCGAGAACACAGACAAGCCCTCCGCACTAACCTATGGGACATTAAATTTAGCGCGTGCCTCAGTAACCAAGACACACTTCACCCTATCCTCACTACTCGAAATATGCAGAACAGTCGTTTTCGTTTGAGAAGCCATGTATGCTTCGGATCGCACAATCCAAGTTGGCGTCATCGGCGGTGGTCATTCCCAGCACGCCCCGAATCACGATACCGTGTTCAAGCCATGATGTGAAGATATTGACATCCATGGTAAATTACAACTGTTAGTGTAACACAGATCTTTTGTGCGGGTCCTGTCTTAGAAAATTTGTGGGCTGCCCACTGAAGTCGTGTATACCTTCAGGCTACTCCATGACTCAAACCAAGGTACTGAAGTGGTGCTAGTATACCAGCAAACACATTCCTTAGCTTTTGAATTGACATGTACAAGATATCTCTCGCTCTTCTAGTCACAATTCTAAAACACTCAAAAACACCCTGAGCCAATCTAGCCCTCACAATTGTTCAAACACGCTCCCAGGCCGTTTCATACTGACATGACTGGCAGGTTGTGGGTCGCCTGCCCAAATTCCATGTGCCCGCTCGCCCTCAGGACTCCTCAACGCCGCCCCCAGCTATCAAAATCGAGGATGAAGAGGAATTCAATCTCCTCGGAAACGCACCAAGCCAATTTCATGCTGTCTCGAAGGTCTTCGCGGCCACGCGCTTGATCTTTCTTGCGCGTTCAGCGCTTGAACTGACAGTCGGCTGCTGTCGATGGGCTACACTAGACTGTCTTCAAGTCTTGGAAATGCTGCAAGAGACTGTCAATGACTTCGTATCGAATACCTGCATCGGAGGATGGGAGCCTACGATGCCGCATGTGAAGTTCAGTCAAGTTGCGGTGCATGATGCTGTATGGGAATTGTATCATGTCGCCAAAAGCATGGCAGATGTCGATCAAGAAGTTGCCGTGCTTGAGCATGCTGCACGGTGGGCCATGGTCCTGATTCAGAGTGGAATCGAGTTCGATGCGACGGAGCATGGTGAAGGCACAAGCGAATTGCAAGAGGGAATATTTGGGTTTGTCAAGTGAATACTACCATCATCGTAACTCTGGCGGTCACAGTCATTGATGTAAGCCGTGGGCAAGTTTCCACTACTTTGTCATCCCATTCTTCTTCGGCACATTACCAGAAAGAGTATTATGCAATTAGGCTAGTCAATTGTATTGTTCCAGACTTTGACACCGTTGTTTTTCACGTGAATGTTGTCAATGCTGCGCCTGCATCGCTCAGACCTTGTGTGGCTGCGACACGTCGGCTTCTATCATTGCTTCCTTCTTTCTAGGATTTGTTCCACCCTTTGAACTACAGCCGCCACGAGCACATAACCAGAGTACCGAGTGCGGCACCAAAAGGGAAATTGTGATTGTCATCATATGTCGCCGATAGTCCATGAAAGCGGCCAACCACCTTGTCAACCTCATTATGTCTCTCCGTCAGGAGCACTAACACAACCCGTGTCAATACGTCTATATAATAGTTCGAGATCTCCGAGAACGAAACGTATAGCAATATTCATTGGCGCGTACCTGGAACTGCAGTCTAAGCCGCGTCCTTCTTCGCCACCACGTCTCATTCTCTCGCTCTGTAAAACTATCAGTCTTCGTCAAGCACCTTTTCCCTCGAAAGCAACCAACGGTTTCACCACTTCTCCGTAACTGTATCTCACTATGGGTAATTGGAGCAAGACGTTGTACCCCGTAGTTTGCGCGACACAGCCATTATGGATCAATAACCCCTCCAGGACGCATGAGCCTCCCATACAACACGGTGCCAAAGACACCATACAAAGGATCCAAGCTGGATATTCCTCGATTAGCTGTGAACGATGCGACCACCGACTTCTCCATCATCTGCAAAAACGGCCCTCTGAGAGCACACAAGGCTATTCTTGTGGCAGCTTGTCCTTACTTCGAGCACATGTTCCGCTTTGGTGGAAAGGTAGATGTCCTCCATTAAGTTATAGTCGCGCTCGCTAACAGTCAAAGAGGAAGTGCAGAGCGGGAAACTTGAGATCAAGGATGTGAGGCGAGACATCATGAAGCGCGCCTTGACCTTCATGTATACCGGTCAATACACTCTTCCAGCTGGCGACATCGTTCCATCGACTGGCTACTGCGGCCACTGGCATGACGGTCTTGTCAAGGACTCAGCGAACATGGCGCGCCTCTTCAAGCGCAAATGTCCTCGCGCAGGCTTGACCCTGTCGCCGTCACATCTACTTCCCCATATCGAAATTTATGGACTAGCGGACTACCTCGACATGGAAAACATGAAGAATTATGCTCAAAAAAAGGTCGAGGAAGTGCTGCACGTGCACTGGAGCGATGCTGGCTTGGGCTTTACTGAAGCTCTGGACCTTGCCTTCAGCGACACAATGGACAGCGACGGCGGCATTCGAAAGATCCTGATCAACGCATTGACTGCGCATATCGGCTTGTGGGTGGACGAAGGCGAGGTGCGACACTGGCTCGAGGACAATCCCAACGTCATGGCCGAAGTCGAGGCTGGAGAAGACAAGGAACCATATGTCCTCAAATATGGCAACAGATCAACAAACATGATATAAGCGAGGAAATGCAGATCAGGCTTGTAGCGCCTAGTGTACACATGTTTGTACGACCATTGGCCTTTGCGCACACTTCATTATCCACAAGCCGTTACTTCAGCGAAGCATAGCAGCACCATAAAAGGCAATGCATAAAAGTCAATGGCGAATGGAATACTAGTTTTCTTCAACAGTCTCAGGTCTCATCTCGGTGACGCCTTCAGTCTTGATCAAGCTAATGGTCGTCGTCAGCGCCAGGACATGTGGAATGCTCCCTGGCGAATATCAACCCCCTAGCCTCCCTTCCAACTCGCACTTCGAACCTCCGTCTTCCGCTCGACAACACCCAAACAATCCCTTCCATATCACACATCATGCTGATTTTACTGCTCTTCACACTCATATATCCGGCTGCCGCCTCTTATCCAGCATGCGGGCGTCGCGCTCGCATCGATCCTATCAGTCCCAACACAGCTGATCTACTCCTTGAACCAGCGGTACAAATGGACTACGCACATTGCTCCAGCCTGTGTGGCTTGACAGCGGAGTGTGGCGGATATGCCTCGACGGCAAAGAAACAGGCATCAGATTGGTGCTTTGTGTTTCGAAAGGGACTGTGAGTGCGATGTGTAGCAGATTCGAGGAAAAGGCCGCTGATAAGCCTGTACAGGTCATATGAAGATATTTTTGGTGCGGGCGATGAGCAGTGGAGTCTTGAAGATGGTGTTCCGGTGGGATTTTGGGAAGCTGATTGTCCGAAGAGGATTGGATAGGACGCTACAACATTGATGAGGTAGTAGCGGAGTTAAGACGATGCTGTATTGAATTGCTATCCTTCTCAATCAGACTACAGATGCTTCGACACAGAATGCAATGAACGAATGTGGGGTATCTTCCTTTTCCAAAATCCTTCTTGACCAAACGTTGCGACTGAGTCCGAGTGGGTCCTTTACTTCCACCGCAATGCCATCTCTTCAAACAGGTCCGCTCTGAACTCAGGCAACTCATCCATCGACTCAAACACCAAAGCCATAGTAGTGTTACTTCCCGAGATGAAGCCCTGGACATGATTGGCGCATATTGCAATAACCACGCGTCGCAATTCGTCTGCATTGGCTCTCCGCGACGGCTCGTAGATAGCGCGGACAGCTCTAAGCAGAATCCTCTCGTTGCCGCTCATCGACAGCACTGTTGTTGCAAGCGCCTCGAACTTTTCGAGCGCCAGTTGTTTCAAGCCAGCGACGCCATATCGTTCGGCAAGCATAAAGATGTCGACATGTGGCCGGAGGTCGGCTACTTCGTCAATGACCGAGTTCGAATCTGTTGATGGGTCGGTGTAATTGAGCTGGTAGCAGTATTGCATCATCGCGGCGACAGCGTCGGGGTCGTCCGCGCTGAGGTCTATAACGCTTTTGGACGCTTTCTAGCTGGTGTTAGCAATGTGAGATGGTTGCGCAATGATATTCACTAACGGGTGTCTTCATGATGGCGCATATTCGCGCAAACCACTTGGAGTGATAGCACATGATGGTCCGATCAACGTGGTACATGTCCGTTTTGCAGCGGACTACCAAGTCTGAACACTGCCATTGCGTAGCGAAGGAAGGAGCCGCGGGCAGTGTTACTGGACGCTTTGGAGATAGAGTCACCAAAGGCTCTTTCGATTGTAAAGCTTCTTGCGATGGGCGCCGCGGTCGTGGTGGCGGTTGACGTGGACGCTGCTGAGGAGGAGATGGTGGCGGTGGAAGCCGCTGTCGTGGTTCTGAAGTTGGTTGTGAATGCGATTGGGATCGCACTTTCTTGTGAAATGGCTGAAAAGCCTTTGGCAGGCTAAATGAACTTCCTGAAATTGTGCGGCGGTGCTGCGTCTTTTTTGTGTCGGGAGAGGAGACGGAAGATGATGTGGATGCATGTGATGTCGTAGAAGATGTTCGATGTAAGGAAGATGCATCCGACGAAGTTGTGGATAGCCGTGAATTCGCCTCTGCGCGTTTGTTGACACTGTATCGCCTTGGACAGTTGTACAGATCAGACGGCAACCTGTCTTCAGATTAATACAGCCGATGGGATTTGTTTGTGATCGTCTTACACGCTGATCATTGGCGTCACGAACATCTTGACGACAAAGTGAGATCGCAAAATATGGTTTTACACAACTTCTTTGGAAGCTCAAATAGCTTCTCCGTGTATGAGGTGTGTATTTGCCGGCGAATCCAGGTAAAACTCCTGCGGGTGTCACATCGTATATATCCACACAAGTGCGATCGTCGTCCATGCATCCAACAGCTAACCTGCCCCATAGTATGAGTGTGCTAGGGAAAATAGATGGTAGAGTTGAACTAGAACCGCGGCAGTGGTATGTACAATCAATTAAACCGCCTTCACCCACCAATCGGACACGGCAGCTTAATTGGACTTGGCATCGTGTGACCCAGGATTTGCCGCTTATCGATAGTGCTTAATACCGCATGGTGGAGTCAAAGAGCCGGTCGCCGCTGAACCTGGGGATATTGTGGGGTATCAGTTCCTTTCTCGAGCTTTTGGTCCACGTTTCTGCCATGGCAGCTGATGTTGGCTTCCGTTTTGAGGAGGTTGCGCGTCGCCGCCTTTTCATGTAGAGTGCGCTTGAGATAGGAAAGACCGTTTACATCGGAAGCACACATGCTCTCCAGCAATGACACGCAGTGATGCGGTACATTCGCCAGTCTGTACATGCTGAATAACACGTGGGAGCGACCAGTGCTGATATTTTTAGGTTCCTATAGCGGGTCGACAATGTGGTTCTGAATACTTTGGCAGTTTGTGGCCACCAGGTTGGTGCAGAGACATTCGCACATACATGCCACGTGCATTGAAGTATACCAAGTGCTTCCAGAGGTGGTGGGTATGGGTGTGTGATAGGCGGAACGCGTCGAAAACGTGCTTCGTTGTCGAAAGTGCAGGTGGGCTAGCGTCGGCTCACGAGGTCCTAAGTTTCATCTTGCTTAGTAACTGTGTCTTCCTCGGAAGGAACAATTTCGGGTATCGCGCATCCTCACTCATCTTTGCACTTTTCAACGCGCTACTCCACAGAATCTAGTGAAGTTCAGAATCAGGTTTTCCGAGTATTATTCGCAGCTTTAATGTACGCCAGTCTTTGAGTCTGTCTGATGAGATCCAGCCCCATTATCGGCATGAAGCTACGAAGCTACTGCTACAGCGTTACAATCACAATAATCTAGGAGTACAACGCTACGCAATATGGAATGGGCATTTTGTAATTATGAGTGCCACAAATGCCGAACGCTGACCGATTTCTCAAATCCCATTCCTAATGAAACTGGTGGTGACGTCAGGGGCGAAAACGAGTCGATCCAACATCATCGCGTCACAGCGCCAGTTCTCTTTCGCAGTCATCTCCGCACCTCCACTATTGGTAAAGCATTGCATCTAGAAACCCTTGACTAAGCCGATAGGCAAAGTCTTGCATCGTCATTGAGCCAATGGACGCGAGGCCGTTGTCATGAGCCGGGCTTAGAGTAATCGGCAAACATCGACTTTTACAAGCATATCGATCCGTTCTGCATTTCCCATGCGCCTTCTAGCCGGAAATGCAACTTCAGTGTTTCATGATAGGCTAACTTGGCGAGATCTCAGTAAGCGTCATCAGGCAGCTCCCGCTTAGCGAGATGATAGGCCTAAAGCAAAGTTCTTGTTGTGGCGGCGACATCATCGATGTACTGCTTTCAGTATATAATGGAGTCTGGGCGTGAAGTATCAATGCGTTCATTCCTCAAAGACCTTCATTCCTGAATATTCTTTTACAAACATCAACATGAACGGACATTCAAACGGAGCCACCAATGGTGATGCAAAGCATACCGCGACTGGTGATTTTTTCCGCAGCTACGCAGACGACCGTAACGCAAAGAGCCAAGATACTGTATACACCACCAGCAATGGAGTTCCATACCCCCATCCATACGAGACACAACGAGTAGGCGAGAATGGACCACTGCTCCTGCAAGACCACCATCTCGTCGACCTGCTCTCTCATTTCGACCGAGAGCGTATCCCCGAGCGTGTTGTCCATGCCAAGGGTGCCGGTGCCCATGGTGTCTACAAGACAACTGACCCTCTTGACGATCTCTGCTTAGCAGACCTATTCAGCAAGGCCGGCAAGGAGTGCCCAATCTCGGTTCGCTTCTCAACGGTTGGTGGCGAGTCTGGCTCACACGACTGTGCGCGAGACCCCCGTGGATTCTCGGTGAAGTTCAGGACTGAAGAGGGCAACTGGGATGTTGTTGCCAACAATACACCCGTCTTCTTTTTGAGGGATCCTGCGAAGTTCCCTGTTTTGTAAGTGCACAAAAAAAAACCCCCCAAAATATTGAAAATGCTAACCAAACGGAAGCATTCACACCCAGAAGCGTCATCCGGCTACACATCTCACGCATGCTGATGATTCGACAAATTTCTGGGAATACGCCAATCAAAATGTATTTCGATCCGTGTACAAATTACATGCGAGCTATAAACTGACTTTTTATTAGCCTGAATCAGTACATCAATTTATGGTACTATTTGGCGACCGCGGTATCCCCAAGGGCTACCGTAAGATGCACGGCTACATTGGCCACACCCACAAGCTCGTCAACAAGAACGGTGACTGGGTTTACATGCAGCTTCACTTCAAGTCGCAGCAGGGCACAGACTTCATCACACAGGAAGACTCTTTCAACTACGGCCCTGATTTCTCGACCAAGGACCTCTACCAGGCGATCGAGAAGGGTGATTTCCCGAAGTGGGATGTTAAGGTTCAAACCATGACGGCCAAGGAGGCTGAAGAGGTGTGGGAGAAGCAGGGCATCAACGTTTTTGATCTGACCCACGTTTGGCCACAAAGCCAGTTTCCTCTTCGAAAAGTTGGAGAATTCACCCTGAACGAGAACCCTCAAAACTACTTCGCCGAGATTGAGCAAATTGCCTTCAACCCAGCACATCTCGTGCCCGGTATTGAGCCTTCCGCAGATCCTGTTCTCCAGTCTCGTCTATTTTCGTACCCTGACACCCACCGCCATCGCATTGGTGTGAACTACCAGCAGCTGCCAGTTAACCAGCCACGCGTACCCTACAAGATGGCCAACTTCCAGCGCGATGGCTCAATGGCTTTTTACAACCAGGGCTCTCGACCCAACTTCTTCTCCTCGATCGAGCCTGTCGGTCTCAAGAAGCGCTCAGTGAACATCGACAAGGTCCACGGTACCTTCACTGGCGAGGCCGTCACGTTCCTATCAGAAATCCGCCCTGAAGACTTCAACGCACCCCGCGCGCTATGGGAGAAGGTTTTCGACGATGGCGCCAAGGAGCGATTCATCTCAAACATCAGCGGACACATGGAGAACTGCAGCGACAAGGAGATCATCAAGCGCCAGATCTCCATCTTCCGCGAGGTGTCTGAGGATCTTGCATCGAGGCTTGAGAAGGCCACTGGTGTCAAGGGCTACGCAGGCATCAAGGACATGACTTTCCTGGGCACGATCAACGGCATGACTTCCGATGCTGAGAAGAGAAAGGCTGCCGGTGTTGATAAGAAGAAGGGGAACAATGGTGCGCCGGTCAAGGGCACACATGCTGAGTATGAGAATGGCAATGGCGTAAAGGCTTAGATGGGGCAGGGGGTGATATAGATACCTACGATGTTTTTGTTGAATGTTGTTTAGCGAAATTGAAACATGTTGTATATTATCGGCTCCTACGTCATCGGACTGAATTTGCCCAAGTGCACGCCTTCGATGATTTTTTCTTCAAGTACTCACCGCCAGGGTCGCTAGGTTCGTACTATTCCAGCTCATGTATTCATGGCGATGTTTACCTGGGTGATCCTGGACTTTAGCTTTCGCTAGATGTCGCAGCAATTCACTACCCCCTGATCGAGACATCCTTAATTTTTGTACATATGTCTAGTTATCACCGCCACCTTGGAGAGTCACATCGGCGCGCAATATCATCGTGGAGCCATACAGGCGTTGGACAAGATCTTCCCAGGCAGGTGTTTGCTTTTTGGTGTTCCTCATCACGACGGCGCTAAGAACAGGCTGAAGTAGCGCGGTTTCTTCGTGCAGGGCATCGCAACACACCGTCACCGCCTTTGCGCTGTACCCCTCACCGTCGCTCGATACTCTCGAATCTTACACCGAGTTCTAGAGCTGTACATGGCCCTGCACGCTTCTACTTCTCTTGCGCTTTTTGCAATCTCCACGACCGATATGAGCCCGAGCATGGACTGCCGAGGGCAAAATGTGCACGTGCGCGCGAGCAGGTCGGTCACGTGCATAGTCACGTGAACTACGACAGGCGTTCTGTGCATCTCAGCGCGCGTTTTCCGCCCGCTTCAGCGATGGCCGAGTCCGCGAATTCCTCCTTCTCCCCACCCCATTGCCGCAGGCCAACACGCAGAGCCCGTCCTTGGTCCCAGACGATGCTGTGTTCGCACTTCTACACACGATCTCAGTCTCCAATTTACACCGTCGTCACCCTTTAAAGCTCGTGGAGCTTTTGTCCCGCTCGCTCTCCGCACCTGCAGCGTCACCGGCTGCGCTCCAGCAATTCACGACCACGACCACGCCTCCCCAGGCGCAGCCATCACGGCACAGCTATACTCCTGCTGGCAACTTGCGCACTTCGAGCTTCGCATCGGCTCATTGCCAACTCGAGAAGGGTCTCTGGTGCCACTCTGCACCTGTCATACCAGATCTCTCCCGAGCGCACACAGCAAAACCTAATACCATAGGGCTCCTCCACACGACAGTGAGATCTTGCACGATCTGCGATAGAGCGACGCAGGTATCGCAATGTCTCCGCGCCGGTCCTCCCGAGCGCGAACCACCCAGCCCCCGCAGGGCCCAGGAACGGCACCTAGTGTCACTTCCTCGTCTGGCTCATCTTCGCGCAACGATCGTGCTGGAAGGTCCAACAACAAGCAAGCGTCACCTCACAAGTCGTTGACCCCGCACTCGCTCTCCTCAGAAGAGCCGGAAGAGCCACCCCTCGATTCGCACATCGAACCACCATTGACCCGGCGCCGCACACGCGAGCAGGATAACGAAGGGGACGACATTGCGAAGCTCGAAGACGAGCTCGATGACGACATCGCAGAGGAGGACGAGGTGACGCGCTGCGTGTGCGGCTACTTGGACTACCCAGGCCTGCCATCAGATGCTGCCAAATCCGGGCTGATCGATGTTGAAGCCCAGGGCGACGATCTGAGCGGTCTGTTCATCCAATGCGACATCTGCAAAGTCTGGCAGCACGGAGGCTGTGTGGGTATCATGTCAGAAGAAGCCAGCCCTGACGAGTACTTTTGCGAGGAATGCAGGAAAGACCTCCACAAGCTTACGACAAGTCCTAAAGGGTACGTTTCTCCTCCACTCTCTTTTGGTCGATTCGGCGCTCTTTGCATGCACCTCGGACTTGCTTGGGCGATTACCCGGCACTCACCACAACAGCTCATCTACCTCACGCAAGATTGCGCTGACACCTTGATACAGTCAAAAGTACTCTCGATATATTCCCGTCTACGACCAGCAAAATGGCAAGGCCCGCAAGTCATCCGATGCGAAAGACTCTGATAAGGCGTCGGGCAGAGACAAAGATCGCAGCTCAAGAGCCAGTGTGGACTCATTTGGCAAACGGCGGTCGACAATGAACAGCCGAGCTGCTTACGACGAAGACGAAGTGCTGAGGAAGGTCATCGAGGAGAGCAAACACGAGGGCCCACAGACCGAGGAAAATGGCAGTCGCAAGAAGAGGAGCCGCGAAGACAGCGAGGAGTGAGTCGCATCATCTGCATTGTCCGGAGAAGACACGGAAGCTGACAAGCATTGTCACAGGATTAAACCAGACATCAAGCGACAGCGCACAGGCTCACGCTCGCCCAGCGGTTCACCCGTGCTAGAGTCAGAGGACGACAGTACAAAAGCGTCCGCGCCGAAGCAGAAACCACGAGGCGCTGCAGCGCGCAGTCAGCACCAGAAAGAACAACGTGAGAAAGACCGCGACAAGGAGCGCACTGAAGCTGCAAACAGACGGAAGGGACGTGCAGAGCGCAGGAAAGGCGACGGTATGACAGCAGATCATCCTGCTATGCACGACGATGGCTGACAACAAGCAGAGAACGAAGTCCTTGAGAACACACCCACACCCACTCCGAACGAAGAGCCAGTCATGCCTTTAGTAGTCCTTGAAACCGCGCCCCCAGAGGTATCAATACCAGACCCGAAACCACCACCAGCCCCACGAAGGGGCGGTCGCCCACCACAAAAGGCGCGCGGCAGGCTTGGTCGAAATCAGTACTCACGAGATACTGTCCCTGCCACAAATGGCGCTTCCCCCGCAGATGGACCGGGCTCGCCACAACCAGGCGCCACAAATGGTGTCAGCAATGGACACGACAGCAGTGATGGTACTGCTGGAGGAAAACCGGCCAAGTCAAAGAACTGGCGGCTGCAGAAGCTCTCATGGAATGACATACGGCGGCCGGCGGGACAAATGCAAAATTACATTGCTCAGCGGCAGGTAGAAATGGCTGGCGAGAAGGCGCCAGCTGTTCAACCGGCGACAGGCCTGACGAATGGCACAACAACACAGGAAGATGTCAAAGAGGATGTTGGAGACCTGGACAAGTTCAAGCATCTGAGCACGACACAGATGATGGACCATCTCAGCCGAGATCTGGTCCACTGGCAGCACATGATTACGCAACCAATCGAAAAATGACTGCATGTTTGCTAGCCGGTCTCCTCTTTTTCCATTTCCTCACCACGGCGCATGGCAACATCGAATCGACTTCATCAGCGACGATATTTGGGCTTTTCATCATCTAGAACGGCGTTTTGCGGTATATCCACCTGTTTACCACGGAGGAAAAACTTTCTTTGCTACGGATACCCTCCACTTCTTTTGTCGCGTAATATCGCTCAAGAGTTTTTCTATTCGAACAGTACGAGCTGATCCTCTTCCCTCGTATATATGTAGTATATAGTCCACACCAATGCAGGTGCAAGCACTTGATCAACGAGATTCACTCCACCTTCCCAACCCGCACTTCAAGCACATCCCGTCCCGGACTAACCTTCAGCATCTCCACCACCGCCTCCAGGTTCCCCTCATGCACCACCGTGTACTCGGGCCAGATCTTGCCGTCCCTCGCCTGCCGGTCCCAGTGTATCTTGAACTCTTGGATTTGCTCTTTCGTCTCGGGGTTCTTATGCTGGCTCATGGGCTCTGCGCAGTTTGGTGAAGATCCAATTGTGCGCGTGACGAGGGCGTTGAGGGATTTTAGGGAGGGGATGGGGGAGGTCGGGAGGAGAATGAGTTCGTGCCGGCTGGAGGGGCCGAGGCGGACCAGGAGGGGGATAGACATTTTTGTAGCTCGGCGGTTGGAGTTGTAGTATCGTTGGAGAAGGTTTTGACAATTATGTTTGTGCAGTAGCGTGATAGTGGCAAGTGAGGATTGGAAGCGCGCGCAGCGTTGGAAGAGGTTCGCGAACACACCTTTTCCCACTCATACGTCAACCCGCCCGGCTTTCAAGATTGAGGAACGGAACTTGTTTGCATGGCTGTGCGACGGTGATGTACGTCATTCGGACAAGGGTTCACGTCGTCTTGTGGATCAGGCGATTCGCGAGTGGAGGGGCAGGGGTTCACTTGGACATGCAGGGAAGCGGCGGGGCGGTCATTGGAGGGTGACATTTGTGGAGAATATGCAAAGATGTAGGAAAGAGGACAAGGAAAAGAACAATAATGAATCCCATCCTCCAAGTGTCTTGTTCTCATTTACAGTCCCTTGAGCTTCTCCTCTAGCGCGCGCTTGATAGCTATATCGAAAATTAGCATTCATCCACCACCAACCTCATCGCACGTGACTCACCATTACAGCTATCATTCGCATCCCCAAACAACATCCTCGTATTAGGAAGATAAAACATGGGGTTGACGACATCCGCGTATCCACTCGCCATGCCCCTCTTCATAATAATCACGCTCTTACTCTTCCAAGCATGCAGCACCGGCATACCTGCAATCGCACTGCCCTTCTCCAGCGCAATCGGATTGACCGTATCGTTAGCGCCAATTACGAGCGTAACATCCGTGTCGTCAAAGTCGTCGTTGATCTCGTCCATTTCGAGAACAATGTCGTAGGGCACGCTGGCTTCGGCGAGCAGCACGTTGCATTGGCCCGGCATCCGGCCGGCGACGGGGTGGATGGCGAAACGCACGTTTATGCCTTTGGCGCGTAGGGCGGAGACGAAGTCGGATATGGCGTATTGGGCTGCGGGGATGGTTAGTAATGTGGGGTTTAGGGGTGGTTCGGTACAGTAGAAAGTGAAGAGGGGGCGGCGTATCTGACAGGCTGGAGCTATACACATTATCGATAGGTTTCGATGACGACGCCGAGATCAGGTGTATAGCTCCAGGCTGGCAGAAGACCCAGTTCACTTTCCGTCGTAGGCGACCTGAAGTAGACGTGGGAGGAGACGTACCTTTTGCAACAGCCATACCATAGCCGACCACCTATTTGATTGTGTTAGTATTCTGTATCGGCTGATCAGGAGCAGATGTGCTTACGATTATGACATTCTCAGCATTCGCTAGCGACTCCGCAGTCTCTTCAGCAGTGGTCTTGGTGATTTCACCTTCGATCTTGGTTTCTGACTGTGCGGTAGGTGCGATGCCGCCGAAGAGCACATTAGTGATGGATCTGTTCATGGCGACGCACATGATGTACGAAAGAATGGAGCCAGATACACCGATCAGCGCGCCTATGGTGGTTAGCAAGGAGTTGTCTAACATGAAGCCTTCCGCAACCAAAGCGAATCCCGAGTAGGCGTTTAGAACGGTGATGACTACGGGCATATCTGCTCCGCCGATGGCTGCAGTCGTGGTATAGCCTTTGATGAAGGAGAGTGCAGCATTGCCGCAAAGACAAGCGGCGCCGATAAGTGGTGCACCGGGAGCCCATGCTAAGAATGCGCCCATGGTTCCCACATTCGCAGCCAGAAGACTGCTATTGATGAGATGGCGACCAGGCAAGTTGATCGGCTTCGACGACATCTTGGCAGCGAGCTTCAGGAAGGCGACGATACTTCCAGTGAATGTCACTCCACCGATAAGTACACCAAGGTATGCGCTGACCATGTGCAAGTTTGAAAGTTCGCCGGTGTGGCCAATGACGCTACCGATACTGGTCAAGACGGCTGCAAGACCAACAACGGAATGAAGTGCAGCCACAGTCTGGGGGAGTCCAGTTGGTGTAATACGTCTGCCGATGACCATGCCAACGACACTTCCGATAGTCGCAAGTCCAGCGAACTGCGTGAGGGTTTCCCCTGACATGCCGACTGCGGCCAGTGAGGCGAGTATACCAGAAAAGACACCGATTATACCAAGCATGTTACCGCGCCGTGCCGTAGCTTGCGAGGCGAGACCGGAGAGAGAGGTGACGCAAAGCACGCTGCTTACAAGGTAGCCAGCCTGTACTAGACCACCCATACCAGTAGATGCAGCGTAAACAAATCCGCCGCCAAATAATGCAGCCGGAATAGCGTATAGCCACGGATATTCCTTGGGATCAGTGGGTCGACGGAACATGTCCAACATTCTCTTGGTGATCACGAAGCCACCAGAGACATTGACGAAGGCGAGCAGAACCGACAAGGCACCAAGAGTCTGAGGAATAGTCTCCGGGAAGTATCCGCCGCCCATCACGTAGAGTCCACCGATACCAACCATTCCAGATATGGCATTGGTGACACTCATCAAAGGCGAATGAAGCGCGGGCGCAACACCCCACACCACGCGGTAGCCAATCAAGCTAGCCAGCGCAAATGTGAAGACGTTGCCCATCAGAAGGGGTGAGGTAAATTTTCCTAAAGCCAGAGCGGTGGTCATTCCCGCGGTGACGCCGGCAACTTGACGAGACTGCTCTTGCCATGGGGTTAATGCGACGATGTTCGCGACTTGATCCTCAGGTGATTGAGCCGGTTTAGCTTGAACAGGAGGAGGCGCAGGACGCGGAGCCGGAGGAAGGATCTTGCCATCATAGGTAACGATGGCACCGCGAGTGACTTCATCTGTGAGATCGACATCGTAGTACTTTTCCTTCTTGTCCTTGGGCACCAGTGAAAGCAAGAATTTGGTCACGTTGTTCGAGTACAAAGTTGATGACTGTGTCGGAAGACGGGATGGGAGGTCAGTGTAGCCTAATGCCTGTTAGTACACCGAATGCCCAAATTCGGAGAACTTACCAATGATAGAAACGCCATTGAATTTCGATAATTCACCCGGAACAGTAGCTTCACAGTTACCACCAGCCTCGGCTGCAAGATCAACAACAACGGAACCAGGCTTCATAGCGCCCAACATGGCTTTTGTAATAAGCTTTGGTGCTGGCTTTCCGGGGATCAGGGCTGTGGTGATGACAATGTCGACCTCTCGGCATTGATCGTAGAAGAGTTTCATCTCCGCTTCAATAAATTCCTTGGAAATACTGCATTAGTTAAACTGCACGGCACTCTTCACAATTGAAGTAGCTCACCTTAGACATGACTTTGGCATATCCGCCCGCTCCAGATCCATCTTCTTGCACGCCAGTCACCTCGATGAACTCGGCGCCCAGAGACTGCACTTGCTCGCGAGCTGCAGAGCGTGTGTCGAAACCTAAGTCGAAAAGTCAGTCTGGATAGTATTGAATTTTGAATACCTGTGACGCAGTGGAATAACTGTTTGTAACCACGGAGAGCCATCCAAGACGCTGGTTTGACTTACCGCGGATGATAGCGCCCATACGCCGAGCCTAGTAAAATTGTGAGTTGTTGAGGTCAAAATGTCTGATTCATGAACTTACAGTAGCAATGGCACTCAAGCCTGCCACACCAGCACCGATGACGAGAACTTTACATGGCGGGATCTAGACTGCATCAGCTCACGAACACTGGCCAATATCAACAAATTTACCTTTCCAGCAGCAGTCACTTGGCCGGTCAAAAAACGGCCGAATGTGTTTGAAGCTTCCAGAACAGCCTTGTACCCAGCAATATTAGCCATGGAACTAGGATGCATCAGTATCGGCACAACATCTGTAATCTGGATCGGCTTACCTTAGGGCATCGAACACCTGAGCCCTGGAAATGCGAGGAACCATGTCCATTGCAAAAGCAGTAGCCTTCCGAGAAGCGATTCTCTCGACAGTCGGCTTGTTCTGCACCGGGTACAGGAACGAGATGACAGTCGCACCCTCGCGAATGGCGTCGACTTCGCTCTCGGGGCCATCTGTACTGAGTGCCCTCACCTTGAGCAGAATGTCAGCTTCGGAGAAAACATTCCTCCTATCCACCGTCTTCGCGCCCGCCTGTTCATACGCCTCATCAGTGAACTGCGCCTCGAGGCCTGCACCCTGCTCGATCAAGACACGCGAGAAGCCTTTCTTAAGCAGAAGCGCCACATTCTGCGGCGTAATAGCTACACGGCGTTCACCAGGATAACTCTCCTTGGGCACACCAATGGTTATGTTTTCGTACTTGCCCGCCGAAAACGGAGGGGTCGTAGGCAATTCTGCGGCGTCATCGGGCGGCGTCGGAGCAGCCTGGGATGCATGACGGAGTATCTGAGACGCATGCGGCTGCAGTGCCAACGGTCGTGAGCGGCGCGTCAAGGCTGCACAAGGCTGCTGGAGAGCCTTTGAATGGCTTTCGCGGTGAAATAAAGTTCCAGATCCTGGTCGAATGGTGAATATCGTGGTAGTAAAGACGCTGCCCCGCAGCGGACGAGCGTAGCCTGAGAGCAGGCACTTTGCAGAGACACTCATGTTGCAGTCTCGGAGGGTGGAGAGGAGCAAGGGAGGTAGTTCGAGACCCGCATCTGCTGGCAACGGTTGATAGAGCTAGTTGGTGAAGCTGTGAGGCGGACGCTGATTGAGAGTTACACGGCACAAAGAAGAGACGTGGTACATAAATTGGTACCTTTGGGCCGCGTTTTGTGTTTGCTCTGCTGGCTGGTCGCGTCTTGTTTTGCCGATGGAGCCACCTGGGCAGGCAGCTTCCCCGCACTGTACCCCTACTTACCCCACGCTGACCCCGGATTGGCGCGAACGTTCAGTAAGTAGTTCTCGAGTGGATATTTGATGCTCGGGGCTGAATGCTCTCATGCATATGTGGACAAAGTACCTAAAGCCATGATGCTTCTTACGCCCTTGCTAGCTTGGACAACTCTTCCACGTTCCCATTCCGGCACGAAACGATGCGAGAGCAACGTTCCTCAATCTCCATCCCCGTCAACCACCCATGATCACGCGCAGTGGGGCGCAGCCCACCCTTCCCGGGTGGGCTCCCTTCTGAGCCGCTTCCGGTAGCCAATCGCAAACCAGCACTGTCGAGGCACCGAGAAGTCCACAATGCACGACAGATGGGTACCCTCTGGGCACATGCGTCATCGTGGAGCACCCTAGCAACCTCGCAGTGCATGTTTTGCTATCGTTTGAAGGATGCCGCCCTTAGCGAAGTGTCAAAAGCAAAGTCAGTGATCACTTCGAAAATGTAAGACCAAGAAGCTTAAATCATAACGCTCCATATTATTGACTACAATACACTAATAATTTTTATCTAATAAGGTCATAAGGATCGGACGAGAGCAATAGCTCCAAGGAAAAGGTCATCAAATATGCCACACTGAAAAGAACTCCGTCCATGCTCAACCGATTTTCGCCGGCACAATGCTGCCAACTACCGTTTTCATACCTCTCTCGAACCGCTTACTCAAAGTTGATGGCGAGGGTCTCGTTCAAGTCGCGCTTCCAGTTGAAATCGAAGCTAGCATTGACGTCGAGGTCCCAAGTGAAGGACTTCTGGCAACCAAAGTTGGCCGATCCACCGACGGAGATGTCAAGGTTGGCCTGGAAAGAGGAGAACTTCTTAGTGAAGAGGCGGCAGTGGGTACCGACACCATGTCCAGCCTTCTCAATGTAGGCAGCCTGGAACTGGACACAAGCAGACTTGTTCATGCCGAACATGCTCATTACCAAGTTGATCCATCCGGCCTTCTTGTTGACGATGTTCTGTTTCGCGGCGTACGCGTAGCAAAGAGTAGGGTCGAAGGGGCCGGGGAAAGTCTTCTGACCGATGCAGTAAGGCTGCTGGTTGTGGAGCTTGTGGCCGCAGTCCTGGGGCTTGCTGCACGAAGGAGGAAGAGTAGGAGGAGTGTAAGTCGCCTTGTTGTAACCGTTGGAACCGACAACGACGACCTCGAAGCCGCCCTGGTTGCCGCCCTTGTTGGTAGCAGCCTCCTTCTTGACTTCCTGTCCCCAGATGGAGCACTTGAACTGAGTGATTGAAGATGCCTGGCAGCTGCACTGCTCCTGGTTGAACTTGGGGTCACGCTCGATGAAGATGTTGAAGCCAGTGCATGTCTTGGTCTCATCGCAGTAGGCAGCGCATGCCGCGGGGTCGTACGAGGTGAGAAGCTTGTAGGAGAGGTATCCGCTTCCCTCTACGGAGCCCTGGAGGTTGGAGAAGGCCTGAGCGTATCCAGTGGGGGTCTTAGCGTTCTTTGCAAGGTCAGAGTAGACAGTGTTGCTCTTGAAGGCGTCGACAGTGTCGGGCACCGTGGGAGGTCCGTAAGCGTTGGGTTGAGCAGCGCAAGGGTCGAGAGGGTTGATGAAGCCGCAGTAGGTACCGACCTCGATAGCGGTAGGGCATGCCGGGTCGGCAGTGAAAGCCCAAGTATTGGTCCAGCTCACTGGCGTGCAGCCATCCGGAGCAGTGTTGGTGGAGGTAGGGTTGTAGGTAGGCGCAGCGGTAGTGGTAGGAGTAGGCGCAGGAGTTACAACAGGGTAACCGGGGTTGGGCTGCACCGGCTTAGGATTGAGCCACCAAAAGGTACGAGCCTCAAGATCGGCACCAGCACTCTTCTTGGCGAGCTGAGCTGAAGCCGGGGCAGCAGCAGCTGCAGCAGCCTGGCCCTGAGCCTCGCCCTGGTTGTACGAGACATCTTCAGCGGGACCAGGACCAACGGGAGGACCCTGGGCGGGAGCTTGAACAGCATCAACAGCGGCGAAGTCGAATCCCTGAGGAGCAGGGGAAGCGGCGACGAGGGCAGCAGCCCCGAGAATAAGGTAAGAACGCATTGCGAATTGTAGAGGTGTTTGGCCTGTAAAGAAGTGAATGTGGATGAAGAAGGCAGTAAAGGACTGAATGAGAGTCGATGATGCTGATGATGATCTTTTGGAGTGTCCTGCAGACGTCTTATATACCCAAAAGGGCCTCTTCCGAGTCTCAGCAGCCTCAGCAGCCTACTGTAGCGCCCAGGACAGCTGTGATAGTGGAGACTTCGCTTTAGCCGACATGTTGGTTCTTCGATGGCCGACAGGGTGTCGTGGTTGTTACCCGAACAGGTAAGCGAAGACTAGAATGGCCTGAGAGTATGTCTGACAGTTTTTTTCGCTGTCAATGTTTAGCGGAGCTAATGCAGGTACGGTCAGCTAGACGCCTCCACGACGCTGTGCTAGGCCATCTTTCGGCATCATGTTTCTTGTGGACAAGGCTGCGATGAGCATGAGCGAAAGCTTCGGGTATTTTTAGGGTACGTCTAGTCATTGCTAGACCCACAAGTTCTCCAAGCCCTCGAAGCCGCTGTTTACAGTTTCGATAGTTCGCGTGGGTATCACCAAAGCTTGCAGAATATGAACGCATATTGGTTCGTGACAGGAGGTTCGATAAAGTGATGAAACACGGAACTCCACGGAGCTTCAACGTGCTGGTCTGATGATGGAGCATCGTTCTCATCATCCGAATAGCTGACCGAAGCTGAAAGATCTTCGATCGTGCGGTCAAAGCGACGCTTGTTTACAGGGGACTGGGCGAGGCCGCCTAGGACCTTATCGTGTCCGACTGAAAGGCGAATAGTGTGGGAGCGGCGCTTTACGTGAAAAGGCTTCCGATTGGCTTGGGGCCAGGAAAAACCAATTCGCCGAATATTCAATATTCGTGTCTGCAGGGTTTCTATCTCCAACACATCGGACGGGCCAGACTAACTCCATTGAATGTCAACTATGCAGTGTGACGGTCAAAAGAGGTGTATGCATATGCACCGAAAGCTTGCAACTCCAAAAGTTTGGCCGAAGGCTTGCAGCTCCAGTGGAGTCGACGTCCGTCCGATTCGTGTCTGCTCGACTTCTGATCGCTGATTTGAGATATCGGAGAGCTCATCAGGAGATCGAACTAAAAGATGATGCGACACATGGATTCCTGAATACGAAGGTGGGTCGTAGTCTCGACACGTGGGGTTCCTCTCTTTGGAAGGCGATTTGGCCCACTGGAAAGAGTCTCGGTACCACGGAGTCCTCCAGGTCCCGATTGGCGTCCCATGAAAAGCTGTCGTATCTGCCTTTGGCGAGTACAACACTGGTAGCGGGCCATGCAGGGGCTGCCTCGTGGGAATAGCGACGTACCTAGCCAGCTGCTAATGCGGATATACGGCAGCCTGAAACCTGGCTCGTGAAGTGAGAACGTCTGCCGAACTGGAAACTACTGGGAACTCGCCACGGCTACCAATTTGTCTCGTCATCGTCGCTTGGTACCGAGGATGCCGAAGTCGTGTCGGTGGCCCTGTCAGGAAAGTAAGTTTGGCTCGCGCGGTGAAAAAGGGGTCGATCCATCCGCGGATCACCCGAGCCTTGGCGACCCACTCCCCGGGCGGAAGATCCAGCCTCGATTCTCTCCCCACAACCCTCTGTCTCGACCCCGCCACAACCAAACTTCGTCATGAAGGGTCGACACAGCCTCATCCACGATCACGTGAGTTGGCCTGGATCTCGGTTTCTTTGTTGTGCTTCGACGCCCCTTCGGCGACCCATGTGATCGTTCCGCTTCCCTGGTATATACAGCAGACGTGATGAAGTCTCGCCTCATGCGCTCAGCCTCGAGCAAGCTGTCTATACACGGTCTATCGAGAGTCTGCCATCTCTATTTTTACGACAGAACGATGACATCTCCTGGTATAGACAACTGAGTACGCTCCTGTGCCATTTTCATTGCCGCATTCTGATCTTCCTGCTTCTGCTTTCTGGATGTCGACCGGTTTCGACCTGTTGAGGTCGCTTTTAGACTCAATTCGGCGCTCCTTAGAGCAACCTGGAGATCGGTATGAGTTCATGCCTCCGCTCTGTAAATTCTCTAGGAACGCGTAGTCATCTATTGCTTGTGTTATATATACACACAACTTGCGTTACCCATGGTTGAGCTGATTTATAATGTTGACTCTCTCAGTCCGGGTGCTGGCGGGCTTGTCTGCTTTTCAAGTCATTCAAACTGCTCCTCAAGATGTGAGTAATGCTGCTCGCTGCGGTGCGCGCTTCGGTCTCTCTTGCAGCAGCGCATTTAGAAGTTGCTGTTCAAAAGATGAATTGTGTGGTTCCGGCAAGGACCACTGCGACGCGGGCTGCCAACCTCGCCGGGGAATATGCGCTTCGGGGGCACCCAATATAGCTTCCTCGACATCTGCGTCACATGCTAATCCTAGTATTGAGCTGCATGAGAGGTCATGCTTCGTTTGATTCGCTGCGCTGGCCGCATTCGTGCCTTCGAAGACTGTCGACTGGAGATGCATCGACCTATAACACAGGGGAAATCGACACTATTTCCATATACCACATAATTGTCCCTCGCATTCGTGATCAACCTCTCTTTACAAGGTGCTGCAACAAGTCGCACGTGCTGCGTCTGAACAGTACTATCAGGCAACTCCGTCAAGACCGGATAGTTTCAGGGCATTCCGAGTGGTTAATAATATGCTAAAAAGCTATTAGATGTACTCAGGCCAGTATGTAACATGACAACCGTTCTATGATGGTAGTTGGGGTATAACCAGAGTGCGCACGAACCATCATAGCACCTGGTGTCTGCAGGATTTCTTTCAGCTCTTGAGGCAAAATTTCCTTACTTGCAGCCGATGCCATGGTCGATGCTGACTGCTAGGTGCCTCAAACACGTGGGATCTTTCAGACGTTCTACTTACTGAGCAGAAGGGCCGAAAGTGCAAGGGAAATAATTTTTCTGAGACGTCGTCAAGCGGATCCGACAAATGTCGCCGGCTACACTGGAGGTAATGTCAGGTGAGCATCGCACCAGGCTTCTGGTATTCCGTTTACATCTGCGTGCTAAAAATAGGACGTGTGCTTTGCTCATTTCCAAGTGCAAAAGCAGAGTCTGGTATCGCGCATGCCGATGTCAATACTTGTTTTCACAACACAAAGACCTTGTAAGAGCTTAGATCTACCCCGCTGTCTTGTTGTATAGTTTTTTTAGTCTTCACGAAACCAGTGTCATAGTCTTAATGCGTTGATTATGACCGGCTTATTCCGCCGCACCGTGAGAGTATGTCTCTCCATATTGTACCCTGATCCACAGCTTTACCGAGCCGTATATTGCGGCTCCAAGAGACAATGTTGGAGATTTTAGCATCCCCGAGAACATTAGGACCGACACCGGTTCGCCTAGCAGTCCCTACCACGAAAAACGCGCTCAATGGTAATGGCTATGAAAGCAAATACTAGGGTCGCTCTGCTTGCCGTTTGTTCGCGTCTTCGCTCAAATCTGCGCGTCTTCTCGGGTGTTCTAGAATTAAACTCATGACCTCTAGATACCTAGGTAGTTTCACGGATTGGACTTCCTGCCTCTGAAACTCCAAGATCACCTGCGAATAGACTTGTACGAGCTGCTGAGCATATAGTCGGTCAAGAAACACCGAAACCCAGTGCTGAGCAGGTCGACTTCGTATATGAATTACCCGGGGCGAGACCTAGGAACCGAGTATTGAGGTGGCCACGATCTATGCAGCAAAGGGTCGATTAATGTACATTCATATGTGAAGATATTGAGCTGGACATACGGCGAGTGGAACGCCTGGTACTTAATACACATGCCCCGACTTCTCGAGCGAGTAAGGTCTGACCACTCGGCGGCTCGTGGCATTGCAGATCCTTGCTTACTCGCAGGATGATCGGAAAAGGCGTGCGCGCATACTCCAGATCGCATATTACCCAATTAAGCGACGCGTTACCGAGCGCCCATATTAGCCAAGCAAATTACACCAAATCAGTTCGAGACCTAGTTCTGTAACGCATACTTACCCCGGAACTCGGGAATTTTAGATGGCGCTCTGGCAAGTTGCCTGGCTACTGTATCCTCTCGGCGATATCACCTGACCATGTTATAGCAGTGCTGGTACGGCCATATTACTTTGACCCTGTCGGGTTATTTTTGGCTTTGGATGCAGGTCCAACAGGCGGATCTGCGGGGGACGATCAATTAGCCTTCCATCGAAGCTTTTCGTATGTACACTATAATTCTTCGTTCGGGACTTTCGCCTCTTAGGCGCGCCACGAGCGAGAAGCGAAAGCTTCCGACGGTCTCGCACATCAAGGGTGACCTCCGTCCATAGGTTGCAGATATGCAGTTTGGTTCTTCTTGGTCATATTCTCGTATTCGAAGTTCGAGACTGGTCAAAATTGCTGAAGGATTCAGACGTGCAATATCTGCTCACGGCGGTACTACCCAGTCGCCTCGGTCGAGATGTTAAGAGACCGTTGTCTTAATACCGGCACGCGTAGGGACGGGCTAAGATTAGTATCATATTACCTCAAACATTGTCACGATGCTTCGTATTGGTAAACTGCCATGGCAGACTGCAGTGTGGAAACCTAGCCAGGCGGGTTGAAGCACAAGGGTCGACATATGCAGCTTGATTAGCCTTCGACTTCTCACGACAGTATAAAGATGGCGTGCATCTGCTACGACTGCTGAACATAACAATCAACATCAGCAGTTACTTCCAACACCACTCGCTCCACATTTCATCACTCTCGCTCTTCAAGATGCACTCCAAGCTCGCCATTCTCGCCCTCCCGGCACTCGCCGCGGCCTACCCTCAATCTTCCGCTGTGGCACCAGCGCCAGAGCAGATTACTATCCGTGATACCACTTACTCTGGTAGCGGATGTCCTCAGGGCTCTGTCTCGACCTCCACGTCTGATGACAAGACCGTAAGTCAAACCATCCACTTCACACTTCTTTTCATCATGGTATCCATGCACGAGAACGAGCTGCGTAAAAACCGAAAGATTGCGATCTTTACAAGCAATTTCATCTCTCAATTGTGTATACCTTTTGGGTTGGGGTGCGGAACTTGCGTACCGACAAACACACCACACTCCTGACCTCACCTCATCACCACTCGCATACGTCTGCAATAACCGCAGCAACATCTTCTGAATCTCATTCTATTCGTACTGCCTACGTTTCGTTTTCTTCACTACCTTTTACACCGAACTGACAAAACAATCAGGTGATCACGTAAGGACACATCCACACTTCACCACCCACGCCTCCACCTTCATATTTTGTATCAGAGCTGACGCGCCGAAGCTACGGCTTTGACCAATTCCAGACGTACATTGGCCCAGGAAGCAAGGCATCCGACAAATCCAAGAACTGCCAGCTTCATCTGAACCTCGCGTACCCCGGCGGCTTCCAATACGCCGTTGTAGACGCGACATACCACGGCTGGGCCCGCCTCGACGAAGGCGTAACAGGCAGCTTCATCACCACGTACTACTTCTCTCAGGATGCCGGCAAGACCGTAAGTTGACCCATCTTCCAGTCCCAAACCCCTCCAACCGTCACTTCCACACCGCCAAATTCCAAAACACCAGCTGATTTCTAAAGCAAACAACCCGCTCCTCTTTCAACGGAGGCGGCGCCCTGCTCAACGGCCAAGTCTACACCAAGCAGGACAGCGTCGAGACTACCGCCACCATCTGGTCCCCGTGTGGATCCAACGGCATCCTCAACATCAACAACCGCATCGCGCTGACCAGCAAGAACACCACCGCCAGCGGAGAGCTCAGCAACGATGATGCGACCGTTGCATTCACTCAGCAGTTGCATGTCGCGTGGAAGAAGTGCACGCCGACCAGTGGAGGAGGAAGTGGAAGTGGCAATGGCGATGCAGTGATTATCGGGACGCCGAACAGTGATGTTATCATCGGTTAGATAAAGATGAGCGATCGATGCGGGGGGAATGGGGTGTGAGGTGGTGGGGGAAGTGTACGAGGAAGGTAGCTGGTTTTGTGGTTGATGTTTTGTGTGTAATTGAATTTATTGCATGTGCTTTTATTAATCGTTCTCCTTGACGGTGGAAAGTGAGAGGTGTGCGGCAGCAGCCAGATCATCCGATGAACTAAAGGTATACGCAGGCTCCTGCTGTCGAAATCGAAACCTGGCAATGTTGTGTATAGCTTTGGGCTACATGATGCCTCTGTATACTCTCCCCCACCATAAGCTTTCCATTCTCGAACTGCTGCTGGATGATTGGATAGGATTGGATTCATCATCCTTGAACAATTCGACGATGCGCATCTACATCTCCACATTCTCTACTGTCATGTTCAATAGCTTCAGGTGAGACTGTAGCAGAGATGTGTGTACAGCTACATCACATATGTTGGCAATACACAGTATCGCTGGGTATGACTCTTGCCGGCGAGATTCTTTGTATAGCTTCAGACAGACACCCTGGTCGGTTTCTATTGTAGCTATTGATATGTAGCACTGAGGCTTGAGTTGCACTCAGAGCTGAAAGTAAGACACGCTCGGTCATCATCACCACGCGCAGGTCCATGGCACTGCGACACCAAAAAACAAACAAGAAGCATGTGCTAAACGCGCTCCATTCCTCGGATACCCTACTATTCCCGGTAAAAGATACATCTTGCTAACAATAAGAAGTAGCCAATGCCATGAAAAAGATCCTCTATCCCTTGCGCCGGGCCCGCAGATCCATGCAGACAATGTACAACCCCAAAGATGCACCCCCTCGCACAAAAGGTCGCGCCCATAAGCGTACAAAACCCTAGCCATCATCGTACAAAGCGCGCGCCACCAATAAAATCTCCGAGACACAAAAACTAACAACAACCACGAAAAAAATAACATGCCCCGGTCTTATTTACCGACTCCCTCATCGGGAAGTGCGTCTATCCTGGATGGTTCGGAGAACTTCTAACCAGCCGCCGTCATCCGTCGAGTTTCCTTCTCCTACAAAGGAGGCTATCAGGAAACTGGAAAGAAAGGAGTTTAATGGGTTGCCACCATGTACTTACCGTTGTATGCGGCCATGTTGGATGCGGGTCCCGCGCCCATGACAGTGATGATGTTGCTGTCGACGATTTGCACTGCCGCGCCGTTGCCAGCAGATGCGACTGGAGGATCCGAGGCGGAGTTGCGTAAGCGTATCAAGGTGACGCGTATACGGTATGCGCCTGCTTGGCGGATGATGAGGTCTGGGAAGCGCATGTAGCCAACACCTTGTGGATCGGCCATGTCCATGGATGCGATGGATCCGTCTGCTTCATCGTCCGCAAACGAATGTATCGAGTCAAATCTCCGGCCAATGAGTATGGCGTTGAGAACATTTGGATCTGCAGGGGCGGCCGAGTTTCCAGGAATCAGGGCAGCGACGGCAACCAGGTTGGCGGAATCCGCGACAGCGTCTTCAGGGTCCGCGTTGGTCGTCCGTAACCGCACAACAATAGATCCAGGTAATGCTTGACCAGCTCGTGCACTGCGGGGAGGCTGGACGACAATGTCCATGGCGTAGCGAATGTCTTCTGGTGATAGGTAGTGGTGACCTGACCTTGAGCGTCCAGAGTTGCGGGCGTGAGCTCTTGTTCGAACGGAATTGCTTCCTAGCGGCCTAGATCTTGCAACGTCGGCCATTGAGGTGGTGGCGCCGTTGACTTGCTGGTTTGTTTCTCCGTTGAGTAACTCTGCTAAGCGTGCAGAGCGTCTCAGAGAAGCGTGGCTGCCGCTACGCTGCAAGGTCGCACCGCGAGATGTGGACCTGACACGTGACGAAGAAGAAGGCGGTGGGTTGGACGCGTTCCTCCTGGCGGATGCACTCCGGGCGGGATTCGGATTTCTACCTCGTCCTCGTTGGGAGCCTCTTCGCATCGATGAAGGGTGAACCTGTGACTGTTTAGCAAAGTTTCATGGAGTTTCTCCGGGCATCGGTGGTGATGCAGGTGACGTTCAGGCAGAATGAGATGCAAGGAAGTGAAGTGGAAACGCGGATATGGAAAACGAAGCAGCGACCGAGTCTTAATGTATTGCGACACGATGGTACCCCAAGACAGGCGAAGACTCGAATGCGATGAAGGAAATGAAGTCAAGCCACGAGTCAGATGGCTCATCAAAGCTGTTGGTGGCCCGCCAGCCGTCTGCTATTGCCGCTGCGAGAATAGGTGATGTACGTTGTTCGGTGCGCACTGAGCCCGACAGACAGACCCTTTAATCTCAACGGCGCGAACAGCAGAGGCAGCGAGTGGGCTTCAGGCCATATTGCGAGCATGATGGGTTGAGTTGAGGTTCGAAGCACTCTCCCCTGTCTGCGCGGCCTTAAGACGGCGGGCTATCAGGCGCGGACCGCAAGCAAGGCCGATGATTGGGCGCGTGCATGCAGCGCTTAGGCTAATGAACAGGTGTTGTCCATGCGTGGCATGATGGAGAAGAAAGAAGACAGATGGAGACATTTGCGCGAAAGAGATAACAGCTCGAGGACGAGGCAGTGGAGCAGGTGGTGTTGCAGGTTGAGGAGCGTGCTGCAGCGGGTGTGCGTCACACAACCCGGGCGGGCAGGGACGCCATGTGGGGTGCAGGGATGGTGGGGGAGGGCAGGAGCGAACGGGCTGCGAAGCGAAATTGAGCTCTGCTCACCTTCGTGCTCGTCACACCCAAACGGGTCTTCGGAAATGGCAGGAGCGCTGAGGTGTTCCTTCCTTTTCTTCGAGTCGGCTGCACAATCTTCCGGGGGCCTGGGCCGCGCGATGTCCGACTATCAGATGGCGAGCGACTGTGCCTGATGGAGGTGGAGCTGGTGGTGGTGGTGGTGATATTATTGCTGCCGTACTGCTGATACTATCGCTGCCGTGATGCTGATGATGAGGATGATATTACTGGGACGGCTCGTCGGTTCTGCATCGCAAACATGTTAGCTATGCCATCCATCCCCGCCCCTCCGCCCTCCGCCCGCTCCGCACATGGTCAAACCAGCAGCATGAAGCCTGGGGACAACCCAATCCCCAGCATCACCACCGCCTTCTCCAACGCGCCCGAGCTCGGCCGACGTACCTCACTGACAGGCTGCTGTCACGATGATGGATGCTGCCCTATGCACGCAAGTGGATGCAAGCCGGACGGCGCTTCGGAAACGCTGTGAACCGCTGACGGTGCAAGTCTCAGTCGATGAAGGAATGCCTCAGGCAGAGCGCTTTATGCAGATGGATGGCCATCGTGAGGACGGTCACTCGTCCGTCTTATACCATCTCTTCCTGTCGCAGGCATCAAAGTGGGCTCTTCCCCTTCCTGGTGTGGGTTGCAGCGTCCTTTCACCAGCACGCCGCCATCCGCGATTGGTCTGGACACTGTCTTCCTCTTTCGACTGTGCATCCGTGTGCTTCGCCCTTCGAGAAGCACAGGTGAACCAGATGGCTACCAAGGCCCTGCTGCCCCTGTCCCTGTCCTGCGCATCAACCGCTGCCGCAAGACATGCCGCCCGTCGACTTTGGCGCCTTGGCCATGACCATCAACACCACCGCGTCCCATCTGGCGCAGCCATGCCATGCACCGGATCGCATCCGGGGCCCTCCTGCCTCTGCATCATCATGGAGTCTCTTGCTGCTGTATCCACGCCGCCACCAATACCCACGCCGATTCTGTACCACACTTGAAGCTGCAAATGGCCCCGTTCCCATTGGCCCAAGCACGCACCGCTGCTTACATCAGGACGACGTGAAGCTCATCTCCCATCACGCCTCGCCCACGCCACATACATCAAATCAAATCTACCCTGCTTCTTCTGCTGCTCCCGCTCGCTCTGTGTCGTTCCCGCGCCAAAGACCGAGCTTCTCCGCAGTCATTGGAGCAAAACCCAGCAGCCGCCCCTAGCCTGATTGCAGACACGACGACGGCTCTGATTGTCGAGCGACGACTGATAACTACCCCATCACGCTCCGTTCTGCATGATACAATGTTCGATCCCGCAACTCTCGGCCCTTTCCTCGGGACCTTGTTACGTGAGCCGCCCAAATGGAGCTTTCAAGGAGCTACCGAAGAAGCAAACTCATGACATGGCCGTGGCCACTTCGCATCCCAGTAGCCTTCAAGTGCGTGGCTTTTCTGGCTTCTAGGTGTACAACGGCGTCCCAGAGAACGTTACTCATGTCAGCCTTGTTCATACAAAATTAGTGGCAGACCATCTCTACGCCACCATCAAGGACATTCAGAATACGAAAGCTCAGATACAAGGAAAACCCAGCTGCCCTCCCTGTTCCATCCCCTCTAGCTGCTGCATCAGCTCCGACCGCGCAGGGTTTGAGACAGATTCTAGCGTCCGATGAACCGGCCATCAGCAGGAGTGCCCGTTTTCGATCGATCCAAGATCTCGCGAGATTTGCGACGATGCTTTTGCGGAACTGCATCCCTGTGCCGGCTACCGACCGAATGGCAAATGGGCGCGTAGCACCTGCTCACCACGCAGACCCACCAACCTGGGTCTCCTTGACATGTCTGTCACTCATGAATGCGAGACCTCGCCGATTGATTGACCTGGTCCTACGTCAATTGCCTCTTTGGAAGGCACTTGCAGGATCGCTCGCTTTTCTTCCCACGCCTGGCCAAAGGACTATTCGGCTGTTCTTGCCTGATGTTGATTCCTACATACGTGAGAGATCACGAGCACACCCAAGGTTTCTCCATGGCTGAGAGCGAGATCGCCTGCGTCGAAATTGCAGCCATCCAAAGCGTAAAGCTTACAAACCACTCCCTGGTACATTTCGACCACGCAATCCGCCTTCCTATCTGGGCTGTGGGCATGGATCGTCATCAACCGAGCTAAGCGCAACACCGAAACTCGTCAGAAAACAAGGCTCGAACACGTGTATGCGTAAAGTCGCGACATTCCAGAAGGACACCTGAATTGCAGATGGTTCTTTTGGGAAAGCTGTTCCAGATTCACAGACCGGAGAGATCGACTGCGCCTTCCACATTTCCAGATGGAGATCACCAGCATGTCTCCCAATATGCCGGAACCGCCACTGTACTACTTTGGTCCCAGCTGCGTCGCTTCCATGCAGAGGTGTCTCAAAACGTCGAGGCCTCAAGCCGGTTCCGAGTAGCACAGCGTTGCGCAAACATCATTGCAGGGAGCACCGGCTCTTCAGAGATGTCCCAACGCTGCGGAACTGCCTCTGAGGGTTGCTTGGTCACGGCGCAGGAACATCGAGCTCGAGTCTGTGCTATGTGTCAGTATCGACACCGACAACGCGTGCGCCGGTGCGTACCAGCTGCGTGCGTTCCGGTCACGAGATCCTTGTCATATTCAAGACAAAAAGCCTTCCGCAATTCAAATTCATCCGGCCATGCTGTCACGGACGACGCACTGACCAGATGTTGCCTCAACACCACACAGGTAATTTTTCCGACTGGTCGCACGGCCCGTGGAGATCTGAAGCCTCACTCAGTGATCGATCTCACCATGACAATTACTGCGCACGACACTGACGTCAGGGATAAACCTCCCATGAACACTTGGCTATGGCACACCAGAGACTTTTAGTGAAGTAAGGTACTCTCGCCTCATCCGATGCGCCGGCGAACCAGTAAGACCCAGCATCTTCTTCTGGAAACTACCCTAGTCTGGAAACCACTTGTGTCTTCCTAGCAGGCAAATAGCTACAACGGTCGCTGTCTTGAGAACCACGTCAGGGTTCGCGCTATGCGCTGGGTGGTTCAGAACCTCCCCAACGCCCCAATCATCTCGGACGCCGACAATGAACCACTTGCGCCACCATCTTGTAGGTCTCAGACCTGGGCGCTGCCACGCAGCAGTCTACTTTGAGATGAGTACTGGCAGCCATCGCTTCATTCTGCCTGTCTTGGCCGAGCCAATTGATATCCCAGTATTGGGACAATGTCACGGGGCACCTGTTCTGCAACCAATGGATGCACAGCCTTGTGTTTGGATGGATCATCCCAGGAAGTACTCGCATTTGACTGGGAGATGCTAGTTGCACATCGCACTCGCATCACCAAATCATTCACCTGGGGCGGCGTCCTTTGTGGATTTCCACATTAGAGTCCACTATTATCCGTTGCCCGAAGTCAGCATATCCCGATATGATACTCACTCAGACTGATCGTCTCGTGATGAAATCATGTCTCGTCGTCGCCGCGGATGCAGCTGGTACAATATTTGCCTCGCTTCGTACCACGATATCCGCCTTACATTTAGATTTGCCCAGCTGGAACGACTCACGCCATTCTGAAATCATAAGACAAGATGAATGCGCTGACTCGGTAATACATACTATCGTTTCGCACCCAATTATTTCATCAAAGTTTCATCAAGGCATAGTAGGCTTGTGTGCGAGACGGATCCCGGCACCAATTTCAATCGGTACAATATGTGTATGCGATACAAGCAATACAACTCTATCTATCTATCTTGCCTATGACTGGCGTGAGTGTTGAAGTACCTCGGTATAAAAGTGTGGCACAGACTGCTGGTCCACCAAACTTTGTCATATCACGGCGAGAGACCGGCTCAACAACCGGTCCAGGCGACATCCTACCCTACAACATTGGCGTCGAAGACACTATCCTGGCGATCGCGAGGGCATCAACTGCTCACTATAAGCGGCGGCTACGTTGTCATGACATACCAAGTAACAAGCAGAAAACATATCACATCTCGTATAATCATCATTTATACGCTGAAGCCCCGCCTCGAAGTCGTTTCGCGACTAGTATCCGCTGTAAGAATGAGCGGGGTTTCTCCTGTAATAGGTTTCCGTACAGCTTAGCCGAGCCGCACACAGCACCATACCGTCGCGTTGGAAACATTCTGCTTATGGTAGGTTTTCGCACACGTACAGATTGTGGAAATTCCACTTGTCGAACGATCGTTTACATGGCATGCAAAGAGATGTCGGCGAAAGAGCTGTCATACCATGTGGATACGTAAATCGCCGCACTCACCACTCCGGTGCCTGCCAGACTCGACAGCTCCAGTTAGTTGAGGAGCAAGCTCAGATCATGCGCAGTAACAAAACAAACGCCCTTTCAACCGCTAACCGCTCATCAGCCGCGCACACGACGTGGTGAGCGAAAACTGTTGGGACCAAGACGAAACTCGCGCAGCGACCGGATTGGGAAATATTGACATGCAGCATCACTGTTTGGGCAGCGCATGACTCGGAAGGACGGAGAATGTTCATGCTGTGCTGCAGCGTAACGGGGAGGTGCACGAGCTGACCTGCACGTTCATGTACACGGTCGCATGGAGGTGTTGCATGACACAGATTTGGTGTTGCTTACTGGTGACGCAGAGTGTGATGGGGTGGGAGGGGTATCCAAAGTTTCCTCCATGTTGTCACCCATGGGAGAGAGGCATTTCACAGCCTGAAGCTATGCGGTGCATAGCTGGGCTGTGGTTGCAACGGCACGACGTCTGTGTATAGACTCAGGCTTCAAGATGTGCTGCTGCACCATGGTCTCGTTCTGTCGTAATTGGTAACCTGCAGTAGTTGGACAGGAGGGAATAGGGGATTGTTTGCGTTGGGAAGTAGTGCTCAGCTTGAAGATTGACTACCGGCTCAAATCGAACCGAGATACAATTGCCCCCTCGTGGGACAAGTAGACGACTCAAGTAGCTGTGGTAGATGGAGGACGTGAAGTCGGCAGCCTCGTCTTGGCGCCCCCTCCAAAGTGCGAACACCCCACCAAAATTTTGGACTAGCGCGTTTTTCTGCTTGCTTCGCAAACGGGAGCTTATGACTGGCATCTCAGGCATGCAGCAAAGTCTTGCCCGAAGTAGACCCACGCTTTTCTCTTCTCCCCAATTTTCTTTCACGAGGCCGCTGGCGACTCATCGCGACTACTTGACTCACAACACAGTCAACAACCGCTGCGCCCACCCCGCGCCTGCCACCACCCCGCCCTCGCGTCTCTACACACAAAGGCGCATACCACGCGACTACGCCCCCCGCAACCTCGCCCCCAGAGTCACGACTCGCCCGTACAACGTGCGCACCTACAACGCCGTGTCCGACTCCCTCCAATCCCTCGACGCGTCCGCGCGCCAAACCCTCATCATGGAAGACCTCACAAACACACTCAAGACACTCGGTCTCTCCACCGTCCCGCAAGAACCCAACACCTACCCCGCCCTCAACCCCTTCGACATCTACCGCAGCCACATCACCGAGCTCCTCGCGCCCATCTCCGGCGTCGACAAGGCAGTCATCTACCGCTCGCTCTCATGGACGTCCAAGGCCGAGCACGGCGACCTGCAACTCGCGGTCCCTGCTCTGCGCCTGAAGAAGAAGCCCGACGAGATGAAGGCGTTTACGCAGGAACTCGCGGACAAGTTCCCCGAGTCGCCGCTGGTCAAGAAGCCGCTGGTCACGAACACGAGTCTGGGCTTCTTTTTCAATGCCGAGCCGCTGACGCAGCTGGTGCTGCCGATGGTGCTCAAGTCGGGGGCCGAGTATGGGTTTAATAGGAATTTGGGGCTGAGGAATCCTGAGGATCCGGCGCAGGGCAAGAAGAAGATGATTGTCGAGTTTAGCTCGCCGAATATTGCGAAGCCGTTTCATGCGGGGCACTTGCGGAGTACCATCATTGGTGGCTTCCTCGCGAATCTGTACGAGGGCGCGGGATGGGACGTTGTAAGGATGAACTATCTGGGTGACTGGGGAAAGCAGTACGGTGTGTTGGCGATTGGATTTGACCTGTTTGGCAACGAGGAGGAGCTGGTCAAGAACCCCATTGGCCATCTGTACGACATCTACGTCAAGGTCAGCACCATCCAGCACGAGGAGGCCGAACAGGTCAAGGCGCTCAAGGCCGAGGCTGCAAAGCTGAAGGAAGAGGGCAAGGACGCATCGGAGCAAGAAGCCAAGATCACCAAGATCGAGACCGAAGGCATCGACGAGCAGGCGCGGAAATACTTCAAGGGCATGGTCGACGGCGAGCCCAAGGCCCTCGGCATCTGGAAACGCTTCCGCGACCTCTCGATTGAAAAGTACAAAGCCACATATGCGCGCCTGAACATCCGGTACGACGACTACAGCGGCGAGTCACAGGTCAAGGACGAGAGCATGGAGCTCGCCGCCAAGATCATGTGGGAAAAGAAGGTGTGCGAGGACTCCGAGGGCGCCGTGATTGTCGACCTCACCAAGCACTCGAAGAAGCTGGGCAAGGCGGTCGTCAAGAAGAAGGACGGCACGTCGCTGTATCTCACGAGGGATATTGGCGAGGCGATCCAGCGTGTCGAGAAGTATCACTTTGAGTAAGCCACCACCTCCCCCCACCCCATCTTCACCCTCCTTATTAACAACTTTCAAGCCACATGATCTACGTCGTCGCCTCCCAACAAGACCTGCACCTCGCGCAACTCTTCAAAATCGAAGAACTAATGGGCCGCACCGACATCTCCTCGCGCTGCACACACATCAACTTCGGCATGGTCCTCGGCATGTCGACGCGCAAGGGAACCGCCAAATTCCTCGACGACATCCTGCGCGACGTCGGCGAGAAAATGCACGACGTCATGCGCTCCAACCAGGCCAAATACGAACAAGTCGAGAACCCAGACCAAGTCGCCGATACACTGGGCATCAGCGCCGTCATGGTCCAGGACATGAAGGGTAAAAGGATTAACAATTACACGTTTGACATGGACCGCATGACGAGCTTCGAGGGGGATACAGGCCCCTACCTACAATACGCACACGCCCGTCTCTGCTCGATATACCGCAAAGCCCTCGCCGCGGACCCCAGTCTAGAGAAGGTCGACCTCGCCAGCGCAGACCTGAACTTACTCACAGAGCCGCACGCAATCGACCTCGTGCGCCAACTCGCATCTTGGCCCGACACGTTCCTCAACACCATCAAGACGCAGGAGCCCACCACCGTGCTGACGTACCTGTTCAAGATGGCGCACGCGCTCAGCTCGAGCTACGACCACTTGCAGGTGGTGGGCACCAAGGAGCGCGGCGTCATGCTGGCGCGGCTGGCGCTGTATGTGGCGGCGCGGCAGGTGTTGAGTAATGGCATGCGGGTGTTGGGGTTGAGTCCGGTGGAGAGGATGTAGACGAGAAAAAAGGGCTTGATTCGAGTATATGTATGCGCCAACGCCGGCGGAAAAATGCCACAAATGCAGAAAAGAGGATTTTTGAAACATGTCAACTCCGACTCCCATCTCGTGCTACTCCGTGCTGTCCCTGTATGCAAAAGCCCAAACTCCAATTCCTACTCCAGGTCTGCGCAGCGCTTTTTTTTCGTTCGCTCTCTTTAGTGGTGCCGATCGCACGCAATCCCACTCATACTGTAAAACACGCAGTCAGTAAGCCGTCTCCACAATCCACCATCATCCATCTCAATCCATTTTCAATCCCCGCTCCTCCATCCCCAAAACCCCCCCTCCATCAAATTCACTCGCTAGAAACTAGAGAGATCTCAATACGTACCACTCTGCCCTCCTCATCCCCCGTATACACATTTCCAGGCAGCGGCAAGATGCACGTAATCGCACCCGCCGCAGCGCCATTCCCACTCATCTGGTCTGTGTGATTGAGCACATTGACGAGCTCGATGCTCCACTTGGATTTCCCGTCTTGCGCGGGCGCGGGGAGCAAGTTGAAGATCTGATGGCACACACGTTTGGGTTAGTAATGCGTCTTCGTTGTCGGGGAAGGATATGGAAGAGGTATACGCACCTTGACAATCCCCCGTCTGTGTCCCGTGAATATCAATTCGCGCTCGACCCACTCATTCCCACTGCCTTCGTACACGGCGAGCGCACTGATGCCTTCGGCATCGTCCTCGCTGTCACAAACATCTTCGTCGAGAAGTACCGCGCCATTGAGCGTGCACACCACCAGCCGCCGCCCGCACGCCATGACCACGTGTCCCGTGACGCTGTTGATTCGCGCCGCTTGGATAGAGACGGTATGTCGTGGCCCAAGATGAATCTCGCGCACGAATTCGCTGCGATTCAAATCCCAGAGGAAGATTCGGCCGTCGAGCGACGCAGATAGAAACGCCGAGAACGCGCGAGACGCGGCAAGTGTGACGACGGGGGATTTGTGTCCAAACAGTGTCGTAGCATTTTGCAACTCCACACCTCCACCGTTCTTACTGACGTTCCAGATCGCGAGCGTACAATCCGTGCCCGCCGTTATGAGCGTGCGGCCGTCGATGAACAAGCTCGTAGTCAGCTGTCCAGAGTGCAGGTGTTCAAAGAGTCCGATGAGGCGCTTGGAGTGCGAGTCGTAGAAGCGCACACTACCATCCGTAAAGCCCCATTCCATGTATCGATCGTAGTGCGGCGGAATGTTGTGTCTGAATGGCGCCGAACACAGAAGTTTTTCCGTACGCGCGATGTAATTCAGCGAGTTAATCCTATCATGCGCATCGAGCAGCGTGCCAGGCACACGATGCAGGCTCTCTGCCGCGGTATCTAATTTCGCGGGTTTTGCGAGGTTTTCTTTCTTGGGGTGCGGTCGCTGAAAGACCTGTGTGGGTGTTTGGCCGAAGTTGTTGATGATGCTAATTTTCTGCGCGCGCTCTTCGCCGTCAGTGATGGAGTCGAGGTCCATGGCGCCTTGGTAAGTCATGAAGTGAAAGACGTTGGCGGCGTCGACGGCGGCTTCGCCGCGCTGCTTGAAGCCGAAGATTAGGTCGATCCAGTGGTGAAGGTTTTGGGTGACATATGGGCTCTCGAGGGCCTCGCGCTGCTTGGCGATGAAAATTGCTGGATCGCCGTGGGCCCAGGGTGGAAGTGAGACATCGTCCATCCGAGAGCCGTCGGAGCGCAACCCGAAGTCGTAGTCGTTGACGTTAGTGAGGAAGTCGGGCAGGAAGAAGAACTCGGGAGTGAGCTCTCGTACATCGGCCATGTTCTTGGCGGAGACAGAGTCCCATGCGCCCTTGATGGAATAGAACATGCGGTCCGGGTGATCCCAAGTGCCACCTTGAATAAGGAAGAACGCCGCGCTGAAAGGCTGCAGTCTCATGAGATACGATGCAACAGTCATAGCCGAAGAGTAATGCGTCCCGTAGTGGAACGCCTTATCAGTCTCACCCATCTCTGCAAACGAGCTGAATCTCTCCCTGATTGAACGCTCTTGTCTGGGATCTTGGATACCAATGGGCTTTCTGAGGTCACGGAAGTTCACTGGATCTGTCAAGTCGAGCTCCTCACTCTCGTAGTTGGAGATGACCCAAGGGAAGACGGGATACTGGGTGAGGTCGTTGAAAGTTCTTCCAGCGAGCGTATTCACAAACATCAGATAGTGGAAGTTTGACATCTCTCCTTTTAGCCACTTTTTCGTCGCAGGATGCGATGATGCAGAGCCAAAAGCGGAGGCAAATCGTGAACCTAGCGTCTGTGGGGCTTCTTCGGGATTGTGAAGTGAGTCGAGTCGCCATGAGATCTCCGAATTCGTAAGCTTCTCCGGGTTGACCACATGTGAAGCGCGCTGCAACACTCGCGAGTGCAAGTCGTTGCGGGCCTGTGTAGACATCGCTGTCAGGAGATAGCTGCGTCCGTCGTCGAAGAATGCTTCCATTGCGACGTCACGGTGCAGGAATCGACGCTTCGATATGCTGATGACTTCGCTCCACTTCCAATGCCGCACCGAGTCTTCCTGGTTTCTTGGAGGCGGCCGACGGTTCGTGATTGCTTCCTTGCCAGCGATGACCTGTACATAAGGATCGCGCTCGTCTGGCGGTGCTTGCCATACGCGCACAATCTCCCCGTCAGATCGTTGGAAGAAGTCATCTAGGAGATAGAGACACTCTTTGCCCACGATGAGAAGACCTTCTATGGCTTCGAGACCGACAACGCGAGAGATATTGCAGACGTATTGCACCTGGTCGCCACGGTTTAGACTCCTCATGACCTTGCAGATTCTTGTCTTCAAAGCCATCTTCGTCCTCAAACATGGCTTCTACCATCTCAAAGTCGTCCTCACTACCAGAATTGCCCTCTTCGGCGCCATCTTGACCGCTCAATGCAGATGACGATCTTCCGCGTGGACCAACAGTGGGGGTGACACCCACAGCCTCTTTCGCGGAGATTGTGGGAACGCCAGTGTCTAGCCTGAGCCTATCTCTGGGATCAGTGTCTTTGCGCTTAGGTTGGTACACCTGCTCGCGACTGGTGGTATCGGCAATGATGCGCATACGCCTGCGATCTCGGCCTTCGGTCTCGTCTAGGCGCCATTTCGCCGGCGGACTGTCTTCAAACAGTGCGCATGGTCCTTTGAGCTGGTGATCGAGCTTTGCTAGGATCGTCATCATGTAGGTCGCATTATCCTGCTGATCTTGAAGAACTCGCTGGTGCTTGATTCGCTCTGCTGCGTGAATGTTGGACCGCCAGTGGCTCGTTGATGTCTCGTGTTGCGTCCACACGTTGTCTGATATGAGCTCTTCAGACTGCCATTGCTTCAACTTCTCTTTGCGCTTGGAAATACGCTTTTGAGAAGTGTCTTCGGTACGTTTGTTTTGATCGTTGGCAAATTCTTCCCAGGTTCTGGACATAGAGCCGTAGAAGAAACTGTCCAGGTCTGCTTTATTCTTGTCGAACCACTGTAAGAAGGTTTCGTTGTCGAGCTCAATGAGTTTCTGGAAGCCTTCGAACAGATCTTTCTTGTTGGGCTGCAAGGCATTTGCGAGGATTGTCGTCGTCTCATGAGGCTTCTGCACCATGAGAAGTCGCCAGAAGTTCGCAGCAGCTAATCGTACTTGCTCGTGATCGGATGCTAACTTCGTATACAAGAGATAGCAAATCATCTTCAATGAGAAAGACTCGTTGTTTGCAGATGACAGGATGATTGGCTGCCAATAAACCATCTTCTCGAGAACGGCGCTGCTGTTGAACCCATTGTCAGCATCCTCAGGCTCTGCAAGCTGAAGTAATGCAACCTTGAGGAATAGGCCTCGGATGGCCTGAATAGCCTGCGCACATAATCTGACTGACTTCATCGTAGCAATGTCAGGTCGTTCCAGATATTCGAGAAGAAAGCCATTGAAGTCAAGAAGTGCTTCTGCGCCATCCAAGAACCAGCCTTCGAAGACCGCCTCGGACAAGTGGCCTACGAATCGTGAGAGATTTGTGAGAACTCTTGGTTCATGTAGCAGGTTCTGGTCAAGCTGTAGCGCATTTCTAACCGACGAAAGCGTCTGTCGGAGGATGTACGACTCGAAGTATGCCTGGTGTTCCTGAAAACCTGGTGGTGTCTTCATAAAAAGCCCAAGACCGGGAAAGTCTTTTCGGGTAAAGATCTGGTCCTTGAAAACCTCCAATACGACCTCAAGCATCGCCTCTACAACAGAAGAGCCGACCTTCAGTGCTGTGGGAGCTGTATTACGTGGAGACATTATCGGGTTGAGAGCTGGCTCTTTGGCTGCTTTCCTTGCCTTCTCTGCAGATACGAGCACGAATGAGGATGCTCTCCGGAAAGGCATCACACGCTGCGCAGAGCGCGCTGGTGAGGCATCGAGGGTACTCGTTCGCACGACGGGTCCTTCTTGGCCAGTGCCACCCACATGTGGTTGAATGACGACGTCTTGGCCTTCGAATGTCAAGGCGGAGCCTCTGGAGAGCAGTTCGGTCTCTGCGCTTACGCTGTCGGATGTAACAATGACTGGGTAGAGGACGAAGAGGAGCTCTTGTACGTAGTTTGACATGTTTGCATAGTCTCTGAAGGCTTCAGACCGTGAGTGAAGCTCCGAGAGAAATTGTATTGCCGAATTGAGTACGATTGCAAAGTCGTTCAGGCGCTCTGACTGTGGTGCTTTCAAGTCTGACTAGGTTAGCATTAGTCTTGTTCGGATAAGTGATAACTTACCAACTGTCGGCTGTTTCGCATTGAGAGACATTGTTCTTCGTCGCCCTCGTGTCACGGTAGCCTCTCCATTCTCTTGCTTGGAGGCCTCTGTCTCCGTCCGTCGCGTTTCTCGGTCGCGGACAATCGCGCGAAGACCCGTGTCCAGCATGGCGGAGATGACGGAGAAGATTTCGGGGTAGCATATCTTGAGTCTTGCTTGGGGTGAACGCATGATGAAAATGTCAACGAGATTGAAGACATCAAAGTCTCTCTCAAAATCAATAGTTGCGACGTCGCGGTCGAACAGAATGGCAAAGCATATGGTCCAGATAGCAGGCGTGTTCCACCAGTGGCGAAGTCGATTCTTCATCAAAACGAAGCCGCCTGTCTTGTCGGCAAATTTTTTGACGTATGATGAACCATTGACCACGAGGACGCGAGCGAGGATTGTGGCTCCCAAAACGACCACTCTCTGGTCAGGTTCCGCAAGCAAATACAGGAGCCATTTTCCCGTCACATTTTTCGCAAAGCGTATGACCTCGTTGGGATTCTGAGGATCACAAAGAAGCTCCGTGAGGAGGCGAAGGATCGCAATGCCAAGATCAGCAAGTGGAAGGCCAGCAGCGTCGGAAACACTCTGAGCAGGACTAGACGATCGTGGTGTAGCTCCAGGAGTCAAAGTGGGTGGTGTTCCACGTCTCAAGCGCAGAATACTGCCTTTGGGTCGAAGCGATCGCTGCTTGACATAGGATGCGCGGCTGTCGTGCAAAGAATACGTGACGAAGAGCGATAGCGACCGGGCATTCTCTCCGTTAAAGTTGATTTGCAGGAGAGCTTTGAAGGCATCCAAGAACAGTTTGAACGTTTCTGGCGCGAAGCTCTCGCCCTTGAGTACGTCTGTCAGTCGCTTTACCACGCCTGTCGCTATGTTAGTATTCGATAAAACCTCGTGACAACAACGACATACGTATTCTCTGGAAGCGCTTTGCATTGTAATGATGGTGCTTGCTACCCTTGGCAAAATGTACAAATTGAGCGTAGTAGAGTTTTTGAGTGTCCAAAGATGTCGCTCTACGCCAGATCTCAAGATCCACAAGGAGAACCCGATATGCAAGCGGATTGATGATTAGTGACTCAGTCGGTTCCTTCTCGTCGTAGCCAACGAATTGTAGAATCTCACATAGAAGATGCTTGATGAAGATCTCGCACTCTTCGGACGTCACGTCAAGTGAGGACGGATTCCGCATGACTAGTCCACCCAAGGCGAACCCAATTTTCTGCCGCAAGACTTCGGCCAGAACGGCAAAGCCGTTGCGTTGCTCCATCGCCTCGCAATTTCGCCAGTTGCCACCAACTGCCTCAAGAAGGATCTTGACTGCACGCAGCGTGGCGTCCAAGGATTCAGCAGCTTGCACAAGCTTCAGACCTACTGCGACACACCCACCAATGCGCCATATGGCGTCGTCGAGTGATTGAGGAACCACGACTACTGGGTCACCAGATAATCGACCAAATCCGCGAGCTTGAGAGAGCGCATCGTTGACGGACGGTACTGCAGCATTGATAATGAGAGGGGTGCTGTGCGCCCTGGTGTACCTGTGCAGTGTCTTTGCAGATTCCCTTGACAGCGACTTGATCAGTTGAGACTCGTCAATGGCATTCCTATCGTCATCGTCCATGACGGAGCTTGGTGAGAAGCTGAGCAGTATCTTTGACTCTGGCATGAGCTGACTTGCGTTTGAGCGAATCGCCGCAACAATCTCGGAGCGCTCCTCTCTGCCTGGGTGCAATATCTCATTGTACACGTGGAGTTCAGCTGATGTGCGATAGGTCTGGAACGAACCAAGTCTGTCTTGAAAGTTACCGCAGTACCGTGGACCTAATTTGTGGTAGACAGCAATCAGCTCGTCAGACAATGACTCGGAGAAGAGATGGAATGACGCTACAGAGAGCTTCGAGGCAAGCACATTCCTCCCTAAACGTGGCGCAAGGTTGCGTGGTGTGCCTAGAAATGCTAGGATGTGATGTTTTGAGGTGCTCGATGACATGGAAGCGAAGCTCTCTTGGCTACTGTCTAGCACTGGGGGATGTGATGGATAGTGCGCTTTCATGGTCTCGGTAAACTCACCATCGATAAACAGGGAGGCTTTCGCCGAACCCATGCCGATGGCCTTTGCTCGTCGATGGACAATTGCAATGTGATACCACCTACCCTCTTGGAAGCGGGGAGCCTTTTTGAACCTTACACTTGGGACGACGCCAGATGCATGGCCCATGTACGTCTGTAGGATAAAACAGCGGGTGTCTTTTTCGAGATAGGCCATCAAGAAGCAGGTCTGGGTATCGTCGTAGGCACCAAAGAGTGTGGTGTGGCAGTTGGTGTCAAACTTGTCCACACGCATCCAAGTAGCGAATGTATAGCCACTACCGGGTGAAACTGGTGGAAACGGACGCCCAATATCTGGGAGCTCAATGGCACTGAAGCCGTGCAGGGAGAGATCAAACTGCACAAACGGCGGGCTTCGTGATGATTGCATGCCGCGGAGTAGGTAGTCTGCCGCCTGGTCCGAGGTGGCTGCTTTGCGGAAGAGGTAGTAGGCATCGTCGAGCTTGTTGATGCCAAATTCGATTAGAGTGTTTGCCAGTTCCAGGAGTAGGCCAGCTTCCGTGGGCGCACACTTGTTGTCAAACAGGAGCGGCAATATGATGCTGAGCACGCCAGTGACATGCAGCGCTGCCTTGTTGTATGCGGAGAGCTTAGTAATCTCAAGTATGGCTAATAGCACAGATATTGAGAGCGGCTTCGACTTGGTGCCCGGAGCATCCTCCCCCGACAGTCCTTGCCAGAAGTGTAGTATGGTTGGAATGATGTCGGAGTTTTGCAGAACTTCGGTGCCGCTGAAGATGGTCCGTATCTGGCTGCGCAGGGGCTCGAGGTCTATCTCGCCGTCGCTGTATACCGACCGCGGGCTGGACACGACAATCTCAGTCGGCTGTGGTTCTGTGGAAGCGTCTGCTGCAGGATCTTCTTCCTGCTTTGCTTGGGCCTCCTCAATCTTCTTGTCAATGTCTCGGAATATGCGTGTGACTGCCTCCTCGCCCAGTGCAAAGGCGAACAGGCACCCGAACAGCTGCTCCTGCCCCGCGTCATCCCGTTTGCTCTCGGACTGGCCGCCAAAGATGCCTGTGCTGCCCAGGGCCTGCTCCAACGCACTCCAGCCGCCGTCTTCGACTCGCTTGGCGAAGAAGCGGCGGTTACCCGCGTGCTCGTTCAGCGCATCAGAGAGCACGTCGAGCGTGGCCTTGATCACCTCGAAGAAATCGATGCGGTCGGGCGCCGACAGCTGGGCGGGCTTGTAGAAGCCGGAGAGGGAGCGGAGGGTCAGCAGCAGCACCTCGAAGCCCTGCACATGGCGGAAGGCGTCTTTGGTGTGCGTCTGGTCGTTCGAGTCTATGAGCAGCTGGCGCATGCGGCGGAGCGCGTTGCTCTGCGTCTGGAGGACGTCGGCGGTGGACGGGGCGGTTTCCGAGGCCTTGGTGAGTTCGTCTGTGAGGCTGCGGAGCTCGGCGATCTGGTTGTTCATGGGGCGGGACCCTCGACGCGGCGGTCGAGGACCTGTGAGGCCGTGTCGTCGCCATCTTCAGTCAAGGCGGCCACGGCTGCGGGGGTTCGTGGTGGGCAGAGAGCGGGAGGGGGAATGCACAATCATGTCTCTATCATTCAATAGACCAACATGCAGCAATCGGCACCGTTGGCTGTGCGGTCCAACAGTGAATCGATGTAGTGGAAAACAATTATTACGTCGGCGTCGGCGTAGAGCATCGATGCGTGCTGCAGTAGTCGTCCGTCTAAAACGGGAATGGAGAGCTTGGACCCTGGATCTGTGACAGCAGCTGCGAACCACCCAGGCAACCACCGCGGGCAATGCGGCCGCCACACGACCACACGACGACGGCGGGGAGCAGCTTGGAATGCACCATCGCTGAGGGTGTACGCAGGCCGCTCTAGCTCTCAATGCGTGCCTGATATTCATTGCTATCGGCCTCACGCGCGTGCTCGGGGTGAGCTGCTGACTTGCGAGGCGTTCACGAGGACCATCCCAGCCCTCGTCGAATGGGGAAAGCCACAGCAGGCGTGAGCAAGCGTGGGGCAGGAATGCCGACACCCGCACTTTCCTTCACAAGCTGTCCGCAAGCTCTCCGCAATGGCAAGATGCTCTGTATATGCTGCACATAACTATGAACACAGCGTCGATGACTCCTCTGCACGCCCGCGCGGCGTCGGATACATGTCGCGCGCGTGCATCAGGGCTGCTTCAGGCCTAGCCCGCCCCAGCCTCACTCCCGCACAGCCCACGCTGGTCGCGAATCAAGGTCACCTGTCGTCATGTGCAGCTCGAGTGGGTCCATGCATCCTCGGCGCCTTGATAAGAGCTCCCATCGCCATAGCTACCCGCCCCAGCTCAAACACCTCCCCATCATCTCTCCTCCCCCACACCACACGCCTCTCTCTCCTTCTCCCTCTCTCCATCACTGTTCTTTGTCCCTCTCCCCTTTCCCATCTACACAACTCGCTGTGCGAGCCAACCAACCGCCATCATGAGGTACTCCGCCATGTCGCTGCTGCCGGCCCTCGCCGCAGCATCGCCCATGATGCAGACGGGCACCATCCACCAGGGCGCTGCTCCCATCATGTCCACCACCAACGCAAAGGAGGTGCCCAACTCGTACATGGTCGTCTTCAAGAAGCACGTCAAGGAGAGCCACGCAAAGGAGCACCACGACTGGGTGCAGAGCATCCACACAAAGAGCGAGAGCGAACGCATGGAGCTGCGAAAGCGCTCCCAGTTCCCCGTCACAACCGAGGTCTTTGATGGCCTCAAGCACACATACAACATCATCGGTGGCATGTTTGGCTACTCGGGTCACTTTGACGACGAGACCATCGAGGCCATCCGAAGACACCCAGATGTAAGTTGCACTTCTACCCATTTCCTGCATCACGAACGCCTGTCTTGCGACCTCGATTGAGAGGCGAGTCTGGTTCTTGGCAGCTGCCTGGAGGATGGGAAGAGACCACAGGACAGCTTCATCTGAGCTCTCATCTCGTCAGCATCCGACAGCAGTCGAGATGAAAGACGAAGAACTCAGAAACAGCTTCCGTGGTGCTTCTTCGCCACGCGAGCTCTCCCAGCCTCCAGCGCGCCACTTCCAAGGCGGGGCTTATCTCCGCAGGCAGCTTCCGAGACACGCAATCAGTCGCAATCACACTTGTGACAATAGACACTCAGGTACCCGCAAGTGAACCACGCTAACGTATCCCAGGTTGACTACATCGAGCGCGACTCCGAGGTCCACACCATGGGCGGTGACAGCCACGAGACCGAGAAGAACGCTCCCTGGGGTCTTGCCCGTATCTCTCACCGTGACTCGCTGAGCTTCGGTACCTACAACAAGTACCTCTACGCCGCCGACGGTGGTGAGGGTGTCGATGTTTACGTCATCGACACCGGTACCAACTACAAGCACGTCGACTTTGAGGGTCGCGCGCACTGGGGCAAGACCATCCCCAACGGCGATGCCGATGAGGATGGCAACGGCCACGGCACTCACTGCTCCGGCACCGTCGCTGGAAAGCGCTACGGTGTCGCCAAGAAGGCCAACGTCTACGCCGTCAAGGTGCTCCGCTCCAACGGCTCCGGCACCATGTCCGACGTCGTCAAGGGCGTTGAGTACGCTGCTCAGGCCCACACCAAGGCCGTCAAGGAGGCCAAAGACGGCAAGAAGAAGGGCTTCAAGGGCTCTGCCGCCAACATGTCTCTTGGTGGTGGCAAGTCTACCACTCTTGACCTCGCTGTCAACGCCGCTGTCGACGCTGGTATCCACTTCGCTGTCGCTGCCGGTAACGACAACGCCGACTCTTGCAACTACTCCCCTGCTGCGGCTGAGAACGCCGTCACTGTCGGTGCCTCCACCCTGAACCGATGAGCGTGCGTACTTCCTCCAACTTCGGAAAGTGCAACGACATCTTCGCCCCTGGTCTCAACATCCTTTCCACCTGGATCGGCTCTGAGCACGCCACCAACACCATCTCTGGTACCTCCATGGCCTCTCCCCCACATTGCTGGTCTCCTGGCCTACCCTCCTGGTCTCTCCAGCCCTTCCAATGGACTCTGCCTTTGCTTGTTGCCGAACATCACCCCCAAGAAGGCTCAAGGCCAACCTCATCTCCATCGCCACTGTCGGTGCTCTCTCTGACGTCCCCAGCAACACCAAGAACATTCTCGCATGGAACGGTGGTGGTTCATCCAACTACACCGACATTGTCGAGCAGGGTGGCTACACCGTCAAGAAGGCCGCCGAGAAGGACGAGTCTGAGTTCCGCATCGCCATCCCTTCCCTCTCTGAGATCGAGAAGGACATTGAGGGCGAGTACGAGAAGGCCAAGGCCGCTGCTTCCCGCACCGGCTCCAAGCTTGAGAAGCTCGAGCACGAGATTGAGGACTTTGTCGCTAGAGGAGATGACCTCGCTCTTTGACGAGTTCAAGCAGCGCGTCGCTCGCGAGTAAGATGGCTCAAGCATGTGAAATTGCTTTGAGACATTGTATTCGCATAGGTATTGGAGGGACGGATTATGGCGTCGGGGTTTTTCTCTTCTACATGGTGCACATTCTTCGTATCTTCATTTGGGAACTAAGTTTTGAACTGTAGGGCATACATTATCTAGGAATGGTAACACGTGAAACACCACCTTCTGTTTTTGATTCGAACTTGGTGTGAAGTTTGTGTTTGATATCAATATTGTGATTTATGATGAGACATGATGGTAAGGTTTTCTAATAACCGTTCACCACTCCACTGGAAGTATAGTCCTGGATGTTTGTGTTGCCGTGTGTAGTATCACACTGGCGTAACTATCACCAGACAGCTTTCTCCTTGGGTCCCTGTGGAGCTGTCTCGGGTATATATGAATACTCGTTACAGTGTGTGAGAGAATTCAGTGGACGAAGTGTTGCGCCGGAAATGGGCGGAGGTGTTGAGGGGAGTTTTGTGCGGAGAGAGGTTGGGCGTGATGGGATGTGAGAGGAGGTGTACAGAAGGGGTGTGAGAGGAGATTTTATGAGGCGTAGACTCAACATGTACTTATAAGATGGAGGGTGGAGTCAAGGTGCTGAAGATTGAATTTGTGAGTGTATATGCGTGGTGTTGGTCTATTGGGGTGCGTGTGGGGTTTTTTACCGGGATGCATGATTTGGTGCCTGAGAAGATTGCACTACTGTCCAGAGAAGACTGAATTCCGAAGCTGTTTTGTGGCGGGGTGATTTCGAGTGGGATTTGGTACAGTAGGTTGTGAAGTAGATGGTAGAGAGATAGAGTAGAGTGGAACGAGGCTAGTGGAAGAGGTATGAAGTGTTTCGTCACTAGTTGGGGTGAATGCATGATGGGAGGAGCGGAGGAGAGAGATTGGATCATCTGGCGAATTCGACTAGTTGCGGTATTGCTTCTTTCGCATATTGCTGAAACGACTTGTACTGCTACCAATTCGGTTCTGCTCCACAGGCTTGCCCATTCTGACATCGTATGATATGTTCTCACGCCTTATCGGGCCTTTCATTCTTTCGCACTCGCATGAAGCTTCCGGGTCTTTCAATGTCGGCGAATGCCACATACCTGCATCTAGGTATTCCACTCGGGTAGTAGACTACTGCTTTAGCAACTCAAGCATCATCTCCGGCCGCTTCATCAAGAATGTCTGAATAGTCGGCTGTTTCATCAACGGCAATCTGTTCTCGACGAGCGTCTTCTTCACGATCGATCGCAGGCCAACGTCCTTATCTGGGGTTGAAGTGAAGACGTGTTCGGCCACGCTTCCGAAAACCGATGACATCCAGAACACTTTAGATGCGCAGTCAAATTTCAACTTGGCTAGGTCCTGGAGCCCTTGGACATTGTACTTGTCGGCAAGAGAATATAGTTTCGCGTGCAAGAGGAGTTGGTCTTCGCCTCCCTGGAGTGTACCGGGTACCGGCTGTCGCGTCTCGGGTGGACAAGATGCGCAGGTGAAGTTGCGGCACCTGCACTGGCAGTGCCAACTACAGGCGTGGTGAAGGCAAAGAACCTTCTTGCAGGTGTTGAAACATGAGTGCGGGAAACTGGGCACTATTTGGCCGATGAGCTTCGGGGTGTATTCGCCCGTGTAAAGGAACTCAAGCAGAAGCGCGATGATCTTGGGCTCGTCTTCAGGTAGGTTGATCGTGCCCTCTGCTGCTTCCTTTTGCCGAAATCAGTCAAGCGCCGCCCGGAAAGTTCATAGAAAGTACACTTACCCTGCCAACTGGAAATCGCTCGGCGCGTTCGAAGAAGTCGCAGCGCGAACATACAATGGCCTTGTGGACCTTGTGCGTCTCATCGCCGCAGATGATTGTGAGATCGGAGTATTCGCCGGAATTGAGGAGACTGGCGTAAAGTTAGTGATTGCCCAAGCGCGCGGAAGGGGTCTTCGTGTACTTATCTACTGAGGTCAGCAGCTGTCCACTAAACGTGGCGGCCATGGCGTGAGTTCCTTGCGAAAAAGTCGTTGTTGGGAATTGTTGTTTTGGAAGGTGATGGGGTCGGGGTCATGTCAGAGGAATGTGAAGACAAGGAAGGAGCTAAGCTAGTTCAGATTTGTAAGGCTATCACAAGTGAAGGTGAGGTAGGGCCGCCGACAACTTGTATCTAACAACCTAACAACCAAACTCTGCGCCAAGTTCTGATAGCGCTCATTATCGCTGATAGCTCAGCGCCTATGCTGTTCGTACTTGTACACATGTTCTCCGTCCTTCAGCTTCCATTCCGTTTACCGCCGTCATACGCCTTCTCTCAAGCTTTAATCCATCCTAGATCCTTCGCGCGCATCTTGAGTAGACCAACAGCTAGACCGTTGAACTCAGTGAGTAAAGCCTCCACAGCAGGCTTGTTGAGTAAACCCATGTGCTGCGAAACTATGTTGCTGATGGCATTCCTCAAGCCTTTGTCGTCTTCCGGAGTGGTACTGAAGGCGTAGTGGGCGGCGGGAGCGAAGTGCTTACTGTCCCAGTACTTGGCAGAGGCTCGCAGAAACTTCTCGCGGGCGAGCTGCTTGAGACCAATGACATCATACTTGTCGCCGATTTCGTACATCTTCGCGTGGAGGAGGAGTTGCTCGGCATTGCCATCAGGAGACGGTAGGGCAATGGGTCTGGCATTAGGGCAGCCAAGATTCGCACACGAAATCCTTGCACCGTGGGCCGCAGGATCTACAGTCAGGCTCACTGCCGCAGGCGTGGTGGTCGCACACATTACGCGCCGCACAGCCATTTGATCCACAGGTATGCGGGAACTTGTAATGATAGTAGGAATCGCGGTCGCCGGTGTATTGGATCTCGGTGACCTCAGCCGAGCATCCGCCATCGGGTAGCTTGGGATCATACTCTCCACCGTACAGGTACTGAATGAGGAGATTGACGACCGCCGGTTCATCTTCTGGAAGATCAATCTTGCCCTCGCTGGACTCCTAGTACACTAACATCAGCGTAGGTATCCCCGGCGGTCATCTCGTTCAACACACCTTTCCAGGGAAGTTCTCTGCGCGCTCGAAGAAGCCTGACCGAGCGCAGACTATCGACTTATGCACGTTGTACGTGTTTCCTTTGCAGGTGATTATGAGATCAGAGTACTTTCCGGTATCGAGAATGCTGCAACGCGTTAGAAACGTATTCACGAACAATGAGCGCGTGCTAATTACCTCTTCAGGGTGCCAGCGAGCTCATCGCGAACGTTGTCTGCCATTGTGCAAGTTGAGCCAAAACTCTTTCGAAAGCTGGTGTTGAAACGTGAGTGCGCTAGGAGCCGCTATATTGATCTTGAGTAACGAGCTACCTCGTTTGCTCTTTTCCCCTAGCGCGGTGAGAGTGGTTTGCTCTTTTCCCTTAGCGTGGTGAGAGTGGAATGAAACACGGCGGCGACCCACGGCACTTCACGAGATGTCGAAAACAAGTTCAGCTGGTTCCATTTCCTTGAGGCCAATGAATCCTATCAATAGAATCTTTAGCTAATTGAGCAACGAATTCTGATAGATTCATGTCCTGAATCATCGGGAGTTTCTCCGTATGTCATATTGCCACCCGTACGCGATGTTTTGCTTCAGTTATGCACCCCACTGCCCGTGTAACTTGGTGCTCTTGTATTGGAAAAGTCCACCCCAACTCCTTCGGCCGCATTACCAACAAGCTTGCTGCGAATCCATTGACTTTATAGATCAACGCGGCCATCTCCGACTTGCTCAGAAGCTCTATGCCCGTTGACAGAAGCTCTATACTTGCGCGCCAGACGCAGGTCTAATCTACCCCACATCCTTCGCCCACAATTCCAACAAGCTTGCTGTAAGTCCATTGAACTTACGAATCAATTTGGTCATCTCCGGCTTATTTAGAAGCTTCATGTGCTTCGAAATGGTCTTGGTCGCCGGCTGCCTTAGACCCACATCATACTCCATCGTGGTCGTGAAAGCATTATGTACGGCCTCGGGGAACTCCTTGTCATTCCAGTATTTCCGGCGACTCCGAGAGAACTTCTCAGCGGCCAGATCCTTCAAGCTGATGACTTGGTACTTCTCTCCGATTTTGTACATCTAGGAGTGGGGCAGAGTTTGCCACGCTTCGTTGTCTAGCGCCTTGTAGTCAGTGCATTGCCGGCAGGTGAATTTCTTGCACTTACATTTACAGGCATGACTCAAACACATGTGATGCGGGCAAACGTTGCAGTGGGGGCTGTGGCAATAGTTGCCTACGCAGGTGTGTGGGATCTCATAATGGAAGTTGTTGTTCTTCTTGTTGGGTGCCGGCGTTGAAGCTTCCACCTTTTCGTTGTCTTGGAGATTTGTATTGTTCTCTACCTCGTAAAGGTACTGCACTAGAGCCTTGACAGCTCGAGGATCGTACTCGGCGAGATCAACCTTGCCTTCTTCATGCTCCTTGCCTGGAACCTGCCGGCCCTTTCGAAAAAGCCGGATCCGCTACACACTATCGCCTTTTGTACGTTGTATGTGTCGTCGTGACATGCAATAAACAAATCAGAGTACTTTCCATTGACAAGTAGATCCTTGAATGTCGTGTGGAAGGCATGTTGAGCGATGTTGGCTGCTTCTATGATGAAAAAGGGGTGAAGCAGGTAGGCCGAGTTACTGAGAGTCGAATCGAGGAGTCGAGAGTGTGGGATCGAGCAAAGTGTTTTGAGGGTTTGGGGGTGGTGTGAGATGTAGTTGGCACAGAAGCTTTCATGGCACGAAGGGGACTGCTCATTTGTGTTCCACGCGATAAATGTGCACGGTCCTTGAGATCATTGGGAATCGGGTTGCTACCTGTGACCTGGCCAAGATGAAGTGAATCATCAGACACCTTGGAAGAGACAAAGATCTGAAGTGTAATGTCCCTGCTTCGTCAAAGCTGCTGTTGTGAGTCGGAGGAAGTTAACGGGTGGCGCGACGGCGACTCCTTCCACTGCAACTGCTACCACGCTTCGCATGATATTCAAAGCAATACTAGAACTCTTTACCTAGAATACATATCATCTTCCATTTTTCGATTACCTTGGTCCTCGTTACGCATGTTCTTTTGCGCATGTAATCGTTGTTCTGCGAGACGACCTCGATAAATCAGCAGTATCATTCTAGCTTTACGTCAGGCATATCTGGAGTATCGTTGATCTCAAAACGCTATCGCGCGTGCGCCCTTAGACTATGCTGGTCTCGGAACATGCCTCGCTACTCCATGCCTTTGGTGGGCGGTCGTATCCTAACTTGCTGACCGGTTTTCCTAGCGAACATAGGCATGCAACCTGCAACGAATGAGAGTTCGAAACGACACAAGACTGCAGCCTTGTTGCATATTGCCGCCCTGTACCACTCCACCTTCGCCCTTTGCAGACAGCCACCACATCTGGTAGTCAAATTCTTTCTCCATATATGTATCTAGGTAGAAAGTATGATTCAGGTATCACGCAAACGTCCCGGAGCTCTAACACGATGGCTTCCAACAAGAGTCAATACCACCATTACATACCACGGTTCATCCTGAAGCAATTTTCGCATGGCAAGGTGGAAATAAAACGGTTAGCGATGCCCTAAACCCTTGTGGATTCGATTTCTGATAGCTGTACAGGGGTGTATTTGATGACGTCGTGAATGTGTGCGAATTACCATCAGAACAGTTCCGCGCAAGACAGGTCGGAAAATGTTGCGGTAGTCAAGACCTCTACTACGATTCGAACACTATTGATCCGATGAGGATCGAGCATCTCTTTAGCAAGTTAGAGTCTAGAACTAGCATGGTCTTCAGTAAGATACGAGACGCTGTTCTAAAGAATCTCGAACACATCGATATCTTGGAGAAAGACGTTCAGACGCTATTCAGCTTCATGAGCATCTCTCCCATACGCTCGCAGCAGTACATCGATAGCATAAAAGACGTGCGACGCGAAAATGACTTTTTGTGGAAAGAATTGGAGGACGAGTACCCCAAGGGAGGCCGGCGGGGAGATACACGCGAAGTCTGGCTTGCTCAGTTGCTGTATCACCTCGAACACAGTCACGAAGAAATGCTCGCTGATGCTGCTAAGAGTAAAGAAAACGTCACAGCAGGAACGTATAAGCGCTTTGTGGAGACGTTTGCTCTGCAGATTTGGAAAGCAGCTGATGGATACGAGTTCTTCCTCAACGACAGACTGGTCGATTTCGAAGGCGATACAGAATACGGATTAGGAATGAGAACGAAAGAGACAGGCCCAGAACTAATCTGGATGACCAAAGAAGACTTAATTCATTTGGTGCTGCCAATAAGTCCCGAGGTAGCTGTCATCTTCTGCGATGAGTCGCGTTGTTGGGAATCACCTTTCGCCGACATGATGCATCGAGCGAAAATACCATTCTCGGCGAACAGCCTTTTGGCGAAAGCACCACACAAAGAAATTGTAGATGTTCATGTTCCGGAGCGGAAGAGGAGTAGAAAAATATGGCCTGCTACAACGGCGTGGAGGGTCAGCATTGGCACTCTATCTCGAGAACAACATAGCATCATTGCTTCTTATTCTCTGAAGTCATGCCCCAAGCTGTCGTTGTTGGTGCGTAATAGAGGAAAAAGTTCGAGAAGGATAAAAAAGAACTGGAAATATTCGCCGAGGAGCAGGCAAAAAGGTGGAAAACACAGGGATTTTCTTTCACCGACCCGGCACATCTTTTACCCATGGATATATCGAATCCAAGCCGACAAATAATCGAAAAAGTGGTAGACGAGCATGAAGCTGCTTTCGCGAAGATCATGGGCACTTATTGCACGAAGGCAAGCCGTTGCGCAGAACGAAGGAGAATATATACATATCGTGGCTAGCCATACGTACTGTTGGATTCACGTCTCCACATGCTTCGACGGAATCTGCGAACACTGCCGTCAAAACCGCTTTCGAAGCCGCTTACCCACCGCAACACTCCCAGCATCGCAAACTCCTCACTGTCAACTTTATGGCCTTTTATAATCACGGCATCGACGAAGAAACGTTTAGTCAATTGTCTTTCGCAATCGACACAAAAAGCCGCGAAGTCCAAAGCTCAAGCAGTTTTCGCGAACATTGGGAGGCCTCTCGGGTCAATGTGGAAAACCCGCCTATGGAGCCGCTAGCCGGCAATAGCGAACTCTTACAGAATCCAGCTTTCCAATCGGTTATGAGAGCTGCATGCGGGTTTGAGATCCTCAGTTGGATGTTTGAGGAACGTCAAGATATCCTGGCTACTTTCATTAAGGATCTGGCGATTCCCGTGCATGAGTCGCGTCCGGAAATAATAAGAATCAGAGGAAGATGCATGTAGTAGCGGTCGTTGGACTATCTGAGAAAGGGCAGCTGCTTGAATCATCAAAACTGGGTAGAAAATGGAGAGATCGTGTGAACACAAAAGAAGAAGAAATGTTGAGCGCCAGAACGAAACTCCACTGTGGCAGCCACATGACCCAATCTTTCCTGCCTTCTCCATCGGCAATTCAATGAAGACCTACGAGACTTGCCGTCCGTTTGAGTAAATCTCGTTTCGGATGTGAAGTATATGTCCAAACGTTGTCGCTAATTGACATGTCTCTCGTGCGCCCCTGAGTACTCTTGCCCACTGAAGATTTGCATCCACGGGCGATGAAATCATCATAGAGATTAGAGTGAAAGGACTGACACCCCCAAAAAGGCAAAGATCCTTACGACCACCAAACCACGATCTACCACGACTTGGCTCTAACGGAAGTCTGGATCGGTTGTGCTGCAATTAATATCGGCAACGTACTCGACAAGGATGTTTACAACAAGGTCAGATCCTTGATTCCCGAAGCCTGCAACGATAACAGCCACTGGCTCCACTGCAATAAAGAGGAGGAACATAACGACCTCCACATCGAAACCAGCTACGTCAAGGACATTAACAGTGGCGAGACCGGATCCAGTGCGTTTTCACTCCAGACTGCCTGCGACTACTAACACACAGAGCTGAATTTGGCGTCAGGGTTTCTGGACAATGGACCAAGGTTGCCCAGCGTGATGTCCTCAGGGATGGTCTTGCGATAATCTTGCGTGCGTCTGATTTTTTGTAAAAGCATACCAAGCACACACTGATAGCATGTCAGAGATGCTTAGCATATCAGGTTACAACTGCTACGACGTCCAAGGCCACGGTAAATTTTGCAACGCGCCCGACTTCATCCGGATCAACATGCCCAACTCGAAGAAAGGCGGCAAGACTGATGGAGCTTGGATGCGGTTGGATCTATCTGGCGACAAGGTAAGAAACGTAACTTGTGCACATGACGCTGTTCTGACCTTGTGCGCAAGTGTACAGCGAAGTCAAGTGCTGTCAGAGTCGCAGGGATGTCGATTGGGTTGTGGACTCTGTGAAAGGAGAGTTCCTATCTCTTTTTGATGCCGACAAGCAGTGGAGCCGCGATGTCAAGTGCCTTATCTATGGCAGCACAACTGTGAGAGCTGCGGTTCTTACTGCGATGCTTGCGGCTTCTAGTACCCTAAACTGGGTTGCCCGACGTGCTCATGGGTCAGCGTGAACCGAACAGGGTTTATTGAGGCGACAGAAATTTAGATTTCGGCGTTTGTATATCCATGTGACAAGAGTAGAAGTAAGGTTAGAGCGTTGCGGATAACATAGATGGGCGTGGTTTAGGCTGTCGTCTTTCCGCTGAAGGATGAGTTGGCTGTCGGACCGCATAAGACATGTTTTAACGCCACCATAAAGCCCACTACATCCTGCACACAATGTGAAACTTGTAGCCTCGATAACCTTATTGCGAGGACGTGTGCCCAAAGGATAATGCTGGAAGAGCTACCGGGGGTGAGGGATGGGAAATTTGCAGATTCTTGAATGGACATCATGGACACTCAGTATATCTCTCTAAAGCCTGAAGATCACTCAAAGTTGGGTCGAAGGATTAAGAGATTGAATTAGAGAAAGAGAAGGAGTGACGTGTTCAGTGATGGCGGACAATGAAAAAACATAATGAGAAGGCATGTTCTATAAAGCCCGATAATGGCATGCACCATGGCACTGATGAATATGTACACGTGCCGTTATTTTCTAGATGCCAGCCGGGCGTTTAATAAGGAAAGCGCATTCAAGTCCGATGGAAGTTACCTGCTGGACATAGCCGTGAGACGCCGCAAGGCCCGTTCCACGACGGACCGCTGACATGCTTTGCAGCATATCCGCATCAGTCCTGAAGGCACTATGGTCAAATACAGTGCATGAATCGCAAGACCCGGCCTCGATGATGCGCAAAAGGAGGTCGGGGCTGACGCGATGGAAAAGAAGGCAATTCTGGGCGGTGATTGCGACATCTTGGGGGCTGCCGAGACTTATGAAGGCGACCCCACCTGCCGCCCACCTAAACATCCTGCACTCTCTCCGCGACCGACGCGCCGAACAAACTTTCGCGACAATCCGAACAATACCTGAGTCGTCGCTCTATGGGTCTGAAAATAGTCGACCAATATGCCAGAGTCACCAGATAGTGCTGGCCTCGAACCGGCCGCCAAGAAACAGCGGCGACGACCAGTAAATGGTATTTGCGCTTTGCGCCCACGTCATCGCGTACATCGGCTAACTGTCCTGCAGCATGTACAACTTGTCGAGCACGCAAGGTATGCTAGAATGCCTTTCCTGCTCCAATGTATTATCGACACTACGACATTCTTCGCGTGAAGAAATTACGCGTCTTTGTCGCGATCATGACTATGACCACATCCAGCCACTCACGTGACAAGATACTGATGATCTGCAACTAGGTCAAATGCGACGAGCGCGCGAACGGCTGTCTCAACTGCGAAAGACTACAGTTGGACTGTGTACAGAATGGTCTGATTGCTTCCGCAGTCAAAAGACCGGGGACTGCTGTCGAGCCCATCATCGGCATCAAGCGGAAACGAACTTTCCGATCCTGTGTTCCATGTCGAGAGTCCAAGGTCAAATGCTCGGGTGAAAGACCGAAATGCAATCGTTGCTCGCAGCGGCGGACTTCATGCATGTATGATGCCGAAACGAATGAGCCAGCCTGGGTGCAGAGTATTGCGGCTTCTACTGGTACACCAGATGGTGCTATGGCGACTACGCCTCAGGCGCCACAAACACCCCGGGATGCCTTCACAAACATGCCCGATCCACAAGTAGCAGATTGCCCGCCTGCGCTGACGTGGTGCGTACAGGAGAGCTATCAATAAAAAACGATCACTGACTATGTTCGCCTAGGCTGTTCACCGCACAACTACCGCCTCGAGCTAGGCTTCATGCTCTGGTAGATGCTTACTTCAACAATGTACATCCCAATAAGAGTCTTTGCTTTCGAGCACAGCCTTCTTTTATTCGTATGTTGGATGAGGGCAGCTCACAGATCTTTCAGACAGGCACTCTTGCACGTCATGTGTGCATAGGCGCAATTCTATGGCACTGATTGGAAGTGAGTTCGTTGCACCTCTTTCCAATCCCTCATACGGTTCAGCTGGGCGTTCAGGTGGGCAAAAATAGACGAGGGATATGTTTTTTCGCGGACTACAGCAACATTTCGATCCACGAAAAAAAAAGTTCTCATCATGATACAACGACCAAGAAAGCACGAGTAGGGAAAATTACCGCTGGATGCATTCTTGGCTTACTGGCTTGGTAAATTCGCCATGGCCCCATGCTCTCCAACTCAACAATGAAGTGTCAGCGGACATACTCTGTAAAGAAAGAGGGTGGCAGTCCAAATGAAGCCTCGGTACGGGAGTCTCGGAGGCGATTGATGTGGGCTTGCTACATGATCGATGTCTGGGCCGGCAGTGGCGTAGATCACCTCACCATCCTCAACGAGAAGGACCTGAAGATTCAACTTCCATGCAACGAACGGCAGTTCCTCCTTCAGATTCCCGTTGTTACAGAACGCCTCCAAGAAGGGGACATCATCGACTTCATCCCGGCCGAGGACATTCCCGAGAAGCCCAAGGAAAACTTAGGAATGGCAGCATACTACGTGCGTATTGTCAGTATATGGCGACGAGTATTACGCTTCGTGAAGCACCTGGACGAAGAGCAACCTCCGTGGATGTCAGGTTCTGGGTTCGCTTATCTGGTCAGCGACATCCAGTCTTGGCGTCAGAGCCTTCCGTCATGGCTTGACTTCTCGGCAGATAACATCTACATTAGGCGCGAGTCGCATCAGCTGGGCGCGTTTCTCCTGATCCATTGCATGTACCATCATGTAATGTGTGATGTGCATCGCATCGCGCTCCCAGACCTTTACAAACATCAGGAGCCCTTCGTATTCCCTCCAGAACAACGAAGCTTCGTGGATCACCTGCAGTCTGTTTGCTTCGATCATGCGCAACAGCTGTCCGTGCTTGTTTCGACAATACTGCAACATGGTGTTAAGCACTTTGCGGACTCCATCTTACCCTCTTTTGTGTACAACAGTAGCCGCATCATGCTCTACTACATCGCTCGCATCCTGGACTTCTCAAAGCCCAATGCAAGCGTAACTATCAACCGGGCAATTGAGCTAGTGCAGCAGAACAACAAGGCACTCCGCGAGATGACACTCATGTACCCACTTGCCGAGACCCTATGCCTCACTACCGAGCGCTGGCTTGAGCAAGTACGAACAAGTTTGGCACGAGGCCATGCAACAACCTACATTGCTCCACAAGATCCGTCCGAGAATGAGGCGCGGCGGGTCGTTGGCGCACCTGGTGCCGGTCCTGTTGCACTCAGACAGCCCAGTCCTGGTCTATCAGCGATATCGCCGATGGGAGAGAGCATCCCAGGCGAGTCGCCGACGCCTTCTCAGATCGTGACCAACGGGTTTGGGTTCTCTGGGGCCACACCTCAAGATCTGTCGCCTAGCTTGGCTGCTCTGCCTGGTCTCTCGGGTCGCATACCCGATGTCAACAGCGCATTGTACGCTTCGTCCACTGCGAGTAGTTCAGACCAGCCTGTCTTCAACCTGGATGATCTCCAGAACTTCTTCCAATGGTCGGCTACCGGGGATGAGAATGCACAATCCACCGGGTTCGAGGGGTTCGGGCCGCTTGGATGGGCAAACAACTTTTCAATCATGTGATGTCGCACACGGATCACGCTGGTGCCTAGTTTCAATGCTGTTGAGACATTATTTGACATTGTTTGTACACGTAGTTTGTCACTCTGTGCAGGCATCGAAGCTGACGCTACGCTAAGGATGGCATCCTACTATAAAGTACTCAGCTACTACACGCAAATGTTTTCACACATTCTGCACAACATCGCATCACATTTATCGATAATATCACAACCTGCAACACCAATTCCGACCCAAGCATAAACCGAACAGAGTTGCAACACAATATCCACGAAATCTAGCATCAATCGAGCGATAGGGAGAATGTCTCAAGAAATCAGACCGGAGGAGGCGGACAAGGGCGCGTATCCTGCTCAGATTTGCAAGCCGAAGCCAAGCCGCGAGCCAGACTGTCATGATGTGGAAGGCTTCTGTTGTGCTGCATGTGCGCAAAAGTTCTGGACACGATTCCAGAACTTGCCAGCTGAACTTCGCGAGATGGTGTACGTGCGCAGCTTTCAGGCTCTCCCCAATATCTCAGTCCCGTCGTCTACAGAACTCGGGAGCAACTCCTCACGCACGCCTGTTGTGCCTCCAGTATGCTATGTCAACAAATCCGTGCTTGCTGAATCGCTTCCAGCTATATTGGCTTCCGATGGCAAGGCCATTGTTGTTCAACACCATCTTGGATTGGAAGTGTTGAGCAAGTTCTTGGCTCGGGTGCCCGATGAACGAACGATCAAGAGCGTACAAGAGTTACACTTGCCATGGGAATACGCCTTCTCACCTCATCTTTACCCTGGCACTCTAGACCTACCCTTTGCCTGCCAAGGTTTGCGTACTCTCTCTCTCTACAAGTGGAGGCTATGCTCTGCCTTCACAAGGTTTACGAGGCAAACGGAGTTGTTGTACACACCTTTAATTCAAACACAGGAAGTGACGAGCTTCTTCAAGCTACGCCAGGTTTTTCGAGCTACCGATGCTTCGATCACTCACGATTCGGTGCTGCTGAAGGAGATCTCATGGCCAAGCAAGTGGGGTGCAAACCAGAAGACATCTTCGCCAACTTAGTCTCCGTTGCTTCAGCAGAGGCGGACAAGAAGTCGGCTGACTTCGAGCTAATGTTCAAATTCAACGAGTGGAGTGGTCAAGTCTGGGGCTTCTGTAGGTGGTCTTAGAGGAGACCAGAGAGTACTGCACCGTAGTGCAGGATAGATTCCCCACTCGCTCCCGTGTCTACGAGCTTGAGTGTTTGCTGTAAGAGTAAGATTGTCGCCTTGGCCACAGTGTTTCAGCGTGGAACCAAGTGTTCTTAGGTGGTAGTAGAGTAATTAAACGATCAGTGTTTTACCAATTAAATGTCACAAAAGTTCACGTTCCATACTTTCTATCCAATAGCCTGTTGTTCGTCTAGCTTTTACGTTCCAGTCTGGTACCGAGCTAAGCTAAGTGCTGCAACAATTTTGTGCGCGCTGTGCGGAAATTGAAGTACTATCCAAGGTTAAACAAGTCAAGATGTCTAACTTTGAGGTTTTCCTAGCACTCCATCGTGTACTGACAAGCTACTGAATATTTTTAAACTTGTGGGCATAGAATAGCTGCTCTATCATAGGAGGCTGAAGTTTAATAAGGTGCGAACAAATTATCAAGAGTTCGTTAATATCATTTCTGCATAACTCAAACCATCTTTGCAATCGCGATTGCATTGTTGGTAGCCTTGCCAAAAGAAAATGCGCAAACCTAGAGATAAACCGCAGCCACCAGAAAGGGTTCCTTAGTTCGGCCAGACCACCACTTCATATTGCCCGTGCCAGAACGCCCTCACCTCCAGCCCCGCCTTCTCAGCCTCAATCACGAACACCGGTGTCAATGTAGCCACAAGATCTTTTCGGAACGCCAATCCCAGATTCCTCCACTTGGGAAGGTAAAACTGCTTCTCTACAAGCGCGGCTTACACCCAGTCACAACTATCAACATCTGCCTGGAAAATCACCAGTGTTTTCAAATTCTTTGGCAAAACGTCCACGGCCGCACAGTCGCCGGACGCAACATAGTTAATGCTATTCGGATATCGCCGTAGCGTCCTGCAGTACAGTGTGTGAAATGTCTCGAGGAGCTCTTCATGTCTCAATATTAGTATTAAATCAAAAGACAGTAGTTTGGACTTCAGAATGTACATAAGACACTTCTTTACAGCGTTTCAGAGAATCTCACTCTTGGACGCCGTTTCCTCCAAGCACTCCACTTGCTTGCCACTGTGTATCCTGGAATGACCTGAGGGATTTGTGCACATCGCGATTGTTCTCCTCACGTGGTCGATTGCGATGAGCTCGAAGGGCACGTGCAACATCGCCGTGTAGATATGCATGTTCACGTACACTTGTGGTTGTCATACCGCCTTCGTAACTGCGCCAATTTGTTCTTTCGTAGATTGCAGCTTCAGCACCAACGCAAGTACTCGACGTACGATTCTAAGCTTCTATCAAACACATCGCAAGCTCGAAGCGGAAACCTTATTTGCTCGCTGACTGTTCAACTAGCTGGCTTACCATGTCATCCTGTTCTCCTCATGAATATGCATATCCATCCAAGCTGTCAGCATGAATATTGAACTAGACAATGTCGTGATGGATAAAATTAGCAATCTGGGAGCGCAAAGAAGCCCTGACCTTCGGTCGGTTGGTAGCGAAGGTACGTGCTCTCGATACCCGTATCTGTTGAACGATCGTGATGATCGTAAACCTTAAACGCAGATCAATAGCGTAAGACTTCTCGATACCTCAACATTTCTGAGCCGAGATATCCGGTGGTTATGGTGAGATAACCAAGGCTGCTTACCCTGAGTCTCATCACCATAGTCGAGCCGAGCTACCGGTGGTTACAGCGCGCTAATTCTCATTGCTTATCTGTAATGTTGCGACTGGAATCTAGGTGTGCATTTGATATAGTTGAAGGAGGTGTACCAAGAACGACATAGCAGAAGCGAGGTAAGTACTATAGTAAATGTGAAAGACTCCATTTTGGAGTATAGTTTCAGCGTTCAGGTGCGACAGCCTCTGTGCAGGCCCGGTGTTCCGGTTTCTAGTCGACGAGTAGACGTCTGCGGGGTTGCGGCAGCGTTGCGAGATTCGAGGCTGGCTGCACCCCACCCAAACCCGCGTCGCCCACGTCATCCTGCAGCAAACACAATACACCTCCAAGTTGCAACCACGCGCTGGGCATGCATCTGTACATTCTAGGCATGGTCAAAGACTTCATCTCCCGACCACTCTCGGCGGTATCGGTGCGTGCCGCCGAAAGAACCAACTGTTGTGGCTGAGCAAACTTGAGAGAAAAGATTGTATTGATCACTGCTCTTCTAATATATCAGAAGAGCTGGCTTAAATATACAAACAGATTACGGAGAAACGTTAGTCCACTTCCTGAGCTTAGTCAGCTCAGTCACGTGGATCAGCACTTCACTGTTCTCAGGTATCAATACTGCGACACCAACAGATCATGACGGACAGCTTCCCTCTCCGGCCTGAATCATGCGATACTTCCCAGATGAAGTCTGTATCGCATTATAGCCATGGTATCAGGACAAGTCGGAGAGTTGCACAGGATAGGGAATTGAGCTGACAGGTGGCATCTCGGAGGCGGAACTCTGAAACTGATAATTTTAGCACTCGTCGACGCGTCTTATTTTTCAACGATTCAATACTGTGGTTACAGGCAAAAGCATTGTACGTGGTCCTTGCACGGCAGGGGCTCTTACCAGGTAGCCGTGAGCCACCACGACACCGTAGAACTTTTTTTAAGATAGGCCATTAAACCGGCTTTTCAGACAGGTTCTGTACTGCTCTTAAGGAATTCAAATTTGAAGTGGTGTTGGATAAAAGTCGATTTTTCGGCATGACTGAGACCCCTGCCGTGCAAGGACCACGTACAATGCTTTCGCCTGTAAGCACAGTACAACAGTACAACGATGAACGATGCTAGTGGCTTACATTGCTATATTGGACGCAAAAGAGCTCAGGGACTATACTGGCAAACTACCTCCGATGGACTGCGTTCCGTAATCTTCGAGAGCCGCACTAGCTGGACTGTGGAACTATCGGGCTCCTCGCCTCGCAACAATTCCCCACGTGCCAATCCAACCAAGATTTACAGATTTACTTCATCAATTGCTGTGGGTAGTTACATGTCCAACTCCGCGTCGAAGAAGGATAGCCGACTATACAGCATAGCACGTGACGCTTCAATATATGAAGCGCCCATGTAGACAGGGCCGAGATTACAACGCTAAACCCAAAATATCACAAAACCAACACTACTGCGGCAGGAGATAAACAGCACTCTAAAGTATCGGAACGCCGATATTATTCGAGAAGCCAGACTGGCTTCGTTTACATCAGCCTCTGGTTACACTGTGCAGCCTGACCTAAGCCTTACAACACAGCGCTGACTGTGTTGCAGACGTTCCTCTCCAATGACGCGTCTGTCGGAGTATACGCCGCCAAATCTCGTGTTGCGATTATGCTGCCGAAATTCAATTTTCCACGCTCCTCCTTGGTTCCAAAAATACGTATACGAATGCTGCCGTATTCTTGCTGCTCGCAGAGGTTGGGCCCGCCACGCGTGATCCGCGCAGGGTGCATACAAGTTGTTGCATCGCAACACTGTGCTTTTCCTTGCCTATTTCGAGCAGAAAACGTCAAGTCTTCGTATCTTCGTATCTTCGTATCACAAGTTCTAATTCAGGCAAGCATGGCTTGCGGCGAAATCTCGCATACAGTCAGACGCTCCACTCTGCTCACGCTCAATGATTTCTGTACAATGAGATCATGTTTGGAGACAACAAAGGTGAAGTGTAGGCCGTGCACCTATCAGATTGCTCGCGACTCGAGCCCCAATCACCCAGATTAAACCCGGTTTCTGGTCGCTGCAGATTGCCACCTGACACGTGGGGTACTCGAGTGTACATCGGACTTCGGACCGGGGGCAACAGAGCCTCGATATCAATCAGAAGCCTGTAAACCTTATGGAAGCTACAGAGCAGCTAGTTTGCTGGCGGGATCTTGACCTTCCGGAGATTTGCGCGGCTGAGATTTTTCACAACGCACAGCCTGGTCGCCACACGGTCAATTCTATACCAGCTAGCGTTCGGTAGTTCGCCTTTGTATGTTCTGCTACCGATGTTTGGTCACTTGTATGTCGGTAGTGGGGCGCTGTTGAGTATTCGGGACGCCCTATCACAGCAGCACAGGACGAGCAAAACGAAATCCCACTAATATCGCTTCATTTAACCTCCGACGGACTAGATGGATGACACTCCGTGTAACAAGAAGCACGGGCGGCAGTTACCCTCGTGCCGCTTCAACGTTCACACCCTCCTAGGTACTGGGTTCAACCCATCAGTGCAGAATCGGGTTAGCTCAATCCACAGCTTGTATCTGAGCATAAATCTACGTCGGCATCATTTCGATCGAGATACACAAGTTGTGGGGCTTGGCCGTGAGAGACTGAATAAGACTGCGTCTCGCGGGAGCATTCATCTTCATCACACCATTCACCCCCTGCTCCACTTCTCTCAGCACCTTTGTCTCGAAGTCTTCACCCCTGTCCCAAGTTTTCCAGCACCATATTGCATTTCTGCATAGACGTACACGTCATCAGCATGGCTGACCAAGCGCGAGGTCGTCCTTCTCGTGACCTTAGTCACGAGTCGATTGATGACGCTGAGAAAGGCATGCACGTTAGCACAACAGAACTGACAGCACCGCCGCCGTTCGCATATCTCGGCCAAGAAAAAGCTCTCCGGCTCAACGCACATCCCTCACCGCTTTCGCCAGTACACGAGGGAATAACACCAAACCCCAGCACACCAGATCTTTCGCTATCATGGCCAGCAGCGAGCCCAGCAGTGCGGCGAGGATCAATCAATGCTACAGCACTGAAGACGACAGTTCCCGCCAAGCCCACACCAATCAAGAAGAAGATACCTCGATGGGTCCTGATCGACTTGTGGTTCAACACGTACCGAAAGTTCTTCACTTTCATCATCCTGCTCAACCTTGCTGGTATCATCATGACTGCGCTCGGCCGCTTTCATTACGCAGAGAACCACCTGGGGGCCCTGGTCTTGGGCAACCTTCTCTCCGCAGTTCTGTTCCGTAATGAGCTTTGGATGCGCTTTCTCTACATGGTCGCCATCTACGGCCTGCGAGGTGTAAGTTCAGCGGACCCTTTGATGGATATCAGCTAACCCGGCGTCTAGTGGGCGCCGTTGCGCGTCAAATACGCAGCAACTTCTGTCCTGCAGCACGTCGGCGGTATACACTCGGGATGCGCCCTTTCCGGCGCTGCGTAAGGACCCCTCTGACGATCTTCTAGCAACTAGGCTAATGTTGGGCTGCAGGTGGTTAGTGTACAAGATCGTGGACATTATACGCTACCGGGCGATTCAACATCCGGCGGTCATCGCTAGCGGCATCATCACCAACGTCTTTATCATTATTTCGGTGTTGAGCGCGTTCCCATGGATCCGCAAGTCAGTGGTTCTTTGTTCGAATATCACGAGTGATGACTAACCAACGAATAGTACCTACCACAATGTGTTCGAAAAGCATCACCGCTTTGTTGGGTGGCTGGGCCTCGCTGTAAGTCATGTTACCTCAAATAACGTTGTAGGGCACGACTAACATCCACAAGATGACCTGGGTATTCGTTGTCATGGGCGATGTATACGACATCAAGCGAGGCGAATGGCACACCAATGCGCACTCCCTACTCAGCGCCCAAGAACTCTGGTTCGCAGTGTTCATGACCATCTTGTACGTTCCCCAACTCCACCTCCCCTTTTCTGACTAACACTCACTAGTGTCCTAATTCCTTGGGTAACCCTCCGCGAAGTCTCCGTCGAAGTAGAGATCCCCTCACCCAAAGTCGCCGTCCTCCGCTTCGAGCGCGGCATGCAACAAGGTCTCCTCGGCCGCATCAGCCGCACATCAATCATGGAGTACCACGCTTTCGGCATCATCAGCCCCGGTCGCAAGTCCACGCACCACTACATGATCTGCGGCGTACAGGGCGACTTCACCAAGAACCTCGTCACGAACCCACCCAAGACTGTATGGACACGTGAGCTGAAGTTCGGTATGTCCACCGCCTCCTTTCCCACCCCAAGAAAATTGCTAACAATGTTTATAGCTGGTGTGGGCCACGCCTCCGCCATGTTCACCCGCGGCATCCGCATCTGCACCGGCACCGGCATCGGCGCCGCACTCTCCACCTGCATCCAATCGCCCAACTGGTTCCTCATCTGGATCGGATCCGACCAAGAACGCACCTTCGGGCCCACCATCACCGGCATGATTAAAAAGCACATCGAGCCCGAGCGCATGATCCTCTGGGACTCGAAGAAACGCGGCGGTCGCCCGGATACAATGGAGTTGCTGCGCGACACGTGGACAAGATTCGGCGCGGAGGTTATTTTCATCACGAGTAACAGTCAGGGGAATGATGAGATGATGCAGGGGTGTAGGGCGGAGGGACTGCATGCTTTTGGGACGCTGTGGGATTTCTAGGGGAGTGGTCGGGTGAACGCGAGGGTGTTGAGAGTTAGATTTAAACTTGGGTAGACTAGATGGGGATGGCGTTGCATTGGTATGGTGTTATGAGGAGCATTCAATTCTTTTTCTGGTATATACAAGTTATTCAATTCATGGCCGCTTCTATATCGCGTGACCATCTCACGTCCGTTCTGATCACATGCGTCACCGCACCGCCTTACCTAACGTGCAAATCACCTGCGCATGTGGGGACCATCTCAAGTCCGGTAGCGAGCCTGACAGACAGCTGCGGCAGCATGGATGTCACGGCTGCGCAGGAAGACTGCCGACAGGATGATCGACGTGGTTCATCAAAGCTGCCTATGTGGGTTGTGGGGTACCCCACATTCACCGTTTTGGTCGTGATGTAACGTCAATCAAGCTTTCTTACTCCATGCTGGTTGGTGTTGATGTTGCTTGAACGTTAGGCAAAGTCATTTCGTTCCGATAGTGGCGTCACGAAGAGCGAGAAACGCATAGAAGATATCAAACGTGCATTACAAATAATCACCCTACGATACTTCATCATATCGCTATGCAAGGTATCCAGCCATCGCAAGCACTTCTCTTCAACCTTCAATATTCAATTACAACGATCCAAACAACGATCCACCCCATTACTCTAGCTTCGCACGTCATAAAAATGCTGGTGTATCCTCCCTGACCAGCCTCATACCTCCTCTGAGCTTCTTACCCTCTAACAAGCCCATGCTCTTCCTCTCGCGCAGGAAGCGATCTGCCATGCGCTGACCGGGCGTGATGCTGCCGCTGCGCTCGCCTTCCTCGAGGATACTATCAATGGCACGGCCCTCAGTACCTGGACTGGGCTCCCGGCTCTCCGTGAAGGAGCTAGTCGACGGCTTGAGGTGCAGCGCTGGGCGTCGCAACTCTGTCGATGGGCGAGGGAGCGATGTTTTTGCTCCACGAAGGTCGAGTGCGCTCTTGGGACGACGACTCAGCTTCTCTGGGGATGCCTCTCGTAAGATTGCGCGAATTCTGGGACGTGGTGGCGACGCAGCTGGGCTTGAGATGTACTTGGAGTGCTTGATCTCCGGAATGTTGGATGTATATTGGCCAATATTGGTTGTGCTGCGGTTTAACGCGACTGAAGAGAGCGGCTGCAGCGATCTCGCGCGAGTCGACGGTCCTAATGGTGATATGCTTGGTCTTCCATTACCTTTGACACCAATAATGGAAGGTGGTGTCAAGTTCTCTTTACTTGCGTGTCGGCCTTCACTGCTCATCAGAGCGGAGTTGCGCGAGCGCTGTGATGTTTGGTGCGTTGGAGGAGCAGAGAGATCAGAGTAAATCTTGGGTCCGGTACTTCCCTTCGTTGACTTGAATGAAGAAGCAACACTATCAGGCGGCGAACGTGAGTTGCGAGAAGACCTAGCACTGTTGCTGCTCGACCGGCGACCTGTGTCGATGAATGGGAAGCGGTCATTCATTAAAGCAGACCTTGGTGTTTCGACAAGGGGCTGTGATGTGGAGGAAGTGTGGCTCGGGGTCAGAGCAGGGCGCTGCCTTGAAAACAGGGGCGTTGATTCCGGTCTCTTGAGTCTCTTTCCTTGCATCGGCTCGACATTCGGGGGTGAATTATCTGGGGTAACTTCCTTGGATGTGTCCGTGTGCGACTGTGATCTTTCCAGTACAGATGTTCCAACTGGAGTCGTAGCGCGCTGCTCGACTGATAACGGTAACGTATGTCTTTCCACAGTTTCGGCCGCGAGCACTGACAGCGTAATTGGTTCGATGTGGGGCGTGATGGTATCGCATGATGGGCGTAGTATCACGGTCGTATCATCCTGCTCATAATGGGACGTGCGCGTATTGTACCTGCGATACTTACTAGAAGGCGTGAGGTATTGCTCATTAATCCTAAGATCTTCTTGGCTTGTGAACTCCATGTTGGAGACCTCGTGAGACAGCCAAGCCTTCCAGTCACGGCTAGAACGAGCTGAGTCAGGGCGGCGTGGCGACGGCGTACCCACGACATAGCTGCGAACCGACTTGCTTGTCAGGATGACGGCTGAGCCTCCGTTGTGATGACGCTCAAGTCCATCTTGTCCACTGAACGACATAACGCTGTCATTTGGGAGTATGCTCATGCCGTCAGTGTTTCGCGAGTATACGCTTGGAGATAAGGGCGACATCATTGTTCGCTGCGTTGGCGAGCAAGGTGTTCCAGACGGGCCAGAAATGTCGGTTCGATGGACTTCCACCTCCTCTTCCAGTGATTCGCGTTGATCGTCTTCTTGCACAGTACGTTGAGTGAATTCGGCAACGTTGTATGTCCGCTCCATCTCACGCGGGAACTGCAGCTGCGCAACGTCGTCCAGAGGTGTCTTCCAGCGCTCTTTGGCCTTTGATACTCTTCGTTCGATCTGCTCGCGAGAGGGCGAAAACATTTCGCGCGTGTGCTTAGGTTGGCTAGTGATGCACAAGTCAGTCCACAGTGTGTCAAGGAGATAATCAGCAGCACCGACCTTGTATCGATGTTGATGCAATCTTCCTCAACATCGGATGATGTGGCAACAGCCGACGGGTCCAGCTCATCCCTCGGAATGCGCATTGTTCCACGAACACTAGTGTGTTGCACAGGACACGGTGAGGAACGCTGCTCGCCAGGTGTGACAGTACGGATCGTGGACCGGATGGCCCTTCCAAGCGTCCTGATAGAGCTAGCTTTACCTTGTGTGCTCTGCGCTGCGGCACTGGGTCCGCGCCGAGAAGGCGGTCGTTGTTCGTTCCCCACTTCCATCCGAAAGTCTCGACTGGCGCTCGAGTGTAGATCTCTGTCAGCCGAGTGCAGGACCTTAGTCTTGCTTGACTCAAAAACATCACTCTCTGCACCAGGAGTATGGGCAGGAGGCTGAGGCGCATCTTCTGTTGACTTGGAGATCTCAATCTCCCTCATCAACGCAGAAAAGACGCGCTTGGGATCGATCGGTGTCGACGTTTCTTCCAACAGACTTTCCATCGGCATAGGATCACGGAAAGCTGCAAGAGTACCCGATGGAAGTGACTTTCGCTTCGTCAAAAGAGAAGCTGCTTGGTCCGCTTCACTGCCGATACTGTCCTTGGATTCATGTATGATCGTCAATCGCTTGATCGCCCGTTGTGCTAGTGTGTCTTGTGTAGATGTCGTGCCCCAACTGGTCACGCGTGATACAGAAACATTCGTCACGTTTGTTTCGCTGTGTAGACTCGGATTGCTTCGTTTGCTCCGGGCGCTTACGTTGCTGCTCGACCGTGATCCGGACCTGGTATAAGCTGGGCGGCTTTGCGCGTACGATGGAGTACGAGCACGTACACGTTGGAGTACATCTTCGTCCGGACTTGGAATATCGTAGATGTCTTCGGAATCATGGATGTCGATTGGAGCTGTGCCGAAGTAGTCGCGGCTTGCCTGTATCTGTTGGACAGGCAAATCCGAAGCTGGCTTGGAACTGCGCCTGAACACCCGCTTGAGTTTGCTCTTGAGCGATCCGGAGAATGATCGCTTGTCCTTAGCTTCTACCTGGGGCATGAAGTCGGTGAGAGTAAAATCGGGCGTGTAGTCCTCTGGTGTGCGGTGGCTGGTTGCGGAGACGGATGCAAAGCTGGAACTGGTGCGCTTGCTCTTGCCCTTACCCTGCCTCTTCATGAATGGCGCCATGAACAAGGACGGCTTATGCCTGACCGACCGTTGTTGGAAAGATTGCAAGTACTTGTCTCGTGCCTTGTCGACAGTTTCATTAGTCTCAACGGTGACGGGAATGCGAGGCATTGCAAGCGGGGATGGGGCCAGGGCCCGAGCTGAAGCGGCCTGAACGGGTATCTCGAGGGTTGAAGTTGCTGTCACCGGAGGTGGAGTCGTAAGGTACATGGTGGGCGGTCGAGCAATCGGTGAGCCTGTCTGAACACTGCTCGCATAGTACATAGATCGTGCCTTCCGGATCTGCTGTGAGGTGACTGAAGACGAGACGCTCAGCCGGCCCGCCTTTGGTTGCGTATTCGGACGTGCATGCTCACTGAACGCAATGGACGGCTGCGCCGAAAGGGGCCTGGGTGCCGATACTGGTCTGTCCATGCTGGGCATGGGATGGAAAGGCGGAAACGTCTCGGTGTTGATTGTCGACGCTCGCGATGGCCGCTGCGAGGTGGCATCCTGTCCAGTTTTCTGGGGATGCATGGAACGGAAGCTGGAGTCACGGGGCGGAAAGTGACTTCCCTGGCCCTGCATGGTGATGGACTTTCGACTGGCATTGCTCTTCGACCTAGAGACTTCGGAGCTTCGCTTGCTCGTCCTGTCAGCGGCTCCTTGGGTATGGGCTCTCACAAAAGCAGCCGTCGCAGCGGCCACAGCCTGTTGACGTGCGAGATCCGGGTCTAATAGCTCCAAGATGGGGGGTGGGTGCCTGTGTACAGTTGACGTTGACTTGGAGCGGCGAAGACGCGTGCCTGCATCGCTGGAGGCGCGAGCCAGCATTGGAGTGGTGAGATAAAACTGATGACGCTGAAGAGGAACAGTAAGATGGGGAGTCCAACAAAGCGAAGTCTGCTAAAGAGGTGTTGACATGAAGTAGCAGAAACGATGTCAAGGGAGCACGACATGAGGAAGTAAGACATTGCTACAGTGGAGAAGGAGAAGGTGAGAGCGGGGCAGTTGTGACTTCCATTCGTTGTTGTCAGACCATGTGTCGCGCCTTCCTGTTTTACAGCAGGCAAGTGCTCCTGCTTCAACGGCAGAAGCGCCGAGTGCGTATATCGACTGGTTGTGAATGAGTGAAGCATACTAGGATACCTTTGAGTGAGCACGAAGCAAAACAGTATCACTTCAAGCAGATTCAATGTATCACGAGAAGGAAAGGTCGTTGCAGAGATCTAGAGGCATGGCTCAAAGCACGTGCCTTGGACTACGCGCTTCAACCAGCGCCGAACTTCTGCCGAGCTCACTGCGCGCGTCTTCTTCATCCTCGCTCTGCACCTCCACATACCCCGTATCTCTGTCTTTTGCGCTAATCATGAACATGATCGCAGTCATAACGCCATACACAGGTACGCAGGCCAAGAAGGGTAGTCCGAGCCATGCGCTACCAAGATCCATGCCCCATTGGAACAGCTGGCTGAGCATTGGTCCTGCAAACATTGCGCCTATAGCTTCAGAAATGGCGATGGTGCTCATCAGTTTCCCAACGTCGGGACTGGACTGCCCGCCAACTGCGTGGATGGCGACAGACCGCAAGGCTGCATTGTATCCAGTGCCCATGTTGTAGACGAGCAGACCAAGTATGAGCAGCGAAGGATATCCGGCAACGCCCATGATAATGTAGGAAACGGCCTGCACGATGATTGATCCTCGCGCTGTCCAGAGATCTGCCCAATGGGGCGGATGTCGAAGATGCTTGATAAGAAACCAGTTGAGCGCTGGCAGGAACACAGCCACAGCCACAAGATTGGTCGCAGCGCGGAACGAAAGCAGGTAGGCGGCATCCTTGATATCCCAGCCATAGCGTTTGGAAGCATAGCGGATCAGCAGCGACATGGCTTGTCTGCCAAGCCTGTTGGCCATGAAACCAAAGACCACCAACGCCAGCTGCATGTCGCCTCGGATGAAAGTGTATGCAGTGTGAAAGTTCCGCAGCTGCGCTTTGAGCGTGAAGTGGCCGCCTTTCGGCTGAAGCTCGATGGTCTGGTCTACGTCATCCTTTGGTTCTGGCAGGTCGCGCAAATGAAGTGTCTCAGGGAAGAAGATGGATATGCACATGCCCACTCCCTGTATGAAGGTGGCCAGCACCAAGGGCATCCAATCGCCCTTCTCCATGAGCTTTGCAGCCATAACCGGCGCAACCACCTCCGCAACCAGCACGGAGGCAGTCACATACAGAAATACGGTGGTGCGCTTGTCCGGTGGCACGATGTCCGAGATCATGGTCAGGGCAACTGCAACGGCGACTAGAGGTCCTCCACCGATCAGGAAGAAGGCGGATGACAGCCATGTGAGCTGCAGCGGCAGGGTTGTGAAGTAGCCTGTTTGCTGTTAGCTACCCCAGATTTTCCGAATTGCCCATTCTGCGGCTTACTTACAGACGAGCAGGACCCATGCAGAGCTCAGCCAGCAACCCAGCAGACTTGCAGCGAAGATCCATTTCCTGCCGACCCGGTCCGCCAGCGTCCCAAACGGGATAGCGAGCAATATGCCGGGGATTGCATCGAAAGTGTCCTGCCAGCCAAAGATCATAGCCAGCTTCTGCTGCACCTCGTCGATCTTGCACAGCTGTTCCGGTATGCGCCCGTCAGCGCCGATGGCGGAGTCGTCGTGTTCGCGATAGTATGCGAGGCAGATATTGGTCTCGTATATGCGTGTCTTGGGCGGTTCAGCGAGGAAGGCGCCAACGTCGATGATGGTGACCAGGAGCAGCGCCAGCACCACGAGAGACACCCATGGCTTCTTCGGCACCCTGGGCTCAGGGAGGGTGAACGTCGATTCGTGCGGGGAGGAGAGCAGAGATTCGTCTTCCTCGACTGAATCTCGAGGCAGATGCGACGCCATCGGGGACCTACAGCGGATAAATGCTACTACTCGTGTCTGCGCATGAACCAGGGCAACGCGTCAACAAAGGAGTGGGAGTCGGTGTTAGCAGCACACAGAAGCCATGATCAAAGGATGCGCGACGATGGGGAAGAAGACACGGTGCTATTATGTCAGATTACATGCGTATCAGTGCGCTCTTCTTGGGCGGAGTTCGGACAGCAAAGGTGTTGTCCAGGGGCGCCTTGTTGCGCCTCGTCCTTTCGGCGCTGGGCGCGTCGCAGGTAATGCCGGTCCCTGCATCGCGGGACGGGGGATTACATAAGCCACCCATCTGTCTCGGACTGTTGCCGAAGTTGTGCCGTCACACACCTTCGTTCCTTCACCCCAATGCGATTTCAACGTCCCCATTAATCCGTAGTGACTCATGTGTTTCTATCTTCACTCTTAAGTCGTTTGAGATATCTCCCGCTTGTATATTGGGGATTCTGGCTGCACCGCCCAGCGAGCGGGCACGGGATACGTCACGTAATATGGAACGCGTACAGGATCACGTAAGCACTTAACGTGTGGTCAAGCATCGACGGAGATGGCACAAGGCTAAGTCTTGGTCCAATATCAATCACAGATTTACCAGTTGCGCGTTCAAATCCTTCCACATCACTGCCCTGAACAAAATGTCAATCGAAATACTTAGCTCTCGAATATCACTTGGCCACCTCAGCGGTCACGACAGCTCCCATCTATGCTTTCACTATGTCTGATCTTTACCCATGTTTCGCTATCACCCCTGACCTGACCATGCCAGCCGGGAACTTCGTGGCTCAGAAGTTTTGCGTAACGACCTTGCCAACCTTTCGATTTCATCTCATCACCTTAGTCGTGCGCTTCTTTGCTGTTACTCGAGCTGGATAGTCAATATCGGGATATTGATGTTGCACATGTTTGAGAATGCTACCAGCGATGCTGTTTCCACCCCTGTGTCGCTCACATAACGCGAACGTAGGTGAATGACAGTTCAGCACAGCTTTCACTTTTCGCTATATGTTTCCGTGTAGCACTGTCGCACAATTGTTTACTCAAGGCATCTACGTCTGCCTTGAGCTCGGTTACGTTGTCACAGCGATCATCAGTCTCTTGTTATGACAAAGAGCACTTCTTACAAAACCAAATCAGGACATCCCACGACACGCCACATTAGATATAACCATATATCGATTTCCATACCGCACAACAAGTACTATCCATCTACCATGGCCCTCCCACGAGAACTTCGCGACATCGTCTACACCCATCTCATCGATTCCCTCCCGAAAGTCATCAACGTCAGCGCCGACCGCATCCTCACAGAGTCCTTCCCTCCGCCCACCCAATCCATCATCGGCGGCTCCACCACCGACGGCCTCGTCACATTCCTCCCGAGCCTGGCCTACACCACCTCCGCCATCTACCACGAATTTGTGCCCGCCTACCTGCGCCGTATCTATCTCAACATCGGCACCACGTCAGACTTTCTCTACCTCGAGAACTTCTTCGAAACGCTGCCCGCGGGCGATGGCTGGGACAAGATTGCCAATCTGACGATGCTGAACTTCGCGAGTGTGGCGCGCACACCGGGACGCGCGACGGAGGTCATGGACACGATTCTGCAGGCGACGAAATTGAAGGTCCTGGTGCTGAGTTTCGCGCTGAGCGACTTCTTCGTTCCGCCCGACTGGCCGCACCCGCCTACGACCCGGAATGAAGCGATGGAGTTACAGAGAAATCCGCCGAAGACGGTGGATGCGGAATACATGATTCGTGAGTACCAATTTGATAGGCTTTTTGGGATTAGCGAGCTGGAGAGGCTGGTGGTCAAGGTTGAGCATGGGTTCTTTGAGCAGACGCCGAGGTCGGTTGGGGTATTGGGGGATCTGAGAGAGGCGCTGATGAGGGGGTTGAGGGAGGGGGAGGGTGTCACAGAGGTCACGGCGGTGGAGCTGGATGTTATGAGGCCGGGCATCAGTGCGTTCATCCTGAGGTTGAGGAGGGAGTGAGTGAGGAAGAAGGAGGATTCGAGGGTGGCGCTAGTGAGGGGGTTGGGCTTCGGGGAGGGGGTGATCGGGGTGACCGCAGTGGAGGTGGATGTAAGGAGGCTGATGATAAGTGTGTTATCCTGAGTGCGCTGAGGGCGTGAGGAAGCGAGGAAGATAGGTGAGATATGGGGGTAGGACATGGACATGAAGAAGTGTGGTGATTATTGGTAGGTGTTTGTTCATGACCCTCTTGGTGATAACCATGTGCACTCTTGTGGAGTGTCTCAATTTAAGGTGTGCTCGTCGACCATGCATGCCATTTTGATGGCTGCTTGACCCTTGTCTGACGATCAGGACACATGTCACCTGGCAACACTGCAGTGCAAAGGAGGTGATAAACATTGGAGAGATGGAAGTTTTGGATCGAGAATTGATGAGGCTGTGAAGCTGGTGTGTTCAAATCTGAATAAAATCTCTCATGTTTGAAGCACGAGTGAGGTATATCAAAAATTGTACATTTTGACAAGGCTACTCATCTTCCAGCGCACCAATGCTCGAGCTAAAGATAATTACACGTGCTGATTGTTCTCGTGTCGTTCTACTCATAATTGCCGTGCCGTTTTGATCATTCATCTTGTGTACCACGTCGTCAGAAAACCATGGAGAGTAAGCATGACTTGCACATCGTGACTTGAGCTACTTGTAAGTGGCTATATGAATTGCTTCAGCCTGCGATACTGGCTGCGTTTCCGTTCATGCTGCCCTCACCTATATGCAATCACATACTTTTAAGAGCGATGTTGGGCCATGTCGACCCGCGATGCCCTCCTGCTGCGGTCGTTTGCATGTCCCGGAAGGCCACAACAGCTGCAGAAACGCTGCTGGCCATGCGATATGGGAAAATTCGAAAGTATTTGGTCCGTCGATACCGCCGTTCGTCGCCGTCGTGGTCTGGAAAACCCCCTGACTGTGCCTGCCGCTCTTTCACCTCGTGGTCAGTCTCTGTCTTGCAGAAATCCCAACGCAAACGCTCCTCACCACGACTTACCGCGCAGCACATTGCAAGAGCGCGTTTGTCACAACAAGCCCGTGCCTCGAAGACTACATAAAATTTGCAGCTGCCTCCAAACCTTCTCACTCCACGACTTCAACGCTTTCCCACCACGACGGCCCAAAGCCCTCTCTTCTGCTTTCCGCATACGCAAGAACTTTACAGCATCACAAAGCCCAGCAGCCTTTTGCGTACGTATTCTAAATAGAGCGCTGAGCAGTACTAGTCACACTGCATTTGATCTTTGGAGCGTTTCAGCAGAGCGTCTTTAGGACCTTGCAGGAGGACATTTGAGCTTAGCAACCGTTCATTCTCACAAAAGCTGTATCTTCAACATATCCGCAATTATGAGCGGTATTCAGAACAACGAAGAGCGCGTCCGCAGCGGCCGCAACCGCAACCGCGGTCGAGGACGTCAGAGCAACAACCATCCCGGCGCCGCGAGCATGTACACCACTGGCAACAATGCTAGTAACATGAGCAGCTTCGCCCCTCCCAGCAACCGTTCAGGCTATGGCAATGCCGGCCCCATATACACCGGTAACCAAGGCATGTACGCGTACAGCAACGATGCGCGCGTCAACACCGGCTACAACATGATGAACCGCAACATCCAGCGCAACGGCAATGTCCCCAGTGCCTTCAACAACGCTGGAGCAAACGGCATGCGCACCCAAGGCAGCAACATGACTGTCAACAGCGGCTTCAACATCACGGCGAGCAACATGAACGGCAACAGCAATGCATATGGCGGTTCGAACAGCAGTGCGATGGGCCATGCTGGCTACGACAACGCTGCCAACCCTCCTCTCGCTAGCACTCGTGCTTTCGTCAACGACGCCTCTGGAAATGGTACCTCGTCGCCCGCGATGACAGTAAGATGTATTCTCAATGTATCACAATGGTCATGTACTAACTTAGACTCAGGGTCTGCAGCGTCGTCAATCCCTTCGTGACAGTTCGGTTCGCGATGCTGGTCGCGCTCGCATCCAGTACGGTCCTGTCGGTGGACCACTGTCTGCACCATTCCAAGCAGCCCCTGTCGCCATGGCCGCTGCCGCTTCAGACGCAGCAGCTCGAGCCATCATCACTGCAGGCCCGATCACGGTCTCCATCGCCTCGGAGCGCGAGCGCCCGGGTGCCAATGTCGCCTCTCCGGCATTCATCCATGGTTTCGTGGTCACTCCGGCCAACTACAACTTGTGGAGCAACGTCTTGCTGCCGCACATCACCCTCTTCACCTTCGAGGTGTCCAGCAGCTCAGACTTGCACTTCCTGGCCAACATGCTGTCATGCAGGCAACTTCCCCTCCTCCACCAGGCTGTCACGCATGTGACCTTCCCTGGCTTCTACTGGTTCTCGGGCGTTGCCCATAACCGCCGCGAGAACCCCTACTTCGTGTTGACGAAGACCCTGGTTGGCCTCCAGGACATCTTGCTCCGATTCCACACCGCAGGGATCACCACGTCGCGCTTCGGTGAGCGGCAGATGCTCGCAATCGAGGCAGTGGACCCAGAGCGCGCCAAGGAGCGCAAGGTAATGTCGCTCGACGATGTCGTGGACAAGTACGGCCTGGGCGGCATTTTCGCTTGCCCCCAGCTTCGTCGCATCCGCGTCGAGTTCATTGACTGCCCGCGGACGCGCTACTTCACCAGGGTGGGTGATGTCGTCCTTCTCCTTCGCGAGATCCAGATGTGGTTGGTGACCGGGTGTGCCCAGGAGGGGCTGAATGTTCTCGTGGAGCTGGAGCAGGTGCAGTGAGAAGGAATGATAGGGCGGAGGAGAACAGGATGACGCATGGAGGAGAAGGGGTGACTTTTAAGATAGGTGGAGGATAGACAGCATCTGCTGTGGTTAGGGGTGAAAATGAGAAGTCATGTGCCTTGCGCATTCACCCTGCTCCTATATGATCATGTGATGTGCCCTTTTACCATGCGGTATGACTTTCACAATACAATATAGACAACATACTATACTAACTCAATGCAATTTTGATACTCCTGATGCTGTGTCCTGGCTATATACGCGGCCAATGGTATGTACTTTTGTCCCTCAGAGGATGAATGTCGAACGCCAAGGATGATTATTGGAAGTCTCCCACTACTCAATCTGTGTGATGTCATCTTCTCCCTCACCTCCACTGCTGGTGATATCCTCATACAGGCTCTTGAACCAGCTACCCTCCTGGTCTAGGAGACGATGTGGTTTACCATACTCGACAAGCGAACCTTGATTCATGACCACAACCTTGTCAAAATCAAGGATGGTGTCCAGTCTGTGCGCGACTGCGATGATAGTATGGCTGGAGAATTTCTGGCGAAGGAGGCGCTGTACGATGGAGTCGGAGGCGGCGTCGAGACTGATGGGAAGTTAGTGTGGAAGCAGCAAGGAAGCAGTTAAGGATGTGCTTACTTCGATGTAGCCTCGTCAAGCACGAGAACATTGCTCGTGGATCTCCTCAGCAGCGCTCTCGCAATGCAGAACAGCTGCCGCTGGCCATGACTCAAATGCAACTCCTCGACCAATACATCAAGCGGATGATCGTACTTATCGGCATCGCCTTTAGCCACAATTACTTCATCCCACAAGGTCACATCCTTGAGCGCCTGGATGATTGCTTTATCGTTACTCTGCTTTAGCGGGTCCGCGTTCAACCTGACTGAGCCAGGCAGCAAGTAAGCGTCTTGCGGCAAGCCGATGAGCCGAGACCGGATTGTTTGACGCGGCAGTCGATGTATCGGAAGGGCGTCGATGGTGACGGTGCCATGAGACAGTTCGACCATGCGAAACAAGGATAAGACGAGGGAAGATTTGCCACTGCACGTATTGTCAGTATATTGATTCAGTGTAACGCGAGGCTAGATGAGACATACCTTCCTGTGCGGCCTACGATTGCAACTTTCTCCCCTTGCTTAATCGTGAGCGAGAAGTCTTGTACGACTGGCTCGCCGGGCCTGGGAAGATGTTAGTGAAAAACTTGCGCCAAGTTGAGAAGACCTACCGATGGAATGCTGTGATGTCGTTGAACTCAATCTTGCCCCGGCTGGGCCAGGTGGCCGGAGGGATATGGTCCTCAGTGTCCTTGTCTTCAGCTGTGGGGTCGGTAGTGAAGTTCTTGATCCTCGCCACACTACCGATATGTGTTTCGAGCTGCGTCCAAAAGGTGATGAGCAGCTTGATACTTTGTGAAAAGAGCACAACGTTGAGGAGCGCGACACCAACATATCCAGCGCTCAGCTTACCGCGCAACACTACAACGAGGACAATGAGAATAGTTGCAATACCTGCGACAACAAAATCCAAGACCAGCGTCAGCCATCGCTGTACCGCGAAGAGAAGGTAGAACGGGCGCTGACTGCGATCGAGCAGATCCTTGGCCTTCTCCTCCACAAAGCTTTGCCAGCCAAACGCTCGGATGGTCGCCAAACCCTCCAGTATCTCATTAAATTGTGTATATAGAGGCGACTTGGCTTCCAGATCGAGAAATCGCAGTTGGCGCGACGTGCGCAGGTAGAACCTTTGAACGAAGTAGACAATGATGCTCACGATGGGGAAAGAGATGGCTGCAAAAGGTGCTGCCACTGCGATGAGCACCATCTGGGCAATACAAAGCATGAAAGCTAGCTGCATGTTAGTACACCGGTCGCATGCATATTTTGTTTCTAGACCTACTGGCGAAAGTGTTGAGCGCTGTGATGGGCAGCTCCATGTCGATGAGCATGAGATCCTGGCTGAAGCGATTCAGGGTGACTCCGGTGTCGACAGTCGAAAAGAAAGACATAGGTGATCTGCTTGCGTTAGTATTCTAGTTCTAGGCATGCTGCATTAATTTACCCAAGAACCGTGTTGAGGAGCTTTTTGTGGAAGGCAACGCCCGACCGCGGCACCATAGTGATGATTAATTGCCTGATATCTTGTTAGCCAGATACTGTGTAACCCTCTAAGATAACCTACCAGCAACTGACACCCAGAAACCCAAATGAAAGAGCTCCAAGCATCGAGTAGATGCCGAGGTAGAATCCGAGACGCTTATTAGGGTGATCCTCATTGTATTCAGCCCACATCTTGACCCAGATGGCTGTTATGGTCAGTCAACGCGGGTCGACGAAGTTTATTGTATGCAGACTTACATGGAAACGAAATGCCAAAGATGAAGATGGAGCAAGAAATAATAAAGACGAGGGTAGGTATCCAGCCTACCGAGCCCACGTAGTATCGATATATGGCTATATCGCCGGTGCGACGATTTGCCTCTGCCTGAATCTCTTCTTCGGTGACATGTTTGCCTACCTGTTGCTCGGTGTATCTTGGCGGCGCCTCGTACTCGTGCTTCTCTGGAGTGAAGTCCCAGTCTGGCAGCGCAAGGTCGAACCCCGACACGTAGCCGCCAGACAGGTTGAGTTTCTCAAAAGTGCCTTGTTCGGCTATCTTACCGTCCTTATTTAGAGCAACGATATGGTCGCAGTAAGAAACGCGTTTCGCTACAATTGCCCATCAGCCTCAGCCTTGCGATGCGCGCAGTTGAAGAGGGGCAAGCTTGACTTACTCGAGGAAGACGCAATGATTACGGTAGTTCTACACCGCTTCAAGAGACCATCACGACCGAAAAGACCATGCCATATCTTGTTCTCAGTCTGACCATCAAGACCGCTGAGACAGTCATCAAGGATGACAATGTCCTTTTGCGCATATATAGCTCTTGCAAGCGCCTACAGAGAGTTTTAGTTAGCGCAGGGGAAGTGGAGTGGGGGGACGGGATGGCTCACTATGCGTTGGCTTTGACCACCGCTCAATGCAATACCCTTGCTTCCAATCTGCGTCTGATCTCCTTGGGGCAATTGGCGGAGATCTTCATCTAATGCGCAGCTGCGGACTACAGATGAGTACCACCGTAGATCATATGCACTCGAACCGGTGATGCTTTGCTGCACTGTGCCGTTCACGTGCCACGCAGTCTGGTCGCACAAGGCGATCCGCAGGGATGATAGCTGTAATGTACCGCCCATCACCGGCAACTCCCCAAGTACCGCTTTGAGCAGGGTTGACTTGCCACACCCCACAGGACCCACGACCATGGTAATCTTCCCACGCGGGACGATCATGTTGATGTCCTGCAGGGTAGCCGATCCTTTGCTTTTGTCCCACCCGAAGAGTCCGTGCTCTATAACAATGGCATGGGACCCCAAAGAATGCATACCAAAAACCTCCTCGGCAAAATCGTCCTTCTGCGACAGTTCAGACCCCTTTTCGGAGTTTGTGTCGATACTGACACTCGATGCGACACTACCATGAAGGGAAGGAAATTTGCGCCTTTCAGCACGAGCTTCCATGGAAATGAATTCTTGGATCCGCTTGAACGAGCCGACTCCACCCATAAGCGACATCAACGCCATTATCAGCGAGCTGAGCGGTTCCGCAAGAAGAGTGAAAAGAGACAACGAAGTGAAGACTGTCGCTGTATCGAGTGTGCTCGTCCCGCCACTCTTCTCAGCAAGGAGAGAGAACACCGTGAAGGCAAGGATGGGCGACACTATTGGCGAAACGTAGGCTGCAACATATCAGCAGGATACTCCGGCATTTTCGAGGAGCAAACTTACAGATCATCATAGTCCAAATCAAGAGCTTCCTGAACTTCTTCGAAATCTCAAGCTCGTCAATTCGAAGTCGCTGCAAGTCGTCTCGCAACACGTCGGTGAGACCGCACATCTTGACACCTTTCATCGAGTCGAGCATAGCGCCAGTTGCGGCGATGCGACGCTCGATGGCCTCAAGCCAGAGCGCCTGGCGTTGCATGACAAGACTGGTCGCGCCCAGAGATGCGAGAAAAGAGACTTGACACGAGTCAGCAAGCCGCCTTTGATACCGATATTCCAGACGTACGTATGGCGACTCCTATGGGAATAGCACAAGCCACACCGAGCTCTCGCTGGAGGAGGTACATTGCCAAACCGATCTCGAGGGTGTTCGACCATACCTTAAGAACACCGAAACATTAGCAGTGACTTCAATGAATGAGAGGAAAGCAAACATAGAATTCGTGCCGGCAGTACGATATCGACAAATGTATGAACGGCAAAAGTCTCAAGCTTGAGCTGTGCAGTCGCATAATACCGCTGCCACTCCATCGCAGCCAAGATACTGGGCCATAGCGGCGATCAAAACAAAGGAAGCGGCAGACATACCTCATGACCAGTCTCCATTCCAGTAACAATGCGCTCGATGTCCGCGCTCATCAAGGTTAGCGACGAGGCCGTGTCAACATCTGTTAAAGCAACACCAGTGGCTTTGCCGTAGAGCATCGAGATTAGCCCTCCGCGCATCATGGTAATGAATCTGAATGTCTTGTGCTGATATTGGCCCGTGGACACCTATGATGATGGTCAGCGCAAGAACCTAACCAGATCAGTGCTATTGATCGGACACGAATACGTACAGCAATTCCAACGAAGACTATGACATATGCGCCAATCAGTCCATAGCCAATATTTGTCGTCTGGGGTGTGACAGCCTGCTGAGAGAATGTCACAGCTCGATTGATCAAGAACGGTTGGCAGAAGTTGAAGCCAATGAGGCAGAGCCGAGGAGGGACCACAGCCAACACTGGCCATTTCAGCTTCCTCAAAGTGGTCACAAAGAGCGCGTGTGGACCTGGGCGCGTTACTACACAAGGTGTCGCAGTTAGTGAATCTGCATCGCATATGTCAGCAGCCGTGGAAAAACTTACATCGGTCCCATGATGATCCCAGAAGATGGTGTAGACGGTCCGACTGGAGGTGTTTGTCGAGTTGGAAAAGATCGTCTACCGTCAACGACTCGGTGTATCCCTTCTTCAATAACGCATTGAGCCACCAAAATAATGCGCGCTTGTAAGGGCCACTGGTGGTCTCAGGTGTGCGGTCTGTGAACTGAGGAAGTAGCAGTCGCTCCTTCGGCCGTGCCTCAGCAATCGCTAGTATCAATTTTACGGCGACGCGCGAAGTGAAGACCGTAGCAACAGCGTCGAGGTCGGGACTGAGTGAATAGGTACGCGATCGCGCGATGTCGAGAATGACGGTGAGTAGAAGATATATGTTAAGAAGCCACGACGGCCGTACAGTTCGCATATGTTCGAAGTCTGAGAGTGCGAGGAGGACGATGGAGCCAACGAGGCTGATTGCAGCAGCGGGGGTAGCGGCACGATTCGGGGCTCCTCGGTGCTTGACCCATAGAGCCAGATGGGCTATGTCGAACATGATGAGGATAGTCCATAATAGCTGAGTTATGGTGAGCCTTAGGAACGGAGATGTATAGTGCAGCATCACTTACCAGCTTTGTGAACCGCAACTTCGACGTCTTGAGCTTTTTCGAACGTTTCCACAAGTAGACGAAGCGAAATGGGGTGATGCAAAGGATAAATGCAAGGGGCAGTATGGAAAAAAATGCCTCCTCGAAGAGTAATGTAAAGTCAAATCCACTTCGACAATCCGCTCCAGCCCAGGGACCGAACGTATTGTCGACTTGAGAGCAGTTCCTGGCAGGACTTGAAGCCATCGTGGTCATGTTTTTGCAGCATTCGATCTTCAGACTATTCAACGGGGATTCCAGGACATTGGGTAGCCATAATTTTACACTGACTCGTTGCAACGATGATCTTAGAGCTTTTGCGCTGAAAAGGGTCGGTCAGCCGGTGGCATGCTCCTGGTACCTTCCTGTCCTATCTCGGCGGCGCTTTAGTTCTTTGGAAGTGTCGTTGCAAGGCTCGGCCATAGTACATTATGTCGGGGCTGAAAATGGATCATGCGATGCCACCTGGTGAGCACCCTGGTCGCAAAGAGCCGCTACTCAGGCAGGGCTTCCTGCAGTAACACTACGTGGATCCGTTGTTGGAGCTGACCCGCCGTCATGCTTTGCCCTTCTTGACGAAATCACGAGAATACAACGTAATATGTGGCTGGCTGCGTTGACCGCCCCCTGCACTCAAGCCCCTGCAGATCGGGGAACGCGTGTGTATGGGTTCAGGCTATTCTTGTAACATGTATGTACAATGCTGCGTCGTGAATCAGTGGCGATCGAGCTGCTTGAAATCTTCGGTTGGTATGAGTACGCGACGACATGGGTAGTACGTGCGAAGTCGTATTTGGTTTAGCCGCATGGGAAGCAAGGATCGGCGCCACTCCCATCAGCCTGCATGCGCGCATTGCCGCATTGCGGCCGGGTGCGAGGGCACGATTTCACAAACTTAATTGCGCAAGCACAGGCTGCTTGGGCCCGACTCTTCTAATTAAGTTGACTGGGGTTGGCGGCAATGATCGCGCCCGTTCCGACCATTTTGACAAGACCACGATGGTGTGACGAGGTTTCTTGTCACAAAAAGCCCTCTCAACAAGATTCGAGTGACATGACAGCCATTGTGACACGTTGAAATCTGTGCTTGAGACGCTTGTGGCTAGTGTGAAGAGTTGACTGACGAGTGTCCGTATGTTGAAATAAATGTTTACGGCGAGGATCATCCTCTCGCGTTTGTTCGCTGGAAAGAAGCCAGACCGAAACGTCGACCAACGTGGCGGCATGAGATGAAGGCACTAGCAGCCAAGCCCACTGTTGTTGGACGTGGATTTGAATCAATGGGAAAACCTGATTCGAGACTTGTAAATCATGGCGTGTTCAGTGCATGGGTGATTAAGATAGTTTCCGAGGTGGCCAGATGGTGTTATGACTTTGAATCATCTGATGACGCAAAACGTAGCTACCATCGGGAATGATGAACTGATCAAGCTTCTAGTGTCGTTTTCGTGCCACGGAAATCACGCTGAAATTAGACCAAACCGTTGGAAAACTGCCGACTTCGTGTAACAGCTGCTTGGACACACTGCGTTGTGTCCCTGCTAGTACGAGCTAGATCGAACAAGAGTAGTTTCCAAGATCATGTGAGCCGGCGGAGCGAGCAGATTCTGCATACGGAGATGAGGCTCGACGTCTATCCGACGTCTAGCAATGCACGCGGCCTTGTCATCGTCCCAGGTAGCGCCGCTGTAAATTACACGACGTGTTCTCGACGGCTACAGCATGTACATGAGCGACGCATGTCGGCATTCTGACGGACTTTAGCATATGTTTCCGAAGCTGAGGTTTGCCTATTGAAAGTGCATGCTTCTTCGCCCATGTTCGAATTAGCATGATGCCTCGTCAAGTGTGTTGTGTCGATTGGCGCAACGCTGGTACTAAATCACCACAAAATGTAGAACCGTGTAAGTGTGATGGAACTTGAGCGATCTCGGAGGGCTGCCGCTTCCCCATCAACCAGTTGCTCGCAGATCCGTTGCAGATCTTCCTGTGTCTGCATGACAGGGGCTCGTCTTTCCTCACGGTGAAGAGAGGAAAATTGGCCACTGCTTTCACCCAGTCAACCCCGTTTTCCGGTACGTACAGGGTACGGCAAAGCTCTAGGGCATTCACAAGGCCCGTCTTGCCTGAACGCATGGGCATATGCCATGCGTCGAGGTTCTGGGGTCAAAAGACGGCCAACATCTGTCATCTGTGCCCTAAGAAACACCGGGCAAGTCAATTGATTAAAACAAAACGCTGGGATCCTCCTCATGCAGGTAATCATCGATCCTTGATGCTTGCCTTCACGGGGTGCATTCCTGAAGGAGAGGATTGTCTCCACACTGTGACCTGGGTTGTGCACAGAAAACGCTCTGAATCGCACAGATTCGTCCTCAACGGGCCGAATATGTACTGTAGGAAGCGAAGGACAGCTGAAAACGCTGAAAACGGGTAGCGGTCTAAGATGCGCCAAGAGCGTCAGTCGCTGGCTGCCGCTGCACCCTGTAGCTCCATACGATCTCGACGGGGCTCATGGGGCTATGGGTCCGGGACTGCCACGCATCATTCCCGCGGACGTTGGAGCTGGACCCGCCAAGAACAAGGATGACGATGGTGTACAGTAGAAATGCCAGAATGCTGGAAATACGAGCGGCAGCGGCCGGTTAAACCGCTGTGATTTGCACGGACACATCTCAGGATTCAGGCGCTTGGTAACAGGCACACGCAGACACGGCTACATGATCGAGACAGGAATCGGTGAATCTGTCTCCCACTAGAGATGTGATTTTCTAGCGTGGCCCCAGAACAGGCACTCGGGGGAGGATGTCGGCCCTGCCGCGCAAGCAAGGCGCACTGCGTACCAATCGGGATGTTGTTGCAACTGGGGCGTTCACTGCGTCAAGCGACGTTCGACTGGCGCGGACAGACGGCAAAAGGAAGGAAATGCGGGACTGCGGTGGGATTGGTGGGCGACGCGTCTTTCTGCGCGATGAGCGCTTCTCTCCTGAGCATCCTCCCGAGTGGAACAGGACGCGATGCAGGAGGGGACAGCGAAGACCCACGACAATTTTCTTTACCGCTGGGCTGCAGAGGCAAATTGCGATTATTGCGGGGTTCAAAGTGTAGTCGCTGATGACTGCAGGGATGGCAGTACGATGGATGGATGAAAGATTTTGAGTTGATATGATCTTCGACTATACTCCTAGGTAGGAAAGGCCGGAGACTCCGCATCCGTCCCCTTTGATGGGGCAGCTGAAGACAGATGTGGACGATACGACGGATATGACGGAACTGGCAGGTCGTCTAGCCATGAACACGCTAAAACTTGGCGGACGCTAGCCGCGTCTGGCTCAAAGTAACGACGTCGAGTTTTTCATCCTGAACGATCGGTCCTTCATTATTTACATCCGTTCCAAGTGAACTCTAGCCCCAGGATAATCCGAACGTTGACGTTGAACTATATTTCCAAACTACTGGCCTCTAGGCTGAAACCAACGCCAACTCTAAACAGACTCCGACCTTCAATTGTTACATATTTTCATAGCCTTACAGAAGAATATAGACTTGTAATTATCAACGCTGAGATAATGTATTAAAGTCTTGGAGCGCAGTGCTGCGTCTGCGCAAGAGCTGTGGAAGCCTGCATGACAGGGCAGACAGGGCAGACATGGGTCAGATTACATAACACGCTTTCGCTTGACGTAAGTTACCGCCCGGCCCGTGCGCCCACCGGTCTGCTTCGCGTTGCATTCCTTTTCATCAACATCCCCACATCTCGTGTCTGCACCCAAGCCCGGGCATCGCAAGCCACATCACTATGGCTTCACTTTACAGCCGCTGGTCGTGCATATCCGTTTTGCGGACTCCATGTCGGATGAATCTTTATGGGCCCCGGTGGCGCAGCTACCGAACCTTCACCGTGCAGCTCAACCAATGGTCCGCTGTCACTCGATGTCGGCACCTATTCATGACAGCGAAGATCCAGCGCTGCTGTGTCACCTCTTTCAGAACAGTCGCCGGTCTGGACATGGCGCCTCAATCTCCTAGACCACCATGGCCAGCTGCAGGCACCGGGTATGGCCATACGACAATGTCTGGGCCAGGTGGCTTGCTTAAGAGAGGAGAGCGATACCTGACGATGACTTCATGGACGTGAATCCTGGCATGCTGGCGTCAAGGCTTTAGTGCTAGATGATGTCTGTGGAACCTGGATGCAAAACCGTAGGCGGGCTGGCCGAGCAGGTGCCAGATGGCCGTGCACCTTTCTTGATGCTTAATGTGACCATAGTGCTTCATTGTTTGCGACCATCATAGCTCAGTCCATTTGACCACGCAAACGCAAAAAATTGGTAAGTACAACCCAACTATTGAGCACTAATTGCAGCTTCGAGTCCACTAGCACGGATTCATTTGGCTACGGGCACACATACACGGTACGTTGACCAGAATCCTCCTCTCCGGCGACTCTTACAGCCCCACCGAGAATCTCGAACCTGTCTGCTATCACTGCTCAATAACGAGTACATGCAACAACTGACACCACCGTCCAGAGATACCACAACCATTCACCAGCCTCATGGAAGCACGGCTCCAGTCAATATGGGCGCACGTCTTGAACTTGCCTCATGTTGCGCTCGATCAGCCATTCCTCGCAGTTGGCGGAGACTCTATCTCTGCGATGCAGGTTGTAGGCCAATGCCGGAAAGATGGTATTGGTCTTGGCGTGCAAGAAGTGCTACGCAGCCGCTCCATCATGCAATTGGCCGAGGTCGTGAAGGAAATCGAGCACATTTCGTACGACACCGTTGAGTATTTCGACGAGGAGTTTGACTTGACTCCGATCCAATCACTTTATTTCCAGCGACCGAACGACGGACGCGGTCACTTCAATCAGTCCTTCTATCTGCAAGTGAGACAGAGGACAACAGAGGGAGAGTTCCGAGCCGCAGTGCAGCAGCTGGTAGCGCGCCATTCTATGCTACGCGCACGCTTCTCGCATTCCGACGACTTAGGCTGGAAGCAACGTCTCACCAGTAAGCCTGCCCCTGGTCATAACAAACACCCCTGTCCCAGTGTTCCAACGTCCTACTTGCCAGACGCAACCCAAAGTGTTGTCCCAAGGATACGATACTAACGCATGTCAGACGATGTAACCGGTAGTTTTCGCTTTAGGCATGGAAATGTCTCATCAAAGCAGGAGATTGATGTCATGATCGAGGACTCGCAACTTTGCCTGGATCATGAGCATGGGCCCTTGTTCGCAGCCGACCTCTTTGATTTCGGCGAGGACCAGTTCGCATTTTTAACAGCACATCATATTGTCATTGACCTAGTCAGTTGGCGAGTGCTTCTAGAAGAACTTGAAGAAATACTACGAGGCGGAGAATCCCTGCCTCCAGGACTTCCATTCCAAAAGTGGGCAGAACTACAAGTGGAACATGCTGCAACACTGGAGTCAAGACACGTTCTCCCACCGGTAGATGTTCCTCCGCTGGACTTTGACTACTGGGGTATTACGCGGGAGGACAACACTTACGGTAATGCTAGCCACGCGCTGTTCGAATTAGACTCGGATGTTAGCTCTGTGTTCTTGACCAGTTGCCATGCTGCGTTCAAGACCGAGCCAGTGGAGCTACTTCTCGCCGCCCTCATCCATTCTTGGTCACAGGTTTTCGTGGACAGGCCGATTCCCGCGATTTTCAACGAAGGGCACGGTAGAGAGCCCTGGAGTCCCGAAATTGACACATCACGCACGATAGGATGGTTTACAGCTTTATCGCCGATACTTGTAACTCCAGCATCAGATGCCACCGAGACAGTGCGAAAAGTGAAAGACTTCAAGCGCCTGATCCCCGGGAATGGTCGGCCGTACTTCGCTCGAAGATGTCTCACCGAAGAAGGACGTGCCGAGTATCGGACCCATTGGCCGATGGAAATCCTGTTCAACTACCTAGGCCAGTACCAACAGTTAGAAAGAGCAGATGCACTGCTTCAGCCGCTCGACACAATGGCCGGCGAGTATCGCGCGGCTGGCGGTACCTCTGACTTTGGGCATATCACTCCTCGATGGGGTTTATTCGAGATATCTGCCATCGTCTTCAAGGGTCGCCTCAAGTTCGCCTTTACATTCAATCGTCACATGCGACATCAGGATCTTATTCACCGATGGGTTGAGCAATGCCGTGAGACTTTGACGAGCATGATACGAAAACTCGTCGTTCTTGAGCCTTCACCTACACTCAGCGATTTTCCATTGTTGTCACTAAATGAGGACCGTTTCCAGTCCATGCTGGCCAGCTTGAACGTTATGGGTATCATGCCTTCCGAGATCGAGGATGCATATCCTTGTTCGAACATGCAAGAAGGGCTCTTGCTGTCCCAGAACAAGGACTCCGGCTTTTATGCAGCGGCCACGTTACACGAGCTCAGACTACATGGCGGACGTCTCGAAGCGAGGACGTTGGATCGTGCTTGGCGACAAATCGTTCGTCGCCACCCAGCACTGCGGACTATCTTCTTGGAGAATTTTGGCACACAAGAAGGCCTCTACAGTCAAGTTGTACTGCACTCTATCGAGCCAAATATCGTGCACCTCCAATGCGCAACTGAAATGGCCTCCGTAGATGTGATCAAGAACCAACGATCAGTGAGCTACGACGATGGTAAATGTCCAAATCATCGTTTCACTATCTGCACCACACACGATGGCAGGATATTCTGCTCTTTGGAAATTAGTCATGCTATCATGGACGGGCACTCGATGAGTCTACTTGCAAGGGAACTTCGTGAAGCTTGTGAAGGGCACTTGCGAGGAGAGGGCGCGCCATACCGCGATTACATCTCCTGGCTGTCAACACAACCCCAAGAAAGCAGCCTCGAATTCTGGAGATCATACCTTAAAGGCAGCGAGATTTGCTCTTTCCCTGCTCTCGATGATGGAGAGACGATGGACAAGCGTTTGGTATCAATTCGCATGGATATGGACAATCTCAGTATGCCAGATCTCCAAGGCTTTTGCAACTCGAATGGCATCACACTTTCCAACATTTTTCACACGGCATGGGCTCTTACTCTCAGCTGCTATGTTGGAAGCAAGGACGTAAACTTCGGCTACCTCACGTCCGCCCGTGACGCAGAAGACATTCATCGTGTTGGTGACATTGTGGGCCCCATGATCAACACGCTCGTCTGCCGCGTCAACTTTACCGATGGCTCTCAGACCCTACTTGATGTCCTTCAGGATGTTCAAAGAGATTACATGGAAGCGCTACCTCACCGGCACATTGCATTGGCTGATGTTCAGCATGCTTTGAATCTCGCAGGCGCAAACCTGTTCAATACAGCCCTTTCATACCGTCGTTTGCCTCCAGATACCGCTGCAGAGGCTACAGGTGTAGAGGTGATCGAGATCGAGCCAATCTACGACCCTACAGAGTACCCAGTCAGCATTAATATCGAAATCGGCGACACCAGCGCAGCTGTCGATCTGGATTATTGGTCCGACTTTTTATCCGCTGGCCAAGCAGCCAATGTTGCGAGCACTTTTGTGCGCGCACTGGAGAACATTGTATACCAGGCCAGGCGCCGCATTTCCTCTCTCGATTTCCTTAGTGGTCAGCAATGGCTGCAGATCCAGGCGTGGAACGCCATGCCTCCAACATTGAACGACTGCGTACACAACAAAATTGCGTTGTGGGTTGCATCGCAGCCAGACGCGCCCGCCATCCGCGCTTTCGATGGCGACTATACCTACGCTGAACTCGACGCCGTGAGCAATCGTCTGGCGCATTGCCTTGTGAGCCTTGGCGTCGGACCAGAGAATTTTGTGCCGACGTGCTTCGACAAGAGTAAATTTGCCATCATTGCTATGCTCTCTGTTCTCAAGGCAGGAGGCGCAGCAGTGCCGCTGGATGCTAAGCATCCCAGATCGGCGCTCCAGACGCGGTTGGAGGATGCGTCTGCCACCATAGTGCTCACTACGGCTTCTCGCTTAGAGAAGCTCGAAGGGTTGTCTCCCAATGTCATGGTGATCGATGATGCTTTCTTGGATCAGCTTCCTGTGCCTACTGGACCAGCTTGCACCAGTGTGCAACCACATAATCCCTGCTTTGTCATCTTCACCAGCGGGAGCACTGGGCGCCCAAAAGGAGTGGTGCTTGAGCATGCTGCTATGGTGACCAGCGCAGAAGCTCATGGCTCGCGGCTGGGCCTTCGGCCGGGCTCGCGAGTGTTACAGTTTGCCAGCTATACGTTTGACAACTCATTGGAGGAGATGTTCACGTCACTTCAACGCGGAGCTTGCGTCTGCGTTCCCTCAGAAGAGCAGCGCTTCAACGACATTTCGGGCGCAATCACTGAATTGGATGCTAACTTTATGGATCTCACGCCTACTGTAGCAGCATTACTGGATCCCAAAGACGTGCCGACAATCAAAGATCTGGCACTTGGGGCTGAGCCTCTTACGAAAGCCCTCATCGAGACCTGGCGGCCGCATGTTCGGGTATACGGGCAATATGGCCCCAGTGAAGCTTCCATCAACTCCGCATTTCGGGATTTCACAAATGGTGGTGAAGCGACCAATATTGGCCGAGCTGTCGGAAGCATCTCGTGGATAACCGACCCTGAGAACCGCGACCGCCTTATGCCGATCGGCTGCAAAGGAGAACTGCTCATTGAAGGTCCCATTCTTAGTCGAGGATATCTCAATGACCCGGAGAAGACTGCTTTGGCTTTCATTCAAGACCCTGAGTGGGCTCGTACCACCGGCAGAACGGGTCGGCGATTTTACTGCACAGGCGATTTGGTCCAGTACACCTCTGAAGGCGAGATGGTCTACATGGGCAGGAAGGACAACCAAGTGAAGCTCAACGGACAGCGTATTGAGCTCGGTGAGATTGAGCATCACCTCAAGCTTAATCTTCCAGCGGGTGCCAAGTCAGCTGTGGAGCTTGTAAAGTTCACCGAAAGCAAATCCCTGGTCGGGTTCATTTGTCTGGATGCTGAGTCGTTGGCAACTCCCGCCATTGCAGAGATGACAGACTCTGTGCGCGTTATTGCTAAGCGGGTCGAGGTTGCTCTTGGCGAAGCACTCCCATCATACTACGTTCCCGCTATGTTCATGCCTGTGGCGAGTATGCCGATGACTACATCTGGGAAGCTCGACCGTAAAGTGTTGCGACAATTGGCAGCAGAAGTCTCTGATTCACAAATGGCCGCCTTCCGACTAGCTGGTAACAGTGGTCGGGAGCCCTCTGGACACGTCGAAGTAACGCTGGCTTACCTATGGGCTGAAGTCCTTAAGCTGAGTGCCGGCACTGTTGGAGCAGAAGATTCTTTCTTTCGACTTGGTGGCGACTCCATCAGCGCCATGCGTCTCGTCTCTGCAAGTAGGAGGGAAGGCGTGGTGCTCAACGTCGCAAATGTTTTTGCTCACCCGAAGCTTGAAGAGATGGCTGCAACAGTCTCGGTCCTCTCTTCAGAAGAACGTACGAGCCAGGCCAACGTGACAGTCGTTCCGTTCGAGCTCATTCCTCAGAGTGACAAACGCCGCATCATAGACTTTGCTGCTATCGAATGTGGCGTCTCTTCTGACGCTATCGAGGACATGTACCCTTGTAGTCGCTTGCAAGAGGGACTCATCTCCTTGTCCACTCGAGATCCAGGGTCCTACGTAGCGCAGCCAACATACCGGCTGCCGACAACGATTGATGTACCGCGGTTCAAAGAGGCTTGGAACAAAGTCATCGCCAATGAAGCAATACTCCGTACACGTATCATCCATAACGACCAGTTCGGCTTCCTTCAGGTCGTAGTTAAGGACCAACCACAATGGCAATCATTGACGAGCCTAGAGGACATTGAAGAAGCTCACCGACAACTACCAGCCATTCCGGGTGGTCCTTTGATCAGCTACACTATTGTCGGCGAAGCCACCAATTCCACATTCTTTATCTGGACTGCGCATCATGCTGTCTACGATGGCTGGAGTTGGTCGACTCTTTTCAATCAAGTCGAATCTTGCTACAGAGACATGAAGCCAGACCTGCCGCCATCCGTGCCATTCTCCCACTTCATCAAGTACCTTTCGACACTCAAGAAGGAAGACTCGGATGCATTCTGGCTGGCGCATCTGGAGGGCATAACTGCTCCACAGTTCCCACAACTTCCTGCCCCGGATTACAAGGTACAGGCAACAAGCCAACTTGTTTACGACATACATTTGCCACACCGCTCGGACACAGAGGTTACGGTGCCGTCAGTCATACGGGCAGCATGGGGCCTTTTGCTCGCTACCTACTCCGGATCAGACGATGTACTCTGGGGTGAAACGAACAGCGGGCGAGAAGCATCTGTTGTTGATATCGAAAGCATCATTGGACCTACTCTCACTACAGCACCCGTGCGCCTCAGACTGAACCGCGCACTATCAGTCCGCGATTACCTTCAAGAGACACAACGCCAGGCCTCTGCAACCCTACCTTATCAATTTGCCGGATTGCAACACATCCGAAAACTGAATTCCGAGACTGCCGTAGCTTGCGACTTCCAAAGCTTCCTGGGCATTGTTGCAGGCGACAATTTACAGGATGTCGAAAGCGATCTGTGGAACATGCAGAGTACTGGAACGCCTGGCACGAACTTTTTCAGCTATGCTCTCGTCTTCAACTGTACTGTCGAGGGGGATAGAATCAACGTGGAAGTACTCTATGACAGCAATATCACAGAAACATGGTTCATCGAGCGTTTGACTAAGCAGTTCGATTTTATCATCAAATGTTTCAGCTCTGCCGACTATCTCAGCCAGAAGTTGGACGATATCGTGCTTGTGAACCCCGCAGATATGGAGACGATCAAGAACTGGAACAGTACGTCTGTACCCACCATCAGCCGTTGCATCCATGATGTTATTTCGGAACATTATGCAACGTCACACTCGACTGCTATTGCCTTGGATGCCTGGGACACAGGGGCGATGACCTATGGCGAACTTGAAGAAAGGGCAAATCGACTAGCCTCTCGCTTGATATCACTTGGTGTTCAACCCGGATCTTTCGTGCCACTATGTTTCGACAAGTCGGGCTGGACGATCGTAGCAATCCTTGCCGTGCTGAAAGCTGGGGCCGCGTTCGTTCCCCTCGACTTTGAAGCGCCTATCTTGCGACTGCGCGAGCTTGTCAAGGATGTCAAAGCACAGTGGATACTATGCGCGCCCAACTTCGAGCAGATGTGCACATCTATGGGCTGCAATGCGATTGCCATCGATCGCGATGGAACCGAACCGGATCGGCACCGAACTGAGGTTCTGCCGCAGGTGCGAAGCGACAGCGCGGCGTATGCCTTCTTCACGTCTGGCACGACTGGAAAACCTAAAGGTGCCGTCATCAATCACTCAAACTGGGTTTCCAGCTCCACGGCGTTCGCGCCCATGTGGGGCATCTCCGAATCCTCGCGCGTCCTGCAGTTCGCATCGTATGTCTTCGATGCTTGCCTGATAGAAATATTCAGTACGCTCATGCAGGGTGGCACTGTCTGTATACCAGATCAGGATTCGCGGACTAATGATCTTGTTGGTGTCATCAACAAGTTTAATGTAAATTGGGCCGCCCTGACGCCATCCCTTGTACGCACCATTCAGCCTTCCCAGGTACCCAACCTAGAGGTGCTTGTGCTTGTAGGCGAGGTAATGTCTCAACAAGATCTGCTTACTTGGACTGACCGTGTTACCTTGGGTAATGGATATGGTCCTACAGAGTGCAGCTGTGTTTCCACGTTCAACATTATGACGCTTCGAACAAAGCCGAACAACTTGGGCAAAGCCGTCACATCGCGAGGCTGGGTTGTGCTACCTAAAAATCACCACGCACTCGCACCTGTGGGCGCTGTCGGTGAACTGCTACTTGAGGGTCCGGCAGTCGGTGCAGGGTACCTGAACGATCCAGCGAAGAGCGCAGAAGCATTCGTGCGAGATATCAAATGGGCGTCTGATACTTCGGAGTTCATGTCCTCCAAGTTTTACAAAACTGGTGACTTGGTGAAGTATACCGAGGACGGAACTATGCTCTACCTTGGACGCAAAGACTCTCAGACCAAAGTGCGTGGACAACGGCTCGAACTCTCTGAAGTCGAACATCACCTCATGGAAGATGGCGCAGTTCAAAATGCACTCGCTGCCGTTCCAACTTCTGGGCCATGTGCAAAAAGGCTTGTTGGCGTGGTTTCCATTAGAGATCCCTCTCTTTCGGGCGCGCCGGCCGCAATACTCGAATTGCTTCCGACGGAAATGGCCTCTTTGAACATCAGCATCATTCGAGATCGTTTGTGTGAGAGGCTGCCTTCGTACATGATCCCTTCGCTGTGGCTAGCCATTTCTCAATTTCCGTTAACTCCAGGAGGTAAGATGGACCGCCGTCGTGTAGTGCAGTGGTTGGAGGAGATGAACGCCGACACCTACCGCACGATCTCATCATTAGGCCTAGAAGAGGCCAACGATGATGCGAATAGTACTGAACGCGCGCTCCAAGGCATCTTTGCAAAGGTTTTGAGCCTTCCGGTCGAAGACATCCGCCTCAATCAGTCCTTCCTGCATCTTGGTGGCGATTCAATCGCTGCTATGCAGGTCTCATCGCAATGTCGCTCCCAAGGTCTTGCCGTGTCCGTACAGGATCTCATCCGCGCAAAGTCAATTACCGTACTTGCTGCGTCGGTCGCGCCAGTGGAAAAGAACGATTCGAATATAGGTGCAGCGCAAGACTACAGTCTTCCTTTTGAGCTCTCGCCCATCCAGCAGTTGTTTTTCCGTACTGTTGGCGACGAGTACAACCATTTCAATCAAGCTGAGCTCTTTCGGTTGTCGCGAAACTTTGACGTGGAGGAAATACGAGCAGCGTGCGATGCGCTGGTCGACACTCACCCAATGTTACGAGCGCGCTTCGTTCGTAACGAGAAAAATATCTGGAACCAAAAAGTATCAGCGGATAAGAACTCATTGAGACTGCGCCAACATCGCGTCGCAACGTCGGACAACAGCGATTTGCAACCAGTCATCAACGACAGCCAAGGAACGCTCGATATTACAAACGGACCGGTTTTTGCAGTTGATGTATTTGAAATTGATGACACGTTCTCACAGGCTATTGCGATGGTATCACATCATTTGGTCATCGATGTGGTCTCATGGGGCATCATCCTCGAGGATTTTCAGGGACTACTTAGCGGCATCAGGCCACCACCGCAGAGCCTCCCGTTCCATTCCTGGTTACAACAACAAGCGTCACAAGCAAAGCAGACTTCGACCAGTAAAGTTTTCCCATTGAAGGCCATCGCGACAGCCGACCAGAGTTATTGGGGCATGGAAGATCGGGACAACCTCAGCGGAGAGGTCATCGAACAGGACATTGCTCTCACCACTCGAGACACTATGCTCTTACTTGGTGCTCAAGATGCGTTAGGCACCGATACCTTGGATATCCTTGTCGCGGCTCTCCTTGAATCGTTCCGAAAGACCTTCCCTGATAGGTCGACTGTCACAATCCACAATGAGGGTCACGGACGAGAGCCGTTCGATTCTAAGCAAGACCTGACTCGTACGGTTGGGTGGTTCTCCACCATTTCGCCAATACCTCTGCCCGTATCTTTGGAAGACTCAACAGACCTTGTGAGTACGATTCGCTGGGTAAAGGATGTGAGGGAAAGAACGCCCGACAAAGGTCGACCCTACTTCGCGCATAGCCAGCTCACGGAGACTGGGCTGACCTCTTTCGCCAGTCATTGGCCGGCTGAGGTGCTCTTCAACTACCATGGGCGGGTTCAACACCTAGACCGAAACGATGCGCTGCTTCAACCCCTTGAAGGTGTTGATACCAAGGAGGTTGGCGATTGTGTTCCCCGCATGGCACTATTCGACATCACTGCAGCTATATCGCAGGGTGCTATTAAAATGTCCTTTGGCTTTAACCGTCACATGAAACGCCAGAACGAGATCCGAGCATGGATTGCAGAGTGCCGGCAAACCCTCGTTGATGCTGTCGATCAGCTCCTGCAGGTGCGACCAGAGCGTAGTCTTGGCGACTTCAAGCTTCTTCCACTCACCTACAACGGAATGTCACGATTATCATCGGTGCTCCCGGCTGGCACTACCATTTCCGACATCGAAGACATTTACCCCACCTCTCCAATGCAACAGGGCTTGCTGCTTACGCAAATGCGCGACCCTGAGCTGTATCTATATCACGCCATTACTGAGGTGCAATGCGCCAATACTCAACAAAACGTGGACCCACGAAAAATTGCCGAGGCGTGGCAGGTGGTTGTTCATCGGCATCCAATCTTGCGCACGATTTTCATCGACAGTCTCGCCAAGGATGGCTCAAAGAACCAGATTGTCATGAAGACCAAGCCCGGGAGAGTCCAGTTCATTACAGACTGTTCGGATGATGAAGTTGCCAGAACCTTGCGCGAGATACCGGGCATCGATTGTCGCGAGTCTCTGCCACCTCACCGCATGACCATCTGCAAAACGAAGACAGGAAGAGTGTGGTTTAGGCTTGAGCTGAGCCATGCCATCAACGACGGCACTTCCATCACGAACATTCTCAGCGATATGTCGCAGGCTTACGAGAGGAAATTGACTCGTGCTGATGTTGGTCCATCGTACCGCGACTTTATTGCACACATTCTCTCTTCCAGCCAGGAAGCCGATATCGCGTATTGGAAAAACTACCTTTCTGGGATTGAGCCATGCTTCTTCCCAAATCTGAATGACGGTAAAACGGGTGCACACGAGCACAGCTCTGTGGAGGTTAGCATCACTGATGTGACTGCCGTTCAAAACTTTTGCAAGAAGAATGGTGTCACATTGTCCAACGCTCTGCAAGTTGCGTGGGCTTTGGTGTTGCACTGCTTTGTCGGCGCATCCGATGTTTCATTCGGCGTGGTAGCGTCCGGACGCGATGTTCCCGTGAAGAACATAGAAGAGGCTGTGGGCGTTTTCGTCAACATGCTCATCGCTCGTCTCACCTTTTCAGACGAAACGACGATCAGCCAGCTCCTAGAGACCATCCAAACTGATTCTGTCAACGCCCTGGCCCATCAAGCATGCTCTCTGGCCGACGTGCAGAATGAACTACAGCTTCCTGCGCTCTTTAACTCTGCTTTCACTTTCCAGCGACGCTCGCTTTCGCGTGATCCAGAGCAGACCGCACTTATATATGAGAACATGGAGTCTGAGGACAACGGTGAATATGCCATCACCATCAATGCCGATGCATCCGAAGATGAGATCTCCGTTGACTTTGGCTATTGGAAAGACAAGGTCTGCACAACTCAAGCGCAAAACATAGCAGACACATTCGAAAGGATTCTTCTTGGTATTGTCTCAAGCGATGCCCGTGAGCTCACTGTCGGTAAAATTGAGGTGTTCACATCCAGCAGCATGCAGCAAGTCATGGAGTGGAACATCAACCCACACCCACCTATCGTCAAATGTGTCCATGAGGTCATCCATGAGCAAGCTTTGACACGACCACGGACAGCAAAAGCGATAGATGGCCATGACGGTAACTTCACCTACCAAGAGTTCGACAAAGTCACAGATCAGCTTGCCTTCCATCTCCAGAGCATCGGAGTGACAACCGAGACTTTTGTTCCGATTCTGTTCGAGAAGTCGTCCTGGGCTATTGTCAGCATGATAGCCATCATGAAGGCAGGTGGTGCCTACGTGCCTCTCGACCCGAAGCATCCCGAGACACGACTGCGGGAACTAATCAGCGACGTGGGCGCAAAGGTAGTGCTATGCTCGCGCGCACATCATGGTAGGGCAACGGAGGTTGCAGAGAAGCCCGTCCTGGTTGACGCGCAAGCGTTCAGAAAGCTGCGTCTACCATCGACAGCGAAACCAAAGTCGAATGCGACGCCGAACAACGCTGCATACTGCCTCTTCACTTCCGGCACTACCGGCAAGCCGAAGGGTACCATCATCCCTCACGGAGCATTCTGCACAAGTGCAGCTGCATTCACACGTCGCATGAATATCAACGCAACTTCTCGAACCTTCCAATTCGCTAGCTACACATTTGATGCTAGCTGCATCGAGATTTTGTCTGCACTCACAGTCGGTGCTACCGTATGTGTGCCAAGCGAAGAAGAACGCATGAATAACCCTGCTGGGGCCATTCGCAGGCTCAAGGCGACGTGGTCCCTGCTCACACCATCCGTGCTCGGAACCATCGAACCTGATCGCGTCCCTTGCCTCAAAACTCTGGTTGCGGGTGGAGAAGCTTTACCGGGTCCAATCATCAAGAAATGGGGCACGAGTACTTGCTTCATCAACGCATATGGACCTACCGAATGCGCAGTCGTCGCTGCAACTTGCTACAAATCGACGCTCGATCACAAACTTCTCGAAACGGAGCCTGGGACAATTGGCACTGGATCCGGGGCTCGGTTATGGGTTGTGCATCCTCGCAATCATGATAAACTCATGCCCGTTGGAAGTGTTGGCGAACTTGTCATTGAAGGACCGACAGTTGCGAGAGGCTATCTCAACGACGAGGTCAAGACGGCCAAGGCATTCATTGAAAACCCCGCATGGGTATCTGCCATTGCTGCAAAACACCCTGGCTTCACTGGTTCACGCATGTACAAGTCTGGTGATCTCGTGCGCTACAACTCGGACGGATCGATCAGCTACATCGGACGCAAAGATACACAGATCAAGCTCAATGGCCAGCGGATTGAGCTTGGAGAAATTGAGTTCCATGTCGGCAAGAACTTTCCCGAGCATGTCCAATCTGCCGTGGAGCTGGTCGCGCCCTCTGGTCGATCTGCGAAAGCACTTGCCGTGTTCTTTGCTCTCGTTCATGATGAGTTCGATGAGCCTCTAGAGACAATACAACCCGCCTCGACTGATCTGCCCGCTTCTGATGAGCTTCTATTACCCATGAGCGATGATTTGCGCGACATGTGCAAATCGACAGAGAATGGACTCGGTGGTGCTCTTCCATCGTACATGATACCCGCAATCTTCATCCCAATTAGGAAGATGCCATGGACTTCTGCAGGGAAGCTCGATCGCAACCGCTTACGAAATCTGGTGCATAATCTCAGCAGAGAGGCTATGACGCCTTACCGACTCACGAGTATGATGAACAAGAGACAGCCCATCACTGCAGTCGAGAAGAAGCTACACAGGGTTGTATGCTCGGTCCTGAGCTTGCCATCATCCGCTGTCGGCATCGACGATAGCTTCATTCGTCTTGGTGGCAACTCGATTCTAGCAATGCGACTCGTTGCAGCTGCACAATCCGAACACATGGATCTCTCAGTCGTAGATATATTCCTGCAGCCGAAGCTGTCTGACCTCGCTGCAAAGTGTGGATCTGTCGACACAGCCAAGGCTCCAGAGAAGGCAATCGAGCCTTTCGATTTGCTCCAGTCTACCGCTCCTCGAGCCCAGATCATCGAAGAGATTTCTCAGCAATGCCACGTGCCTGCAGCGCATGTTCAGGACGTTTTGCCAGTGAGCCCCTTGCAAGAAGCGCTGCTCACGCTTTCAATCAAACAGCAAGGCGCATATGTCGCGCAGCATGTGCTAGAGCTTGCAAGTTCAATCGAAATCAGCAAGCTCAAAGAAGCGTGGCAGAAAGCAGTGCAAGAGGTGCCAATTCTTCGAACGCGCATTGCCCAGTTGCAGTCTGGTCAATTTCTACAAGCCGTTCTAGCCAATGCTCCCATTCCATGGCGCGAGAGCACCTCGCTTGATGATGTTGAGCAAGACGCAAAACGAGTCCCCGAGTACATTGGCGCGCAATTGACCGCATACACCATCGTGAGCACAAAAGATAAGAAATACCTCGTATGGACCATTCATCACTCACTCTACGACGGCTGGAGCATTGCGTTGCTGCTTCAACGTGTTCAGCAAATCTACCAGACCGGTCAATCAGACGCTGCGCACACAGCTTACGCCAATTTCATCAAATACCTCTCGAATGTTGATGTTGAAGCATCAAGATCATTCTGGAGGCGTAATTTGGCTGGTGTCGCATCTTACCAGTATCCACAACAAAACCATTCTGCACTTGACGAGTCGCCAACTGGTAACACATTGCGCCACACCATGAAACTTGCACCGCCAAAACAGAGTGACGTCACCCCATCGAATGCGATTCGGGCAGCATGGGCTTTACTACTGGCAGCCTACACTGGGAGTGATGACGTGGTTTTCGGAGAGACGCTCACTGGCAGAGATGTCGCAGTCACTGGCATCACCGAGATTTGCGGCCCGACTCTGACTACTGTCCCCACGAGAGTGCAGATTCATCGCTCTTCAAGCATCTCGGATCTGCTGAAGGCCATTTCGGCCAACGTCGCTGAGCGTATCCCTCATCAGCACTTCGGGCTCTCCGAGATCAAGAGGCTTGGCGATGGCATAGCAGCTGCATGCAATTTCCACAACCTGCTCGTAGTCCAGACTGAGGGCGAGAATGTTGCCGAATCGATGTGGTCCGTCCATGATGGCGGCTCGCAGGGTGCCTTTTTCACCTATCCGCTGGTGATCGAGTGTACTATGGGTGCTTCGAACGTTGAATTTTTGGCGCATTACCACGAGAACGTTATCTCAACGTTTGAGGTTCAGCGATTGTTGTATGGCTTTGAATCTGTCCTTACCCAACTTGGCTCGGTCAGTAAAGTCCAGGATATTCGTATGCTGAGCGACCAAGACCTCCAATTGCTGCGCACCTGGAATGCCAATGAACCAGTCATCATCCATGAGACAATAACGTCTCTGTTCGCCAAGCAAGTTGAGAGACAGCCCAATGCCATCGCCGTCTCTGCTTTTGATGGCGATTTCACATATGTTGAACTCCACGACCTCGCCTCTCGCCTTGCGCAAGAGCTCATCAGTCTCGGGGCTGTACGAGAACAACTCATACCCACATGTCTCGACAAGTCTCGATGGGCAGTGGTCGGAATCATGGCCATCCTCATTTCCGGGGCTGGCTATGTACCTTTGTCTGCATCGCATCCTGCTTCTCGACAACTGCAGATCATGACAGATTGCAATGCCTCAATCGTGGTCTGCTCTCCGCAATACCAGATACGATTCGCTGGAGCAGTTCCAAAGGTGGTTGGCGTCAGCGAGGAATCGGTACTCAATCTTCCCACACCACAGCGCAACATATCTTCGCGCGCAAAGGGCTCCGACCCCTGCTATGTGATCTACACTTCCGGCAGCACAGGTACACCAAAGGGCGTGGTGATAGAGCATCGAGCAATTGTCTCGAGCTCTGCTGCTATCTGTAAGGGCCTCCATATGACCCCAACTTCGAGGGTGTTCCAATTCTGCTCGTTCCTGTTTGATGTATCTATTGGGGAAATACTTACGCCTCTCACGTGCGGTGCGACGATCTGCATGCCATCTGAGCAGCAGCGTACTACGGATGTTGCAGCTGCGATCACGTCCCTGAAGGCTGACTGGGCCTTCTTGACACCATCCGTGGCCTGTCTGATTGATGGGCCGCACGCAGTACCTACCTTGAAGACATTGGTCGCCGGTGGCGAGGCCATGACTCCTGAAGTCATCGACAAGTTTGCGGCTGGCTTAAAGCTATACAACGGCTACGGACCTACAGAGGCTACTGTCTTCTCGATTACGAACGACCGGGTCTCAGTTCAACGAGATGCAACGAATATTGGCCATGTAACTACGAGTGGAAGGAGTTGGCTTACCAATCCGACAAACCCTCATCAACTCGCGCCTCTGGGTGCTGTTGCTGAGCTGTGTCTCGAAGGCCCGTTCCTTGCCAAGGGCTATCTGAACAACCCTGAAAAGACAGCCGCTTCCTTCATAGAGAACCCAGGATTCATGGAACAGTTTAGCAAAGCAAGTGCGACACGTATCTACTGCACCGGCGATCTTGTTCGATATGCTCCCGACGGGTCAATTACCTACCTTGGCCGCAAAGACAACCAGGTCAAGCTCGCAGGTCAGCGTATTGAGCTTGGTGAAATCGAACACCATCTCCAAACCGATTCAAATGTCCGGCATGTTGTGGTTCATCTGCCCAAATCTGGACCAGGCAAGGGCAGGCTCGTTGCTACAGTCGCGTTTGCAACGGAGTCTGCTACGGTGAACATCGATGATCAGCAGTGGCGAAGCCTTTCAAGCAACCCTGAGATACCCTCGAAGATTAACGGAGCAAGGGAGAGACTCTCTGATCTAATTCCTTCATACATGTTACCCGTCGTATGGATTGCTGTACCCCGCATACCATTGTTGGCGTCAGCGAAGGTCGACAGAGAACAGGTCGGCGCGTGGCTTGAGACATTGGACGACGCCGCCTTCCAGGAAATCCTCGATATCGAGAGGAGCGGTCACGACAAAACGGCCGTACCAGATTCCGACACTGCTACCTTGGTGCAAAAGATATGCGCTGGGGTATTGGACGAGCGTGTCGAGGATGTTAATATGAGTCGCTCGTGGCTATCACTGGGTGGCGACTCGATCACGGCGATGCAGCTACTTGCCAAATGTAGAGCTGAAGGCATACACCTCACACTCAATCAAGTTCTGCGCGCCAAGTCCATCGCGCATCTTGCGCGCAGTATCGAGCCATCACTCACCCTCGACTACGGAAACGAGCAGACCGATAAGTTGTTCAAACTCTCCCCTGTCCAACAGCTTTACTTCAAAACGAAGGGCAATGAGAGCGGCTCCCACTTCAACCAATCTTTCACGGCCCAGCTGTCACGCGCAATAGCGACAGAAACCTTGAAGCGCGCTTTTGACGCCATTTTGAAGTGCCATTCAATGCTGCGTGCGCGCTTCGTCCGAGGTGATGATGGTGCGTGGCAGCAGCTTGTGCTTGGAAATATACCAGAATCTTACACTTTCTCTGTCCACAACGTCGCTGCTGCTTCTGATGCAGCGGAGATCATTTCGACAACCCAAAAGAGTCTCGATATCCAGCAAGGCCCGGTATTTGCTGTAGATATTTGCAACACTCAGTCGGGCGGGCAGGTTGTTTCCATTGCTGCGCATCATCTCGTCGTTGATGTGGTCAGCTGGAAAGTCATTCTTGGCGATCTGGAAGAAATCATCAACTCCGGATCTGGCCATGCTTTGCAGAAGGGGCTTCCTTTCCAGATGTGGTGCGAAAAGCAGGCCACACACGCGCGCAAATCTTCAACACAAGAGGCTGTGCGGAAAAATACTCCAGCAATAGAGCCCACTGATCTTCCGTTCTGGGGCATGGACAAACGAGCAAACGTGTATGGCGACGTAGAACGCGACGATTTCACAATCGATGCGGACACCACAGCTCTGGCACTCAACCCCAACGGGGTGCTTAGGACCGATGTTGTCGACATCCTACTCGCGGCCACAGTCCATTCCTTTACACGCGTTTTTGTCAATCGCAAAGCACCCACCATCTTTAACGAGTCACACGGCCGGGAACCATGGGAAGGAAGCAATATAGACCTTTCTCGGACAGTCGGATGGTTCACATCCCTTTACCCAATCACTGTACCTATTGCGGAAGATGAGGACGAGGTGGTACATACTCTACGCCAAGTCAAGGATCTCCGGAGACGCATTGTGGACAATGGCCGACCCTACTTTGCGCATCGTTTCCTTGCCGATGACGGGCCGCAACCCTCATCCGAAGCACCAATGGAAGTCCTTTTCAACTATCTTGGCAAGAGCCAACAAACAGAGTCAGGCGACTCGCTTTTCAAGCCTGTAGTCTTTGATGAAGATGAAGACGAGGAGACATCTGACGTTGGCATGAAGACAGCCCGTCTGGCGCTCTTCGAGATATCCGCATCTGTTGTCGACGGACAGATTCAGATGAGCTTCATGTACAACCGATGGATGAAGAATCGAAAAGGCATCCGACGATGGATTGCGGAATGTCAGCGAACACTTCAAGAGATAGTCAGCACACTTGCCGAGATGAAGACGCCTCAACCCACGATGGCTGATTTCCCACTACTCCCGTTGGAGTCGTACGAGCGTCTCGATCGTGTCATGAGAACACTGCCAGCAACTGGCGTCGCCACTTTCGAACAAGTTGAAGACATATATCCCTGCTCTGCTATACAAGAGGGTATGGTTCTAAGCCAGATTAAGGACCCCGAATCATACTGGTCCTTCACGACCTTAGAAGCCAAGTCGAAGAGTCGCGCCATCGAGACGAACAAGTTGGCCAATGCGTGGCAGAAAGTGGTGAACCGCCACCAAGCACTCCGAACGGTCATTGTGGATAGTGTCTGTAAGGGTGGAGTTTTCGATCAGATCGTAATCAAAAAGCCAGACACAGGCCTGGTCTCATACACTTGCTCCGACGCAGAGCTGACAGCCAAGCTTGCATCAATTCAGTATGCTGACCTGAACGGCAAGAGAAAGCCAAATCTTCCACACCAAGCTGCCATCGTGCAGACTACCTCCGGGAAGGTCGTCGTGAAGATCATCGTCAACCACGCTGTGATCGATGGAGGCTCGTTGGCGATTCTCGGGCGCGACCTCGAAGATGCTTACGAAGACACGCTTTCCGAAGACGAAGGCCCGCTCTACAGTGGCTATATTAGATACCTCCGTGGTCTCGACTCCAAAGTCGCTATTGGGTACTGGAAGAATCAGCTCACTGGTGCCCAGCCCTGCTACTTCCCACCCATGCCCCAGCAGATTGGCAAGCAGCGCCAGCTTCATTCAGTGGACATGAGATTCCATAGGTTTGCCGACCTTCATGCCTTTGCTGAGACTAGCAACGTCAGTCTAGCCAACATTCTGCTCGCAGCCTGGGCGTTCGTACTTCGATCATACACAGGATCGTCAGATGTATGCTACGGATACCTCACGTCTGGCCGGAATGTGCCCGTAGATGACGTTGAGAACGCAGTTGGTGCCTTCATCAACATGCTGGTGTCGCGCATCAAAATCGTGCATTCTGCTTCACTTGTCGATGTCATCCAGAAAGTTCAAAACGACTTCATCGAGTCTGTCCCACATCAGCACTGCTCTTTGGCTCAATTCCAGCATGATCTGGGTTTGGGCGGCAAGGCTTTGTTCAACACTGCTGTTTCTATCCAAAACAGTGGCGCATCTCAAGGTACTGTCAAGCCTGACGCCGACCTCGAATTGGAGCAGATTGCTGGTCACGATGCTAGTGAATACGTCATAACTCTCAATATGGATGTGACCCGTGGCGACGAAGCAGTGCGGTTCACTTACTGGACTGATGCTGTCTCGGATGGTGAAGCGAAGAATGTTTGCTCCCTCATGGCGAAGATCTTGACTCAAGTCCTTGGCAATCCAAAACAAACGGTGGCCAATCTCGATGTCGCTGTTTCGGAAGTATCGACACCTGCTAGCAGGTCGCCTTTGCCAAGTTCGCCATCTTTGTCGCCGACGGCAACATTTCCGCCAAGAATGAGACCGAGAACTCTGTCATCCAGATCATCTTCTTCGTTACAGATACCTCGAATCGGCGCGACTCGTGTTGCATCGCCGACGCCAGCCGACACTCCAGACTGGAACAATCTCATCCGTTCAATCGTTGCGGAGATGGTGCCGCAAATTGTGGACCAAGTCATGGCAAAGAATAAGGCGGTTACCGAGCCAGCGGCGGCAACTATCACAGAGATGACGAACCAAATGACTGGGCTCATAGCAAGAAGAGCGTCCATTTCTCATCGCGGAACGACCCGAACATGGACAATGCCATCCCATACATTCCACGAGGACGTCGCATGAGTGGCGCGGAGCAATGCCCGAGAGCAGGATACAGTCTGGCGCCTGAACATGGTGGCTGCTGCGAGCGTCTTGGCTACTGAAGCATTGCAGTCACCAGAACTTTGTGGAGAAAGAAAGTTGTTGGGATTGTGGAGCGAGTTGTGGGACCATGGTGGAGGATACTATTGACAAGGACGACAGCTTTTTCGTGAGTAGAGTTCGGGCCTCAGCTGTAATTTGTCATACTGACTGCGGACAGAATGTTGGGAGGTGACAGTATCATCGCGATGCGACTCGTCGGAGACGACTAGAGAAGAGGGTCTTTCAATGACCGTAGCCGACGTGTTCAAGAACCCGACATTCGCCAGATATGACAAGAGTAAGTATTGTGCGTTGGAGTTTGTAGCGTAGACTAACGTGTTCAGGTTGTCCGTGTTGCGGGCGAAGTGATTGACGAGGTCATGTCCAGAGCTGGAGGTTCAGCTTACAACGACAAGGGAGGCCCTTCAGATCCAACACAGCGAGTTCCTACACGTGCCGCGGCTCTTTGGGACGATTTCCAGTCGGTGATCTCCGAGTACAAGGGCAATGAAGGCAGCGTCAGAGCCGTAACGCCAATGGAAGATCCTGAACAGACACGCAAAGACGCCTTCATCAAGTGGCAAGGCCTCAACAGTTCACCCTCGCCCCCACGGAGACCGCAAGCATTCCGGAGAAACAGTTCGAGGTCTTTCGTACATCCGCAAACCATCCAAGAGGGAGTCGAGACTTTTGTGCCAAAGTCTGTCTCGCTGCTTGGAGATCCAAATGTCGACAGCGTCATCGTCGAAGGTTCAGGTGTTCAAGGGAGGCATCTCCGATGTCTTCCCAGTGACTGACTTCCAAAGTCTCGCCATCACGGGCAGCCTATTGGAGTCCAAGTGGATGCTCAACTACTTCTTCATGGAGGGAGATGGACCACTCGACCTACGAAAGCTCAAGCAGGCCGCATATCGCATCTGCCAAGCGTTCGATATCCTGCGCACGGTGTTTGTGCCATATGGCGATCGCTTCCTTCAGGTTGTACTGAGAAAGCTGCAGCCCGAGTTCATCTATCAACAAACGGACGATGATCTTGAGACATTTACCGCTGACCTTCGCCAGAGAGATCGCGAGCACGGACCGCGTCTTGGCGAGGCTTTTACACAATTTGTCGTTGTCAAGCAAAAGCAAACCTCGCGCTATCGCATCTTCATGCGACTTTCACATGCTCAATATGATGGTGTCTGCATCGGCAAGATCCTCGAAGGCCTGCAAGCAGGCTACAATGGACTTCCGGTCTCCTCCACACCAAGCTTCGGCAACTTCGTTAGAGAGTCCGCAAAGACGATTGCCGGTGCGCATGACCATTGGCGCGAGACGTTACGTGGCTCCAAAATGACCGAGATTGTGAACCGTTTTGGCCCCAACTACCAAAGATCGGCTGGAAGTACCATCACGCTCGAGCGCAAGTTGACCGCGCGCTCGCTGTCTCGCCTCAACATCACGATGGCTACTGTCGTCAAGGGCGCATGGGCAGCCACGCTTGCCCGTGTTGCTGGCAAGTCAGACATTGTCTTTGGACACGTCATCTCCGGTCGCAACAGTGGCGTGAAGAACATTGAGAACATCGTTGGGCCGTGCTTGAACACTGTTCCAGTTCGTGTCGTATATCGACCCGAATGGACCGTACGCGATCTCCTCAACTATATCCAAGATCAGCAGATTGCAAATATGCCATTCGAATCTCTAGGCTTCAGGGAGATCATTCGACACTGCACCGAATGGCCTGACTGGACCAACTTCTCGAGTGTGCTTCAGCACGACCAAGGCATCTCAGATGAGAAGCCGACGTTACAGTTGGGTGGCGTCGAATTTGCGCTTGGAGCTGCCGGTACCCAACAAGATTTCGCAGACTTTTCCATCAACACTACATCCCGCGGCGGCACTCAGCTTGACATCGCACTCACATACGCACCCAATAGCACCATCACCGCCGACTACGCAGAACACGTCTTCGAGATGCTTTGTGGCAATATTGTTACTTTCTCAATGGACCCAAATGCGATGCTCCCATCACCATCCGAGCTCTCGTCGCAAAGCTCAACGACTGTGAACTCGGATCCAGCGCGCAAGAAATCCGACCAAAAAGTCACACTCGCACTTCCCAGCGATACAAGCCTGTCGCGTCATGAAGTTAACACTCTCGCCACCACGCTGCGCGCAGCATGGCAGCAGATCCTACACAATGAGCACGGCACGCCGACTGACGTCGAACTCGATTCAGACTTTTTCCAACTCGGCGGCGACATCATGGGTCTCGCACAAGTTGCTGCCATTCTTGCTGAGGAAGGCTTCCGCGTCCGCGTCGAGGACTTGCTTGACAAGAGCGTATTCGTCGATCAAATTAGCGTGTTAGTGACGGAAAGAAAGCGGCAGGTGGAGAAGGAGGAACAGAGCGAGAAGAGTCCTTGGGGCGATAAAGGCAAGGCGAAGAAGACGACGGAGACGATCAAGGTGAAGAAGGAGAAGAGTGGGTTTGGTGCGTTGGCGAGGAAGATTGGGTTGAAGAAGAAGTAAAAAGTAATTCCCTGGGTTTTTGGTCATCACAAGAGAGTTTTCGTAAATTCGGCGATGGCGACAGGTCCTGGCGGGCGTTGGCTGGTACAAAGTACACGGGCGCTGCCACTGCATTTCGGTTTCGATGCGCTGGACGGATTTCGGAGTTGGGGTGGGAACTTCACGTAATTTCATTATGTTCATTAGAACTATTTTATATTGTATGTCTCGTATGTGGTTAAAAGCAAACGAAATTATCTGCTATGCTTCCGATGTCGTTCACCACTTATCGACCTCTTCCTTTTCCTGACCGAGTCTTGCATCTCCGCTCCTCGTCCAGATGCACGACTGCTATACTCCTGCACTTCCGGGCAAAATGGTTCTTCAGGAAATGCATATTCGGTACCACCACAGGTCGGGCACGCAAAGATTTCGGCCATCCATGCGAATATCTCAGACTGGCAGGTGATGCAGATCGTGAAATCTACTTTCGCGTCGTGGATTCCGTAGTAGGACATGATGTTTTGTTCTTGTTTGTTTGCGCGGTTGGATAGCCCTCCAGTAATGGCGGTACTGCGCAATGCTAGATACTATGCTGAACTGGAGTTTGTGACAGCGCGAATGTGATTCGCGAAGTGAAGGAAGGCCTCAACGGCTGCATGCTGTGATGCAGTGATAGTTATGCAATATTTGGTGCGAACTTATTTTTTAACTCAATTTCGAGGCTGAGGAATAGTCGCAGCATGTTCCACGCAGGTTTGGAAGCTTCACGGAAGGTCTAGTTGGAGCCATGACGCAGTGCAAAATATAACAGGCCCTTGGAGAACGTCTTCACGTCACATAGAACTTGTGTGTATGAATTGATTGTAGGTGGGCTTTATTATAGTAGACACTAACGTTGTACATGTAATTCTAACACCTGCTTCATCAAGTACCAATCCGAAAATTATCCCTACTCAGTCTACCCTCGCCGCGATCCGGGCGCACTACTATGCCTCTCGATAATCTCTGCAACACAAGATGCGACCTTCTTTCTCTCAGCCTCTGCGTCTGCTTGCTCATCATGGAAATCCAAGTACTGGTCCTCCGCCTGCACATTCTCATCCTTCCTCCCCCAAAAGTCCACGCATCTTTCGCAACCCTCGTGTTGGCAGGCGTAGCACCGCTCATGCGTATCTGGTAGAACGGGATTCCATTCACCAAGGCGAGCCCGAGTGTAGCATTGACAACAGCGGCGCATGGGGAATTTGTAGAACTGGTTGTGCGTTGCACGTTTTGTGGAGAAGCGACGGGGTAGCATTGTGATGAAGAAGTATGGATAGAGATTATGTAGCTATGAAGTAATGTATGGTTTTTTATTGCGAAACAGGTACAAGTCGTTGTCTAAGACATTTACACACATGTCGGTGGTTGACGTTGACGCACTCCGTCACTGCTGCTCTCCTGATCATGCGAATTGCCACGCAATTCGTTCTCCTCTTCTTCACTGGGATCTCCGTGCCCCTCCATGTCTTCCAAGTCCTCGTCCCTTCCTGGCCACAGAATCAGTTGCTGGGATATCGCACGCACGTTGGTGATTGCAACAAATATCCAGACCATGACCAAGATGATAGTTGCTGCACTGCAAATTCCCTTCATCGCAGGGCTTTGAAGGGCATTTGCTATGTAGATGAGCGCAATCACGAGGCCTGCGTTCGGGAAGATGAAGCCCCAATAGTTGAGCGTGAAGTGCAAGTCCTTGTATGAGTTGAGGACGCTGACGATTGAGAACGCAGAGAACCAAAAGGCTATGAGCCACATGAAGATGCCTGCAGCTGTACCGACCGCCTTGAAGATGTCGCCAACTGGCACGGATGTGATGCCGAGGAAGTCCGCCGGAATATGCTTCGGTGCATTCATAGCAAGCGCGACGAATGTGTTCGCAGTGTATGCCGCGGGCCCTACAGCAATGAACATGCCCGGCCGCTTGCTGGCTTCTGGTAGTTCGCTGTTGACGAGTCGCGTAACGTACAGCGTCAACATGATGAAAGCGAACGTCCAGCCAAGACCGGCGAATGTGAGGCTACCGATCCAAATTGGAAGGCCGGAGTCAGTCGGCTGGCTCTTCAGTAAAGTTGTTCCGAGCGGCCCGGCGATCAAGAATGGGTATACAGGCAGGATCCATGCTGGCATCGCCTCAGCTACGGGAAGCTTTTCGCGATCGAATATAATGTGGTACTGGAAAACGGCGACAAACATGATTGTGCCAGCATAGGTCCAGTAGAGCACTTCTTGCGTCCTAATAAGCCACGGCCCACATGCTGGAACGGCGTACAACTCGATGCAGTAGATGATGAGTGCGATACTGACGAAAAAAGACCCAAAGAAGAAGGATTCGTGTGGATGGTGTAGGCTACGATTCAACGATCGTTCGTTTGTGCAGAATCGGTACGTGATACTAGCGCTGAACATGATGAAGAGTAGGATATCAAGAATAAAAAAGACCTTGCCGATGGTCTTCAATCCACTGAAGCTATACGGTTGCTGGCCAAGAAGAGTCGCAATAGCGCCAGTACTCATCGTGCATTCGAACCATGACCAAGTAAAATGGTTCAATCGCCTGCTCCATGGTAGACGCGTTGGATGGTGATGATCTTGGGGTTTTGCGGGACGCGAAAAACTGCCGGACATGATGGACGGGACGCCAAAAGAAACGGCGGGAAGCGGGTAACAGGACGATGCAGCCTCATGCTACCCAAAGCCCGACAAGCAGTTCTTAGCATGACAAGATTTATCCGTCAAATGCTTGACGTCAGGTCAGGTCCGATGTCAGGGCCACAAGTCATAGTGTCATACCAAGTGGGTGCTAACCCGATCGAGCGTAGCTTCTTCACCCCAAACTGAAAACTCCCTTGTTACGACTGTCGCTTTCTATCCTCGCGCATCGTCGACGTGCTCATCTTTGAAGAATGGTATATCTCGGGTAGTACGGCGACTCAAACTGCTCTATTACAGGTCGAACGAATTTGCGCATGCGATGGAACGCCGAGGCAATGACGAAGCCAGTCATAGACTCTGGTGACGTTCATACAATGGACGTCACTCCACCATAACGTAGAATGCCCGCAGATGTTTCCTCGACTGACATCAAAGACGATGAGCAGGCGATGTATAGATATTCATAACGATCAGCGTACGTCGAAGTCGTGATGTGATTATGACGTTCTCGGACAACTAGCGCATCAAGCTTCCCCGACTCAACAACCTTGTCGTCAATCAATCCATCTGAATCTGTTGATTGCTACATTACGGTCGTGAACATGTCTCTCACTGACGCATATAACAGTGTTAAACGTGCGTTATCCACCGCGCCCGCCAACGATGCATACCTCCGCTGGGACGCTGCGGGCGTCGAAGATGCAAAGTCCAATGAGGAAGAAAAAGCCAGGCAAATTGGGGAAACGATGAATAAGATGCAGCAACACAACTTTGATCAGCATCGTCATGCATTTCGGGCGACACATGTAAAGACGCAAGGAATTGTAAAGGGCAAAATGACCGTTCTCGCGGAACTCCCGGCGCATCTCCAACAAGGCCTCTTCAAAACTCCTGGAAAGACGTACGATGTCGCGGCACGATATGCTAGTGAGCAGGTCTTCCTGCAGGCAGATCAAGAGCCTGGACCACGCGGTGTGGGTATGCGCATTTTCGGAGTAGATGGCGAGCGGCTGGAGGGCGCTGCTGCTGATGCGAAGACGCAAGACTTCTTTTTCAACAATGCTCCGATGATCGAGCTGACCGACATTGACACATGCTTGGAGATTATGCAATTGAGAGAGAAGTACTTCGACAGCCCCACAAAGCTTGCCGCAGCGACCAAGTTAAGGACCGATGCTATCAAACAAAGTGCACCTGGTAGGTTCCAAGCTATCAAAACTCGCGTGTGTAGCTGATCATGTAAGGCATGCTTCCAAATACGAATATGATCAGCCATTCTTTCTTCACACAAAGCGCATTTAGATACGGTGATTACTACGGCCACATGGCGCTGTTCCCCATCCTCGATGACATGACCGACCACTCCGAGAAAGTCAAATCCAGTGACTCCCGGGAAGCATTGCGCTACTGGCTAGCCGAATACTTCTCCAAGAATGGCGCAAAGTACGAGTTCAAGATCCAACTGGGTACTGCACCCGATCATCACCCGACTGAAGATGGTTCTGTCGTTTGGGACGAAGCGACGGCACCGTATCAAACTATTGCGACGGTTGAATTCCCGCCTCAGGATGCAATGAGCGCCGAAAGGAGGACGTTTTGGGAAGACCGGATGAAACTGAGTCCTTGGGATGCGCTGGCCGAACACCGACCCTTGGGGAGCATCAATCGGCTGAGGAAGATTGTGTATGACATGAGCAGGAAGAAGCGAGAAGCCGTCAATGCAACGCAAACCAAAGCGGTCAACCGTGCCGATGAGATTCCATAAACTTGTCTATCGAAGTATATACCTTGTGTCGTGCAGAAAGGTTTATTCGAGACATCTCAAGGTAGTCGCATTACAATAATATAGCACCCATCTCAAGACCAGGGATTACAGCCGCAGTCACCAGCTGACCTGAACAACACCAATAGGACAGCGACAGCAAGTTACACAAGACCATTGGCTTTTGCATCCTCGTGCCGATCGTGGGGCTGGAAACACATTGGCCAATGACTTGAACCGCCACAGGAAAATCAATACAGGACCTCGCATACGGTTGTACAGCACACCTTGTAGTTTGAGAAATGCGCTCAGCGATCATCAGACCGATATATGAGGCTGTACACCTGATGCGCGTAGTGCCTTGGCTTTCGCTTGCTTAAAGCACTGCAGTGTTCGGTGGAAATGCGGGTCTTGAACTTTGTGCATCTCACGTTCGCTTCGTCGCTCGCTTCATCATGCATCTGAGCACAATCACACTCGCTTCCTTGTGCTTTGCGCTCCGCACCCAAGCCATCGGTCGCGCAATTGTAACGAACCAATGTGACGAGCCAGTCTACCTCTGGTCTGTCGGCGGCAGCGTCGGCGAGCAGAAAGTCATCACAAAAGACACGTCTTACAGCGAGGTCTTTCACACTGACCCTGCGTCTGGTGGCGTCGCACTGAAGATCAGCCCCGTTGAAGGCGGCCTATTCAAACCTAATGTTAGTCAGACCATTTTTGCATACAGTCTCGATGCGAGTCAGGTCTGGTACGACATGAGCGACATGTTTGGTGACGGGTTCGCCGGGCGCACGTTGAAGGTTACGCCTACGGATTTGACGTGTGAAAGTATCACGTGGGGCTCGGGAAAGCCGCCGGCGGGTAGTCAGGTTAAGAGCTGTGGGGCGGAGGCGGATGTGGAGTTGACGTTTTGTACGGGGCATTGGTGAGTGAATGCATGAGGCTTTTGTGATGGTGGTGCTGATTCTGAGTGCAGCCTGCCCAGCTGGTACCCGTGCGGGAGGAATGCGCCGAATGATACAAGGATCTGCTGCACGCATTGTATTGGGAGTCATCACTGTGTTGCGGCTCCTTGAGAATCAGACCTGAAAGGCACAGAAGGATGAGGTAATACACCAGGAGTAGTAAATGTCGATGGAAAGTGTTGAGATGTATTGGAACTATAGGGACGAGACCTACAATGGACTGGAGAATTTTGCACTCATTTACTTACTTTGATATTAAATAAATACATCGAACATGGCCCATTTAGACTCAGAGCTATTGCGCCACGACGTGAAATACGACTTCCGATCCATTTGGAGCCACACCAGGTGTCATGATGTCTCTTACTGACACCAGGCACTGTCTGAATCAAACGCAATGTCCTTTAATGCAAATGCTTGAAACTTTTTAAAGTTGGCTCTCGATGGGACCTGATTGGAGATCGTGCGAAAGTACAACTCAATGACGGGTGACACAGAAGGTTCCAAGTTTTCCGCGAGAGCTCGTGCACGGCGAAGTGCAATGCCAAGGTGGCATCGAAAGTCCCACAAAGTGGTATTGATTAGAAGCCTGACACTTCTAAGACGTGGTAAGGCGTGCGGTTGATCGCGGATCTCTCGCAGCCAGGGCAAAAGCGCCTCGATCTCATCTTGTCCTCCAGAGATTGATAAGCTCACATTTTCTATGCTCGGGGGAAATGTTTCCACGGGCTTGCACGTGAACTCCATGCTGTGACCAAAGGGACCACTATGTTCGAACCTACTTAACACGAGTCGAGCCGGTGCATGCACACGCTTGAGACTTGGGAAGTTTGTGAAGCTTAAAGGATAATCCACCGTGTTCTCTTTCGGTTCGGTAATGTCTAGGTCTTCCAGCTGGCTGATGATGTTTGTTACATCGCAAGACTCGCAGTCAAGCGCATGGACCCGACTCAAGCGCGTCTCATGAGAAGGGAAGATCGGTGCATTATTTTGATGAGATGGTCGAACGAGAATATCCTGGAGGATGCTTGCGGTAGGGATGAAATTGGTTGAGACCGAAAGACTGCTCAAACTTGGCACTAGGCGTAACAGTACATTGAGGGACGCCGAGTGTGCCAGTGGTCCAATTTTGCCAGGACGTATAGCCCAGCAGCCAGAGTCGTCTTTCTGGAATATTTGAGAAAGTATCTCGTGTCCAGATGCGCAGTATTTCTTGTGATCCTGCATCCAATCGTGAAACATGGAAGTGTTTTGGTCATCAGCATGCCTTCCGACTACACATTTGAACTTGAACGAGAATCGTGCGTATAGATCAAGGTGACCTCCTACTTTCTGGACATATTCTGGATTATTCAGAAGGAAAAGTAGGTATCCACGCACTCCTGTTAGAGGAATGTATCCCCCGCGAACAAGCGCCTCGCACCCAATGCCACGCAGCTGTCGGCAAGTGAGTCCGATATTTTGGAAATCTTCGTTGCGTCGAGGATGTACGATGTACCGCGCGACACGCAGCAACAGTTCATCCGGAAGCTTGAGCAAACTCGAGCCGTCGTTGGAGATGATGGGAGGCAGCGCTGCATTTAAATACTGTTGTTCGTTGCTGCAGTAGTGCCGCAGCCTTCCAAGTACAGCCATTACAGCGTCATTGGTAGCCGGGCCGAAACCATTAGACATACGATATGTTAATGGTAGTGGCGTGGTCATTTCGCAATGACGGTTGGTGGATGAAGTTGCGTTAGTTGAACAAATTGATTGCAGGGGAGTAGGATTCAGCTAAGTTGACGTTGTTCTTTTGTGGGAGTTGTCGCAATCGCGCGAGCTTTATGGTCCAAGTAGCCGCGGCATGCCAAGAGTCTAGCGCGTCTAGCTTCGAATTGAAAGTGAAAGTGATCATCGGGAGAAGGCAACTGGCGCTAGCGTAGATCTCCGTCCACAGATGATTGAGAGTCAATTGTGTGACAATTGTCTGAAGCAGCAAAGGCTACACCGTGTACACAAAGAATTACTCAATATTGGCAACATTAGTGGAAGAGCACTGTCAGGAACTGCCATTAATAGACTGCATGTTTTGAAGACTAAGCTTCGATGATGTCAAACATGCTGTGCATAATTGAAGATTGGATACCTATGTGAGGAAATATTGAGTGGCGCGTGTCGTGCACTTACAAGGATGCTCATTCAAATTGGTGCTGTCTCTGACTGTGAAAGTTTATGAGGTAGAGGCAAAAACTTTGTATGTACTATGAGAGCACAAAGCATTGAACGTGTATAAAATGCGAATGGCTCAATTCGATCTCTGGCCCACACCTACATGTTTTCTATCCGAGTTTTTCCACAACTGTGTTCGGGACGTCGGTTCGGAATAACAATGGAAGGTAAAGTTTGATGCGCGTGTCCGGAGTCCAGGGTGTCGAGCAGATATGTTGTATCTATACACGGTTTTAAAATCGCCAATAGAAGTCATTTATTACTAGATCAGTGATTTGAATGGTATCCGTGAGTTGCAGGCAAAGTCACTACCTAACTCTACTAGCATTATAACGTTCACGCGACACTTTCTCCACACCGCTTACCACGCAACCTCAACACAACTCGAACGCTATCCGAGAAATGAATTGTGGTCCCCAGGACGTCGTAATAACGACCACGACCTATCGAACGGCGACCGGCTTCGGCGTTGCCACTAACGGGGCGATGCCGTGGCAGTTGCGCGATCTACTTCTGCCCTTTGGCGACAGGGACTTGGATGCTTACGTCAAATTCATCCTGGCTCCGAAATCATTCTATGTTCACGAATCATTCGATCAAGCCTCCACTCGAGCCGCCTTCTGGCCGTGGCGAAACCTGGCAGATCCTGGAGTTCCATTGACGCCGATCGTCCCACAACTGTCCAGACTGCCCGACGAGCTGCTTCTCCAGATTTCGCCAAACATGAACAGCGAATCGCGTAACAAAGACCTCTCGAGCCTATCTCTCACTTGTCGCAGACTACGGGGTGTCGCCCAGGAAACCCTGTCCTGGTCGGCTGTGGTATATCCACATAACGTACTGGAGCATTTTGACCGGCTTGTCCGGAACCCCTTGAAAATGCTCAAACTGGATTCCATATCGTTCGAAGGAGCCTATTGCGTACGAAATGGCTCAGGATGCTTCGCGCAGGAGGACTTTCAATCTGGATGGCTTCAGTATGGTTCGCACCCATCGTATTCCGAAACCTTGACTGAGATTCGACTTGATTCTCGACTGAACAGCATCGTGCAAGGCTTTGGATGTGACGTCTCCAGCATCAAACGTTCCAGAGATCCTGCGGCATCGACAATCTTTGGATTTTTACCCAACTTGACGGAGCTTGTGGTTGCAGACAGCTTCATTGACGCCAACGAGGTAGCTATGATGTTTGAGGGCGATCAATACTTTTCCGATGTCGAACTCTGGCCCTGGCCGCCACTCGTGCGCATGCAGACGCAAATTCGCAGGTTTGTTGTAAAACAACGATATCCAACTCCAACTTGTCTGAATCCTTCACATGCGGCAAAACTGTGGTTTTATGGCTTCAGAAACCTCGTGGAACTCTCAGTGACGGCCCCACTGCTCAATTTTGACCATCCGGCTAGTTTCTGCCCGTACACACAAGTAATTGACCTCCGGGTCGATGGGACTGGGCTGCCTAACGGTCTAAAGACGCTACGCATCTTCATTGCCTTGCGCGACTTTGAAGACTTGACGGTGTGGCTGAGGCGTTTCCTAACTTGCGTACCCGCGAGCGGTTTTGGTTTGCGGGAGCACTGGCAGGGCTGGGGATTTGGTATACAACTCCTGATTAGCGCGACGTACAACGGCTTCATGAAATGGCTGTTCGAAAGCTATGGGGACACTCATCAGGGATTTCTCAAGCTATTAGAAGACCCTGGTCAAGATGTGACTACTACTTACTTTCTACGTTTACAGATTATAGGTGGAGATACCTCGACACTGGCTAGTCAAGATCGGGCAGATTTCCTTGAGCAGATGATCCGTTGACCTACTTTCACGGTTACGGTGGAAGACGGTATGATGAGGGAAGGCTGAACAGTGCGCTATTTGGAGGCCCAGCAGGTAGTGTAACAGTGTTTGGATCATCGCGTGGATAGAGTGCAGTTTTACAGAGTGGTGACCACTTGATCCTCACAGAGTCCAGAATCTGGCAGGATAAATTGACTCAGCACTCACCGGGTCATTCACACTGCGCCATCCACACTTTCATCACATCATCAGCCGCGAAACTTTGATTCAATGGGAAATTTTATTCATGCCCTCCAGGGTTGAGATCTGTCGATAGAATCCATTTGCATTTATGACCGACCAGTTAGCAGCTACATTTGCACATGTAACCGCATTCACCAAGCGGGTCCCTAATACACTGTCCTGCCTTTGGAAGCTCACAATCCTCATCAGTCTTGCAAGTAGACCACATCTTGCCATTGAGACCATTCGCCGCCCAGCACCAAAATCCCGGGTTTTTCACGTCATCAGTCGTGCAATTCTGCCAGCAATAGCCCTTCTCGCAGCCGTAGTTCAAGGGTCTGTTACGGCAGCCACGAGCGAAGAGGGAATGTGGCGAGCTAGCAGCTGCATCCGCAGGCGCCGCAATCGCCGGTAGAACACTTGTTGCCTGTCCATCGAGGCTCGCAATCGGTGTCCTTTTGGCAGTTGACCCAGTACTTGGCAGAGAGTTCAAGCCAGCACCAATGGCCGTTACCAGTGTTGTCGTCGCACTTTTTCCAGCAGGATCCCTGGTCGCAACCATAAGCCTTGGGTCCATGGTAGCACTTGGTCGCGGCTCTACGGAAGATGCTCGCGGGTGTGCTGCAGGTGCTGTTAGTGGACTTGTACATGCGTGGAATTTGCACTCACTTGGCCTTGTACTGACCAGGGTCTATGTTGATGGTGGCGGAGAGCACGACGGCGGCTTGCAGGGCAAGGCAGAGGGCCATGATGAACACCATGAGGTGCTTGCTGAAGTGAACCATGTTCGGGGCTGCGCGCTTGATCAGTGACATTCGCCGGCGGGAATGTGCAAGCCTACTTACAGTCGTCTAGCTGTGAAGAATCACTGTTGTAGTTGAAGTAATTGATTGTCGGGGTGGTTGAGCTTTGGAGTTGAATTGGTGGTGTCGCAGACTATATAGAGGAAAAAGCGCGCTAAGGCTTGAGCTACCCTTTGATAGGCTTGTGCTTTGCTTAGGTAAAGGCAGGTGACGGAGATGAAAGATGACATGACATAACAAACAGATCATGCTGTTGCACGAGGCTTGGCAAGCGGGACGGTTGGAGCTGGCCAGTGGCATGTGCGCGATCGATGAGGATGAGCGCCTGTGCCACACGGGGTCGTTCTTTATTATCAAACCCGACAAAGGCTTGATTGAACGCTCATAAAGACCGTATATAATATGAAAAGATTGATGGGATAAAGGATTACTCAAAGAAAGAATTCAGTGTCATTCATGCGAAGCTTGACTCTCGTTAGCGTTGCGGGGGCAAGATGTGCGGTAAGTCCAACATGAGAGACAGTTACACAACGCCATGAACCTGCTATGGCCGTGGAGCGACCCGTTTGTTTCTTGCTCGTATGCGCAATACCATGTTACAAGCACGTGGCGACAATGAGAGAAGATGCTAAAGCAGGGGCTTGTCAGCGTCCGGCGGACCGTGGATCTGGAAGTACCTCACAACACCGTAATGTCGTCTTCCGAGCCCTTGAATGCCACCGGGTCCTAAACTTATCATCATGGCCTCCAGACCTAGATTTATGCTGTAAACTCTCCAAATGCTGATCCAATTTACCTCTGCCAGACTAGACAGTGAGCCCCGAACTCGATGTCGTAGTTGTCACGACTATGTTGCTGAAGTGGTTGTAATGCCAATCGAGTCTGTCAAGATTTTGTTTTAGAAGGAAATGTCCGGGCCGCTCATCGATGCCAGACGAAACCAATGGCACCAAGGATGCCGACATGCAAAAAGCACCACGACAAGACTGGGCGAGAAGACCAAGCCAAGGGTGGGACGTGAAAGGCAATATAGACCTTGATCGTTTCAGGAAAGCACAATTAAAGCTTCTACTGAGAGCATACAAGAATCGCTTACCAAGTTTCGCGACCTATTGAAGCCTTGAACAGCCTTGAAGCTGGGTATGTCAGCTTCTACCACATGTTCGCCCGTTTTGAAATACTCTAAAGGAGCCCAAATTGCTATGAACGGCGCTGCCATGATTAACGTTTGAGATCGGTCATTTGTAAGCAGACTTACATGTAACAAATCCTCACACCTTATGTGACAGTTAACTAGACGTGCCTGAAGCACCGTGCAGCGGCTCTCCAATCCTTCTCCGTCGATGCCGTGCTTTGACGCAGTTTGAAAGGCCTTTTCCAGTGCTGCTCACGAAGGGATCAATAATTTCTGCAGTCGCGCTATCCACACCTGCGTATTGCACGGAGCTTGAAGCACTGATGCGATCGGCGCTTCAGTGTAGTTGTTGAGGCAGCCGTGCAGAAATATTCCCGAACGAGTACCTCGAAGAGGGTCTCGCAGCCCAAGCCTTGGGCAAAGCTGTTTTTATTGAGTGACGCATTGCCGGAGATCTGATTGCAATCTTCCCGTGCGCATGCAGCCGCGGAGCAAGCGTATGGATAGCGCTTTCAACGAACCCGCAAGCGACATGAACGATGAGAAAGTTTGGGTTAGAGTGATACCCTACGCAGCACGAGTTTGACCAGTTCTATCGACATAAATAGGTTGCATTAGTGCTTGTACAATGCGAGGCTTCTTTCGACTGCAGAGAAACGAGCTAGAAAGGCGCATTCAATGTAGACTAGAACTTCCCCGATGCATGTCGGACGTACGCTGGCAAGGGTAAGTATCGGACCAGTTCAGAGACCTCCTCATTCTGCAGTTTGGAATAATCGAAGCAAGTGTACGCGTTACGTGGGAGACTCAGCGAGCGAGACTAGAGAAGCCTTTGCTGCTGCAAATTGAGCAAAAGCTATATTCGATACACCCACACACTGAGTAGATGAGCAACGGGACGTTCCGCTGTATGTTCTAGCAAAGATCGAAAGAGGAGCCGAAAGCTACGAATTGCCGAACCATTGTTTGTGGATTGCGCATTGACTGTCGCAATGGAGCCGCGCTAGAAGCTTGGCCCTTTTCCCACGCGGAAGCAAGCTAGTGAACCAGACCTCACTTCATCACCAACACCCGCATGCTGCACCAATGCATCCACTTTGCCACTCGATTCTGTCAGAAGCCACTCAACGACTATTTTCATTGAGTTCTACGATGCGGGACACAGCTTTCGCACAACCAAAGCGATGACGACGCCGAAATGGAGAATCGCCGCGTACTGCGGACAGGCCGGAATGTGTCTGTTCTTCCAGTCGTACGATGAGGTGACTTAGCTTTCGCATGCGAGTCCTAGATTAATTCAACAAGCGCAAAGTCTTCTGTCCATGACTGTCGGGAGCCTAGGGCGATGAACATTGCATCTCGCAGGGCCGATATTACGTCTTTTGTCTACCGACATATCCATCCATCTTGGTTTCCGAGCCGGAACCAGATCTTAATATTGCAAACTGATATTCGCTGCATCACTGGCGTTTCCCTAGTAGAGGGGCCGGTCGGTGGTCCGAGAGGGTATTTCATTTAAGAACTTTATGTCGTCCAAACGTCTCTGCAATTGCCATTCCCCAGTCGAAACCAGCATATAGGCAAGATACAGTAAATATGGCAGCCGTTACCACCGGTTGTTCCTTCGTGGCCCCCGGTCTCGTCGGACCGTTCAACGGAGCGACCCCAACCTTCAGCTATCGACACACTAGCCATTCCGATGATTATTTGGGAGTACAGATGACATTCATGACAGGCACCCAGACCTGCTATGGTGCCACGCCAACCTTCACACCCTACATTACCAATTCACAGGCGCAGTTTTCTAGGAATTGCATTTGGAACTATGTGAACCCCAGCTACACTGCGCTTCTGTGTACTGCATCAGTCACCGATATTCCCAATGGACCTCTGACGATCAACTATCGAGGTGCTGCCGCTGGTGCCAGTAGCCCTCTCCCCTTTGTCGCTACATTCGGGCCCTCTCCCGCCCCTGCAAGCACTGTCACCGCCACTGCAACGTCTACTGTGACCATCACACCTCGGGCGACAGCGAGCGCTCTTCCTGCTTCCACCGCCACGGTGACCTCGTCTGGAAGTACCGTCACGCAATCGACTACCAAAGTTGTAACTACGTCCACAACTGCGACCAGCACGGTCCGAGTCAGCTCTTGCCCATCAAGCTCTAGCTCAAGCAAATTGACAGCCGCCAGTTCGTCTGCATTGGTCTCTTCATCCAGCTCCACTGCTGCTGCCTCGACATCAAGCCGCAGCTCATCCTCTAGCTCATCTGCTGCTCCAACTTTGAGCTCCTCGGCTACGTCCCTGGCTTCTAGCTCCTCTGCGGTAGCTTCGACTTCAAGCCGTATCTCCTCGTCTGCGACTCCGGCTTCAAGCTCCTCGTCTGCGGCTCCAGCTTCAAGCTCTTCCTCTGTACCAGCTTCGAGCTCTTCTGCTGCTGTTTCGACATCAAACCGCATCCCATCTTCATCTTCAAGTGCTTCCGCTGCGGCTCCGACCTCTAGCTCTTCTTCTGTGGTCCCTGCCTCAAGCTCTTCTACTGTAGCAACAACTTCGAGCCGTATCTCATCATCGAGCTCGTCCGTTGCTGCTCCAGCTTCCAGCTCTTCCAGCGCAATCCCCACATCAAGCTCGTCCAGCGCCGCTCCCACATCGAGCTCTTCTGTCACTACTCTTGCGTCGAGCTCATCCACGGCTGCTACCCCATCATCGAGCTCTTCTTCCGGCCGAAGCTCATCGTCAGTTCCAACATCGAGCAGTTCGTCGAGTGTTGCTTCAGCATTCGCATCCTCATCTAGTGTTGCATCAGCTTCAAGCTCGACCAGGGCTTCTTCGTCGACGAGCTTGTCCTCAGTCCTCCCCTCGATTTCCAGCTCTTCATTGATTGTTACCTCATCGTCCAGCTCATCATCACCTGTTGTCACATCATCGAGCTCCTCGTCAACAAGGTCATCTTCAGCAGCTGCGCCTACATCGAGCTCGTCTGCCAGCACTGCCACAGCCCCGGGCTCTTCTTCCACTGCGGCGCCGTCTAGCTCGTCCTCATCCGGTGTCCCAACATCATCCTCATCTTCTGCTGTCCTGCCGTCGTCCAGCTCGTCATCCGTGGTGGTATCCACCTCGCGTTCTTCATCAGCCATCGTCTCTTTGACCTCGAGCTCCTCATCAAGTACTCCAATCTCTGCTCCCACAACAAGCTCGTCATCGAGTACCCAGGTTAGCTCAGGCGCTGTCTCTTCGTCAGCCTCTTCAACATCTGCAACGAGCACATCTTCCAGCACTCCGGCTAGCTCATCCTCGAGCTCTTCCGTGTCTCCTTCGTCAAGCCCCAGCTCGGTGGCAGCGTCGACTTCAGTCACTTCGTCGTCCAGCTCGGCTGTCTCTTCAGCAATCCCGTCACCCTCCATAGTCGTCGCGCCGACTTGCCCTGATTCCAATGGTGCAACTTACAGCACATCGCAAGGAAACTTTGTGATCGAATGCTATAGCGATCGATTCGACTCTGACATGGGAACTGCTTCGCCCGCACCCGCCGACTATGCTAGCTGCATCGATGCCTGCGCTGCAACAACCGGATGTCGTGCAGTATCATACATTCCCAACGGTCCATGTTATCTCAAGAGTGCCCTTGGTCAGCCTAACCAGAACGGCAATGTTTGGGGAGCTAGCCTCCAGTCTGCCTCGTCGTCGTCGTCTGCGAGCTCGAGCCAGTCAGCTACTCCGGCCACCAGCGCATCGTCTGCGGCTGCCTCTTCGAGCGCAACTTCGAGTGCATTATCGACACCTACTTTCACAAGCGCCTCCGTGAGCGCCTCCACTAGCGCATTGTCAAGCACACCATCAAGCGCGTCGTCGAGCGCACCTTCAAGCGCATCGTCGAGCGCACCTTCAGGCGCATCGTCGAGCGCACCTTCAGGCGTACCCTCAAGCGCATCCTCAAGCGCATCGTCAAGTACATCGTCAAGCGCATCCACGAGCAAAACTTCAAGCGCACCCTCAACTGCATCGTTCAGTGCGTCTTCCTCGAGTGCGACTTCCAGCTCATCCTCGCTGAGCCCTTCATCGACCCCAGCTTCATCAAGCACACTAACATCTTCCACTACTTCAAGCGCACCAGCTAGCACCACCGTTTCATGCCCGGCAAGTAATGGTCAGGTCGTTGACGAGGGTGGATCTTCGTTCCAAGTCGAGTGTTACGTGGATCGCGCCGGCGGTGACATGGCCAACTCGCCAGTCTACCCTGGATCCTACGAGGAATGTCTGCTCGCATGCGCACAGCGCGATGGTTGTGTGCAGGTCTCGTACAATCCCGGTGGTCCATGTTACCTGAAGAACGCCCAAGGCGCTGCCAATCAGAATGGGAACATCATCGGCGGGCGAAAGCTCATTGCAGCCACCTCTGTCGCTTCATCCTCATTGTCGTCTGCCACGTCGAGCGCACCTGTCTCATCGTCTGCTGCATCAACTTCCACTTCGTCTTCCATTGTCGCTTCATCGTCTGCTTCGTCTTCGTCTGCAGATGCTTCGACCGCTTCTTCTTCCCCGTCTGCTTCGCAAGCTTCTTCAACAATTTTGTCAACTTCGGCAGCGGCATCAACTGTCTCACCAAGCACGGCGGCAGCCTCGAGTGCAACAAGTGCGGCTGGATCTCAAACCGTTACCGTCACCACGACAGTCTCCGGTACCAACTACAACTGCATGTGCACTCCATCAGCAACACCTTTTGCGCCGTCATCAGCAACGCAATCGGTGCCTCAGTCGGCAACTCCATCGGACACCTCATCCATGACTCAATCGGCGACCGCGTCAGCTACTCCAAGTACTGCTGCTGCTCTCATATGCCCCTCCGCAGACGGTTCCACTTACACCAGCAACTGTGGAGCGGTCTATGCTGTGGAGTGTGCCGCGGACCGTGTTGGAAATGACAGTGAGTCTCACGATGCCCCGAATCACGATTTTGCTAATCAAATGTGTAGTCGCCATGTCCTATGCAAACACTCTCAACGAATGTCTGGAGAGCTGTAGCAATACCCTTGGTTGTGTTGATGTGTCCTTTGTGAACGGATCCCCTGGACCTTGCTACATGAAGAGCAAGGCCGGGGACATCGTCCCCAACTCGAACATCTGGGGCGGTCGCCAAGTCTCTGGATGTACCACCGCAACCCATAAGCTGAAGCTTCATCGCAAGCGCGTCGTGAGAAAGGAACACAAGAGCGCAAGCCCAATCCAGAAGCGCGGTATTCCATATGGACCTGACTTTACTTACTACCAGGGACAAGCTCAGACCACCACAACCACTTCCACTGTCACACAGACTGCAGCAACGACGTAGGTAGCCAATCAAGGCCATATGAAGTCATGCTGATTACCTTTTTAGCACCATCACGCCTGCTAGGTCCGGCACGACTACTACCACCGTTACCAGCACGCCCACGGTCACTGCAGTCATCGTCTCGACCACGACTGTGACCTCGAGCGCATCCACGACGGTGACGGCCTGTCCCACCACAGCTACTGCGTAGGTGTAGTTGAACATCCTGCCGGGCTTTCTTTGGATCCGGCACAATGCTAGTTCTTCAGCATCAACTCAATTGTCAATAGCCGACCAAATAGCTCGTCAACACTTGTGTTGTGGCAAAGCCAGCCCTTTACATTCGCTCAATCTTGTAATTCTGCTATATGTAGTATTGCTGAGTTATCTGGTAGAACCATTTATTCGACGATCGTTATGATCTAATGTGTTCGCTTGTATGATGTCCCTCGTCTCTACTTAGTCAAGGATCACATGCGTCGTCATCACACATGCTAAGAATATCCCGTGAATCACGTACTATCACTGTTGTTGATTTTGCATAAGCATGGATCTAACTTTTGATGTCTTTATTCAATTTGAGATCCCGGATGGAAACTGCTAAAACTACTCACCACTCTTCGCCCTCGGACTTGGGTTTTCATAAGCTAGTGTAGCAGTCTTGCGCATGTATTAACTCATGCTTTGCAGATGCTCCGCCGTCTACTTCGACACAATGGTGGCTCGACTAACGTGGTGCCCGAAGCTTCGGCAAATTTCACCTCCCGACCAAACAAGTACCTGCACACCATTCTTCGCTGCAAGATCCTCGTAGCATGCCCATATGCCATGCATGGTCATACCATCTGGCCAAATGATATCGATACACTGCAGCTTCGATAATGGTTGCAATCCCTGGAGATGATCGCGGACCCAGTTGATAGTCGTGAACTGTCCCGCATCCCCAATCCGGATGACGAGCTTTTTGACGCATGGGGGAATAGATCCACCTTCCGGAGATGTGAGTTCCAGCGTGCGAAGTTTAGGAAGCGGCTTTAAGAGGTAGTCCAAGCTTTCGCCAAGTTGACGTTGGTACATCGGATGGTCAGGAACGTCCACCCTAAAAGTATGCACATTCGGATAGTGTTCGACATCCGAAAGAGGGAACGTACCGCGTCCGGTCCATTCTAAGGCCAAAGCCTTAATGTCGGCGAGTGGTCGTTGGCATGTGAACGTGATATCTGACGAGAGCTTCAGCTTCTCTACACGCGATGCCGCGAGGCCGAGATAGAGTCTAGCCATGTCACGTGATGATTTCGAAGCGAGCTGCTGTTCAATCATCGTCCTTGATACGAGGGTGTTCACTGGTTTCGGCGCTTTGAAGTACAGCTCGACAGACTGCAGCCTGGGCAAGGCGGCGAGGATCACGGTAGCCACCATGGCTTCAGTCGGACATTGGAAGTCTTTGCCGAACCTAGACTTCACATATCCGCGCATGGGTAAACGCTGGTCAACAATATCGCACAGACCCTGGAATCAGGTGGCACATTTACACAGGCCGCCGTTGGGAGCCCGCAATACTCTGCCTTTCTGTACCCACACGGCCAGATGGGATACGCGGGAAGCCATCTCCGGATGCTTGATAATGGTTCGCAGGAAGGAGATGAGCCGGGAACAATGCGGGCTGCTTTCGGAGGGGAGTTGAGGTAGCGAAACGTCGCAATATAGCACTTCTCCAGCGACAGGCGCAAGCCGCTTGCATGTGAGGGTGAGACTGAGAAAGCCCCGCAAACCCAAACCGATACGTTCTGCTTTCGGCTCAAACAGGCCCGGTGAGAGTTCCCGTGGCGGGATGTCTGGGAAACCGTCCGCACTGCTCAAGCGTTGAGTGGGTCGAAGATAGCCCGCTATCTGCAAGAGGAGCTCGTCTGGCAGTTCCAGCAATGATGACTTCTGCAGAATAGTCGTTTCCTTGACCACGTTTGCCACGGATTCCACAGCTTGCGTGGCATGTGCTTGTATTTCGGCGCGCTGACATGCCCACCGGTCCATTTGGGCACGGCGACCATGACGCATGTAGACAGAGTAGGTGGCGTTGACCATTCTTTTCAGTGTTTGGGCGGCAACCGGTGTTTTAAATCGAGGTTGGTAGTTCGCGATGATGTTTTGGTGTGGTGAGATGTTGTGAGAGGCCCGTGGGAGATGCTCGTATAGCTGGGAAGTTTTCAAGCTCTCAGTGAGACGGAGCGACTCTAGGCAGCCGGCCATTTCACTCCACTCGGCACGTGCACAACTTCCCAGCATTTTTTCGCTTATTGTAGCATGAAAAAGTAGCTATCGAAGTAGAAAATGAATTGTAAACGATGTACAGTGGCGAGACTGTCACGATATCCTGCTGAACACATGAAAGCACGGACCCAGGTCATATTTAGATTCAGTCACCATTGTCAGTCTCTGGTCCTCTCAATGCATTTCCCACCTCTCTAGGCATTGTGGCTGTACATTGCGAGGAATCTTAAGTTTTTTGTTGATGTTGGAAGAGGCTTGTGAGAATTAAAGGACGCGGGACTGCTACATCAGGCTACGCGGTGAAGAAAAACACGGTGGATAGTTATGAATATGTTCGGGTACCCATATTGATATGTTTATTTCCCTAATCATCCTCATGATGTACCACGGCAGTCCTTCAACACCTCACCCTTTCGCCAAACAACAACGTGCACCCCAGTAGAATTCGCTAAGTTATCGAGCTCTGTCTCAGTTGCTCTAAACCCCATCATGAAGCCATCCCAGTCCACATCAATGCGTCGTAAAGCAGACATTGAATGCAAATTCTTCAGATGGTCAAAGCACCAAGAGAGATTGCGCTCATCCCGCGCTCGATTTCGCAGGATAATGTGTTTGATGTGGCTCGGAATTGCCCTGCATGGCTTGGTTTCCAACAGGACCAAGGTTTTGGCGCTGGGGAAGGATGCTAGAATTTGTTCAAAATTCGCCTGACAGGATGGATTTTGAAGAAATGAAGACCCACCCCGGATCTTGAGGGTGGTAACGTTCGGGAAGCACTGGTTAGTTACTACAGGTCGTGAGTCGGGACCGTATCCAACCATCAGAGTCTTGATGTTCGGAAGACCTGCGGTAAATATTCTACCGCATTCTGCAGAAAGCGACAATGTGTCGACTTTCGCAGCTGCCAGACCTGCCGTCAAATATTTTGCATCCTGAGCTACTCTCAGGTCCATAAAAGAATCCCACCACTCAGACGTTGGGGAATTGCGATCTATTGTTACACGATGGAGCTTAACAGTGGTGAGATTTGGCAGCGCAGCGAATATCAAGCTGCACACTTGTGCTTCAGTAGGTTGATGGATATACCGCTGAATCCAGTCATCCTGAAATGACGCTTGGGGTTCCACGCAACCGACAATTTTGCGGAGCGATAACAAGCAAGTGGAACATGTGCATAGGCCCTGCCCCAGAATGACGATATCTGTGGATTTGAGAATCCACACCGCTAAGCTTTGAGTACGGCTTGCAAGTTCAGGGCGTTCGATCAAAGTGCGGAGGAATGATACTAGTCGCGGGCATCGTGTGCTATCCTTCACGCGGCGCTGAGGTAGTATGACGTCTTTATACAGTACTTCCTGAGCGATTGTTGCGAGATACTTGCAGGTCAATGCTAAATTTGACAGGTCTGAAGATGAAGTGAAGCTATTCGCGAATCCTTCGAGGTCTCTACTAACATACTTGACAGTCCGGCTGACAGGTGGCTGAGGCGGATGCTTGCGGCAATATCCTAGGTGATTCAACAGAGTTTGCGATGAAGATGAAGTGAAGCTGCGCTCAAACTTGAAGTCTTTACGAGCAATTTCTTGGATATGTGGTGTGGCAGCAAGGTAGGAGGCGACTTGAAGGAGTAGCTCGTTCGGGAGATGTAGCAAGGGCGTTGCTGTTGCCGATTGATGTACATCTCCAGGGTGCTGCATGACTGGCGCGTACCGTTTGGTAGCCAATGTGAGATTTTTCATACTTGTAGCCGAGTTGGATCGCTATATTTGGATGAATGGTTGCGGTTGAGTGGAAAAAGGAGCAAGTCAGATTCGTGGAGTAATTGACTTTGAGGTGATAAATAGTTCACCTGCCGACAGAATAAAGAGAGCTGATGCCTACAGCGACTCCCAATATCCATACCGTGTAGTTGCACACTGTTGAAGCTTTCCACGATTCATCATTCTAGCATTGTGAAGCGACTATGTCGCTCTTGGCATGTGGCAGCAATTGATGCTGTCAAGCCAGACGTTCATGTGCGATGAAGGAGATGCAGCGGTCACACCAAATTTTGATTGTCGTGAATCCATCATGTGTATTCAGGTACCGACTGACGCAAACTCACATGACGAGATCTCCATCCGAATCCCACTCTGCTTCGTATGGAATCGAGCGAGCGCTTTCATCCATGATCGCGAAATGACCAATGGCTTTCCAAAAAGCATCATGTGCTATCCTTGCAAATGTATCATGTTCCTCCCGCAAAAGCCAAGGCGACCGACCGAGAACCCATGTCGCCATCTCATAGTCTGGAACGTATACGTACAGCGCCAACTCAGCGTCTCTGCAAGACTTCTGGAGGTCCAATGTCGGATCCCAGTCTCGATTTGGAAAAGCTGGATTTGCTGCAAGCACAAGCTTGTTAGAGAGCATGTAGCAGACCTCGATGCGCCGCAGAGCGGGGAGGTGACCACCTATCTTAGCTTTGTAAAGGTGCTCCACGAAACGGTGGGTTTGTGGATCTGCTTCGCTGACTCGCAGGACCTGCAAAGATGGCGGAAATAGCTCTCGAGGGTCCGGCGGCGCGAATTGATGGGGTCCAGACAGCCACCACAGCGCCCTGCTAGTGATGCCTAGCTATCTCAGCGCAGTGAAGCGCCGGAAGTCGAACACAGTGTTGGCTTGTCGCGAGAGGTGTAAGCATGACATATCTGCCGGCACATTGAGCACCGCCAGCTTTGGCCGCAACGTGTCTTTGATGCCCTCCAACCATGGATGAAGCCAGGGGGACGGAATCATGGACGAGGCGATTACATTTGGCGATAGCATTTTGCTGAGGATTGGGAAATCCATAAGCCATGTGTTGCCCAATTTGAGCTCTCGAAGGTTCGACAGCATGCTGACAAGCACCGCCAAAAGTGCTGGAAGGCAATCTTGCCGCATTGCTACCTTCCACTGTAACGCGTCGCTATTGCCTATGCGGGTTTGTTGGCAATAAGCCGTATTGATGATACTTTCGCACCTTGCGATGAAGTCCGGGTCCGCCCCAACTGGCGCCCTTGTGGGATGGTAGAGACGGATTGCTAGGCCATACTGGTTGCGAGGTATGCGGTGCTCGCTTAAGCTACAAATCTCCAAAGACGTGACTTGAGGCTGCAGGCGCTCATGGCGTATAAGCTGCGAGATGTATTTATCGACGTGGGTGAGCTTGAATCGTGGGGCTTTGATGAGCCACTCTTGGGCGATGTTGCGCCATCGCTTGGAGACAAGAGAAAGTTGGAGAACATCCTGGTTGCGATCATTGTGTGTGAAATGCGCGCCGATCTGGAATAGCAGCTCGGTAGGCAGATCATAAATTGATCGGAAAAGGTCGGTTGGTCGGATCATGACGGGCGTCGGGTTGAGGCGGAAGGATCGTGGGGTGGTTGACTAAGGCGACACATGTGGTGGGCGACGTTACACAAACGAAGACCACGTGCTGCAAGACGCCGATGCAATATTTCCTCGCCTTTCCCAAACGAGAAGTGGGGAAAAGGTAGCCTGTATAGATTCAAAGATCTTCACAGACTTGAGTGGAGAATCTTACGCTTGTGCATACATCCAGGCTCCACTACAAAGCTATACTTACTCATAATTACTATGGGCCCACATCACAGGTACAGGACAGGAGTTTTGCCGCTACCTGGTGGTGTAAGGCGGCGTGCGGCCCGGTCACGTGATGTAAGCATTCACCTCATCCGGAACTCCAACTTAAGAAGCCTAGTTGGACTGGAAAGTTCCGAAATAAACGATGTGAGTGTCTTTACTCGATCAGCGAGGCCTCTGGTCAATCGCCTTGTGTGACCTCCCACATGTCACCTGGAAGGTTCTCAAGCGACCATCGGTTGCCTCTACTCTTCGTTTCCTCTCCTCCAGCCTTGCGCAGTCGCACAAATCCAGTGCATCCCTACCGATCCACAAAAATTAGCTGAGTGAACGAGCGCAACTGCGCAAACACGGCAGTCGCAATGGTTCCTACCCGGGCTTCATCTTCACGCCGTCTAGAAAACGATCAACCTCTCAAGAAAAACCGCAACGCCAAGTTCAGCTCACGGGTGGCGTCGCTACACGAATCACTGCGCGATGATAAACCAAGCTTGTTAGCACCTATGCGAAAGAATAAGCTACAGAACTTGACTGATGTGGTGGTCGTTCGCGAGAGCAAGCTCAAGCAAGCCATTGTACTTCTCTCAAAGCACCTCGAGCTCATGAATTGCGTGAATATCCTTGAAGTGATCGGGCCTCTTCGTATCGCACACACCCACAGCTTGGGCATTCCGCCCCATTTTCACTCCAAGGTAGAAAAGGTACTCATCAAAGCAATTTTGGCTTATAACCACGATTGAACGATCTAGGAAGGAATCAAGCTAAACGATGAACGGTCACATCCTCTGGACACCTACATGGCTCTTATGACACTTCTTTGCCCGAACATCAAAGCAATGTCGCTTCTACTTGGCATCCAAAAGTCTTTCGCGGGGATATATGACCTTCTTCCGATCCCGTTCTCCCCGCTGACTAAGCCCTCGAATAATGGATGCTTCAAGCCTGCAACCCCTTTCCATCCCCTAGCATGTCCGATATTTCACGATAAGTTGGAGTCACTCACATTGACGCAGTGTCGGGGATGGGCAAGTCTCGTTCATAATGAGACGATGTTATCAGCCATGCAAAGCGGCATCCGGACAAATGGCCCTATACCCATCACGCTGCGCGACTTCAAGCGATGGTGCCAGCTTGATGTACCTATGGATTTCGCATTCGGAGATAAGGAGATCGTGAGCTGCAATGAGCTCTTCGTACCGGGATGCAAGGAGATCGTACTCGGAAATGAGGAGGTCGTAAGCAGCTGAAGTGCTGCCGGCCACGCATGACGAGCGCCAAGAAAATGTAAACTGCGAGGTCTCTCAAGAAAGGAAGTGCGCACGGTCCCCAAACACACCAACGAGCTGACTGGAGAGTACACGTCCCATCCTTTTGCGGGTTCTGTAGGTCAACACACAATACGCGATTAGGGTACCTGGAGCTATTCACATGGCCTTGCCTTCGCCGCCGAACCCTAGCGATGCTGCGTATAGCTTCGGGCTACCCGAAGCCTCCACAAAACGAATCAGTCACTTCTATAAGCTGGGGCACATCAACTCAGTACTCGCACAACTTAGGTCAGCAAGGATCAAGCATGCATCTAACGACTTGGCAGTATCATAGGCATCGCGGCCCACACCAAAGGTGAGCTTGAAGCCTTTCGCCTTTCACGTCGCTTTTCTGACAGGTCACAGCAGCGACCCAAAACTCAGCATCTAGTCCGTCAACATGACCGAATTGATTCGCAGGATGTGGACCACCGAGAAGTGCACGAACGCCAAACGCCTTGCCGAGTTGGAGCACGGCGGCTCATGTTGGCCTGACCAAGCGTGACCTTGAGGAAGTCTGCACTCTTCCTACTGTACGCTTCGTTCTTTTTCTGACTTTGTACTACAGTAAGAGGCCTAAAATAAGCGCTCACGCGCCCGAACGCATCTTCCAACCTGTCCCAGCGAATCATCGTCGCCCGACAACCCCGCCGAACCTTGTCAACACTGGCGTCGTCGTGCCAAGCCATACCGCACGCCCTGCCAAGGTCAAACGGGGAGGAGGGATGGTTTCGGACACTGATTGGGATGATGTGTTTGACGTTTGAATCAAAGGGACACTACATTGGTTCTGGAAACGATCAGCTATGAACTTGGCAAATGTTCCTGATACGGTCTCGGGCGTGCGTCTTCGCGCGGACCAGGCTCCTTCGAGTACAGTGTTCCGACGCAACCCGCTGGGCTGGCAGGCCACGACACTTCCTATACCCTTCTCACATTCCAATCTTTGCGAAGGTAGTGTGTCACAGTACCCACGAAAGCCCTACGTCCCATCTTCACTGAGCTGTTGGTCTTTGCGTCTTTGTTCTGCACAAAACGGCTGACCACATAACAGGCAATGGACTCTCGCTCGATCCGGCCGCAAACGACGCGAATGTCCACAATTGAGCTTGCAAGCCATTGGGACGCTGTTAAATCTAAGGAGACTCGACACCTAGATCGCATGCGAGAGCCCGAATTGCAATATCGCTCGGTCTTTCCAAGAAGCTCCTCCATGCAGTATGTATACCGCCTTTGTATTTGTTGTGCAAGCGTTGGGCTGACCGGGTTGTAGTGATGCGCTGCCGTACCTGGGGTTGTTGTGTCCCAGGTTTGTACCACCTCTCCGATGGCGGTCACTCTCATGGCCACACCACGAATACGATGAGGGTGCCTAGAGCTATTCAAATGACCTTACCGCCGCCGTCGAATCCTGGCAACGCTGCGTATTGCTCCATGCTATCAGGAGCCTCTACGTGATCCGCAAGCTACTTCACCATGTTGAGGTACACTGCATGCTGAGAGTCGGTTTGAGCATTTGTAAATACTTGAAATGATGACAGTTGTATCGTGATCACAAGGATTGTCCAATCCCGCTCCGAATCTTGCAGTACCGTGATGTTACTCGAGCCAGACCATCTTCAAGGCATTGACTTTGCTGTGCCATCAACAAGTGACATAACAGTCTGCTGCCGAAGTCGGAGACTACGCACCTCGCGCTTCTCGCACAGCCAACAAACGCTGCCTGTGCCTTCCCTCTGCTCCACTAGTCTGTTTACAAAGTCTTGGCGGCCGCGACTCACCTACAAAAGCGCCCGCTTGCTCGCTTTGCTCCAGTTCCTGTATACCCCAGTCGAACTCTCTTCATTGTCGCTTTTCTTCTTAAACACTACTCCAATCCGCGCCTTTCAAGCTGCTCTTGTTCGCTCGCTTCGGTTCTTGCATCACAGAGCCACCAAGATGTCAGGTTCCGGAAGCGACTCTCTGACTGAGGAGCTGCGGGGTATTCACGCCTCTTTCTTCGATATTCCAGTATAGTACTAACTTTCCACAGCCAAGATCACACGTCTTGCCGCTGAGGCTACTACAAAGCTGGCCACGGAGGGCTTAGCTGAGCAAGTTGACATCCTGACCGCTTCCAACATCGAATACGCGGCCTTCCTCGAGGAGTGGAAGAAGCAGCCTGGAGGCTCTCAGCATGGTTCCCAGCTGCCGTCGGTGCGCGATACCACCCTGTCGGCCCCCGTGCATCACAGACTCCCTTCGGCCCCGTTGCCTCACAGACAAGAGGCGTTCACCGAGGATGCGCTCCAGCTCCACATCGCCCTCCCGAATCGCAAGTTTGACACGTCCTTTGAGCCAGATCCTGCTCCTGCGCTCGCCCCTGAAGAGACGCTCTGCGTGGCCAAGGTCCGAACGATGTTGAGAAGTCGTCGAACAAGGCTACTCCTGCCCCTGCTCGCAAGGCCCCTCTCAAGGCGGCCCCCAAGCCCACCCCCAAGCCTGCTAGCAAGCCCGTTGCCAAGAAGACCCCCGTCACCAAGAAGAAGGAACTGTCAACAGAGTTCGTTGACCCGTTATCTGATGACGATACTGCTATGGAGATTACTGTCGAAGAGGACGAGGGAGATGATGTCAAGGTGGAGGAGGTTGGTGATGGCGAAGAGGAGGGGGCTGAAGCTGAAGAGCAGAGCGAACCCGAGGACGAGGACGCGACCTATGTCGACGAGGAACTGCCCGTCCCTGCCCCGAGCCGCATAGTCTCTCTCCGCACCGGCTCTTCCAAGTACACCGCTCGTCGCCACTCAGCTGCCAACGAGTAGGGTTAGACGACTCTGCAACAACTACCCTAGCTCATGCTCGCCACCCATGTTGGTCGTATTCTCCTTTGTAGAGGATACGATAGGCTAGTAAGCTGCGCCTACTACATCTACGATGCAGTCTACATCTTGCATCAGCAATAATAGGAACTTAGTAATTAAATAGAAAGTTTAATAAACTCTAAAAAATGTACTGTGCAAGTAATGTGAAACGTCGTTGTACCTTAAAAGTCGCTAGGAGCATATAATCACTGTGTTAAGCTCAGCAAGTATCTGCACTGTATCTAGGATATTAACACTTGTAAATATATAAATTATTAACTTAATAAACGACCTTATATGCACATACTAGTCATTTACAAACTAACATTATATAATAACGTTTATTAAAGAGATAAATAAGCTAGCGGCATAATAACACAAAAAGAGCATGTGCTATTATAAGATTACTAGAACTAGCGTCTTATATAACTATTATTAGCGCAATCCTGACGATATATATACAATGTATAGCCTCTCCCTTTCCTTTACTTGACACTCTTTGTCGCCCTCAACCTAACTCTTCCGCAAATATAAGTGGAGACAAGCAACTGGTATACTTCTATAGACGCAACAAACAGAACAGTTTCCTGAGCCAGATGCATCTCTGCAAGTTTGAGGACTAGGGCATTGTCTATCGCAGCAGCGAGCACTACTTCTAAGCTGCAAAGGCTCATTTGTCTAATAATACAGTATACACTATAATATAGCATTCGTTAAGCAGCTAATAACATGTACAGGTCTACTTCAATGCTATCATTTCAGCTAGCTCTCCTTACGCGGCGAAGCGTCTAGGCCGAAAGCTCAAATTGGACGTATGGCCGTAAAGGCAAGCTGCCGGCGACCAGCTATGCGCGCAACCCTCACCTGGACTTTGGCCTTTGTGAAGTTGCCTTTGGCGGAGGAGAGTGTCCGAATGGGGCTGAGTGCGCATGGCGCCACCATCGTCTGACGGACATCGAGTTGGCCATGCCTGGCTTCCATGGCAGAGGCATCAAGGTTGTCACGGCTATGTACTTCCCCCAGAAGTTCCAGCTGACGGCCTGGGATGACATGTAGTAGTGGCATCAAAGATAGGATCTTACAGTTCATAGCTTCTTCAATGTATAACATGTACAACACTCTTTGAACTCATGTGTCCAACATCATCTCTCATCTTCCAACCTTGCGTAGTCACGTTAATGTGATTTCTAATGAAGCGAATAACGAAAACACTGGTGATCCATGATGTTCCTGGACATCACTATGGTATTCGAGGGCTGGAGGCAGTGGCCGGCGCAGTCGATGCCGCTGGATGTCCCAGAGGGCCAGCCTGGCCATCAACGCGCTGGCTGCGGCCAAGGATTCTCCCCACTCACCTTCCTTGGTCCACGGTATGTTCGCACGCGTTGCTTCAGTCCTTCGCTACGTAGCCACACCGCGCTTAAGCGCCTTCTTTCTCGCGAGTAGCAAGGTGCCGTTCGTGCTCAGCCTTGCGTTCCACAAGGCTTTTGAGGGGTACATATGTATCTAGGTCGATACACTTGGCTTTGAGCTACATGTTAGCATGCCATTGTTGCAAAGCTGCACCGCATACGTTAAATTCTTCACATTGACACAGTTTCGAGGATGGGCAGGTCCTGTACAGGACTAGTCACGTTGATGATGGATGGCGTTGTGCACTCATTAAAGTGTGTGTTGATCTGTTCGCTACATGATCCAATTCAATCAGTCTCGACATCGTCCTCCTCTGCCGATGCCGCGACGGCTGCGAAGTCGTTTCCATATCCATGAAGCGGTCCATCTAACGATAGCCTTGTAAGAGGTTGCTGGTTATCTATCAGCGATATTGGTTGACGATGCTGGATGTCGTCCATTAGCAATCTCGAGACAGCGTGGGCAAGTCTTTGCTTGTGAGGAGATTGCGAGAATTAGCAAGTTTTAGCGACGTATGCTCAGGGTGGAGATCGACATCGTCGTGCGGGACGGGCGAGGGTGTGCGCATAACGGATGCTAGCGAGTCTGGGTTTGGGGCACGATGGTTTCCGCCGCCGCAGCTGAATCCTAGACCTTGTTAGCTCAGCCTACTAGTACTATCCCCTGCGTCTTGTATAGGAAAGGGATTAGGATACGGCAGATAATTGTGATAGACGCGGTTGAGATATAGTAGATAGATGGAGACGCGCGCGACCGCACGTGACGTAACTGCGAACGAGACCCTAAATTCGCTAAACTCAGCTACGCTGACTGCGAGCGACTGTAAGCTATGGTATAGCTCAGCTCAGAGCTGCTGAAACTACCTTACTCTTAGCGGATTTTGAGTTTACTAACCTATCGCGAGCTCCTATTGTTGCCGAACCGCTACCGAATTGTAAGCTTACTAACGATCGCGAGCAACTATGTGATCGCTACAACTACTAACCGCTAACTAATATCAACTGTTAACGGCTATGATCGTGGCTAACTGCAAATAACCATGATTGTTGCTGATGCGCTTAACCTTTCCAAGCCGCTTTCTTCGCTACAGAACTACGAAGATGTTAGCATCTAATTGCGAGGCTTTAATTTACGAATATGTTAACCTCTAACTGCGGCAGAGGGAGGGTTTTTATGCGCTAAATTTAGTAATACGCGTCTTATTGCTATTGTTAATAGGACGCACTGCGGGTCTTATAGCTTCTAACTACGAAGACGGTGCAAACTTAGTGCTAAGGACCTACTTCTAAAAGCGCCCGCTCTAGTTCTTATTTACTTAGATCTTCTGCGACACTCTAATCTGCGCACTCTTAGCTACTTTTGCTCGCCCGCTTGTATTCTTGCGCTATATAGCTACTACGAAGACGTACAGATAAGGACAAGGACGATGACGGCTAGGATACGAAGGAGACTCGAGCATTTGCAACTTTGAGTACATAGATAATGACAGGAGAGATGATGAAGGAGAGCTCGAACAGCCTGAGGGTCCTCACTACCGTACTGACCTGTTCTTGGAGCCTGATACTACCTTTATAACGCTGCGGTTACGATAAAGTTGCTTACAGGTGGGCTGGCCAGGAATATCAACAGCTTACAGACCTTTATGGAGAATATGCGACTTGAGGAACGTGTATCATGCAGCTACTATGACAGAGACGCTTATTGAACGTCCTAGGCTATCCTACGTTATTGCCGCCTCACTCTTGGAGAACGATGCTACCTTGTTAACATGCGCGCATCAGTTTACTTCTGACTCTATAAGTTCTTCTGGTGCTACTGTAGAGTTGATAATAGAGAGCGGAATTGCTAGCGTGACTGCCTCTAACGACGGATATGCTGCATCCTAGAGCCTCTTATAAGGCAACTGACCTACTGTCGTCGCCTTATAATACCTGTATGGTGCCTATAACGACTTCAAAGCTGTGCACGGAGGGCCTGACTGAGAGAGTCAACATCTTAACTGCTTTAAATAAGAAGTATGCTGCCTACCTTGAGGAGTAGAAGAGGCAGTCTAGAGGCTCTTGTTACGCGCCCAGCTGCTATCAGTGTGCGATACCTCGTCGTTAATGCCTGTGGCGCTACGTCCTCAGCTACCACAAAGCTGGCTATAGAGGGCCTAGCTAAGTAAGTCGACATCTTAACTGGTTCTAACATTAGATATGCAGCCTAACTTAATCTAGTTGACCTGTACTATGATGTGCTATACTGAAATGCCTATGATTGCTTTAATAGTAATGCCTATGTGGGTCGATGTGCTCGATTCTATCTTGCACTCAAACGTTGATTATCTGTCTTCGTCAGCTCCCTCGGGACCTTCAGCACTCTAACATCAGCGTCGAGACGCAAGGTATAAACAAGGTTCCTATAGTTAAGCTCGACTACATAGCTACCAGCATTTGTATAATGCATAACTATTATCAATAGCTGCCGGCCACTCTCATCGCGTCACTCTCCTACTTTACGTGAGCTATTGGTTGATCTTCCTCCAGTTCACAATCGTTATGTTGAAAGAGAACGTTTTCCATCTAGCCCATAGACAGTGCTGTGTCGTCTGCTTGATTGTCAGCGAATGAACATGAAATTGAAGTCTGGTTTCGAACGTCACAGTCACAAGTAGATGATAAGATAAAATGGTCAATCATACAGTAACTCCTATTTTTCCGACCTTCCCTGGTGCCCATGGTCAAATACGGATGGCCATGTAGTTGAGCATGACGAATACTGTATTTCGACGCTGCCTTCACTCAAGACCTCAAGCACTCATGATCTCGAGCACCCATGATCTCGAGCATCATAAGAACTTGAGCACCGCAACTGCAGCGTAGAAGCCAGACCCCACAAAGGCATAATATCTTGAAGGGCAAGACAGCAGTTCCAGAACGTCGAATGGTTGATGCATGTCGATCCGGGATCCGCGATCTGATGTATATTAAAGTTGGGTTTAGCCTTATGAACTTGGTTTATCCGCCACGACACGCTGGGCACAATCCGCAATCCGCTCCAGTGTCCATCGACAGCCCAGTATTGGAAATCATCGATGCGACGGAAAGGCAGCTTGGTCCAGTCCTTGAGATCTACAGGTCTCTCCTGCAAAAGCAACAAGCTTGCCAGACTAGAATCATGGCCGATCGCCATGTCGAGCCGCATGACGAAGATCTCTCTGGCATAGGAGCTCAATTCGAGGGAGCTGGACGAGGCAGATACAACGATCTGCTGCATGAGGGTTCGAGACGACAAGAGTATATTCGGAAGTTCATGGAAGGTCTGCGTGAGGATACGTTGCTGCTGCCAATGCAGCGCTTCTTTACGAAAAGACGGGGCGTGGAGTCCAGAGAAATTGGCAAAAAAATGAAAGCAGAAGTCATCACGACCATGTTACAATTCCCGTGTCCAAGTGAGTTTCAAGGTTAGCTATCCGTGCAGTGAACCCAGTGCTGGCGTCAAATACAACTGCAGCGTTCGTTCCTACCCCGAAGCAGCAGCAAAACAAATATGAAAGACTGGTTACATCGGCTAATCTGAATACGTGAAGACTAATGTACTGTGATCTTGAAGTTTGATGGTCGTGGTGGTCAATTGCTGCATGATGTCATCATTGGCAGCTGATAACGGCCTCGGCAGTAGCATACGGACCGAATCGGAGACATCTGGTCATGAACACTACTGAAGCGCATCTTGAATAGCCTTTTCTACGTACTCCACACGCTCATTGAGGTCTGTAGTATCTTTCGAGATGATCGAAAAGTGAATGCCCCTAGTTTTGAGGAGGTCGCGAAAAGCAGTGTCGACACACATCCACTCTTCCATGTCCTTTGGCATCAGCCGCACTCCATCGTCGATGAGCCATGTGCAGCCTGCTTCGCATACGATCACGATTCCTTTCTTCATCCGACCCTCGAGCCCTAGCCATGCTTCGGATGTAAGCATTGCTGCCGCCGCGTCTTCCCCAACGAAGTACCTCGCGTAGACGATGGGATCAAGTCCGGATCGATCGCATATGTACCAATTTGACGCATTCAAAGCAGTCGCTGCAGTCTCAGCGCGTAGCTGGGCAGCGAGGATGTGTTCCTGGAGTTGTAGCGCGCGTTTCGGCGACTCCGAAATGTCCTCCCGGCTGAAGTATTTGTCCTTGAGCACTGTGCGAGCGACTTCGCGGATGATGAACGGACGCTGCCAGCCGTCGTTCTTTGCAGTCTCTTCTAGTTTGCACTCCACAGCGTTCACCAAGGTTGTCTTCCCAGTCGATTGCGCCCCAATGATATAAACGTTTTTCATATTGGCTAAGTTGCAAAGGTTGCTGGGAGGGGGGGTGCGAAGTTACACTGCCTGCGAAAGGTGCGGGGAGTGCCTTATCTCAATTCTTCATGCTGCTTGAATGCGGCGTTTCCTGCCTGTGCCGTTACACGACATGTAAGTTTTCGCGAATCAGGCGATAGATGGCCTGAATACCCCGCCCCACCCATCGCTGTTCCTTTTCTTTTTCTCTTCTTGCCATGGACCACGAATCTGCATCCTACATGTACCTTTCGTCAACATGAGCAAGGCCGCGTCTTTCTCTAAGATCCTCCAGGATACCATATCTCCTGAACAGGCCAAATGGGACTACTCTGTCCCAGATCTCCCAGCGTCTCGCTTGACCAATCAAACAAGGCTCATCAAATGTGTGAGCGTGATCTCCTCGCCGCAGAAGCAGGAAATCACTCTCAGATATGTGCTGGCACCTTCAAATCGCGTTACTATGGACGAGGTTCTTGATCGATTCGTTCTGCTATCTTTCCCAGACTTCAGGCTGCAATGGCCTCCAGTGGCGGCCAATGACGCTTTGAGACCAGCCACAGGACGGGAGAACGGAGACTGGATCACGAAAATGCTAGTATCGGGCATCACAATCAATGCAATTTCATATCATTTCTTCGGACATTCCAACAGCCAGCTCAAGTCGAGGTCTTGCTTCATGTACGCAGCATCAAAAGAGGAGGTGGCCAGAAAGATCGAGGGGATGGGCGATCTCTCCAAACTGAGATCTGTGGCAAAGAAGTCGAAGCGCATTGGGCTGCTCTTCTCGAGCGCAGAGGTATCGACCATGCTGCCTTCGGAACGTTGTCAAGATATCGATGATGTGACATCCAAGGATTACATCTTCACTGATGGATGCGGTCTCATGTCCCCACAATTTGCAAAATTATTAGCGCAACGACGGAACATTGTGTTTCGCGATAAGAGGTATCTTCCATCTGTTTACCAGATCCGTTATCGCGGCTACAAAGGCGTCTTGACCTTGGACCCGACATTGAGCGGACAAACTCAGGTCCAGTTTCGCGCGTCCATGCGGAAGTTTAAGGATTCGCCCGACTATAGCTTCGCTGTTGTTGACTACTCGAAGGTGCGACATATACATGAGCCTTTGGATTTCCACATGAATTGCGCGCTGACTTGCGACAGCCCTATGCCTTCGGCAGTCTCAATGATGAAATCGTGGTCCTGCTGCACACGCTTGGGATCTCCGAAAAGACATTGCTGGCTAAGCAAACACAGCATCTCGACTTCATCCAAAATGTCCAGGGAGGTGACCCACGGTCTGCCTTTCAGTTTCTTTCCTACATCAATCGAACCGAGCTGGCGGAAAAGCTGCTCTTGGAAGGCCCAGAGTCGGTGCGCCCGACACTTCTAAGTTTAGTAAAGCAAGAATACGCTCGCATGATTAATAAGCGAGATGAACAGAGGTGTCGGATCCTGGTTCCGAAGTCTCGGTTGCTCTTTGGTGTCTGCGATCCAACGGCAAAAGATGGTTGCCCAGGTCGACTAAAGGAAGGCGAGTGTTTCGTCCGCATCACGCAAGACGGCGATGGCCGGGCACAAACTATCATCAATACTGAGGTTTTGGTGACAAGAAACCCTTGTCTACATCCAGGCGACCTTCAAAAGTTCAAAGTGGTCGATATTCCCGAGTTTTCGCATCTGGTCGACTGTATCGTGTTCACAACACAAGGGAAGAGGCCAAGCGCTGACTTGATGTCTGGGGGAGATCTGGACGGAGACAAGTGTAGGTCCATGTTTTATCCCTTACATGCCCTTACTAACTGAAGACGTTTGCATGCAGTCTTTGTGACCTGGGATAGCGATTTGGTCCCGAGCACTGTGGCCGAACCCGCCCAGTATCCCGGTGGCAAAGAGTTGATCACCTTCGGCGATGTCACCGGAGATAGTCGGGCTGAATACTTCGCTCGATACACGAACGCGTCTCTGGGGAAGGTCAAAAATTTGTATATGAAGTGGGCTCGACTTGGAAACGCAATGAGTCCGCAATGCCAGCAGCTCAATCGATTGTTCTCTCAATGCGTGGACGGCAACCACATCAGAATTCCGCAGAATTTGAAGGTCTTCAAGGACTTGGAAGACCCCCCAGAACCTAAGGCGAAGGTAGTGCCTTTCATATTGGACGTTCTCCACGAAGCATGTATGCAGCAAATCAAGCGCGCCAATATTCTAGCTCCAGAGCCGCAGGATGATGTGGATATCTGGGACCTGATCCTGACTCGCGACAAATTAGCGATTTCCGAGTTCGAGCTACTTGGGTACTTGCTGCGATGGTGCGATCGTCACAAGAGCGATATCATGGCGTACAGTCACGCAATCGACTTCAGTGCGCTCACTGACGAACAGCAAATATGGTTTCTCGCCCAGTTACCACCTACCAGGACAGCACCCGGCTTGGTTCGTAACGGTCTTCTCCAATCAGGGCTTGTTACCCCACAAGAGCTTTGGCGTTTTGGACTAGACCATCCGCGATTGCGGTGGAAACCAATTTTCCGATCCTCGGTCGATCGCATGGGGCGATTCCTTCCAGTCGTCTGCCAGGCACTTGAGGTTTTCCACAAGAAACTCATCATAATGAGCATCAATGACCGTTTCAGTATGGCTATTTATTTGCCGCACATAATCGCGCGCGCAACTGAAGTTACAGTTGACACCAACGTGCGCGTCTTTGTATTCCCACACACCCAGGGATCACAATCATCCAACTATCGCGTCACGCCTACAAAGGTAAATTATCGTCTGTACTGCGACGAGCATGTCTTCCAACTCTACCAGCGAACTCGGGGCAATACGTGGCTTTTTCTGAGAGGTTCAACTGGCGATGATGCATTGTACCGTGCCATGCCTAGTATAGGCGACATGCGGAGAATGAGAGAGAAGACTCTGCTTCAACAGGTAAATGTCGACTGCCTAGCGAGTGTGGCTCTTGATAAGATCAGTCGAGATGTACAGACACACTTTGGGAAAGTAAATCGTGACGCTATTCAGGGCGCTGTAAGTGTGCTTTCGATGAGCCAAAAATCATAGTGTGCACTGCGTTGATATGTTGTAGGAGGTGTACGTGATCAGCAATCGCGACGTGGCTTCCATGCGCGTTCTTGATCAATGGCTAAGCTACGTCGACACACAAGAAGTTCTCCCGTTATTCGAGAAGCTCGAACTAGAATACACCACCCCGAAACTGGAAACGGTCGCCTGGGACGAGCAGCCAAAGCTTGTGCGAAGCATCTGCCGGGACGGAAACCTACAATCGCTGAGCGAAGTCAACTCCATTACGGACCTGCAAGGTATATTGGATCTTCTTAGGAAGAATAACGAGAAAAAACGACTACGCGACGTTTTTGCTCACATTCTACTGCTAGCAGCCGACCCGACATACCTTCTCGATGACCAGACTGTGATGTCCGCCCTGCTCCGATATCTACAAGCTGCACCCTACCTGACTTCTACATTCCTGCAATCGGCAGCATGGAGCAGACATGAAAAGGTTCTCGAAGATGAGTTAGTCTTTCAAGGACCTGTTATCGCGTCCAAACTTATCTTGGCGTCGAATGAGCTTGCAGGCTTCATACGCCACCCTCTGTCACTTCTACTACATGAGCTGAAGAGTTTGTCAATGCAGGATTTAGCCGCATTAGTTGAGTTTGTTGCGCTTACTGTGCGCACCGCCGAAGCTGGTCTAGACTTGCTACTCGAGACGTTCGAGCCGGAAACCTCGCGGTTGATCATTGGCCGTCCGACAGCTGTCAGCCAATTCACCTCGTCACTCATCGGGATTGCTTTGGATCATATTGATGAAGCCGCGGAAGCTTCAAAGCCCGAGCAAGAAGCCATCACGCTCGTTGTTGATGAATACAAAGACGGCCATACCAACGTAAAAAGTAATGTGCGCATCGATTCTTCGACGATCCGCTCACTCAAAGGTGGCGACCATGTTCGCCTCTCCGTCACCAATGCCCCACAGAATGATGCTTTCACTAAGCTGTTCTCCATGGATGCTCTCGTCTTGATCGTGGAGTCGGGCACTGTGACGTTCAAATGTCTGCACGATCCGCCCAGCTTCCTTGCACAATGCGCATGGACTGTCACTCACTGTGGCTCTTTTGTTACGAGCAAGACTGCATTCGATGCTGTTACATGTTTCTACACGGAGCGTGAACTTTGTTGCGACATATATGGCCTACTGCTAGGATTACCAGCGGCCGATGAGGCTGCTCCTTCTCCTATAAAATTGCCCGTCGTGCGAGACGCAACTCTCAATGCAACTCAAAATGAGGCACTCACGGCAGCAATGAACCATTCCTTGACGTTCATATGGGGCCCTCCTGGAACGGGTAAGACTCACACTGTCATTGTCATTCTGTCTCAGTTACTCAAGCAGCTTCCGGACGCCAGATTCCTCATCACAGCACCGACGCACAACGCGGTAGACAATATACTAAGAAGATTTGTTGCCAATGCAGCGTCTAGAGAAATAGGCACGAATCCGGTGCGAGTCTCGACACAGGTATGTGAACTTGCAATGTATGCGGTCTCATTGACTCACCTTCTAACTGGATGGTGTTCAGCTTTCTAAAGTTTCACCGGACTTGAGGTCCTTTACTTGCGACGCGATGCTGGGCACAGATCTTGGCGGCAACATGAGCGCCCGCCGGAAAGCACAAAAGCGAATCAAAGACGCAAGACTGATCTTCACAACATGCATTGGCGCAAGTCTTGGGCTGCTTCGGAACGAGAAGTTCGACGTTGTTTTCGTCGATGAAGCTTCCCAGCTGACGGAGCCTGCAACGCTCGTGCCGCTCGTCAAAGGCTGTTCGCGTGCGCTCTTGGTTGGTGATCATGTCCAGCTACGCGCGACAGTGCAAAAGAATGCCATACTCACCGGCTATGATGTCTCGTTGTTCGAACGCCACTATAACATGCCTGCGCGCGAAGGTGTTGCGAAAGTCATGCTCGATACGCAATACCGCATGCATCGAAGTATTTGTGACTTCAGCTCCACCGAGTTCTACGAGGGGAGGTTGAAGACAGCAGTCAAAGATGACAGTCGCGCACTCCCTCCATCTCAATTTCCATGGCCGGCGGGCGATCGACTCGTATGGACCGAGTGCGCCAGTTCAGAAGATTTGGGTCGACAATCGAAAGCCAACGCAGGCCAAACTCAGCTGTGCAGGCGCATTATACAGCTTCTCACAACGCCGGCAGTCAATGATGGCACGAAAGTCTCCGAGCCTGTGCAGTCTTCTTCAATCGCGATCTTGACGCCGTACACTCGTCAAAGGGAATCACTCAGCGCTGCCATCCCGAATATTGAGGTGTCATCCATCGACGGCTTCCAAGGTCGCGAAGCAGACATCGTAGTGTTTGTGACCGTGCGATGTAACGTATCGTGCGACGTTGGTTTCCTTGCTGATATGCGAAGGCTTAACGTCGTGATGACGAGGGCGCGATGTGGCGTCGTCATCATTGGGAACGCATCGACGCTCTCTGCGGGTATAGATGCAGATGAATTAAACTCGACTAAGAGTGTCTGGAAGAGGCTTGTAAATCGATGCAGAAAAGTAACGCTAGACAGCGATAAGCAAAGTGTCAAATAGCAGGTGTTAGAGCAATAAAGGAGGCGATTACTCTGCTAAGACATACGCAGAGATCCCTTACTAGAATAAGAACTAGACAGCTAGCAACTTCCTTAGAAAGTAATATAGAATAAATATATAAGATAATATTTATTTATTCTAGATATAAAATTATTACACCTCTTTTAACTCTTCTACCTAAGAACCTATTAGCTCTGCCTTAGGCAGGCCTTAGGTTATATAAGGACTAGTATATATATCTTTTGCAACATACTCTTAAGTCTCTTAAGAATTTATCTTACTTTAATACTACTTAGTATACCTATTCTATAGCTTCTATCTATATACTCCTTATAATTTAAATTCTTTCTACTCCTTTATAGAAAGATAGTTATTAAATAGAATTACTTTAAGCTTCTTACTAGCAAGAATAGTATTAACTTATAATACTCTATAAGATAAAGGTAAGAGCGCTGCCTATAATAAGTCTAAAGCTATAGTAATAGATGCTTAAGAGGTACTACTAGAAGTAATTTAGCAAGAGTAGCTATAGCAGCTCTCTAACTTTTCTAGTATAGAGAGAGTTAAAGAACTTAATAATAATAACGTTAAGAACTATATAAGTAGTAATACGCTATAGATTATAAATATACCTAAGAGCTATATAGACTCTAAATAATAAGTGCAGAGATAGAGCTAGATAACTTAACTTTTATCTTAGCCTGCTTTAGTTATACTCTTATAGAGGTACCTAATCTTTAGATAACTCTTAGCATAGCCTAGAGCTAATTCTTAAGAGAGTAACTCTAACTAGAGAAGTAATAATTAAGACTAATAAGCTATAGCACCTCTAGAGAATATAATAGCTCTATAGTCTAATAAAAGCTTTATATAAGTACTTCTTATAAGGCTATTTAAAGCTAAAGAGGTAGAAGCCTCTCTTAAGAAGCTAGCTAAACTTTAGTAATATATAGAAATAGCTTCTAAACTTCTTATTACTAGTAGTATACTAGCAGATAAGTCTTAGAATACTTATAACTTAGCGTTGCGCCTTATATAGACTCTAAATAATCTAAGCTTTAAACTAAAGCTAGGAGTTAAAGGCTGCGTGCTAACTTTCTAGTAGATTTATTAGTAGATTAAGAACCTTAACTTAGCTTTCTAATTAGTCTAGATAGTTGCTAATAGCAAGACTTACACCTACTAGGTAGTAACTACTATTAACTACTTAGTCTATTATAAACTAATCTAGCAAAAGATTACTAATAGTATTATTATAATCTAGCTTAGAGTCTAGATAGAGTAGCTTTAGCTTATCTAGAACTTACTACTTATAAAGTATTAGAACTATATATTATTCTAGAACTTTAAATAGCTACTTAAGAACTTAGTTAACTTTTTTCTTCTCTAGCTAAGAAAGAAAGAGTCTTTTCTCTAACGCAGTTTCTTTAAGAATAATAATAGTATAGAGAATAATAAACTTAAGATCTTCTTTATATAGTCTAAGATTCTATTAGTCTACTATTAAGAGATAAAGCATAACTTACTAAAGAGTATCTAAATCTAAAAAGACTTTAAATAGACTCTACGTAACGTAGAAATAGTTAGTACTATAGATAATAGAGTAGCTTAGCTAAGAGAATATAATAAGCAGAGCCTAAATTATGCCTAAATAGGCTTAACGTTAGAGATTCTACTTCTTAGTGCTTTCTAGAATAGCAAATCTAACTTTACTCTTATGCTTTAAAATAGATCTATTATATTATAATACAGCACTCTTACTATTACGTTTATATAGAGTTATCTTTTTATATGCATCTTTTCTATTAATTAGATAAAGAAGAGACTATAAGAAGCAATATCTATTATCTAAGCTCTATCTAATAATAGAGTTTATATAGAATAGCTAAGCGCTTATACTATAGCAGTAATAGTATAATAAGAGCAGAAGATCTAACTACTACTATAGGCTAGAGAAGCTATTGCCTAAGAATTATAATAATACTCTATGCTTCTTAGAAGAATTTAGAGTACTAGTATATAAGCAGCATTATATAGCAGTTATTAATCTTAATATATATCTTTAAGAATAGTATATAACGCCTGCAAAACTACGTAAGCAGATTATTATATACTTTAGTAACTATAATATTATTAAGCTAAAGAATATTTAGCTTCTAGAGTAACTTACTTACTTAATTAAAGAGCTTAGGTTACTACTAAATAGGCTTAAGTATAAGATATATAACTTTATTACTATTAATATAAATATAATATAAATGCACTGCAAATAAAATTATAAGTAACTATAGATTAGTAATATAAGCTTACTATTTAATTATATAAAAGTGTAGATATTTTTCTGCATAGAGAAATTATAAAGATATTTTATTATTAAGATAGAAGAAGTTAAAGATAATAAAGATATAGTTAATAAACGCAGGCTTAAAAGATAACTTACTAAGTTTTAGTTAATATAGAAACTTATTAAAAAAGACTTATAACTACTTAAAGATATAGTAAAGATAGACTAAACTAGATAGTATAAGCGCATAGGTTAGATAAGCTTCTTAAAAGATTAGAATCTTATGCTATTAGCGCACTAGCTATGCACACTAGACCTATATATATTAAGATTTCTAATATTAGATTAATAATAGTGCTAAGCTAGCCTATGCACACCTAAGAGTTAAGTAATATTATAGCAGAGTTAAGCGATATTATAGCAGAATTAAGCAATATTATAGCAGAGTTAAGCAATATTTTAATAGAGTTAAGTATTTTAATATCTTTTAGTAGCTAAAATTATATATAAGCAGAGTGCAGCTACTGCTAATATATTATAAGAAGTTATTAGAGATATTCTAGATCTTATTATAGTAATATTAAAAGAAAGTAGAATAACTCTGCCTGCTTCTTCTCTCTCTTAATACAAACTATTATTAAATAATAACGCTATCTCTAATAACTTATATATTTATGCTATACTATATTATGCTAACATTATTGCTATCTTTAACTTTCTATCCTTAAGTTTACCTGCATTCTTAGTAGAAATGCAGAGCTTAGCTAATTAGAATAGGCCTTAGCAAGGCGCTATGTTATAGAAATACGTCGTGAAAATAAATAGCCTTCTAGAGGAAAATAATATATTTCTAAGAGGCTATTTTATGCAGTTTTACGAGGGGAATCCAGATCTCTAAACGAATTATCTATAGCTCTAATACTCGTTGAGATGCAAGGCTTTGAAGTTATAGGTAAAGGAATATCAAAACTCTAACATTCATCGCAGTTTCTCTTAACGTTCTAGTAGTTTGCAGATATATTCTAGTAGGCTATATTACGCAGAATTGCGAGGCGATTTTAGATCTATAACTATCTTTTTTATAGCTCTATATATATTAAGATTTCTAATATTAAGTTAATAATAGTGCTAAGCTAGCTTATGCACACCTAAGAGTTAAGCAATATTATAGCAGAGTTAAGCAATATTATAGTAGAGTTAAGCGATATTATAGCAGAGTTAAGCGATATTATAGCAGAGTTAAGTAATATTATAGCAGAGTTAAGCAATATTATAGCAAAGTTAAGTAATATTATAGCAGAGTTAAGTAATATTATAGTAGAGTTAAGCAATATTATAGCAGAATTAAGCAATATTATAGCAGAGTTAAGCAATATTATAGCAGAGTTAAGCAATATTATAGTAGAGTTAAATAATATTATAGCAGAGTTAAGCAATATTATAGTAGAGTTAAGCAATATTTTAACAGAGTTAAGCATTTTAATATCTTTTAGTAGCTAAAATTATATATAAGTAGAGTATAGCTACTGCTAATACGTTATAAGAGGTTATTAGAGATATTCTAGGTCTTATTATAGTAATATTAAAGAAAAGTAGAATAACTCTACTTACCTTCTCTTCTCTCTTAATACGAACTATTATTAAATAATAACGCTATCTCTAATAACCTATATATTTATACTATACTATATTGCGCTAATATCGTTACTATCTCTAACTTTCTTAACTAATTATTAACTATTACTAATAGGTAAAAGAAATTCTATAGAGTCTCTAATTACTAACTTATTCTTAGTTATCTCTTCTAATTATAAAGGTAAAAGCAAAGCGCTATCTATTATATAAGATATATATATATTCTTAATATATTATAATACTAGTTTAACAGTTATATTATATAACTGCACTATCTTAACTTATTAAAGAAACCTTATTATTAGTAGACTCTATTCTATAAAGTAGTTTAATACTATACTTTGCAGCAGCAAAGTAAAAATACTAATACTAAACTAGTCTTTTAGTATAGACTATTACTGCCTATTCTCTAGAACCTATCTAAACGTTTTCTAATTAGAGAGATTCTCTTTTAGCGTTGCGCGCTTATTCTCTTAGCTCTAATATATAGATCTAAATAACTGCTCTTTTACTACTATTGCAAACTCTCTACCTCTGCTACTTATTAAGTTTGCTTACTTTTAGACTAATATAACTAGAGTCTTATACTATATATATATAGCAGCTAAGATCTATTAATATTATATATCTCTAATAATACTAACTATCTAACTTCTTCTAGTAGCATTAAATAAATTTATAAATTTATCTATCTTAGCATAACTTAAATGCAAACTGCTAATCTTATTACTTTGCTACTAAGATAGCACTAGTTAACTCTATAGATAAATACTAAAAGAATTACTTCCTGCTTTATTACTAGAATTATTATAAGCATAAATTATAGAAAGCTTACCTTTAACTCTAGAGAATAGACGTTTTCTAGTAGAATACTAAGATCTCTACGCTCTTAATATTAACTGCTAGTTCTTTAAGCAGTCTATTATTCTAATTGCTGCAGCTTTATTTATTATATTTTTAACTACCTTAATACTTATACCTATCCTTAAGTCTACCTGCATTTCTAGTGAGAATGCAGAGCTTAGCTAATTAGAATAGGCCTTGGCAAGGCGCTATGTTGTAGGAATGCAACGTGGAAATA